TGACTGTGAGGGGGGGGGGGGGGGGGGGGGGGGTTGAAAGGAGATGATAAAAAACAGTCGGTGTGGGGCAATAAGCTCTTATTATAAGGGAGCGGGGGATATATAAGGTTTATCTGTGTTCCATGTCATGGGAGGGAAAAGGGAAAAAAAAAAGTAAGGAACGGAGCTTGTGTGAGCTTTATAATTGATCCCCTTCCCTTGACTCCCTATATCAGACATACTTAAAAAGGTAGGTTTACGTCGCTGTGGCTCGGCATTGCGAGCTCTACACCAATAATACTTCAAACAATTCGAGTCTCTACGTCACCGAGAGCAATGAGACCGAGTCGGGCACGGTAGGCCGGGACCGCCGATGTTGCATATTCCTATACCGTGTGGAGGTTTAAAAGGGGCCACATTGGTCGGATATACGAGCGGATATCCAGCAAGGTGTGGCGCTTGGACCCACCACAGCCCTGAATTTTGTCTCCACGATGTATGCAACTTAATCTTCTTTGGTGATGTCTCCGAGAGACACTCGTGAGGATTGTCAGACACTATGCTATCTATAGCGATTTTATCCTTCCCAACAACGGAGTCACCAACCAGATAATCTGGTCAACTGAGGGAGAACAGCCACACACGCGCACAAGTCATGAAACATTCTTTGGGCCTATACATGCTTAACTTGCCCGAGTCAGTTGACAACTGGCCGTTTCTATCCATAAATCTATAATCACATGCTACAAATATCCAACCTAGAGGGCTTGCTCGAGACTAGACCGTGGGTCTCCCTGGGATGATGGATACCCTCTGCAGTACTACCTACTACAGAGCATGGTTCTTGGAGCCTCTCATGTTTCCGCGGCTCGGTCGACGGAGTAGATCGGTGGTGAGAAGATCTGCCATGAATTCTAAACCCTAATGCAGCGCAGCTATTCATTCTAGAATGTTTCTGCCTGTCTATTCTTAGTACAGAGTCCTTTATACAGGACTGTGCCAAGAATATAAAGACGCACGCGAATCGGAGATCGCTTCTATATTCGATTTTAGGACTAACACACGACCGCTTAGCCATGGAGCAATGCACTTTTCATCGATTACCCTGTATGTACCGATGAATCAGCTTGAATCCTAGGGTCACCAAGATAGTGTAGTACCACTAGTACTCTGTTGTGCTTCTGGCTTGACTCTTATCTAGGGGTTGCCATAACCAACGGTAATTCCCCATTTTGCTTAGTCATTAATACCTAAAAGCAGTTAGCGCAAGTACATCAGAGAGCCAGCAAGTGTTCAATAGTTAATACAGCACGAGTGGCTGATTCCCTATCAGCAGATCTAGGAATAGTACTGACTGACTGACTTAATTGTCTATTGACACGATCTTCTATGTCCATTGCATGGATGATTCTATTCACAAAATATCACCCTGTTGACAAGATCATGGCACCAACGTTCAGGCCCGCCGTCCATCAGCGAATAAAAATACCTCGTCACCTAACCGAACGGGCTAGTTTGGGGGCCGGATTGGGGAAGCCCTACTCAGACTTAACATTGCTGCCTCCGGAGCCACTGCAATGGCTTCGATTTTTGCACTTCCAAATGGGATGATCTTGCTATCACTCTTCAAGTTACTCCCTTATATGGCTGAGTGGACTGGCTGGCGTTATTGAGTTTCTAATAGGTACCAGGACTCTCCTATAACTATGAAAGGAAAATATGATTAATATCATGTCAGCAGACAAAGAGAGACATATGAGTGCTCCAAACCACTAACATAACTTGGTATTATTATTATTATTATTATTATTATAAGCATAGTGTGCGCGCACAGCCTTGGACGTCTCACCTCGGATATTCCTCTCAAGCAGCCCTGAGAGCGCAATGTTGTCCACAGCCCTGGCAGCATGCTTTGCTGTGCTAATTTACCTCTACCATGTTAATCGTGCAATAAACGCTGTTCCTGAGGAAGCTCACCGTTTAAGTTCTCCCCGCTGGACAGTCGAAGAGATCAAAGCGGCTTATGAAAAGGCTATAGCCTCACCCACCGACGTAGTCAAAAGCCTCCCCCCGAGGCAGCATAGACGCTACATTGTTGTTGGCGGATCAGGTACGTTTCTAGACCTTACATTATCTTAACGAGAGCTATACCTCATCCCGCGCACACGCAATATGCCCCACTGGATAGTAGTTAACATATCTAGGACTCGTTGGAAACTGGATCGTGTCACACCTTCTCATGCGTGGAGAAGACCCGGCTGCTATTCGTATCTTAGACATTCAGACTCCGTCGCGTGAAGTTCTCGACCAAGGTATCGCCTATATCAAGACAAACATCGCCAACGAGGAGGCTGTCTGGAGCGCCTTTGCACAGCCATGGGCCCAGTCAGTCGCTGATCTGCCATTGACCGTGTTCCACAATGCTGCAGTGATCAGGCATGGAGACCGACTCAAGGCTTTCCTGCCTTTATCCCGCGACGTGAATGTTGGCGGTACTGTTAATGTGCTGATTGCCGCTAAGAAGTCCGGAGCAACCTGCGTAATCGCAACCTCGTCTGGTTCAGTCTGTGTCCGTCGATTCCCGCTCTGGATCGCACCTTGGACGAGGTTGCCCAAGTATCTAGTGCAGGTCATCAATGACTCGAGCGAAGTACCCAAGGAGCACGACCATTTTTTCGGAAACTACGCCGTTGCGAAAGCTGAAGCAGAGAGTATCGTATGTTCGGCCGACGACCCTAAATCCAACTTACGGACGGGCTGCATTCGACCCATCAATGGTATCTACGGTATCGGAAACACGGACAAGAGCGTTAACGGAGCTTATTTAATGAGGCATGGTGGCCCATGGTAAGACCTAGTCATAAAATACTCTTTCAACACCAAATTACTAACATGGTTCAACCAGCTGGACCTACAACGTCGTCCAAAGCTTTGTCAATGCCGAAAACGTCTCCATCGCCCATCTACTCTATGAACAACGCCTCATTGAACATACAAACAGCCCAGATACTCTTCCAAACATCGGTGGACAAGCCTTCGTAGTGACTGACCCCAACCCGCCAATGGTCTCTCAAGACGTCTTCCTTCTGCTTAAGACTCTCGCTAAAACGCCCATCGACTTTCCTTTCGTTCCCGCCATCCCATTGGTTCTTCTCTCCTACCTAGTTGAGTGGTACTCCCTTCTGCAGCACCAGTACCTCCCCTGGCTCCCGAAGCTCAAGGGCGATCTAGCCCAATTGCAACCGGGTCTCTTCACTATCGCAAGTGCCCATATTATTGGAGACGACTCGCGCGCGCGCAAGTCGCCTGAGCAGGGTGGTCTGGGCTATTCTCCGCCTCTCACTACGCTAGAGGGGATGTGCAAAGAAGTCAAGGCATGGAATGAGACTCAAGGTGCTAAAACCGCAAGTCTCTGAGCGACGATGCGTATTATATGCCAGTCTTTAAAGATGAAAGGAGAGGGAGAGCTCTGTGACACATGGGTATGTAAGATATATATGTAAACCACTTCAAGTACAGATATGGTCAAGTAAAATCATCCAGCAAGACAAGAACAAAAATAATCAATTTCTCGTTGTGTTGCATTACACAAAACATACTCCCAAACAACAGAAACAACAACACCCTACAATCTAGCAAGATTAACAACCTCCCCAGGAGCATGATACGTCGGAACCCTCATCTCCAACGCAGAGCCCGAATAGCCCAAATCCTCAGCAGTAAGCACAGCACACTTCTCTCCAATAAGAAGCGCAGTCTAGTTTCTCATTAGCAAACCCGTTCAAAAAATTTAGTATAGTGAGCGACGACACAGCTTACACTAAATGTATTACATCCCACATTATCTGGACAGATCGACAAATCGCAGACCTTGAGGCCCTTCACCCCGTGGACATTCAGACGCTCATCAACCACACCACCATGCTTGACGATTGAGTTGCCTTCTCTCGGCGCCATGCTGCATGTTCCGAGGGAATGCCAAGTTGTTTCGACATGGCGTTGGACTATATGCATAGATAGGTAAGTATATTAACAAATATTGATAGATGGGGTAAAGGATAGAGTAGAGGGATGTACATACCCCATTTCTCAATATGCTCAATATCCTTCTTGCTATATTTAATCGGTTCCCGGATCTCTTGTTTGTTGGAGTTGAGGTAGTTTTCTATTGGCGACTGACCGGGTTCGAGGGGTTGAGACCATGATCCTATTTCCATATTTAGTAGTGTTCCCGGGCTTCCCGTAGATCAGATAGGTTGGTTCTACGTACCGTGCTGAATACCAGCGGAGATATGGTTCGGGCCGGCGTATGCCCTGGTTGTCGCGAGATCGAGGTCGAATACTCGGGCCGCGGAGTCGAAGGGGAAGTGCGGGTGCATGCCGGTTACTTCGCCCGCGTAGGCGCTCATACGACGGGCGGTCTCGCGTGATTTGATGTAACCCCAGACCATGGGGGCCATGTCGCGCTTGTCGTTCATGAAGCCGGCGTCAAAATCGGGGGCCTCGTAGGGGTCTGCGGATTGGATGTGAGTGAAGCCGCGGGAGAAGGGGTATTCCTAGTTTTTTTACGTTAGTGGTTGGCTTAGGGTATGATGTATAGGGGAGGTAGAACTGTGTACCAGGAAGTGGAACATGGTGAAGAATTTGCCTGGCGGCATGAGCATGTGGTCGCCGAACCAGCTGTGGAGGTTTGGTTAGAATCGGACCGTTTATAATGATTGAATGACTATAGGACTTCTTACCCGGAGATGATGGAGTAGTGCATGACGGGCTTATCCGGCTTGTTCTTGAAGTAGCTCTCCCAGCCGCTGGAAAACTCGGGAGTGGGCCAGTTCTGCATTTCTTCTAGTTCCTCTTTGGTAGGTCTGATCTTCACGCCGGCGTCGATGCCGTTCGTACCCAGCGGACCTGTACCCTTGAGATTCCACTCCTCGAAGACTTTCTTCTGTACTTCGGGGTCGCCGCGGACGAAGTCATCGAATGATTCGACGTCTGGCTTGGCTCTGTAGACAGAGAAAGTAAGGTAGTGGTCCTGGAAGTTGCGGCCTACGCCTGGAAGGTTGACCAGGGGTTTGACGCCTGCTTTGCGGAGTTTCTCTGGGTCACCAATTCCAGATCTTTGAAGGATAAGAGGGGAGCTGAGGGTGCCACCGCTAATGATGATTTGTTTGCGGGCTCGGAAAACTTTGCGTGGTGGATTGCGGCCGTCCAGAGGCTTCGTAGGAACGGTTGCGACGCCGACAGCCCGGCCATTCTCGATGATTATTTTGTCCACCTTTGTGTTGCACTTGAGGTGGAGATTGGTGTACTTGGCTCGTGTGCTATGGACATAGGCATGTGCGGCATCACTACGGCGGCCTAATGTTCCACCTTAGAGGTGTATAGCTATGGCTTGGAGGCTATCTTACCGGTGTCACGGTTGATCCATTTGAGCCAGTGTTCAGCTCCGTGTCTATAAATATGTTAGTATAGAGCTTAGAGAAACAAATTAGCTTGGACCATACCCAGTCTTCAAGTCCTGAAGGTCATCAGTGACCGGAATGCCCTGAGACTCTGCGGCACGTAGGAAGTCATGCATGATAGGGTACGTATAGTTTCCGAAAGAGACCTTGATAGGCCCATCAAAACCATGCAGGTCTCTGTTATTGCAAGCACGCTGATACGTCTCATGCTTCTTCATAAGTGGGAGGAGCTCATTGGTCGTCCAACCCTTTGCCTGAAAATCGTCGTAGTCTGAAGCCGATGCTCTTGTATACATCTAGAAACTAATAAGCCATTGTATCAAGTAGAATACACAATGCAGTATAGGCACCATAAAGTTGATCGAACTACCTCCACCAAGGATATTCGCACAAGGCACAATAGCCCGACGTCCATCAAGCCATTCCGATGGACGAGAATAGTAGAAGGAAGCGGTCTTTGAATCAAGCTTCATGTTTCGGGGGTAGATGCCAGGGCGATAGACCCTAGCATGGTCAGTGTTACCTTCTACAGCGCAAGGTCAGTTGATGTCGATCTTACCATTCGTTGTTCAGGTTGTCCTCGCCCGCCTCGATGAGCAACACCTGAAGGTTGTGATCGAGGTTAGCGAGACGGCCTGCTGGGACGCACCCAGAGCTCCCACCACCGCATATGATGATGTCGACCTCGTCTGGGATGGTCATCGTTACCAGCTGCTATATTTATATTCACTTCACTATAAAGGGAGGTTGCACTTGAGATGTTACAAGGATTGTCGTGAGAAAGAAAGCACTTCTGAGGGGAAATTCAGCAGCAATTTATACACTCCGCCGAGACCCCACAAGTCCTGTTTCACATCCATGGATCTCTATCAACTCTCAGGGCTCCCCGATGCATCAAGGCCTCCTTTACCTCATGTGTGTGGTCAATTCCCCGCACAGCAGAAGTATTATGCCTATAGTACAGCGTAGATGGATCCAACATTGGACTATTAGAGGGAGATTATTGGAGCCAAGAGATATCCAAAGACAGGCCAAATTGATCAATGAGAACGGTGGATTAGATTTGGAATCCCATACACTACGTTGTTTACTACAATTCCCCGCACGCCAAAGCTACCTGTGCTACCTATAAGAGTGATACATATAAGAGTGGGACAGGATATTTATCCGGGCCGTTCTAATGTGTAACTACGACAGTGGCCATAAACGGTACTAATTGCCTCAGTAACATAGAGACGACTTGAGTGGAGATGATAGGAGGCTGAGAAGAGATATCAGAAAGTAGTCCCCTTTGTATTACTGGAAGAAATGCATTCCTGATCCGACGAATCCCTTAGAGAAACTGAAACAATTGATCATGATAGAATTCCTATGAGAGATCAGGCCACGGAATGCCTTACAATGCCCAACTTGAAAGCGATGCCTCCAAATGATGAACTATCGAACCCAAGAGACCAATGGTTGCGGTTATCGGACAAACGGTAGTTGCTAGGATAGAAAACCAGGAAACTGGTATCCGACTGTGCAACCCATGTGGACGCCAGACACGAATCATTCTCATACAGGTCGACATTATGGGAAAGGGTTGTCCCTGGTGTTGATCGTAGAATGTGGAGATAAAGAGCGTTGAAACTAAAGGTCGTTGCTTTTCTTGGAAATTTCCCCGCACAAGACCCTCAGAATGCTGTAATAGTCAATAACCTTTCCCTTTTAACCGTTACAAATCCCGAGTGGAGATAATTCACGCTAATGCAATAGACATTGTTTTTCCACCCATTGCTGCCCCCGACTTGTTTCTTGGCTTCCAAAAGGGACCCACATGTCTCTGCTTTCGTGGGATTTGATATATGCTGACACGGTTCCAGAACCCCTTCCTGTCAATCTCGAGATCGAAACCCGCCCCCATCAGAGAAGATCAAACCGGTGTCATGAGATGCAGCTGCATTCCAAGTGCACGAATGAATGAATTCTAGATTGAAAAGTGGGCGGAGTCTGGAATATCCGGCAATCCGGACATGATAATCGCTTGGCTGTGATAATATGATGTGGCCTCTGGGCCTGGAAGCGCCGGGCCCCGCATCAGGAACTGTAGTGAATCCTCAAAAGTAGACTGAAAACGCAACTACCGAGCGTGCTGCTGCGCAAGCTGACGTCGCTGTTCTAAAATTTGCATCCGTAGATTTTCCGAAGCCAACTCAACGTCGAGGATGGCACCCACACCTCTCTTCCAGGTCTCCTCCAACCCCGCAAGCTCTCCTTTGCTCGACTCTTGAGCGATCTTTCTTTGCCTGTTCACCGTCTCCGCAGCTTCTTTGGTTTCGGCCAATTCCTTCTCAAGTCCTCGTAAGATATCCTCCAACTGAGAGTTACCAATCAGCCAAGCGTTTTTGCCATTCTCTTCCAGAAGCGTCAGATTATCCCGCCTCATGGACAAGTGAGAGCTGGCTGTGTAGGCCTTCTGCAAGGCTTGGCGCCACTCCTCGAGATTTGGTGCCGCGTTTGGTCCCCCCTCGGACGATCGGGTTGGTGGTTCAGGAGCCTCATATCGGGAAAGGTCAATGCCACCTGTCAAAGGTAATCCTGCGGCCTTGCGCTCGACCTCCTGCTGGATGAGGGGGGAAAACTGGGGGTTGGGGAAAGCGGGGATGGAAGGATGGATTGCCGACGAATAGTCTGCGGTCAGCTCTGAGGCTATGAGTTTCTCCGCATTAGCTCGAGCTTGGGCGGAAGGTTCAGCATCGATATCTGGGAAAGAGTTGAGGGTCAGAGGGGAGAGCTTGTTAGTTAAGGGAGACAAGACCCACATGGGAGAGAGTCATGGGATTCATTGATGAGAGGCATTCTGAGCTGGTTGGAGATGTGGAGTAGGTCTTCTAAGAGAGAGACTGTAAAAGACTAAATTGAGATGAGAAGCTCTTTGTCAACAAGGATTGACTGACGGTATGGATGAAGTTCAAGTCGAAGCGGACCATGATCTTTTCTGCCGGGCGGTGAACCACTGACTGATGAGTAATGACAGCCCTAACATTTGGTTTCATCAGTCTGCTAACCCTCTTTCTACTAAATTTGTTGATAATGATAAATTTAACGAATAAGTGTCTCCGCTACCTCTTATTTTGGCCAATTCAGGATATCATGAGCGTGTGGTAAATTTAAGCCAAGTGTTTATTGCTCGAATGCCCCTGGAGGGACCAAGGAAAGAGAGAAAATCAGGAGAATAAAAGAAGGAAAAGATTCATACCAACTGCTACCTGCCTCATAAAAGAGCAGACTCACTCACTTGTTTATATAATACTTGTCGCGCGGATATAAGCTTCCAACGAACGAAGAGCCTCCCCACTGTGGATGCACCATCTAGCCCGACGAAGACCCTCCTTCCATTGACAACCACCAGGTCCGCGCTCTGGAATGTCCTTTCCATGTTCCCCATGGCCAATCTGGCTGCCTTCAGTCTCTCATATTCCAGAGGTTACGAAAAGAGCGGCAACATGCATGAGCACAAAGTGTAATATCGGATCATCATCCGGTCACCTCCCATGCAGTATGTCAACGAGAAGCTTGGCATCTTCGTTGACGGTAGATTTTGCCTTAAGAGTATGCAGAGTATGCAGAGGATGTATAGGGACGCCAAAGTCCAATGGCTGCAGCGTGAAGTGTTGTATTTTTGCGACATTCTCTTCGTAAGTTCGGTCAGAGAACATCCAGCATGATGTTACACCTTCTGGACTGATTCTGTCCAGGAAACCATGTCCTGAGACAATGGGTACTTTCCTTACTCCGGTGTCCCTTATGGCCTGCGCTAGAACTGGGCCAAGGTCAGAATTAGACACGCCTACGACGCGCGCTTCCATGCCCCCGTTTACACCGACCAGGTGCAAGAGTGTGCTTATTAAATCGAAGATCGTACGGATATCCAATTCTCGGCGCACCGGGTTTGTGAATTTCGTACCCGGGTAAAAGTTCAATTCAGGAAGAAAAGCGTACTTGCTATGCTTATAGATCTCCGACACGTTTTCGGGTGCGACCTTGGTTAACGCCGGTGCTGTTGGCTTAATGCTAGCAATAATATTCTCGGGCTCCACACTTGGGGTTTGGCGCAGTAGCACTCAGAAAGCCATGTTGAGCAATCATAAGCAAAACGAGGTAACAATCGATGCTGTAGTAGTTACAGGAATAGTTGGCGTCGCACTACCAGCTGTACCGACAATTTCACACTTGTTTTGGTTTAACACGACAGTTCTTCTCAACTACCAAATATTGAAGAACTTACAAATCCGCCCAGATAGTTTCCTTCGAATGCTGACCGCTCAGAAATCACTCGTTTCAACGCGACTGCTTCAATGTTTGGCTGCATCTGGCTGATACGGGGAATGGATTCATCGATCACAGCAATATCTTGGTCCTTCTTCTTATAGTGCAGTAGGCTCAAAAGAGCTGCGGCTTGTGTCTCATTCAATTTGTCCTCTAAGAGCATAGTGAGGGCTCCAGCGACTTCGCTAGCTTGCACTGGTTCGTTAGGCTCTAAGGGGTGGGCGAGTTTCTTGAGTAGAGGAGTGATTGGTTCTGGTGTCATTTTGACTCTGTTTTCACGGTGTACACTCGTGCCCCTTGGAGTTATCCACCAAAGAAAAAAAGAGAGAAGAGTTAATCACAATCGAAGCACTCACTTTGTCCCTCCTAACACATGCGAAGGGGTGCCGCGCTAAATTGAATGCATATAGATAACCTATCTCAATATTACGCTTTTCCAGCAATTGTAACCCATTGTTATGCGAACCCCTTGCTTGGTCGATGACGCAATTTCGAAGTTGGGGGCTGGGCATTAATTATCTGGATTAATATAGCTAGTAGGGTGAAAGAGTACTGAGAAGTTTAGAACTGGAGACTATGATAATAGTAGGGGGACGTACAATTCTTGCGATTGAGTCCTTCTGCCATGGTGGTGTCTTCCCGACGTGATTCTGAGCGTTAATATTTGCCAAGTAAAAATACACCACTTCCTTACAGTCTCTTACCACTGCATCTCATCTAGTGCTTTACCCTTACCACTTTCGCCAAGTAGAAGCCGTGCCGCTTCCATGTAGCCTCCTACAGCGGGGTATTGTGCTCTTAATAGAAGTGAAATAGGGGGAGTTTATCATCAATCATCACAAAGCTGTAGATTTCAGTGGCGTAATAGCATGCAAGTCAATAAACGCGTGCAGGATATAGGTTAGTTAACTACTAGAGCCTTGTCTATTGTTGGAGCAAGATACTCCAGGCATACCTTCACATAAACCTAATCCAAACTACCTTCTCATCGTAGAATAGTTTACAAGGGTATCCACCACTTTCCCGTAAATACTCTCTCTAAATTCTCTATGGTACTGTCATAGGCATATATAATTATGTATGTACAACTCATAAAACCCCCCACAAACAGAAACAAGCTCTGGTTGTGATTTCTTGGCCAATATGATCGGCAGCGAACCGAGGGTTTCTTTTAGTGACCAAAAGGAAGACGAACTGGTTAGTGGAGACTATTCCCTGCCCTATAAGATGCCCCAGCTATATAATAGTATAATGATGTTTACTACATAGGGTTTTGATTGGCACCTGTCCAAGCGGGGGAGGTGAAAACAACCGAAAGCAGTTTAGTCCCGGCAGTCGGCATCAAGACCGATGTCACCTTTCGCTCAACTCTACACCAATAGCGCCATTTTGTCCCCTTCTGCTTCGGGGGTTACAATTAATTTTTAATGGGGGATCGCTTGCCTAATTTCTATACTCGGTCATGCGCCCTCAGAGGGATCAGTTCGCCTCGGCTTGAAGAGGTTCACAGGGGTAACATTAACCGGATAAAAAGGACGCCCCTACCTAGCACCTTTGACAGCCCACCCTGTGTCCTAAATATTCTTTCCTCAACCATAGCTTCCCTAATATGGCGAACGCGAGGTTAGATGTCGTACTCGCGGGAATCTTTTCCGCTGCTCTGGTTCTTTTTTTGCTGTTCTCTACCATTACGGACTCTAACCAGCCGCCCACGGTCGATAGCAGGTATAAATGGGCCGACAGGGATACCGAATTTGCGTCCGATGATAGCGTGTTCCTCCTTGGAGCCGGCAGAGCGGATATTACCGGGTAATTTCTCTCTCGTCGTCTTTGCCTTCTACCTACCTTGATCTGTTGATTTCTCGTATAGTTATATCATTTAATAAAGATATCTTAAATCAAGTATGCCGTTAACCTCTATATATCAGCCCTGTTGTCGAGCTCGGGTTCGGCGGCTATGCCAGCTTAGACCAAATTGGAACTGGCCTACGGCAGAGAATCTACTCGCGTGCTTTCATAGTCGCAAACCCGAAGCAGCCAAAGGATACTTTTGTCTATATAATTATAGACTCGCTGACGGGCGACACCGCCGTGCGGCATGGAGTCCTCGAGGGCCTTGCGAGCCTCGGTGGGGAATATGCGGACTATGGCGAGCATAATGTAGCCTTTACGGGAACCCACTCCCACTCTGGGCCTGGGGGATGGATGAATTATCTTCTTCCTCAAATTCCCAACAAGGGATTTGATAAGCAGAGCTACCAGGCGATCGTTGACGGCGTCCTGCTTTCTATCAAACGAGCTCACGAGAGTATAGCTCCAGGGCGCCTTAGCTTTGGCTCCATTGACATTGAAAACGCGAATACCAACAGAAGCCCTTACAGCTATGATCACAATCCAGAAGAGGAAAAGGCGCGATACTCGGCCAATGTGGATAAGACGATGACGCTCCTGAGGTTCGACCGGGCAACGGACAACAAAACAACGGCCATTTTGACTTTCTTCCCAGTACATGGCACGTCCATGTATAATAACAATACCTTGGTAACTGGTGACAACAAAGGAGTGGCGGCATGGTTGTTTGAAAGAAGTATCCAGGCCAACCAGAAGTTTGCCGATGACTTTGTTGCGGGCTTTTCCCAGTCAAATGTCGGAGATACGAGTCCGAACGTCCTAGGAGCATGGTGCGAAGATGGCTCTGGGCAGCAGTGTCGGTATTCAGACAGCACATGTGGCGGTACAATGGAAAAGTGTCGCGGTCGAGGCCCATACTTCCGCGAAAAGGACAACGGTGCTAAAAGCTGTTTCGAAATTGGGAAGCTTCAGTATGAAGCTGCCAGCAAGCTCTATAACCAGTTAGATTCCAACCCCACTCGGATCCTCAAGAGCTCCGATGTTCACTCCTTCCACGTGTATCAGGATCTCTCCGATTATACTTTCAAGTCCCCGTTCAACTCAAAAACTCTGAAAACATGCTCGGCAGCTCTAGGGTTCTCCTTTGCTGCTGGTACTACCGATGGGCCGGGCATGTTTGATTTCACCCAGAATAGCAGTGGGCCAGCTGATTCCAATCCGCTGTGGTACGTCGCTCGTGCGTTTATCCACCAGCCATCCAAGGAGCAGCAAGCCTGCCAAGCACCGAAGGAAATTCTCTTGGACGTGGGAGCGGTAACGCAGCCGTATCCGTGGACGCCCAATATTGTTGACATTCAGGTTCTTCGCGTCGGACAGCTGTTTATCATTATCTCGACCAGTGAGGCCACTACCATGTCTGGGCGACGCTGGAAAGAGGCTGTTGCAAAATCTGCACAGGATGTGCTTTCGGTGGCGGATCCCTTAGTGGTGCTGGGTGCTCCGTCAAACAGCTACGCCCATTATGTGGCAACAGAGGAAGAGTACCATGTCCAACGTTACGAGGGTGGCTCAACCCTCTACGGTCCCAACACTCTCGCAGCATATGTTAACCTCACTCTAACATATCTTCCATATCTCGGCGACTCCTCTGGCTTGCCGCCGCTCAATTCTAAAGTGAAACCTCCCATCAATACAGACAAGTCTCTGACATTTATCCCCGGCGTGTTGTACGATGGTAGCCCCATCGGGAAAACGTTCGGAAGTGTCATTTCATCTGTGGACAGCTCCACGTACGGCCCTGGTGATATTGTGAATGCCACGTTTGTGGGAGCTAACCCTCGGAACAATTTACGCCACGAATCCACCTTCGCGGCGGTCGAGCGACAGAAACCCGGAACTGACACTTGGGAAGTTGTTCGCACTGACCGGGACTGGAACCTTATTTATAACTGGAAGAGGACGAACACGGTTCTGGGTCACAGCGAAGTTACAATCCAGTGGCAGATAGAGGACGACTATTATAATGTTGGGAACCCAACCTCTCTCAAAGATGGCACTTATCGCCTGCATTATTATGGGGATTTCAAGACCGTCAAGGGCGATATTGGGGCCTTTGAGGGAATAAGTGGCTCTTTCAAAGTTGCCACATAAACTTGCGCGATATATGCTTGAGTTATTGGATCCTGGATTGTGGATTTTGCATGTTCACTCCTTGCTTTTTTGTGCAGGATACAGTCAATTCCTTACCGTTGGATACATCTTAATGGCTAGTTAATCCATCTATACAATATGCCAATATCCAGAGACTTGTTAAGCCCCGCAGGTGTAGTTACTATAATCTACTGTTCTCATATTAATCTTCAGAGAACCTCTGTACTATCCAAGACTTATTAACTGTTACACCCTTTACAAGTTGTTCTGCGGGCGCTAGTGTCCAATAAGTGGGCTGTCCACTCTCGTCGATCTATAAATTTGCGCACTATGTAAATTTGCGCGCTGAATTTGCGATATACTAAATATGGGATGAACCATGCTATTGTTAACCCACTAGTACAGAGGCCTACAACTTTTGACCAAGACCAGTAGCTCGGTGCCATAGTGGCCCCCCCAAGCTAGCCCTTAGCTACATAGCGCTCATTCTCCTATAGTTCCCGTTTAATCCTTCAATTGAATATTTCCGCTCTCGTATATGCTAACTATATTCGAGTAAAATATGCCGAGGACAACTCGAGCAATGAGAAACTTATTTAAACACCACCCCCCAGCGGTTTCTTCCTCATGGTTATCCAGCAATATCCCTTTACACTCATACACTCATTGATGATGCTTCTCTCAAGTCTCTTGCTCCTTACCGGGGCCCAGTCAGCTTTTGCCAAATGCAAATGCGTATGTCATTAAGAATTTCAATCTGATGGGTTCCAATATTCCAAGCGCAATTGAGTTAACGATGATTAGATACCAACAGATGATTGCTGGCCCTCAGTATCCAAGTGGGATGCACTCAACTCCACTGTGGGAGGAAAGCTTATTCACAATCAACCTCTCGCCAAAGCATGCTATCAAGGTCCTGGTTACAGTGCCGAACAGTGTCAAAGCATCGCTGCCGACTGGAACGACAATTCCTGGCTGGCGAATTCTCCAATCGGATATAGCTATCCGCTCGTTGATACTTGTCCCCCGATTAATGCCTCCGTCGCTGCGTACCCACCATGCGAACTGGGAAATTCCCCCCTTTATACCATCAAAGCCAAACAAGCGGATGATGTCGTCGCTGGAATTAAATTCGCGAAGGAGAATGATGTGAGACTGGTGATCAAAAACACTGGACATGATATATCGCAGCGGTTAGGGGGATATCTTTTCACCTTGTTACGAATATTGCATCGCTGATGATGGATTCTGAGTTCAGATCGCAAGGATACGGCAGCTTGTCAATTTGGATTAAGACCATTCGAAATGGCCTTGAATATCATGATAAATATGTTCCTTCCGATGGATCTTGTCAGTCTGATTGGACTGGAAGCGCAATCACTATTTCAGGTGGATATGTGTGGCAGGATGTATACGACTTCGCCGCCCGGTACGGGCACGTTGTTGTTGGTGGAGGTGATCCTGTAAGTCCATCTCACCTAGAGGGGGAGAGGAAAAAAAAGGAAGAAAGGAAAAAGCCAAAAAAAAAAAAAAAAGAAAAAAGGAGAGACAGAGAGTGAGAGCTGACATGATACCAGACTGTCGGTTGTATTGGCGGGTACCTCCAGGGTGGTGGTCATGGCTCTCTAAGTCACGAATTCGGTCTAGCAACAGACCAAGTTCTCGAATACCAAGTTGTCCTTGCCTCGGGAGACATCGTGACAGCGAATGCGTGTCAGAACAGCGATCTCTTCACTGCTCTCCGCGGAGGAGGTGGTGGCACATATGGCGTTGTTTTATCGGCTACGGTCAAAGCATACCCCACGCGTCCAACCCTCTACCACAGCCTGACAATCACAGATCTAAAACGAAACTCATCTGCAATATTGAACGCGACTGCTCATATGATGTCTAAATATCCCGTTATCGTTGATGAAGGGTTTGCCGGTACCGCTATTCTCACACGGGCATATGGACCATGGACATATACGGCTCCTTTCATCAAGTTCCTTGCGAATGACTCTCTTGACGCTATTAACCAGGCCAAGGAGATGATGAATCGGGAGATAGTTAATGACCTGCTTCCTGGCAATGGGACCGAATACCTCGTTGAGTCTCAATGGCAGACCCACCGTTCGTGGGACGCATGGTATTCCTCAACGCACCACACGACTCCTGGAAATAACCAGCCAATCATGGCATCGCGGTTCTTTGATAAGAAGTCTCTGGTTGCTCAGCAGGACAAACTTGCCAAGCTGCTCCAGATTCTGACGACCGATGTTAGTGAAGGGGTCCACACCACGAGTACAGTGGACGTACTCCTGAATATTGTCGCGGGTGGGAAAGTCCTCGAAGATGCACCGCATACTTCTGTTAATCCAGCGTGGAGAAAGACTTATCTTCTGCTTCAAAAAGTTGATTTCTGGCCCGCTAATGCGGGGTCTGAGGAGATGCAAGAAATCAAAAAGCAGCTCACTACCAAGAGGCTGGCGGCCATGAAGAAGTTGGCACCTGGAACGGGCACTTACTTGAACGAGGCCGATCCCTTTGATCCAGAGTGGAAGAAAGACTGGTTCGGGGATAACTATGACTGGCTTGTGTCGGTGAAGAGAAAGTATGACCCTGATCAGGTGTTTTGGTGCTGGCGATGCGTGGGCAATGAGGGCTGGGAGGAGGTAACAGGCGGGGCGCTATTTGGACCTTTATGCCAAGCGGACTAACTTGCATTCAGTGTAATAGTCTTATATTTAATTCATCTTAGGTTCGTCTATCCAGTCTCGCATTTTCCACCTATGAACCTATGAACCTATATATAGTACTTTCTCACCAAGGGTGATCTTCAAATCTAACACGAACCAAGATTCAAATCAAGGTTCATATCTCCATCAAAGGTCACCCCATCGAAGTTCATGATGGAAGACCAGTCAAAAATAAATCCTTCGGCGTCGGAAGGGTTCAATACTGCACCATTGGGCCATAAATCCCTTGATTCCGGTGAAGAATTCTCCGGCATGCCCATGGCCAACCCTTCTGTAGAGGTAACGGACATTATAGATAGGATTTGTCCAGCATTACATTTAGACTTCTTTTTCAAGTTCCTGATGATATCAAGGAATGCCATCATCACCTTAGTGCTAGCTGCATAGACACAGCCACCGGCAAAAGCAGCCTCAATCGATTTCCCGGGAGATGCAACCATCTTTTCGAGTCTTTTCGCACATTTCCCCATCACCTCCATTTGATAGTCGGAGTCTTCCCTCATTTTTCCATCTAGATTCTTGACATGGATGCTATTGTTCTCCACGATGGCTCGGGAAAAGATGATAATGTCAAGAACCATATCTCGGAATGGAGCCTGGAACGGGACACCGCCGAGTTTTAAATCGGTGCATTTGATGAACATTTCCAGGACCGCCAGGAGTCGATCGGGAAATATCTTTCCAAATCGACTAAGAAACGCAAATAACAACTCACTTGTCTTGTCGGAGATGTTGTTCAAGGCGTTGGAGACATGCGCTCCCATTTGAACAGTCTCATGGGGGTATATTTCGGGATCACCTTGCAAGCTACAGTCGAGGGTTCTGGATTTCAATACCAATATATAGAGAAGTGAAATCCCGTATATCCTCACTATAATTGCGTGAAATCGCTGTTCCAGTAAAGAGCGAGCAGCTGATATCTCCTCAGGGGCTCCCGAAGGGCCGGTTTGTGTGAGTGCCCAATCACAGAATTGAATCTGTCTTAGGCACTTTTCTTCGATCTCTTCCACAAGACGATACAGTTTTTCTGGACTGCCCCAGCCCTGCTTCGTGGCTTTCAACGCTTCGAGAAGCATATAGCTTGACGTTGCCCATTGAATTTGGAAAATGACCCTAGGTGAGCAAGATCGATGTTTGACGACATGTCGGTAAGCTTGGATGTGGGGTGCCATGCGATCAAGCACGGTTTGTAGAGAATGAACTGGTTTTGACAATAGCCCATCGAGAAGTAGGTCTTGACTGAGTATTTCCAATCCTTGCAAGGAATCGGCGATTAGATGCTCAAACTCGGTATTGTTCATAGTCGTAATATCGCCAACGAACAAATTGAGTTGCGAAGGCAGTATCTCCAACCGCTCTGCGATCTTGAATGCGATGCCGAGATACAATGTGGACTTGATCGCCTTGTGCGCAGTATGCTGGGATGACACCACTGCTGTCGGCCTGTAATAAGCTAGGAGAAGACAGACGACGACGGAGTCGCGATGTGTGGGAGGGGAGAAGATGAACTCCTGGCCATAGGACGAAATTGAAAGTTGGATATTCCACTTCAAACGTGGATGTTGTGGAACGAATTTGTCCGTCGTATCAAGGGCAATCAAGCAGAGCAATGCGAAAAGCAAATTGGTTGCGGAGCTGGCAAAGTCGGGTCCATCCAACTCTAGACGGTTTCTTATGCTTACCAAACTTGGCAAGTTTGGAAGGAAAAACCGATGCCAGACCAAACTAAGCGCACATCAGAAAAAAGTTGTTCGGAAGTCACAAGAAAAAGGGCATAATCTTACTCATTGTCAAGAGCGGTCGCCATTTCATGGCTCACGAGTTCTGGCAGTGGAGTCGTCCAACCTGAAGTACTCGTAGGAATGGTGGCACCGAAGATGCGGTCTTTGGCCAAGACAGAGGCGAAGAAGTACTGAAACTCAACGGTAGTCTGAAATAGTCTCTGCTCGCCTAGTGCCTTGGTCGTTCCAAGGTCGTCAATCGCCTCTGTGGCTAGATAATCTTTGATCTCCAGCGGGATTATCGAAGGGCTGTCGTCATCTTTTCGCGAATTTGGGGAGAGAGGAGTTGCTCTCTGAAGTCGCTCGCGCTTTAGGGATGGACGGCCCAAGGTGGCACGCTCGACAATGCATTCAAGGTTGAGGCTACGGCAACGTTCACAGGACTTCTCCGGGGATTGCGAAGAGCCTAGCGGGCCAAGCTCGTCGGCATTGGGCAGATTGCATTTGATTTTCCTAGATCTGCACCCGCGACATATCAGACGAGCATATCGACCCCTGGGCCCTCGCTCGGCCCTTGAACTTTGCATGCTTGCTGGGTGCGCGATCGCGATCAGGGAGTTGATATTGGACAACAGTCACATACCACTTCACTGCTAAAGGTGGCGCAGCCTTCAACTCACGAGGTCAGCTTACTCGAAGGATGCGTGTCATCTGATTGGACAGGAGATTGCCGATCAGGCCTGCAGCTCCAGGTCTCGATATGCCTCAGCCCTTAAAATGTTATTATCGTCTGTTAAATTATGGTCTCTCTTTCTATCACCACCTCAAATCTTCAAGTTGGACGTACGAGAGATGGCCTAACTTCTAGGATTTCCTTACTAAAAGGCCCATATCACGATCAGCAGATAACCCCACTCACCAGATTAGTATTAGACGGTAGCACTGAAACCGATCCAACAAGATAGTTCTAATATGGGCAATGTCTTTCATTGATCTATTGGGTTAAAGGAGGAGAGGAGAGAGCAATCAGTCCATTTGACCGACGGAGGAATTCCTCCGCAGTCATCTCTTCTATGTACCTGAAGTGAATTACTTGAGAATCTACTCCAGTTTCATAGTGTATTGTGTGGAGTTGAGATGTACCTATATAGGTTTAATATATGTTTTAAACATCGAGATGACATATCTTCCACAAATCATTAAAACACATCTACATACTTAAACTCAACACAACCTCACATTCTCCGTGGGCAACCCATGCTCTGTAACAACCCTCCACCGCTGCATGTGCCCGTAGGTGAAATTGTGTCGCGCGGCAGTAATCTCTTGCGCCGTAGCGTCGGGGCTCCAGTTTACGCTGGAGAGAGCGTGCATCACCGTGCGGCGCCAGGCAGGGTTGACGGCGTTGTCTGGGTTCCCGGCACGGGAAAGGGTGGGTGCCATGTTGAAGGCGATGTGAGTGAGGCCTGCTTCGGAGGAGGCGCGGATGGCGTCGAAGGTTGCATTTAGGCGGGAGGGATCTTCCCAGTTGGATTTGGGGAAGAGGCGGGAGCCGGTTACTACGTGGGCTTTTTCGACGACTTCGAGCGGGAACGAGGCGTCCCAGGCGGAGTAGAAGTTGTCGAGATATTGGGTCTTTGGGGTGAAGGTTATTCCGAGTTGGTGGAGGCGTTGGAACCAGGGGTTTAGGAGGGCTTGGATCTCCGGGATGGTTTTGTTGGGGGCGAAGAAGGGCTGCATGAGGAAGGTGTATTCGCCTTTGGAGGGGAGGATGAAGAAATATGAGTAGATGCCTGCGTCTGAGTGCTCGATGAAAAGGTCGAGGTATGCGCGGATGCCAGCCCAGAAGCAGCCGTGCGTGATGTTGCTCTTTGGGCCTGTGGTCCAGGTGAAGGTTGAGGTCGTTGCCGGGATGGCTGGGTGTGCTTTGATGGTGACGGAGGTGACGACGCCGAAGGTGCTGCCTCCGCCGCCTCGGAGTGCCCAGAAGAGTTCTGTATTTTCGGTGAAGGAGGCTGTCACGAATCGTTCGTTGGGGAGCACTACTTCCATTGAGAGGACCTGGTCTACAGCCATGTCGTGGATCGAGCTCAACGGGGAGTGTCCGCCCCCAAGGACGTAACCGCCTGCCACCCCAACGGTCTGCCCTTCGCCTCCTACGACCATTAGTTGCCGGTCCGAGCAGCTTTGTAGATCTCGTAAGCTTGGATCCCGGTGCCAATCTTGAAGGCGGCTCCGGTCCAGTCGGCTCCGGAAGCGTTGTAGGAGGGCACATATTGAATCCTCTTTAAGTTATGGGTCCAGATGCTGAGGGCGCCTGCGCCGCCTGATTTCCCGGAGGAGTCATGGCCGGTGTTCTTGACCACAAGGCGCACCCCCGTCTGACGCGCGAAGTTGATGGCCAGCTGGATGTGAGCCACGCTTGACACATTAACCGCGTAGGCGGGATAACCACCAAGAGAGCAAGTAGCATTCGGATTGGTGGTTGGCTGACATGTCAAGCCTTGATAGACAGGTGAGAGCATCTCAATTGGGTCATTGTTACTAAAGTTACGTTAGGTGTTTTTGACTACATGAGATGTGAAAGACCTACTGGAAGTAAGAGTTGGTCTATTACAAAGTCAACCGCTCACAATCCGCCGCATTATATGTAGGGCCATGATAGCAAGATGAAGCCCGAGGAACCGACTTGATGACTGCACCGCCAGTGAATTGGTCGAGAAGGTCCCATGTGCGTAGCCGGGGCCATGCACTATCAGCCGGAAAGACCTTGCAGTTGGATGTCCGATTCATGGCCACGGCGGAATCAGCAAAGCTGAAAAATGCTGCATCAGCCGGGTCTAAATTCTGCAGATCCTGCAATTGCAATTGGTAGCGCTCAAAGCCGAAGGGATGCAGGTCCGCAGTGACGGTAGCAGCCAGAGTAAACAGCACGCTCACCCGCATGATGCCAGGATTATTGAACACTCGGAACCAATCGCCACCCAAGTAGGCTGGTATATTCCCTGTTAAACCTGGACGATGGGGAAGTCCAGGGTTTTTAGACCAACCCTCATTGCAGGGCATTCCAACATGCCACGATGGACTGTCATTAGACGAGTGGACCCGCATCGGGGACTGGATTTAGTGAGTGGGAATAGTATCAAGTCCGGACCAACCATGACCATCCCTCAGATGACGGGATAGAACGCCGACTTTGTTAGTCTCGAGAACCCGTAGCGTCCGAGCCGGATGGCAGCGACATTAAATCTAACCCTTCCATGGCACCAAGTTAAAACCCCACTAAATCCACTTCATGGCCTAGTTTCTCGTTGATTTAATGATTTTAGTACCGTTGCCCAGAGTCTGGGTAAATACATGCTCCAAGGAATTGCTCGCGTGTCCAGGGCCCTCCGAGCAGGATGACTAGCTTAATCCTCTTTCGCTTGGGTATAATGGTTGAATTATTATCTAGTTGAAGCGCTTCTCAGACGTGGATTGTTTTGAGTTGTCGATTTGGTTTTTGACGGCAAGGAGCAATGTTGAGTGCCATGAGCGACGTGCGTCGAAATGCCTGAGAACATTCAAGATGTCGCGCTTGCCATCGTCCTCGTCTTTCCTATCCTAAGAACGCTGGTAGTGGGTTTGCGTTGCTGGTCAAGGCTCCTCGGTAGGCAATTTGGCTGGGGTCAGTCCTGTTCTTTATCCAGCCCGTTGTATAGAGCAATATCTGATGTGGATTTAGATGATGGATTCATTGTGGTGGCCTGGGTAGAGCTAGCCCCTCTGTTGATCTGACCCATTAGCTATTCTAATGCACATACTAGATCCTTGCGATCGGACAGACCTACACAGTATGGATGTGTATGTGTGACATCTTCGAGGATCTCTGCTCAATGGAGGGCTTGCTAATCCCTTTTCTCGATCCAGATACCAAGTTAACTTACTCGCGCTACCACTCAATCGACGTGTCTCCGCTATCCATACAGGAGAAAAATCATTGGACAGAAGTATAACCTCGCAAACCAGTTGCTCTATAATCCAATTCTAGCCATCGTCAAAGCCTCCGTTATCGTGTTTCTTGACCGACGACGCATAGTGCGATGGAACCTTCACGCCCTGTCCGCCGTGAACCTAGGTCTGTTGTTGTCTATTTTCCTATCTGATCTATTCCAATGCAGTCCATTTCGATACGTCTACGATTTTCCCGCCATGGACCTGGCTGCCCAGAAGCCGCTAGAGCCGACACGAAGGCCAGGACAGAAACAGGGTTAGTGAAGGGTAGGCAATGTATCAACCAGATAGCTTTTTTCCTAGGGTCAGCAGGTTTCACCATTGTTACGAACATCTGGCTGTTGTGCATTCCCGCGATAATTGTCTGGCGGCTGCAAATGTCTAAGCGAAAAAAGACGGCTATTATCGGCATTCTCAGTATGGGAATAATGTATGTCTGTATACCATGTAACCGAATGTCTTATTGAAGATCATTGACAGTTAGGGTTCTGCAGAGTCACGGCGCTGAGCATCGCCCGGCTGGTCATTTATGCCCAGCGATTCAGTCCACACAGCAAAGACCGGACTTGCAATATCGGTCATACCGTATCAGGAACGGAAGCCAATTTAGCCATCATAACCGCCTCGGCTACGGCGCTTAACTCATTGGTGGCACGATTCGCGCCGCGGTTCTGGAGGTCGAGCGCGCATCATTCGACCTCCCAGCAGGGGCCCAGCGGGTGGAGAGAAAGATCTACTGCGGCCGGGGGCTCGAGAACGAGAGACATATATCCTCTCAGGGATAGCTCTAGAAGGCAGAAAGGACCTAGCGATAGTCAGGAAGAAATCATGCCTTTTGGTTTGCGCTCAAATGCGCCGCCACATTTCAGTGCTGCATCATCAGGAGCGCCACATTCATAAGGGGGTTTATTCACAATGGCGGAAGGAAATTAAACAGCAAAATGTATTCTTCTATTTCTCATCTAAAATATTGGATAAAATATAAGTAGAGACGTGACGATTTATAGAGGTGTGATCAAATCCAACCCTGATCATACGTGCAAACTACACCCAAGATATTTGTTGTGAATGATAGCCAACGAAGAACAACTCACCTAATCCCGGGCCCAATTTCTCTCACTTATTCTAAAAAGAACCAGGACTGATCCACCTCGTTTCAGAATATGAGGCTTTGAAGTATCAGCGCCAATCATGGCAATAGGCGCCTTTGTGCAGAACCAAGGCTTTGTCGCGCGCCAATTCATCCACTCAAACAACCAACCATCGCGAATCCTCAAGGCCCGCTTGAGACATGCTGCGCTCAAGGAGCTTCAAAGTGATTCTGTTGCCTTGGTTTATGCCATTCATGCCCAGGGGGTCAGGCCCAACAAGTGGTGGCATTGTTTAAAAGTTCTTTCTCTTTCCCGATGCAGAGCTGCATTGTTGAACATTCCTGTCTTCATTATCTGTCATTCTTTCAAGCCATCCATTCGTTAATTCAGCCAAGGTGCGTGATTGTCTGCTCTGAACTGACTCCATCTGATCATCATTTAACCCAGTCAGTTTGATCTGATAATATCCTCTTCGCGTCCCCTCTTTAAATTTTCTGTTTCGGGTACTGTTATATCGTTCAGCTCCTATAATCCACTCGTCAAGATGCACTTCGTATATACAACTTTCGTTATTTATCTAGTTGCCTTACTTTCCTCGGCGGGTCCCATTGCACATTCTCGCTCACTTCACAAAAGGGACGAACCTGAGAACGGACCATTATCTTCATCGGTCACTTCTAGATTTGCTCCATCGACAGCAATTACATCGTCGCACATAGGCGCGAGTGTTTCGCTAACAGCCACTGGACATTCATCCAAAGCAACCGCAATCGACTCCGACTCTCATAGTTCCAGCACCTCTAGCTTCGCCTCTTCTAAGACAGCAGACACATCACATTCAATACACTTACTCACAGAGACATATTCAGAGGCCCATATCATGCTTCCCGACTCCACGACTGACTCAGAGAGTGAGGTATCCGCGCCTACTGTCATGACTATGACAATCACATCAACGGTTATTCCCTCCGACAGATCCACGGGCATTTCCTCGCGAGCACAGTGGCATACATCAGTGTTATCCGGCTTATTTACTTCTGGCTCATCGACTGCGAAGGCTACGGGTCTTACGTCACACCTATCCTCCACGACTCATTCGACTGGCAGTTCTACGAGTATTGCGTGGAAGGTGACCGCTGCATCTCCTCCAGCTGGGTCTTCTAGGGCTAGACAGTCATCGCATCTTCTTGGCGTTACCACAGCAGCAACCAGGCCTATGGGCTCGACAGGCTCATCTGGCCCTACTTCTGGGCAGCCATCACATCCCTCTGATAGTTACATAGCAACTGGGGTTGTAGGATCTACGGGCACACCTAGTCCTACCATTGGCGTGATTGGAACTTTATCTGGAGCCGGGACATCAGGTATATCTACCGGAGTGTATCAAAGCTCAATGGTAATGGCGTCTGCGTCTCACAGTCAAACCAGCACCCATTTGGCCTCAGGCACTGCCAGCAATACCTACACACCCAATCCATGGAACAATGCACAATCCACAGCATCCAGAGCTGCAGCCTCTCACACAGATACATCTTATTCAAAAGCCGACTCAAAGCCTACGACAACTGCATCAATCACACAATCACCTTTTACCGGCGTGCCCACTAACCAGGCTGCTCCTACCCCCCAGATAACAGGAACCTTCGTCTCAGAGCCTGGAATAGTGATAATCATACCGGGGTCATCCACAAGCCAGTTCATAACGATCCCACTCAATCCCAGCGATGGGATCCCCGTTCTCTCAGCATCATCGACATCGACCCAGGCTCACTTCACGCGAGAAACAACCTCTCATTCAATTCCACCTACACAAAATACAGCCCTCACCCATAACCCACAAGGAACAGGCTTGTCTAAGGCGACAACGTCTTTCCATCTCACCAGTACCGGGACCACGAGCGCCACCGTCGGGCTGACAAGAACTAAGCAAACTTCGTCGGCGGTTCCTACTCATTCTGGCTCTTCACCAACTGGCAGTGCGGCCACTCAAGCTCCTGATAAAGGGGGATCATTGGTGGTGAATCCTGTTTCGCCGATGTTTCTCTCTGTGACAGTGACGGAGACGAAGACCCTCACTGAGACGAAAACAGTGGCCACGATGACGATGACTGTCACGGCTACTGTTACTTCTTATTGAGATTCTTTCTTTCTCTCACCATCGCTATCTCTCTTTCATTTCTTGTAAGCATCTATCTAACCGCTGCCATTGTGCACATTTGTATGAACCACACATTCACCACTAAATTATAGTCAAATGCAATCTAAACCTAAACCTCAATCCACTCAAATGTCTACAAATCCCCTCCACCAGTTCAACTCCCCTTAAGATCATATTTTTCCAACGTAGACTCTCGTCCTTAACCAACTCCCAATTCCCCCCTCAGACCTCGACAAAGAATGGAACGCCAGATGATGTTGTTGCTGCCCGGTGGGCATGGCATAATTAATCGATTTGCTGAGTTGGGGTCCACTTTTACTTCGACGGCGCTGAAGGTCGAGAGCCCGAAGTGGGTGAGCCTAACCCTTATGTAGAGGGTCGAAAGTAACCATTCTAAACATTAAACATACTTTATCTACTTGAATGTTCTGATCCATATAATAAAGGACAGTCTTTCTTTTATATTGGAGAATGCAAGGGGGATATCGATGACGCCAACCCAAAAAGAAAATCATATATCAACGCACCAGGACCCTCACCCACAACTCCATCGAGAGTCACCCATACGCCATCCCATGAGTATAATTATATGCATGTATACATATACAAAAAGAAGATTAAACACGGTCATATCATAGTTGCGAGTACATTCCTCCAGCTGCTGCAAACCTCGCTTGATACTCCTTGAGGCTAGCCCACTTGCGTAGTTCCTCTTCATCTCGATCTAAATCGCTCAAATAACTCATCGATCGGCCATGGCCTTGTGGACTGGCTTCAGTCACTCCCGGGACCGGTGCTGTCATTCCCTCCAGGCGCATGAGGGTATCAATAAAGGCATGGAGATAAGATTCCGCTTCAGCCACAGTCAAAGGGTGCGGCCCTGCTGCTAACGTGGTAGAATCAGCGGGTTCCATATTTGGATGAGGAAGGTTGAGAAGGGTAGAGGCGACCTGGCGGACTTTGGTGGTCTGAAAACAGCATTGTTAGTATTGGCTCATGGCTCATGTCAGGTAGAGCGAAAAGAAAACATACAAAGCTAGGTCCGTTAGGCTCCATGTTGACCTCGTTGATGGACCGCAGTAATACAAACATGTCCCGAATCACAAGTCGACGCTCTTCCGCCATGGTAGCACCGATATGGTCTGACTGAGCGTCTGCGTCAGCGCTGACCGCATTGACCGGCTCTCCCTCAACCTTGACCTGCACTGTGCTCTTATGGGCGGCTTGTTCCGTCCGCTTACGGCATGCCTTCCAAGTGGCGTACAGAGCCCAGTACTTTTCTACCAAGTAAGACCGAGTCCCCAGCTGACTGGCGTATATATTCGCCTTTTGAATCTCATATTGAATGAGTCGTCTCTCGTAGAAATCTGGATCCTCTGTGCCGCTCAGGCCCTGGCTCAATGTCGAAGATTGCAGCGAGAGCTCTCTTGGTACATTAACAACTGCAGATTTGACCTTCTGTAAGCTTTCCCAGATAGCCAGCCTTTGCCGTTCCCAGTCAAAGGGCTGGCCACAGCCAAATGCAACTTCCCATGCCGAGACCTGATTATAGGAGTTGTATACACGGACATTAAGGTTAAACCCCACGAGCCGAGACACCTTGTTAGCCGGTTGGAGTTCAACGTGAGTCGGAAAAATAAACTCATCGTCTATCTCAAGGGGTAAGGGAGGGTACCGCTCAGTGTGAGTTTCTGGGGGAATGTGAAAGGTCGAATCGGTTGACCCCATCTGCTGCAACGTTCGGTACCCAGCTAAGACAGTGTAGAACAAGCGCCGCCCGAGTTCCTGTTCGATTATGTCGAGCTGATCACCTCCAGAGCCACCAGGTTGATCCTGGGATAGGAGCGACGAAGAGGAGTTTGGGCTTGTCGGACTCATGGTCCGCATTCGCGTGCTATGGCCACATAAATCGTACACGTGTAACATCGTCAGACATTCCGACAGATACAGGCGACATGTTCGCACATTGTACATATAACCTGAACAGAGAGACAGAAAATAGCTAATAGCGGCATCATAAACAGTAGCGCTGCGATCAAGATATCCAGTGCCTCTGGCTTGGACGGCTACGTCCCGACACCTGCGGACCAGTGCCATAGAGTGCGGGAATGCTGTCTTTTCGATCGAAGTCTTCAGATGAATCTTTGGGCGTCGTGGAAACGAAGTCACCAGTGCTCCGATCATAGAGGCCGCCAGGGCCAGGAAAGTACGATTGGTGATATCCTCTCTTCGTTCAAGCGCAGCGCGAAACGTCGGTTCATGAGGAACGGGTATCAATGGGTGAATGTAGGTGAAGTAATCATCGACCAAAAGCCGCATCGTAGGCAAAGAACAAATCATTTCCAAAGAGAAAGCTGGTGGTGACGGAATAAGTTGGCTGTTCAATAACCCTGTAGATTCTGGCGACGTATGGTCTGACGGGGTAGGGGAGCCAACGGGTGATGCTGTGAGCTTCTGTCGTTTAAGCGCTTCTGCGTGACGGTTGGGGGGACCACGGCGTCTGCTCGGTCTCTCATAGGTACAGGGGATATCCAAGCTTGCGCACGACCGACAGGGCGGCCCGCTTGTATCACACTGATTCGATGCCCGTTAGAAAGGTCTCCTCTAAGTGAGAGAGTGCAAATTGAGATACTCACTTTCACCTTTCGTATACTGCAGGCATCACAAGCCTTGCGCAGCCGGGTTCTCTGGTCCATGGGTATAAAGGCGAGGTAGCGTCCGTTTCCATGCTTGGGTCAAATCCATGAGCCTAAAGCATTGGTGTTTTTGGCCTTTATACCAGTATACCTGTCATGCGCCTTCTCTGGGCGCGGCAGATTGAGATTTGCGATGTCTTGCCTGTAATGATTCTCCAGAGATGATCCCCAGGTTGCAGATTCAGTGATCCCTGACGATCTGCACAGACGTTCTTCGGGTGATGCACAAATTAAGCAGCAGTCGTGCCTTGGTGATTACATAGGGATGATATAACGGATAGACCTTGTAAGCCTCAAAAATGGTCGCTTTCTTTCTAACGATTCTCGGGAATTCCGGGGACTAATAAATGAATCAAGTAGGCGAGTCCCTCACCCATGGCGGTGGAGCCAAGAATGATTCAGAAGTGCTTGGCCCACGCAGATTCCCCCCTAAAGTGGACATAGACCCGGTGCGTTCAAAGCGTTTAAAGGCCACGGCCGATATGAAGGAATCGAGTCCATCCCATTGAAGTTCCGAGTCGGTCACGTGCAGCGCATCATATCCGTAGCCGGCACTTGCTAGAGAACGAATGAGGGATCGAACCACACAATAATTGACTCCAGACTATCCCCACCTTAGGGTTTCTTATCTGCAGGACAAATTAATGGATGGGGTGATTCTGGAGTCAAGTCCGAGCACTGACTGGCTGAATTAATCGAAGGAATGTCAACAGAGTTTACTACCCTGGACTTAGCAGCATTAGCATATACTCAGGGGTTCCAGTCCGCCACTTCTCAGTCACCGAGACCAAGAAAAAAAGGTGGTGGATCACCGGTGGGGACAGAACGCTCCCTAGAAACCCCTCAATCTCGTACTCTAAATGCCAACGAGTACGGAGTACGGAGTATCTAGTCTTGGTAGAGACTATAATAACGACCAGGCTAGATGACAAATACCCAGTCGGTCTTCTATCCGAATCAGGAAAAAGATATATATGGAGGTACGCCCTTGGATGGGACACTCCAAAAAGTCAAGAAAAGAAAAATAACAAGAATAATAATAGAAAAGGAAGGAAAATTTAAACACTTAAGAAAAAGAAAAACAGAAAACTACATCGTCTCTTCGTCATGATAATCGTCCACTTCATCGGACCGTTGCCTCCCTATCAGATTGCGTCTTTTCTCAAGATCCACCGCCCAAAGCGCCGAACCAACGGCTGTCGACATCAGAAAAAACATGGACAAAGGCGGGACCAGCTGAAGGAACATAGCAACCGTTCCAAATCTGAAGTTGCCACGGTTAGCAGACTCGGTGGATCAACAGGAATGAGCACCACTCACGTAGTATACTGCAACTGGCGGCGGCGGATCTTTTCTTTTCTCTGCTGCTTCGAAAGGTCTAACAATTGGAAGTACCGCCAGTGGTAAAACGGACCCGCTCGATAACCAGTGAGGATGAGAAACAGGGGCGTACCGGCCACAGGGATAAAGTTTAGAGGGAGAAGGACAACGAACTCCACGATTTGTCGCAGAGAGAATGGCGCATAGACAGCGCTATGGGTCGGCTTACCCAGCCGTTTGACGACATCGTCACCTTGCGGATATAGGACCCGGGAGGTCGTGACCAGCTCGCCATGGCCCTCGTTCACTAATACGGCATCAAAGATATCCACCAGCGTTTCATCGACAAAGAACGCCTCGAAGAGAACAGCCACAATTGCAGCTCCTTCTTCTAGAACTAGGAACGCCCCATTAATCCAAGCACCAGCACCTTGAAAGATAGAGAGAAAAGCGACCTGGGGCAGGTAGGTAAAGAGGAACAAAAGCACGTAAATGAACGTCGACAGCAGAATAATCGTTATTAAACGAGTCTTGAATAAAGGCCAAAGGAAGCGATGCGATGCGAAATAATAAACACCCTGTATAGACGAGGCGTCAGTATATGAGATTGAGACAGAATACTGAGGAAGTAAGCCTGTAACTGACGCGAAGAGGATACAACCAAGCAGCTCGAGAAGTATCCCACGCCCGGGCCATAGAGACAAGCTAAATCAGAATGCAGGCTAAAACCGTTCACGGTCTGTTCTATTATACTAAGATTAAGCGTATGGTATGTATTGAGTCTGATGACAAACACGATGCTTTGTCGCGAGTAATGATTTCACGAGTATCTTGCGGCCTATGCATGGATGTTTGTATTGTATGTATGTATCCAAGAGCACATGACCCTTATCGATAGCCAGGGCGGTCAGAGCAGTCTCTATAAATTCAAACTTTTCATCCGCTCAGAGATTTCTTCTTTTTTCCTTTTTCCATATATATAAACTGAACGTACCTCCCTATTCACTCTGAGTTTCACAACACCATGGACTCTTGGAGGGGAAATGGGAGGTTAGAGTAATCTAGCTGCCTTACCCCAAATACTTCTTACTTTTGTGGAGCGTTTGGAAATATTATCAGCATACACTCCTAATCTGGACGTCCACAACTTGTAAATGGACCAAATTATAGGACGACACCCAACATCACTTAATAGGATGTAAAATTTCTACTACTAAATTTGTTTACGATCGTCGTCGGCCACAGGCCCGGTGCCACTGCCACTGCCACCCATATCCTTGCCCGGACCGGTCAATCTAAATGACTTTCATGTCCACGTGGAGAGTCCCCTATTATGTCGAACGGATTGGAACTGATCATCCAAAATGTGTTTCCCGCTGTCTTAGCCAGGCACGTACTTTGTAGACCTCTGGCGCGGCTTTGAATTTCTAGGCACCATCGACGCCAACATGGTCCTTGAGTGTTTCTCTGGTGTGACAGTGGGCCCAAACGAAGAATAGACTTGAATACTAAATTAGATAGATGTACCATTGATACGGTGAGAGTCCTTGCGAACTGGTCTAATCCCGGCTCCACGGCTAGGAATGCGACCATGCTGTCATGGGCTACAAGTACTGTAGTTTTTTCATATCACCGTCCTTGACGGATGTCCCCGAATTATGCAAAGCGATAAGGGCATTCGACTTCTTCGGATGGTCTGGTCTCAACGGGCAAACACGCTAGAATATTCGAGGCTGTTCATATCACTCCCCCATATTATTCAGTCACACATACAGTAACTAAGTCACATCTGTGTTGCAATTGACTAAGCACGGACTTTGTCACACTTAATACACTGTTCCAGGTCTCCGGCTATGGATCCAGGCAATAGTGAGGGTTCCGTAAATATTGAAGGCAGCGACAATCATTTGGCCCTTCGTGCACGCTGAGGCAAAAGCTGAGAAGCTCTTGAGCAAAGGATTCCACAGGGTAATTTAAAGACTTAATTAATATCTGGAGCTCGGTTTGAAGATGAAACAGTGTGGACTGCGAAACACGAGTTTCAGTCTCAACCCCACGAAGAATGGGACGAATGAAGGATCATGTCAATCCATGACCCCAACGCCTCCAAAACCAATTTAGTTGTTCTCGGGCTTTATGCCGGTGTCTTGCGAACCAGCAGGGTGCCTCGGTAAAATCTTTCGGAGAAAAAGGAAAAGAGAAAGTGAAAGAGAAAAGGCGCAAACCATAGGGGGAAAATAAAATGACGCACGGAAAGATGCAGTGGAAGTTATCATGCCAATTCCACGGCCATGGAGTTACAGGAAAGACAAGCTCTTCGACTGCTATCCCCTTACCCAAAGTACCTCAGTAAACTACGCAGTAAGGGAGGCGCTAACATTAAGCCCACTCGCACGGTCCAGTCCTCAGCACTATATTCGACGCCAATCAAGTCAAAAGAACAAGAAAGAATCATTAGCGACAAGATATGACTATGCGGACAGATTCGACAGATACCGAGAGAGTTCCTTATTGATGTTATAGTCCATGGTAGATTAATATCCGAATTGATCTTATTCACTCGTTTACACCTCTTCTCTTAGCAATCTGCTATCGAGCCTATATAGTGGCTTCAGATCTGCCTTATTCATGGCGCTACTACTGCTATTTTAGTACCGCTAGGAAGGGATTTCTAGTTTCCAAGTGTTCGCTTAGGTATGGCACGTTTAGTTAGCTAGATGCTTTTCGTGTTAGTACCTCGCAGTACTATTTGGTATTATATGTGGGTGCGTTCCGGATATATATTTTCGTCCAAAATCGAGAGCCTTAACCAACAGTGACCTTCCTCCCAATTATGTACACCATAACCAAGGCGCATGGATATTAGAAAATACAACTTGGTTTCAAAATATCAGGTCCCCAATTCTTCCTACTTCTGGTGTTCTGATATATTAAATGCACAATAGAATAATTAGGTGACACATCCGCAAACCACACCCGAGAGTCGAAAGGCTTGCCACCACAGTAGGGTTATAGTATCCAACCAAATTAGGCTCTAGCTAGTGCCATGAAGATCCTCGGAGTCTTAAGAATACTTCATCACTTGATGATAATGAAAAAAATGAACGAAAGATAAAGCAGAGTCCACAGTCGTGGCACTCGATGTTTCTGGATCTAATGGGATATGCACCGTTTTTCATTACCAATCCAAGATAGCAGAGTAGCGAGCAAAGCTGAAGCAAGAATTCAGGGAGTGGCATCCGATACCCTCAACTGCACTGGCCATACAATGACCGGCCAGATAGGATAAGGTTACTACTGACTCGGCACTTGGGGGCTTGGAAAAGACCCCATAGTGACCCAGAGTGAGGTTGTGGGCTAGGCTAGCAAGGAGGAGTTCGTGTGAATAAGTGGCTGCAAATGTGACAGGCTAGAATTCGAAACCCTAAAGGACTTGAACTTGAAATGGACTGTTAGAATCCACCCGCATAGTGGGGAGATCAATGTCTGGTTTTAATGACTCCTTGAACTTTATTTTTTCATATTCTCGAACGTTCTAATAAAAGTAGAGTTTGATTGAAGGCACGCAGCGAACCCAAAATCCAGATCCTGCAATCGCCTCAAGGTAATCATAAAAAAAAACCCTATACAAGCCTCAAGGTGAAGATGAACCTCGGTCCATTCCCAAAGGAGATACCGGTTCCGAACCCTAAAATGGGTCCTGCAAAAGAAATACCTAATCTCAAACCACACCCCAAGTGGATCAATGTCACATCGCGGCGTTTTTCTAGTAGACATCTACCGAAACTATTGAGCAATAGCCGGTACCTAAAGCCGGATTTCATTCCCTGTTGTAGAGATGGCGGCCGATCTGCGTGGTGGATTTGCGGTTCTCTAGCGTTATGCGCAGAGTTTCTTTTCTTTTTGTTCCTACCATTGAATTGTCGTGGCTTGAATGATGTATGCGAGGGGGTTAGACGTGGTTTCTTGCTATTTTCGGGGACCGTTGCTATATTTTCTGATTGGGGATGACTGGTGAAGTTCAACAAAGCGATTGTATTGATGTTTGGTTCCGACATGGTGGTAGTAGTTGATGGGAGCAATCTCATCACTTGTCCCGGAGCATGGGGCAGCGCTGAGACTGGACATATGTAGTATACATATTATTGATTTCTATAGAATCTATGTAGATAATAGTGTCGTATATTGTACATGAGAACCGAATCTCTGCAGCCTTCGCTGCCACTATTCATATCGGTCAAATAACACACCGGCCAAGATGCAATTATACATGGTAGTCCTACCTTTCGATAAGAGCGAAGAGTCGATCCGCAGCCAAAAACGCCAATAGCAATATATTCACCAGAAAAATAATAAGAATGGTGAGACAAAAAGCGTGCGGATGAGGAAGATGGAGCGGAGAACAAAAAATCACAGGTATCTCTTCTCGTAAATCTCTTCGTAGCACTGGACATGATCACCGACAGCAAAGCCAGTCCAGCCTTCGAAGCCGATACCACACTCCGTATCCTTGCGCATCTCGGTCACGTCCTTCTTGACGTTCTTGAGGGAGTTGATAGAGCCTATAAAGCATAATTAGCATTCAACAAGTAGAAGCGGGAAAGATGTAACCAAGTGGGAGCGACAGCTTACCATCGAATATGGTTTCCTGGCCTCTAATTACTCGCACTTTCCTGGCTTTGTTAATGACCCCATTGCGCACCTTACATCCGGCTATGGCAGTCTTCTCTCTTCCTTTGACCGTGATCTCGAAAACCTGTCCGATCTCCGCTTCTCCTGTGACACGGTGACTCACTGACGGAGGTAGCTGTTCACTTAAGATTGCTTTGACATCATCGATGAGTTTGTAGATTATGTTGTGATTCATAATTCTCACGCCCCGGAGTTCTGCCATACGTGACATGGCAGGGTCGATGGGCATATTGAACGAGATGAGATGACCGCTGGCTGTGGCCGCATGCTCAATATCAAACTCACTGATAGGTCCAACTTCGGAACGGAGCACATTAGCAAAGACTTCATTGTTGCCAATTGCAGTGACCGAGTTCAAGACAGCCTCTGCGGATCCGCCAACATCTGCCTTGATGACAAAATGTACTGGCTTAGGACCAGATGTCTGCTGTGCAGCGCTAGAAGTCTCACTACCCTCAAGTTCTTCTTGTCGACGCCTTTCAACAAGCTCACGTCGAGCCTCATTAATCGCTACAGTATCTTCGCCCAGCTTCTGAGTTTCTGTCTTCTCCAGTCGGTAATCCACAACATCTTTAGCTTGTTGCTCGTCAGCAGCCTCAAGAAGTTCAGCACCAGCGGATGGTTGTTCCCTCCAGCCGTCGATCTCAATTGGCATACCGGGCGTAGCTTCGGAGACTGCGACGCCTGCCTCATTCCTTAGAGTGCGTACACGAGCCCAAGTTGTTCCCGCAACAACGATATCTCCCGGTCGTAGCGTGCCACGTCTGATGAGCACTGTCGCCACACGGCCATAGCTTTTGGTTGTGCCTTCAATCACCCACCCTTCGGCTTTGCCGTGGACGTCCGCTCGGTGGTCGAGAACTTCCGACAGAGTAACAATGGCTTCCTCGAGCTCCAACATACCCTGACCAGTTTTACCACTTACCCCGATCGCCTGGACATCACCGCCATAGTCTTCAACATGTACACCGTGAACGGAAAGATCCTGTTTGACTTTCTCAGCATTGACATTTTCCTTGTCAATCTTACTCATGGCGACAATTATAGGAACTCCGGCTTCGGTAGCGTGCTTGATCGCTTCAATCGTCTGAGGTTTGACGCTATCGTCTGCTGCTACTACAAGGACGATAATATCTGTCACATCTGCACCACGGCGACGCATGTCCAGGAAGGCAGCGTGACCAGGAGTGTCCAAGAATGTGATGGTCTTTCCAGAAGGCATAGCCACAGAGAAAGCACCGATATGCTGCGTAATGCCTCCGTGCTCTGACGCAGCAACCGACGAGTTTCGAAGCCAGTCCAGAATGGTGGTCTTGCCATGATCAACGTGACCCATGATAGTCACCACCGGTGGCCTAGACGGTAGGATGGACTTGTCTTCAGGCTCAGGTGCAGGTGCCAAGTCATCCTCTCCCGCATTTTCGAAAATGGGTTCAAAGTTGTATTCGGTTGCAACAAGACCCGCAGTTTCCGAGTCAAGTACGTGATTGTAGGTGACACCGTCAAAGCCCATATCTTCCATTTGTTGCACAAACTGCGCAGGCCGCACACCGATAACATCGGCAAGATTGCTGACACTGATAAATTCCGGTAGATACAACGGAATTGCGGCTGACTGTATTTCTTTCTCTCGTGCCCTTTCCCTCTTTAGCCGCTTCCGTTCTTCACGGCGACGGCGGCGGTCTTTCTCTTCCTCGTCATCTTCATCAACTTCAGACTCCCGTTCCCTGCGGTTTTCTCGACGCCTCGAAGCTTTTCCGTTCTGAGCCACCCCCTCTTCATCATGTATTTTGAGTACTGACGGATCCCAAGACCATGGGTCTATTGGAGCATCTGCTTTCTTCGGTTTGGGTTTGGACTCTCGAAGACGGCGACGCTCCATTCGTTTTTCCTCGGCTTCCATTTCTGCTCCTTCATTTTTAAGGTCGTACACAAGCCGCACTCCTGCAGAACGTCCCTTTTCTGCCATATGTGTCCTAAGGGCATTATCTCGCGTACTTAACCCTGCAGGGCTATCTTGTTCTCGATTCCAATCAGACAGTACCGACTGACCCAGCCTTCGGATTTTCAGTGTTTCTCCCGAAGCTTCGGCCTTGCGCGGGACCTCCGCTCGTGGTGCCGAGTCCTTGGATGGCCACGATGGCCACGCCAGATCCGGTCGTACAGCTTTGCAGCACGGGCAAGTCTGATGCCTCCCAAAACAGTAATATTGGCAGTCCGGGCAGGTCCAATCCAAGCCACGCAGATGTTTCGGTACTTGCTTATTGTTTACCTCAAACCGCCTATCAGGCTGCAGAGACCGGCTTTCTTGGTCTTCTAAAGGACGTCGTCTGTTATTCCGCCACGGAAGCTTGTTCCCATCCGTACGCGACGCCGCTTTGCGCTGCGAGTCACGGCGTTCTTCTTCCTGCAATCGTCGTTTCTCTTGCTCCTCAGCGGCCTTCTTCGCTAGTAAGGCGTCCCGCATCGCTTGTTCTGCAGGACTGAGACCGGCTGGCTTCTGTGCTTGTTTGGTTCCCCATCGAGCTCCAAATTTGGGCTTTATGGTCGCAACGCCGGGTTCTAATTCTTCGCTGCCTACATTCGGCGGAGAGGAGTCGGACGCGTTTAAGGCTACGAGGGACGAACGGAAGCTCCGCCGGGGACCGTATGGTAGCCTCGGAGAGAATACAGCATCTCTGTGTCTGGCGGCGCAGGTCCAGTCAACACCATGACGGCGGGATAACTATAGACGAACAGAATTAGACAGTTACCCCAAAAATGCGCACACCAATATCCAATAAACATATTAGGGAGATACTTACCTCCAAAGCCGCACGCCGGTGCATAATGAGTGGATTGTCTTGGTTTCCCTCGGGGCAAAATTCCGGCCGGTAAGGGAAAGTCTCTCTCTGTAGCTTTCGTTTCAAACTCCGTAATACCACTTTCCCGCCCGCCCTCACGTGCATCGGCGCCTCCGCCGAATCGGAGGCCCGCATTCCCCATTGCTTTCGCGCCATCATTTATTCTGATAAGCACATCGGGGGTTTTTTATATATTCTACTCCTTCTCTATTCTATTCACATTCTATTCACTGTCATATCTTCTCTTCATCCCCTCCCCTCTTTTTCAGCTGTGTACTCGTTACCTCAGGACAACCGGCGCGCAATTTATCGTCAATATGGAAGAGCGGGCACTCGAGGACTTTGAAAAGAGCGATGGAGCTCTGCGAACCGTCAAGGATTTGGCAGCTGGTGCAGCTGGTGGAATTGCACAGGTTCTCCTTGGTACGTGTCTTCTTGACAGTTCTAAGGGGCTTATATACCAATCTTGATTGCAGTCTCGTTTTGTTACATGTAAAACCATAGTTTTTGTAGTTTCATGAGAACATGTATAATTCACTCAGTGTGCTGTTCTTCCCTCTTTGTTCTATCTTTTTTTTCCTTTCCTTTTTTGGCGTGAAACTGGGCCAACTGCGGATTCACTAATATTTGTATAGGTCAACCCTTCGGTATGTACTACAGCCGTGAGCTAGTGGATCAATCTAATGCTCGCAGATATTGTCAAGGTGCGGTTGCAAACAACCACTCAATATGCCAATGCTCTTGAGTGTGCGACCAAGATTCTTAAGGATGAAGGCCCTACCGCTTTCTACAAGGGAACTTTGACTCCCCTGATTGGAATTGGTGCCTGTGTAAGTACCGCGATAACCACCTCCTTAGTAGAAACTTGTTTTCTTCAATCTGTCTCTGGAGAATGGTTGCTAACTTCAAATAGGTTAGCGTGCAATTTGGTGCTTTTCATGAAGCCCGGAGGCGCTTGGAAGAATTGAACAAGAAGAAATATGCCGACAGTACCCTTTCGTACGGGCAGTACTACATGGCTGGCGGTTTCGCAGGTCTCACCAACTCCGTTCTGTCTGGTCCCATTGAACATATCCGTATTCGCATGCAGACCCAGCCACACGGCGCGAACCGGTTGTACAGCGGACCCCTCGACTGTATTCGTAAGCTCTCCGCTCAGGGAGGCGTGCTTCGGGGTCTTTACCGTGGCCAGAGTGTAACCTATCTGCGTGAGATTCAGGCCTATGGTATGTGGTTCTTGACTTTTGAGTTCCTGATGAACCAGGATGCCAAGCGTAACAACATCAAGCGCGAGGATATTTCCAGTCTTAAGGTCGCCACCTACGGTGGACTGGCTGGTGAAGCACTCTGGTTGAGCAGCTACCCGTTTGATGTGATCAAGAGTAAGATGCAGTGCGATGGCTTCGGCGCACAGCAACAGTTCAAGAGCATGACGGACTGCTTCAAGAAGACCTATGCTGCTGAGGGACTCGCTGGTTTCTGGAAGGGTCTCGGCCCGACTCTGCTGAGAGCTATGCCTGTGTCGGCTGGTACTTTTGTTGTGTAAGCTCGACCCCTTTCCCATATGGTGCTAGGAATTCCTCGTGTGGCAGATGCTAACAACTAGGCTTTAGCGTCGAACTTGCCATGAAGGCTTTGAACTAGACTGCCCATGTCAAAACTTACCCTATTGCCCATTCACAATTATCCTTATTTTCTACCACGAACTATTGATATCCATTTCTCATTCATATTCAACAATGAGGGAAAAGTTATTTAGACTTCCTTTTTTAACATGCACAGTTTGGGATGGCTTATTCTTGGGTCATTTTTCCGGGTTTTGTATTCAGGTGATAGATAGCTAAACTCTTTTGGGTATGATGTCCTCACGGCTTTCTTTTATTCCTTTTCCTTCATACCGGATCAGCACTTGTGCACGGCAATTTTGTTCTACTTGATAACGACTCGAAAATTATTCACTCTCTCACGAAGTTCAATGCATTATAAGTTCGTAGAATTTCTTAGCCAAAGGTTGGAGCCGTATAGCCATTGGGCCAAGTGTAGCACACGCTTAGCATGAAAAGATTCCGTGCAGGCGATTAACGGCAGATAGTGTGTGTATTATATGATTTTCCATTTCAGATCTACGATGTATGGGGGTACTCGAAGATCCAAACGGGTATAGCGCTGTTCTCTACACTTGCCTCAGGCACTGATTCGCCAAGCCCGACATCAAAAGTTCGAGCGGAAAGATAACCCAGCAAGTTATTGCTGGTGGAATCGGCTATACAATCCAGCACAACACAATATGATTGCCAGGCAACTGTGTATGCGGCAAAGTAAGTTTCAATATTAATTGCGATGCTGTCAATGCTTTATGGAGAAGAGCCTCCACTAATTACTCATCGGTCCAGGCCGCCAACTTGGTGCCTTCAACCGCCAGGCTCGGACTCTGAACTCGCTCAATCGTTTCTTCTCAACTGAGCCACCCATCGACACCACAGTGCAAACCCGTATCCAAGAGCGTGCTGCCGAAATCGAGGCTCGCTATCAGAATGATGTCTTTCCCGAGAGAGTCTCAAGGAGGCGCGCCGCCCAGATGGCCTGGAAGGCGCAGGATGAGCGAAGTAAGCCTTCGCAATTTTACATCTTCCAAGACCAAAAGTCGTTCAAATGCATAGACTGACTTTTGCACTTTTCTTCCATAGGATACGAATTCCACAGTCTCGGTAGCACCGTGACAGACGCGTACAAACCAGAGGACATCATTCGGAATCCTCCCAGACCCTCAGACGTTTCCCTGGAACTCCTCCTCGCATCTCAGACACACCTCGGTCACTCGACATCCCGCTGGAACCCACAGAACTCACGCTATATCTTCGGTATCCGAGACGGCATTCACATCATCTCCCTGGACGTGACCGCGGCGTACCTGCGCCGTGCGGCGAAGGTAGTTGAGGAGGTCGCGGCCCGGGGTGGATTGATCCTCTTCGTCGGTACACGGAAGGGCCAAAAGAGATACGTGGTCCGCGCTGCAGAGTTGGCCAAGGGCTACCACATCTTCGAGCGATGGATTCCCGGCAGCTTGACCAACGGGCAACAGATACTGGGTCACTGCGAGGCCAAGGTCGTGAATTGCGTGGATGAAGAGATCCCCAAATTCGCAGAGAGCTTGAAGGAGCGCTCGGTCATCAAGCCCGACCTAGTGGTCTGCCTGAACCCTATCGAGAACGTCGTCTTGCTCCACGAATGTGGTCTCAACAACGTCCCTACCATCGGTGTCATCGATACGGATGCCGATCCTACTCGCGTTACATACCCTATTCCTGCGAACGACGACAGTATGCGCGCCATTGGAGTCATTGCAGGTGTCCTGGGACGGGCAGGTCAAGCCGGTCAAGAAAGGAGATTGGAGAACGCCAAGAACGGAATCTTAATGTACGAACCCATCAAGGTTAAAGACCTCCTCTCCCCGGAGGAGCTCGCCGAACTCGAGGAACGCGAGAAGAACAATGCTGCGGCCACAACCGCCGACATGGCCGAAATTGCCAACCAGCTGGACGAGGCCGCTAAGATCATCGCGGCCAACAACGTCGAGACACCCAAGGAAACCGAGCGGCCTACTAAAGCCGCCGAACCTCAAGCCGAACAGCCCAGCACTCAGGCCCAGACCCCAGAATCTCTCGCTAAAGATCAGTAATGAAGAGCAGTCGTTGGAGCTGCTCTCTTCTTCCTGTCTTGTTTTTTAAACCTTATATCTGCTTACGTGTGAGCCTTGAAGCAACTTATGGGACTGTAACTGTATAGAACATTGTAAATTCTTTTTTTTTCTCTCTCTCTCTGTCGCCTGGTGTTATAACAACATTGTATTAACAATATGATGCATTTCCCCCTTTTCTCTATCATAGGGTTATAACTATCTAGGATTTTTGTCTCCTGCACATCATCAATACCAGAACTCATATAAGTAAACAAAATGGAATCAACGAATGTAATAATCCCCTACACTTTAAGCGCTCCTTGTAACCCGACGTGAATTAGTAGTAGTAGTAAGTAGTAGGTATTATTATGTATTTATCGTATAGAGAGAGGTAGGGATAGATATAAAACCTAAAAAAAGACCTCGTCCCAGGAAAGGCTCGAACTTTCAACCTCCTGATTAACAGTCAGACGCGCTAACCAATTGCGCCACTGAGACGACATTATGACATGCCGGCCATTTATTAAATATATATTCCAGGCCAACATTCTATGACCTATTGCTCAATTAATACAGGTAAACCCAATGAAGATAGGAGTATTGCCAATTAAGAGAAATCCTGGGCGGAAGATAAAAATAGCGAGCCATTAGGCCTCAGTGCATTTGTCACTCATATTCTGTAGAACCCCGCTTAAATGAGACCATCCTAGGCTTCGGTTGGGTGAAGGGAGAAATTTGGGGTCAAGGCCCAATCCGGAATCGCACGGGATATCGATTGGAATATTCTATTGGTGGTTTATTATTCTTCGGGTGAATGAGGTGACAGTTGCATGGAGACTCAGGAGCGAATTGGTGTTCCCTTGTGCGCAGGGTCGGTGTCTGCCCTTATAGAGAGTGTGTAAATGGAATGAGGTTTAACGACCTAATAGTCTGGAATTACTAAATAAGTGAAATGGGTCTACTTTGTGGGGAAATACTAATATCCACTTCTATTCGAGCAGACAATAGTCTAACTGAAGGTAGCAATCCCCAAATTATGGTGGAAGAAAAGGCCAGTAAATCACACGTCTCATCGTAACGGGGCTAAAAAGCCCAGATGCAGTAACAAATAGAAAAGAAAAGAAATATATATTCCCATAACATGTCCATGTGAAGCAAGGCAGAGTAAAGAAAAAAGCGCAAAGATGATTATGCGAACCCGGCCAGCCGAACGAGGAAGAAGTCGAAAGGTGCTAGTTCACATATCGTGAAAACGGATCATTGTAGGACAGGAGTGAGGTCGGAAGAATGACAAGATTTACCGCTTGTTGAAAAAGTTGCCAAGTTGGTCCATCATACCATTACCGGACTGGCCCTGGCCCTGGCCCTGCTGGGAGCCACCATAGCCACCGCCGTAGTTGCTGCCGTACTCGGGAGGGCCTTGCTCGTGCTCCTTCTTCTCCTGGTGCTTCTTGTAGCCGTCCTGGATGATGTGGCCCATGATTGCTCCTCCGACTGCTCCAAGGAATCCGTGTTCAGCCTTGTGACCGGCAAAGCCGCCTGCCAGGCCACCGGCAAGGGCACCGCCGAGGCCACGTTCACCGTCCTGAGCACCGCCGGGTGCCTGACCATCGGATCTGTAAAAGGCGACATTAGTCGACTGTTCTAAGACTGAACTGGTATGTGATAATGGATTAACATACCCCTGTCCGTAAGATTCCTGGCCATATCCCTGCTGCTGTCCATACTGTTGCTGCTGGCCATAGGACTGCTGGTGCTGGGGCTGCTGTCCGCCGTAGTAGTCGTTGGCAGCACCGGAGCTACCGCTACGGTTGTATCCCTGGTCATATCCAGAGGACTGTCCGTAGCTCTGCTGGTAGCCACCCTGAGGGGGGTAACCACCCTGGTTGTATTGGCCTTGGCCTTGGCCGTAGTAGCCGCCCTGTTGGTTGTTGTACTGATCGTAGCCAGACATGATGGTGTTGTAGATGTGGTTGGTGTTGGAAGGTGGGGGATGAAGTGATGGAGTGATATCGAAGTTGAGTGATGGTTGAGTATGATGAAATAAAAAAAAGGGGGGGGAGTCGAAGGACCTTTTATAAGTCGATGGGGTTGGCCACTTAATAGGGTGATCTTGCACAGGGCTGAGTTGATGACAAGGACCCCACCATCGCCCAAGGCAAATCTTCCCCGTGTGCCAAGCCCCATAATACCGTCCTCGGTACGAGTACGGTCATCGTCACTTTGTGGCAGTGGCGTCTGTCAGTCTCTCCATAGTTAAGTTCACTTGATGCAGCGCTCCACTTCCTCTCATTCACTAGTAGTACAGGCTTCCATACTGATTTGCATTAAGCGCGGAGTGGCTGTGTCACTGGTGGCCATGTGTATCCCGTGCTTACAGGGCTGAGTAGCAAAGAATTCGGATCAATTGGATCGGTACTGTTATTACCATCTACAAGTTATGCCCCCGCTTAACCATTCAGGAGATCGTCATGATGTTACCTCCATCGGGTAACTTTGAGAAAATTCCATTGTACCCCTCATGTCAACTTGGGCTGGTTGCCTACTCTCTTGGCTGAGAAATCAGAATCCCTCTTTGGGTTTAGTGGGGCAAACCTGACACTAATGCATGTTTGTTGACATTTCACTGGTGATATTGATCCCACATACTCGACTGGGCACTACTAATTATGATTCCTATCTATCCCCGCCATACATAACAGTGGCACCCCACACAGCCACCAATGCGGCTGTGCCCTATCAACCTCATGACGTCAGTTTGTTTTAAATTAACTGCAGGATTTCAGCAGACTAGGATAACGCTATAATGATCTTTCAATGATTGAAGCATGAACGAAAGCTTCTATTCTCGGATTCCCGGGATCTCGTCTATCAAAAACAAACTCGTGCTCCGGGCGTGCCGAACCACCGGTACAATTCGGGTGTACATACACTTCGTACAGTACAATACCAGGTGACACGGTAATACCGATGATAGCAGGCAGCCATATTTTTTTTTGCCCTTTTTATGAAACGATCATGGTTACCGACTTCGGCATGAGGACGTACTCCGGGGCTCGAGTGGAGAGGATCTAATCTACCTGAGGGCTAATGAGAACTATAATTGGATACGGTAAGCGTTACTCTATCTCGCTTCGGCCCTGAGCAAAGAACACCCTGCAAGTACAGCCTCGTCGTGTTCATCCCCTGAGATCTAGACTCTCGGTTGCTTCCGGACTTAGCCACCGTTCCTGATGCTCAAAAAGCCGCTAGCTACGTATGGAAGCCTGTATGGTGGCTTGGAACTGTCGAATCATTCCAGAAAAGGGGTCAAGTTTCGTCATCGGCACCAGCTCTCAGCTGTCCCCGGTTGATGGTTTGAGGCTGAGAAGCCCCATTGTTTGTCAACATCTCCTTTCCGGCTGTGTTGATGGCTGGGTGTATACACGCATGTCATGCACGCGCATCATCATATAACATTAGGCAGCATCCGATCATGCGTTGTGTCCTATGTTTATCAAGAACAGATGACAACCTTATGGATAAACCGGCATATCCCTCACATCACGCCTTTAAGCAGTTGAGGCCTGTATTGCTATTTCTGCAAACCTTTCTACCCTTTATTCTCAATCCAGCAAGCTACATACCCGGCGAATAGCTGTCTGAAGATAAGGTTGCGCCCACTCCCTTCTCCCTTTAATATATAATTAACCCAACTTGGCCCTGTAACTGGCATTTACTGTGCTATACATACTTTGCGGCTAGTATCAGTGGCAAAGGGCGTGGGTACCAACCAAGCCCCCGTAGGCTTTTGATGAATCGCCACAGACTTGAGCAGTGATGGGTATCTAGTATGAGGCTTGAACGATGGTCAAAAGCAATGTCAAAGGTGAGATAATCTGGACATATGAGATAGAGCCCCCGACAGCGAAACTTCACACATTGTACTGTATAACATTGTCTATTGCCATAGCTCTCCAACAATCAAGGACCCATTATGGGGAGAGCCCTACAAACTAGTCAGATCGATTATAATTGATTAGAGACAATCCCAAGAACCCACCCTGCTCAAAATTGAGGGTTCAATATGCGGGGGATAGAGTCTATTTTATACCAAAATCTTGTAGCCTGTTCTTTTTCCCCTTTTTTTGTCAACCCCTACACAGTTCTTTCTTTGCATCGTCCCACTACTACGTTAGGTCCAAGCTTCCCACTATTACAAGATCTACATCGCGCACGCGCAAACTGCGGGTCACCAGAACAGCAAGCAAGGCAAAAGGAACCACAGAGAATTTCCCGCAACCACAACGGCAGCTCCCTCCATGACTCGAAACACAGTTCAAAAAACGAAACCAACCTACTCCGTAATCCAGAGCAAAAGAAAACCCTCAACGCAAAAATAAGACGTCTGAAAAAGCCCTCATCATGTGACTCCCCTCCTGCATGACTGAACAACCACGCCTCCCAGAACGATATTGGCTGAGCTTGTGGAAGGTCATACTGAGATGGGAGGTCGATCTAATATTTACTTTTTGCGGGTCGCGCCTGACCTCCTAGCAAACTGCTAGTTGCGATGTTCATGGCGAATGGGTCTTCCGGCTAGCTTTGGGATATTTTGCTTTGTATCCACTGGATTGGATATAATATTGTTCACCTTAGGCAGATGACCGGATCATCACCCTTGCGCGCCGAATGATGTAGTGCTGTGCAGATAATGGGCGGCATGGCATATTGATATGGTTTCTTTTTATTTTTCTTTTTCTTTTTTTTTTTTTTAAATGCGACTGCCTTTATAAAGAAAGAATTTTTAAAGGTGTCAATGTCCTTCTTGAGGGTTATCTCCCGTACTTATTTTTTTTCCTTTGCATCATTTCTTTTCTTGAAACTTGTGGGATAGATCAGCCGAGCACCATGGCGAATACATTGTACTTCCTTCTCCATATTTTCCTGCTCTCATCTTTGCAAAGCGTGGCTTATGCCTCATACCCCCCGACAGTATACCTCGTCCGTCACGGCGAGAAATCAGGCGATCCATTAGACAGCGGACTGAACTCCGATGGCTTCAAACGGGCGGATTGCATCCGGACTGTGTTCGGGGCCGACTCATCCTACGATATTGGATACATCATGGCACCCCATATCAACAAAAGTAAGACAGCCCACCCCTCACCAGTCACCGCTTTTTCCATCAGAGCAAGAATAAAAACTAACAGATCAATAAAGAGGGCCAACACCGACGCTCCTACGAGACCGTTCTCCCACTAGCTACAGACCTCGGTCTAACTGTTGACACATCCTGCAAGCGAAATAAAGTCCACTGCGTCGCGGAGAAGATCAACGATTATGATGGGCCGGGGAATATCTTGATTGCCTGGCGGCATGGGAAAATGAAGCAATTGGTCCAGGCGTTAGGGTACGATGATCCGCCTGAGTATCCCGAGGATAGGTAGGTTGATTTTCATTTTTATCGCGGGGGTTTTCATTGTTTTGGGGAAGCTAGAATGAGCAATTGGTGTTATGTCGAGATTTCTTGGACTGACTGGTTTTCGTTCACTCAGGTTTGATTTAGCATGGACTATTCCTTTCCCGTATGGGAATATCACCGAGATTTGGAGCGAGCAGTGTCCGGGGTTAGATGTACCCGAGACCTTGACGGTTCAGACTTGATGTTCTCGTTGCGCTTTGGATGCGCATTTTATGTTATGTGAGAGTGGAAGTCTTAGGTTATCTTTGACACATGGCTGGCTTCAGATTTGGAGGTAGCACAGAGGCGCGTACCGGTACATACAGGACATACAAAATACCTTGCCTGAATCCACGCCATCACGCTCATTCATTAGTCAAGAGACAGAGAGAATGATCCATATAGCAGGGCATTTCTGTTTCGGTGTTTGCAGATGCATCCATCAAATTGGGTTAGTAATTCTGGCGGGATGTCTGGTCTTGTCTTTGACATGGTATGATTCAACGAGGCATAATTATAGTGTCTACTCACTCTCTGTCACCCCTTTAGAAGGGGAAAGGTGGATCAATAGAGGATCCAATTCCAGTTTATTGTTGGATAGATATGTGTAAAAAAAACATTCCAGTACATTGTTAGTCAATTCGAAGTTAGCATTTCCGATTGGCGGAGACCTGATCAGTAAGCAATCCCACACCAGCAGGCGGTGAACGACCAGCAAACCGAGCGGAGAAAAAGAATGCCAAGATTTCGAACCGCCCACCCAATTTTTTCGAAGAGCGTCGCGTCCATACTTAGAGAAGAAAAAAAAAACCGCTCAACATCCAGGTGTCAAGCACCAATCCTATAAATATCCTAGGACGGAGCTGCTCTAAGTCCTCCGAGTCAAAGGAAAATATGGATGATATCGAGGTATGTGGGCATGCTTCCCTTGTTCGTCTGTGATTTCTGCTCTGCTGTGCTGCACTCCGGGTCCCAGAATGAAAATTGACGATCGGGAAATTTTTGCGTCCTACAGGAACGGTTGCGAAGCCATGCCCAGGCGTTCGATGGCCTGCTGTCGTTGATTCCGGCAAAATATTATTATGGGGAGGATGGTAGTGTACGTGAATCTTTTTTACTGCCTGCCGTCTTGCTTTGATGCCTTTTGTCCCCCGTTTTCCCCCACGGTCTCCCAGCTTGTTCTGCGCCAGGCTTGGCTGACCACCCATATCCTCGATAGGACCAATGGAAACGCAAGAAGCAGACGAAGGAGGAAGCTCGTGAGGCGAAACGGGCGAAATTGGATCCTGATGCCGCGAAGACTGCCAAGGACGTGATGGAAGAGAACGCCCGGAAACGTAAGCGTCAAGAAGGACAAACCGAAAGTGCGTCGTCTGAGGATGAAGAGATGGGCTCCGAACTCCCCAAAGAAGGTCTGAAGCGGGCCGATGCTACGACAAAGAAGCAGAAGCAATCTGAAGATTCGGCCAAGTCGGAAGAAGCAGAAGTCCGTAAGAAACTGAAGGAGGAGAAAAAGGCACAGAAGAAGGAGCAACAAAAAGAGAAGAGAAAGGTCAAAGAAGCCATTAAGAAGGAAAAGCTAAAGGAGCAACAAGATAAAGAGGTTAAAATCCCCGCGGCTGATAATATGGAGAAGCCAGAGTATAAGCCTGCAATTGATATGAAAAAGGAGCAAGAACAATCACCTGCAAAGGATGGTGATGGCGATGACGAGGTTGATGGAGAAGATGCCGACGGCCTCTCACTCGAGTTCAACCCAGAGTCAACAGAACAGTCTTCCACGTCTTCCACTCCCAACTCCCCAGGCTTTGATGCTTCTGCCCTTCAATCGGGCAGTTCTTCAATATCTTCCATTGTTCCACCTTCTGCTCCTAACGATTCTTCTAAGAACTCATCCGAAGCAAAGCCTCTCAAACCCACACCCGAAGAAATGAAACAACGACTACAAAAGCGTCTGGACGAGCTCCGCGCAGCTCGTCATGCAGACGGCTTGAACGGCAGACCCGCAAGAAACCGCCAAGAGCTGATCGAGGCCCGCAGACAAAAGGCAGAACAACGCAAGGCACACAAGAAAGAACTACGACAGAAGGCCAAGGAGGAAGAGCAACGGTTGAAGGACGAAGCATTGGCCCGTCGCTTTTCTCCCGGTGGCTCAGGCTCTCTCCTCGCGTCACCGCGCTCCCCAGCTGACTCGGTGGGTTCCAGCGCCGCCAACTACTCTTTCGGTCGTGTCATCTTCGCAGATGGCCAAGCTGCCGATCCCAGCCTGCAGAACGTGCGTGATCAGCCCAAGCGTCACGGTGCTCAGGACCCCGCTTCGGCCCTGAAAGCCGCCGAAGCCAAGAAGGCCCGACTACAAGGCATGGACGATGAAAAGCGGGCCGAGATCGAAGAGAAAGATATGTGGTTGAACGCCAAGAAGCGTGCTCACGGTGAACGAGTGCGTGACGACACTTCACTCCTCAAGAAGGCCCTCAAGCGCAAGGAATCCGCCAAGAAGAAGTCCGAGCGTGAATGGAAAGAGCGCTTAGATACCGTCCGGAAGGGCAAGGAAATGAAACAACAGAAGCGCGAGGACAACCTCCGTAAACGCCGTGAAGAAAAAGGCAACAAAGGCAAGAAGTCTACTGCCGGAGGCAAAAAGAAAGCTAGACCCGGTTTTGAGGGAAGCTTCAAGGGAAAATCCGGTGGGAAGAAATGAACAGTGACTAGTATGTAATACCAACTTATGTACCCAAAACCAAGAGACGAGCATTCGCTCCGCGCGAACAAAAGCAGCCAATGGTAAAAGTAAATTTGAGGAATGTGGGAACTGGTGTTTGGGCTTCTTTAGGGGGATATCTTGTTTTTTTGTGCATATGTGCATAGGTAGCGATTTACCTGTTGATATTGATAAATTTCAAAGGGGTTCTCTTGGTTCCATCCCCTTTTGTTTTGTTGGGGTCAGTAGAGATTGGAAACAAAAAAGAAAAAGAGAAAAGGCACTCTTAGATTTATTCCCTAACAAAACAGTGTAGAAGATAACAAACCATGCGGGATTTCCCTCCAACATCAAGACAATAAAAAGACATAAAAAAGACAGCCGGAATTCTAGTGACTGGGATCCCTTGTGAACCCGACTAGTACATCTGGTAATAAAGCAGGCTAAGTGTTAGATATGTACAAAGTGGGAAGATGAGGGTGTCCACCCTTGGATATCCTCTGGAGAAAGGCTTTTCTTTTCCTCCTAAGAATTTTTGATATTTCTGTTTTTCGAACCCATGTTCTAAAGTGGATTGAATTTACGTGACATGGCACTTGGTTTGAGAGTGCCCCTGGTGATAGTAGAGTAGCTGAGACTGCTTTAGCGGTAGGGAGCGTCGGCTCTGGCAGCGGCAGCAATTTCAGGCTCCCACTTATCACCGTTGGCCAGGAGCTTCTCCTTGTTATACAGAAGCTCCTCACGGGTCTCAGTGGCATACTCAGCATTGGCAGCTGTATCGCAAAAATGTCAGTTTCCAGTTTCACCATGTACACTCTTAGGATGGCCTGTGCTTACTCTCAACGATGGCATCAACGGGGCAGCTCTCCTGGCAGTAGCCACAGTAGATGCACTTGGTCATATCAATATCATAACGGGTCGTCCGACGGCTTCCGTCCTCACGTTCCTCGGCTTCGATGGTGATGGCCTGAGCAGGGCAGATAGCTTCGCAAAGCTTGCAAGCGATACACCGTTCCTCACCGGTCGGGTAGCGGCGCAGGGCGTGTTCACCACGGAATCGAGGAGAGATGGGACCTTTTTCGAAGGGGTAGAAGATGGTGTATCTGAATTATGATATCACATCAGTCTAGCTGCTCGATCCATCGCAAAACAACCCATTCCAATATGCCCTAGCACTTATTCAAAACACATAGCAAGAATGTATGTACGACCGGTGAGATCCCCAATTGATCCTAGAAATGATACGCGAGAGAGGACGACTTACGGTGGTCTGAAGAACTGCTCCAACACCACGTACATGCCGCGGAAAATCTCAGACATGAGGAAGTATTTGCTGGCCTTGTCTAAGGAGGACTCGGTACCTTCGTCCCATCGCTTGGGGGGAGCCAGGCGGAATCCGGATGGAGGGGGCCCAGCTGGGGTGGCAGCCCGGCACACGGAAGAAGAGAAGTTTGCGGTTGAACCCAAGGGACGGAAGGACGAGGTCAACAGAGAGGGCGTAGGCCGGCGGTAGGCGACCAGCCTCGCGACCGACGTTGTGGAGGCCATCGCGGGGGATGAGATAGCGGACTGGAGAAGGGGAGGAGAGTGGTGAGGGGAATCAATTGGGGGGTTTCAAAGTGGGAACAGGACAACTGGGAGAGGTTCACGAAAGTCGCTTTTGGTGGTTTGCCGGCGGCTTAGGTCATTTCTTTCTGCCGCCCCGTGATTGGCCGGCCGCAGGATTTTGCTTCCCCCGAGCCGCAACGCCAGAGCAGAACTTCAGAAGTCATCTTTCCTTTCTCTTGCTATCCTCGACCTTACTTTACTCCTTCCACCCCCCTCTCTTCACCCCCCCCACTTCCTTCTCTTCTTCGAATCTCAGGCAACTGCGCCTTTTGATATCTCCCTTCAACCCTGACGATGTTCCGTTCTGCTATTGTCCGCTCTTTGAGGGCTCCCATGCCTCGTGCCGTCAGGGCCCCGGTTACCTCCCAGATCCGCAGCGCTCCTGCCGCTCAATTCGCCTCTCGCTTTGCCTACCAGGGTATCCGTCTCTACTCCGCCCCTGCCGGTCTTAACAAGGAGGAAGCCGAGGGTCGGATAGTCAACCTCTTGAAGAATTTTGACAAGGTACGTCAGGTTACTTTCCCGCCTCGGGAACCGAGGACAATCCAACAATTCTCTCCGGCGAAGATTCAACAATTTGCTAATACAATCACTACCTTCCAGGTTTCCGACGCCAGCAAGGTTAGTAAATATACGTGGTCTCCAGGCGCTCGATGGCGCCGGTCCGTACCCGCACGCAGAATGGTGAACTAAGGGATTTGCAATCAGATCAACGGCTCTTCTCACTTCGCAAACGACCTTGGACTTGATAGCTTGGATACCGTTGAGGTTGTGATGGCCATTGAGGAGGTATGATTCCAGGAAGCCTATAAAACTGCAGTTTTGGTCTAGATACTGATGTTTCCCTCAACAGGAGTTCAGCATTGAGATCCCCGACAAGGATGCCGATGCCATCCACAGTGGTAAGTGGTACCAGAATGAATTCCTTTCAAGGGTAGAACGTGATGGCAGTTCATATACTCATCATTTGATATAGTTGACAAGGCTGTTGAGTACATCCTCAGCCAGCCCGATGGTAAGTCCTGCTTGGACCGTCTTTTGATGATGCAATTCACGCATGACTAACTGACGTCCAGCCCACTAAATATGTAATACGAAGATCTGAATGATTTTGCGGATTTGATAGAAAGGAAGGGGATGGGGGCTTGCATCTACATGGGGTCTCAGCGTGGTCACGCTACATGTATGTTGATACATGCCGGTTCTTTTTCACCCTACTATATCGTGTATATCATCTTGAATGCAGTTTGATTGATCTTTTTTTGTGTGTGTGTGTGATTGGAAGTAAGAGGTTTTGGTCATGCGCCGATATAGGTTGAGGTCTTCCTCTTGATATCCGACTGGCTGTAGTAGTACGTAAGATGGGAGTGATCTACGACCGTGGAATGCATTGAAATTAGCATAATATATAGATGTGGAACCTGATCCCGTGTAGGATGACGTGGAATGAAATGAGTCGAAGGAAAGTAGAGAGAGATAAAAAAGAAAGGATGGGAAAATTCAAAGGTAAAGAAGGACTCAGATAGTAGTATTTTTTGAGCAGAGTATTTTCGAGTTTCGAGGGAATAATTAACTGTATAAGATATGATGGATATACCATCAATCAAGAGGCGCGGTTCCGTCACCGGAGAAAGCATTGGCGCTAATTTCTGGAAACAAAAGATCGTTTAGGCGAAACGGGAACTTAATACGAGTAAGACAACTCTGGAATCCGTTCGATTCAGTGGGCGCAAGGGACTCAATTCAAATCTGGGAGATCAAGTTGTATGATTGTCTAGAAGACGTTTCGGGATTACTTTTTGACTCTTCTTCTCTTCTCTCCTCTCTCCGCCTCGTGTCCTTCTTCCTTTCCACTCCTTCCCCTGACAATTTCCCGCCCAGCAAACTTTCGGGATATTCTTCCTCGTCTTTTCCCACCCCACGTTACCTCAAAGACTAGAAACAAAAAAATTTTTATCCTCGGTCTATGTCGCAGTCGATACCGGTATAGATCTCAATCGCTGAAATTCCTTTCGACCCATTCTTTCGCTTTCCTTTCCCGCTCCCGAACCTCAGACCCCCTATCTCCTCATGGCCTCAGCCGGGGGCTTGACTCGCCGAAGAGGTGGCGGTCGAGTCGCTGGCGCAGACGAGAACGACGACAGCAGAGTCTCATCCCCAATATCGAGAAACGGTTCCTCCTTGGATAACCGTATCCCAGAGACGTCGTTCACCAGTACCGAAAATGGACACAAGATCGCATTCGACCCTAGAGACCTCAGCGAGACCGAGGAACGAAGCAAGCAGCCGAAGCTGACGTTGATGGAGGAAGTACTACTACTGGGGTTGAAAGACAAACAGGTTGGTTCTGCGCCCCTCGTCGACTCATTGTCCGAGGGGAATGGCACTTTGCGACGTCTTATCTGAATGCTGACATCGGTGGGGAACTGTGGTAGGGTTATCTGTCGTTTTGGAACGAGAATATTTCGTACGCCTTGAGAGGATGTATTGTGATCGAACTGGCCCTCCGTGGTCGAATCAGTATGCAGAAGGATTCTTCTCGACGACGCTTCCCCCTGGCCGATCGGGTCATCGAAGTCATCGACGATACCTTGACTGGGGAGGTCTTGCTGGACGAGGCGTTGAAGATGATGAAGTCGAGCGAGAAGATGAGTGTGAACTCCTGGATTGATCTTATGAGCGGTACGTACCTCCCCATATTTCCCACATTGGTTAGACGAGAGGCCCCGGGGTGCTAACAGGGGACGCGTGGCAGGCGAAACATGGAATTTGATGAAGATTGGCTACCAGCTGAAGCAAGTGCGCGAACGTCTTGCAAAGGGACTCGTCGACAAGGGCATTCTTCGTACTGAGAAACGCAACTTCCTCCTCTTCGACATGGCTACACATCCTGTCGCCGACGGCGGCGCGAAAGACGATCTCCACCGTCGGGTGCGTAATGTGTGCAGCAATCGTACCGTCATTCTCCCGCCTAATCAGTGGCTTCCTGAGGATGCCGAGTTCCGCTATCTGCGGACGATCACGATGGTATGCGCGGCTTATGCGGCCAATGTATTGGAAAATGCTTTAGTCACGATGAGCCACGAGGCTCGAGAGAGAGCCTTTGCGCAGGTGGATGAGTTGTTGGCAGAGTACTCCCAATGGCCATTTGCCCGGCGGGCCGGTGGTTCGCAGGCAATTGGAGCCAATCTGGCGCAAGCAATCAACGAGGAAGCGAACAAGGCTAAGGACAGAGAGCTTCAGTTGGAGGTATGTTCATTTGAGTTTGACAGGAAATCTGATCGCAACGACTAATGGAAACCTTACAGATTGTAGCGGCATGTTTGAGCGTTTTCACTAGACTTGACTCCTTACTCTAGGAGCTTTATCTATCACCTTTGTCCTTCCACACTTTACCTCTATTACCTCTATCTTTCACAATATTCCCGTGGTTTCTCTCACAGAAAATTTCAGCAGGAGTTTTTCTTTTCCTTTGCTCTTTTGGCTACTTAGCAGTAGTTCCCAGCATCCGGTTGGAATTGGGTGGAGTGACTTTATATGAATCAGCCGTCGAATACGGCCCAATGCATTGTTCTACGAGATGTTCGATATGTCTGATCTCCATCGATCTGTTCCTGTCTGCTTAATTATGTCTTGCACTTCCATCGACCACGTTAGCATCTCAGCATACCCTCCCATTCCGTTAAGGGCATGTTCATTCCATAGAATCGCGCACGAAGCTTACCTAGCCATCGACCCAGGCCAGAAGCACAAGGAAAAATAACCAAACTCTTTCATTCATCCACTACAAATCCAGCACGTTGGAAAAGAAAGCCCAATCCCAATCGATAAACGAAGCCCAACTGGTTTGCGGCTTAAGGATATGAAAAGAAAGAGCAACAATAACAACAACAGAGACAGTATCAAGAGAAGTAGGGAGAGAAATCGGTTGGACAGTTTCTTTATTCATGATTTTCCCTTCCACTTTACTTTATCATGTTTCTTTGTCCTTGTCTACGACTACTTACCTACTGATTTGCCCATTCTAATGAATGAATCAATCAATCAGCTTGTTTTCTTTCTTAGCAATAACATTTATCGATTTGATGTCTATGTCTTGCTTTTCTGGTTCTGTGCTGGATCGGCTCTGTCTTACTCTTCTTCTTTTCTCGTCTTCCTACGTACTTACCCTTTACGCTCGTGTATATCATATCAGGTTCATGAGAGTACTGACCGTTTCTTTCTCTTGCGGTGTGTATGTTTCTGGGTGAGAATGACTCTCCCACTGTTATCTTGCCTTTTCTGCGATGTGTGTGGTCGTGATTTGGGAGGCTGTCTCTTCTGGAGATGTCGTTTTTAATTTGAGGATCATTGATATAAATTATATTCATAAACTTCATGTGCTTCAGCTTTGGTTTTCTGCTCGAGAACGTTTCGTAGATTCAGACATCGATTCTAGACTACTATTACTTGAAACAACCGTGTATAGCGTTCTAAAATACAACAGAAGGCCGCTGGTAGAGTAAGCCAAATGATGCTCAATGCTAAGACATTAGATGATACGGAATGACAAAAATACGAGACGCGAAAGAAAGTCAACAAAAATGGAAAGAGATAGGAGGTCAAACGTTCACCCGAAATACCATCATTCCTCCTCTTCTGCCTCCACCAGCACCGGCTGCCTCAGACGCTAAGATATCCACTCCATGAACTAGATCCACAATGCTCTGGACCCGGCCTCGGATGGAGCCCTTTTCGACCAGTTCCGCAATGCGGGCCAAAGCTTCACCGTCAGGTTCCAATGGGACAAACCGGCTAAACAGACCTTGTTTTTGGGTCCGGGCTTCTGCTTCGGCGGTTTTAGCTTGCACCGCTGTATCGTCTACGGCGGTCAAGACGGCGCCGTTGTTTTTGACGACATCAGATGAATGCGCGAGCCTAAACATCTGTTCTCCAGCGCAGTCAAGGATGATGTCGACTGGATCCCACTTTTTCTTGCGGAAGATCTCTGCGAGGTCGAAATCTGGAGGCAAGGGGAGCGCCGCGTCGATGACCTCGTCAACTTTGACTTGGTCGCGTAGGAAGCTGTTATGTTCTGGACACGAACAGGTGGCACAGATCCATGGTCGGTAATGTGGGAATAGTGATGGGGTTCGAAGAAGTTGGAGCGCCTGGGCAGCAACTTCGTTGTCACGGGCATTGGTCACCAGAATACGCACCTTACGATGTGCGTCCTTGGTGTTGGTCGGATCGAGACCCCCGTATGTGAACAAAGCCTGCCATGCTGTGAGAGCAGGCCCGGGGATGGTACATGCTTCGGCAGCGCTGATGTTCTTCGGCTTCCAGGCTATCTCATCTTCGGTTGCGACGGTATAATCTGCCGCAGCGCCGTCGCGAGTGTTGCTGATGAGCCCAAAAACACTGTCTCCGACTTTGAATTTCGGGCCATCGGGCTTGTAGTGATCGGCAGTGGGAGTACTTATAACCGTGCCACAATAGTTGTGCAGAGGAATCTGAGGGATCGATTTTGACGGATGGAGGAGCCGAGCCAGCCTTAGTCCGTCATGAGAGAAAGCTGCTGTTCGAACTTTGATGAGATATTGGTTTGCCGCCGGTTTGGGTACGGGGAAGTCAGTGTCGAAGATAATCCCTGAATCCACCCTGGGCGCATCGAAAGCCGTCTGATCGGTCAGGGCTGTAGAAGCCGGACGGTGATAAAGAGCCCTCATGGTTGGAGGGACGAACGTTTGCTCGTCCATTGTAGTAGAAAATGGCTTTGCTGGCTTCATGACTGTTTTTCATACGATAAGGCGTCTGGCGCGTCCTACTCCAGCATGTCCAATTTAACTTGAAGACTATAACCCCGGCTGAGACTTGAGTCCAGTATATCCCTGGCTGGGAAAGACTTTCGACCCCCTCCAATTACAATACCATGCACCAACGAGCTGTCGAATATGGTTATGACTTGCCCGATGAAGTTTAATTTCGCAGGTCGCAAAACCGTTCAAAGAATAAATTGGCGGGTGGGCAGAGCTGCTGTGGAGATTTTCTTGCTGCACTTTTTGATGATGTATCTTGACGTAACAGTGCTTAGATCAGCGACGACTTTTCTGATATTAAGGTTGAGAACACACCAATCAGTCGTCATTTCTGCAGAGGGCCATTCAGGGTATCAACTAAATCGGCCACTACTTCAGGTTGTTCAAATACCTTCCAAACCCGGTCGGGAATACCCTGAAATGCGGCCTTGAATCGTCCCGCGGAGTTTTGCTCTTCCAAATGCGGGACATCTGTGACTTTCCTGATCCAGATGGCGCGGATCCAATGCGGGTGTTTCTTGTAGATCTCTGCATACGCTTCCGGATCCTTTTGGGTTGAATCGCCGATACAAATAACTTGCCTCTGTGGGAACCGGCGTCGAATCTTCTCAATTTGCTTCACCTTGTATTCCATTGTATTGACAGTGAATGACTTTACCAGTTCAGTGACATCCAGCCAAGAGGAATCGCGAAGAACCAAGGTACCAGGGGTGAAGTAAGTTTGGATAAACTCTCGCAAAAAGGGGTACAGATTGTACGGCGAAGCAGATACATAGAACCACGCTGGTGCAAGCTCTCTTTGCATGCGAGAATATAGATCAGGCATTCCGGCGATAGGCCTTGGCTCTTCAACAAAGGTTGTTCGAAGTATTCCGGTAGACTCGGAGGTTTTGGTGTACTTGATCGTATCATCGATGTCTGATATGACGAGCCAGCCTTTCGGGCCGGCGAAAATCGTCTCCATTGTGACATTGTCTCTCGATCCACGGAGATACGAGCGTATCATAGTTCCATCTGCAATGTGGCAACTACCCATGTTCACCACCTGGCTGCTGATACCACTGCTGTTCGTAGGGCCAAGTTGTTGAATGATCGTTGTGCTATTCGGTTGCGGTATTTCAAGCATCATCAAGTGTGCAGGCATGACATGATACAGGAATGGTCGTAGCCGTCGCGTTATTTGATGGCGTGTCTCCCTTTCGGTGCCTATCTCACCATCCAGGCCAATGAGATCCGCGATCATCGCAACTATCTTGCTCATATCTTTCCGGCTGTCTCTTTGAAACACGCAAGCCACGATTTCTGAGTGCCATGATACTTTCAAACCCTTAGTAATGGGAGTTGCACGTAGATAGGCAGTATTATCGAACAACCACACTATATGCTGACGGACATCTACCGCTTGTAGCGAAGGCTGCTTCCATAGGAGGGACGTCAGGAAGTACAGCATCGAATCTCTCCTCCACGAGCGGTCTCCTAAGCGTTCAAGTTTCTGAATGACCGGGGGATGCTTTGTTTGAGCCTTGGGTGAAGTCATTCTGATATTGTCAGAAATGTTTTAGTATCAGAAAGGAGTACGAGGTAAAATCGTCGGCCGACCGATGATGGTTCTGCTGTTCGACTGAAGTTTACAAATATTTGTCCTGTGCCAAAAAAAAAATTAAAAATTAAAAAATAATTTCAAAAGTAAAAATTGAATAGAAGTAAATGTAAATAAATATAGCAGAGTAGCCTGTTGGTTCAAGGACTGTGAATCAATTACAGTAGTTTTCCGGTGTCTATTCTTATATCATGCAGCAAATATATCTGCAAGGCTGCGAGTCCTTCTGATCTTCGAATGTATCTCATTTTATTGGTCCTGAGCCACAAGGCAGTGACCCTTTCTCGTTGCCTTGGAGGCAATCTAATTTGAGTCATTATCATCAGGAACAGTCAGGCGAAGAAGAAATAGGTATGTCTCTGTTGTATGCTCCATCGAGTGATGGCTCATTGCTTCGCGCCCGATGCAACCAAGTCAGCATGGGGTTGCTTGTGACCCTATCAGACTGCTCAATTTTTCTCGGCGCCTGACCATCTAAGGCACAGTTTGAATTTTGACTCGACCCAATGGCCTCAGAATTCCAAGATTAGACGTAATGCTGCAGGAACGTGGGGTGGAAGTGACGCTGACCAGTGAACAGTCCTGCTGTTACAATGTAAAGTTTCCGATTTGCTCCTTGCTCCTTGCCTCTCAGTTCTATTTATTGACGGGAGATGACTGTTCTCTTGAAAGGTGAAGAAGGAGACAGAAGATGTGGGCGAAGAAGGTCATGGGAACTGTTGGTCAGGTGTCAGGACAGCCCCAACTTCCTATTAAGGTAAGCAAGCACGTTGCCCTAGGAATTCAAAAAGAAAAAATGAAAAATTCGTAAAAAAACGTTTCAAATTCTATATGAATTTTATTTCGTCAACTTCATACGTTTGAAATCTTAAGCATGGTAGCATCCAAGGCCACAAGCAAATCGTGAATCTGTACATTACATGGATTGTCTTCCATCAATACGCCATTGCTTCTTGCTTCCACCGGCTCCCAGAAGGTTGTCCCGACGAAAATATCAGGAATATGATCAGCTCATACAACTAGCTCCGCCTTGGAGCACTAATAACTGTTCGAGAAAATGACGCGCTGAGAGTGTCGTTCCCCTTTTTACGTGTCGCAGCAATGATGCCTGTCCGATCCGTCACAGGCGTTGCATTGATGATATTGTCAAACGCTTCGTCGTCACTACCACCCGCAGAGCCGGACTCGGCGTCTGAGTCTTCCATAGGTCTTGGATCTGGACGTGTGATCTTCTCCGGTTCTGGTTTGTCGGGAAGCGTAGGATTCTGGAAAGACTTGGAGTTGAGAATTTTGCGGCGAATTTCGGCCATCTGCTCTTCTTCTTCGGAGTCATCCGAAATGGCAAAAGGATCTTTTTCTTCTTCTGGTTCCTCTTCTTCATTGCTTTCTTCGCCCTGGCCACCCTCTTTATCATCATCCTTATCATCGTCATCTGAATCGGAATCATCTATCCTCCGGTTCGTGTTTCCCACTGCCCAGATATCACCGTTACCATCAGCGCGACTGTCTTCGTATTCTTTCTCAATCTTAGCCAGCCATTCCTCCTCGGTCCGTTTGACGTCTTCTTCTGTGGCGCATGCGGCGTATCGCTTTAAGAGCTTCGAGTTTATATCGAGAAACGCCTCGCCGTAGCTGAAGTGCTTAAGAACCTCTCTAGCCCAATCTTCGTGGCCGCAGATACAGAAACAGGCCGCCAGGGCTTCGACACAGTTTAGCCGCCATGGCCGGCCGTAGTTGACCGTGTTTGCCGCAACGAGATAAGGTACTAGGATGGTTAGTATGAAGATCCATGTCACAAACACCAACATCTCTCAAGAAGTAACATACGGAGTCTTTCGCACTTTCCCCCTATGCGTGAGAAAGGGACTTCCTTCAACCGTACCCATGAACATTCCACTACTGCGGCGCCATATTGTTCTAGGATGTCGCGGTCCGCGGGGGAAATGATTTTCTTCGCATTTGGTCTGCGATCGCCTTGTTAGTTAACTTGCAGCAGTGCACAAGGTGAGCATGGCGATCTTTAAAAGACAAGGAAAAAGAAAGAAAGGAGAAAAAAAGTGGCACGTACGAGACGACCACACCAGGATATTTCTGTCCAATAGCCAGGTCCCGCATCAGACCAAGATGCATTAATCTCTTGCCCGAACATCGCTTCGGATCACAGTGTCCTAAATCCCAACAAGCTGCTTTAAAGGGAGGTCTGTCGGAGGACTCGCCATCGCCGCGGGGTACCGGGCGTGGGCGGGGTGTGGAGGAAAATTTCTTGCCTCCGCGGGAGAAATTGTCTTTCTTATGTCGAACCATATTAATAAGTAGGTAATGTAAGAATGATACTTCGTTGATTCCTGGTCGTAAAGGTCGAGAAGACGAGGAGGGAGAATTCGAGGGAATATGGAGAAAGTACGGCGACGGAAACGCCAACACGTGGAGCTCCAACCCAAACTACTAAAGTAAAGTGACGCCCGCACCCGCAACTTGTGCTGAACTTCGGCCAGCAATCTACCCACCGACATTACCTTCTCTCAGGAGAGCACGTTGTCCCGAGCACTGCGCCCCGGTCGGCCATTGTCTATAGGGACTCTCATCATTGTACATTTCCTTTACCCATACCCACCGTGGAGGCCGCATCAGCACGAATGGCAGCTAGGGACCGCTTTGGTGGTGCCTATGCTGACCTGGGCCTAACTCCGCTGCAACGAGCTGTTCGTACGTTATGATTCCAGCGCACTTCTCCCCACCCCCCGCTTCCTTCAGGAGTGTGAGGATATAGAAACTCATCTCATGCGTATCTACTAGGCCATGCTTGCGATATCTCTCACTACGAACCCAATCTTGCCCTGAACCTCGAAGTCGCGGACTTGATCAATTCCAAGAAAGGCAATGCGTGAGTCGCAGCCGATTGAGTAGAAGGCGCATTCTTACGGTCTATAGTCCCCGTGAAGCGGCATTTGAGATTGTCCGCCTGATCAACTCTCGAAATCAGAATGTCTCCTTACTGGCGTTGGCTGTAGGTTTCCCGATACTCGGCGAGAAGCTAGTGCGGGGCTGACGGAGTATAGCTCCTCGACATCTGTGTCAAGAATTGCGGATATCCTTTCCATCTCCAAATCAGTACCAAGGAATTCCTGAATGAGCTGGTCCGACGGTTTCCTGAGAGGCCAGCGTTGCGCCCCTCAAGGGTTCAACATCGCATCCTGGAGTCGATCGAGGAATGGCGACAGACTATTTGTCAGACGTCGAGGTACAAGGAGGATCTGGGACATATTCGGGATATGCACCGTTTACTTCTCTACAAGGGTTATGTCTTTCCGGAAATCCGAAACGAGGACGCTGCAGTCTTGAACCCCAGCGATGTATGTTCTCCTCTCGAAGCTCGACTCGAGGATAGTTGGCTGACAGTTCCAGAATCTCCGGTCGGCCGAGGAAATGGAGGAGGAAGAAAGAGAGGCCCAGTCAGCGAAGCTCCAGGAGTTGATCCGGAGAGGTACGCCGGCGGATTTACAAGAAGCGAATCGGTTGATGAAGGTGATGGCCGGATATGATAATCGACACAAGACTGATTACCGGGCTAAGGCAGCCGAGGAAGTTGCTAAGGTACAACAGAAGGCCAAGATTCTGGAGGAAATGCTGCAAAGCCAGAAGCCGGGAGATCGGGTCGCAGAAGGAGATGTATTCGAGGTAGGCGCGATACTGGATGTGTACGTGGGGGCGCCTCTAACTCTCGACCGCTTAGGAACTTGCCAATGCCTTACAAAGTGCCCACCCTAAGATTCAGAAAATGTGCGAAGAGGAGTCGGATGATCCGGAAGCTGTCCACAAATTGCTAGAAATCAATGATAGCATACACCGCACCATCGAACGGTACAAACTTGTCAAGAAAGGCGATCTGGATGCCGCATCGAGGATCCCTAAAGGCACCTTAGGAACAACGACCGGTGTGTCTAAAAACGCGAACAATGAACTGTCCTTGATCGATTTCGACCCGGAGCCCAGCTCAAACGGTGATACCTCGCAACCAGCGGGAGGAAGCTCTTTGGAGAATGATCTGCTCGGACTTTCGATAGAAGAGCCAGCCCCCACTGGTGGTATTTCCCTCGGACCTGGACCTGGACCTAGTGAGTAGTGTTCTCTATATAGCCTAGACCCTGTTGCTAATTTAATCCAGTGCCTCCTATGGTTTCTTCTACGCCGCCGGTGCCACAGGCCCCTCCAGCATTCAAACCCAACTACGATATCCTGTCATCGTTGAATACCTCCCGTCCAGTGTCTCAATCATCAACGCCCGCACCGGCAGCGATGCGCCCTCACAGCACCACTGCTACTCCGCCTCCGGCAGACCCTTTTGCCTCGCTGGTTTCGGCCAGTTCGCGGCACCCCAGTCCGTTCCCCTCGGTAACCCTCAGCCAACAACCCGCATCGGCAGGATCTGCCCTCCTAGACCTGGTGGGAGGTAGTTTTTCGCAACCCCTGGATAGTCGCCCGAAGGCAGCCGAGGAGGACGAGTGGGATTTCGCGTCCTCTCTCCCTGAAGGCAACAGTCTGCCGACGACGAATCGCGTGCAGGTGTTAAACTCGTCGTTGCGGGTTGAAGTCGTGGCGCGACGACACCCTCAGCAGGCCCGGCAGATCCATATGGTGGCTTTGTTTTCCAATGGCACCAACCAGCCACTGAGCGAGTTGCATTTCCAAGTAGCGGTGGAGAAGGTAAGATACGATGAATGTAGGGGATTTCAAGTCCATGGGCTAAGGCAAGAACAGGCATATACGTTACAGCTTCGGCCCCAGTCGGGGCGGGATATTGCTGCGCTCCAAGCGAACGGCGTTCAACAGGAAATGTTGGTGAGTGGCGTCGAAGCGGGCAAAGGTAATTCGATTAAGATGCGGTTCAAAGTTTCTTATCGGGTAGGCAACGAGCGAAAAGAGGAACAGGGAATGGTTCCTCCCTTGGGAATAGCTTAGATTGTGAGGTGGCAGCAACCTTCCTTCGTTTCTGGATTTTCTTCTGTCATGTTGTTCAGTACTCCAGCCTGCATTCCTGTCTATACCTGACCACCATTCTGATGCCACATTTGATGAGCGATATTCGAGGAATTGAGTTTAAGATTGAATGGATCCTTGTTGCAGTGTTTTCGACTAGAAAAGCTACTGATCGGTGCAGTGACATCTGATGCCTGTTTGGGAAGAAGTCGGTCTTACTTTGTGGTGACTTGACATGCATTTGACAATCTATCTTTCTCTTTTTCTTCTTTATTTTATTTACACAGGTACGCTTCTTCTGCCCATGGTTTACCATCTACGGAGATTCAAGGCACGCTAGGCAAGCGCCTGTGAGGCAAGAACAGTTGTTAGGGTTACTGGCTCAAAACCCCTCAAACCAGGCATATAGACTTTTCACTGGGAAAGTACCTGGAGAGGTACTGTTAATTAACAGTACAGTCAGTGCTAGAAACAGTAACACAGTCGCGGAGTGGCGTCATCCGTGTGGCGTTCGGCCGGAGCCTAACCCAGTCGAGTAGAGATAGTCCTTACTCTCAGTATTAGGTACAGTATTATATATGCACATACTTTTTGTATATCCTCCGCGGATGAACGGCGACTTGGCTGGACCCATCTTGTCGGGACTATCCCCGACACTGGTCGTCAATGAGGAATTTCCCATTTAGTGTGTGATGTGCAGTGATAGTGGAGAGAACCGTAGACCCTGTGGTTTAAACCTCAAAGATTTATTATTATTATTGTTATTCTTATTATTATTTTACTTCTGAAGGGGGATCCATGAAAATGAAAAAGTAAAGGAGGCAAAAAAAAAAAAAATTTCTTTTATGGGAGATCTTCCGGCTACGCAGCCATGGTATCCGTTTAAACCATTCCTGAGTGTTCTTATAACGCTGTACCTTAAGGGATAAAGGCGAAAAGCATTTACCGAGGACCAACGGAAGAAGTATATTAGGGGTTCCTGCAGGTGAACGCGGGTTCATGCAGGAAGCTAGCCCTAGCCAACATGACTGACTTCCTTTCTTCGAACAATAAGGAGGGAGCTGCTAGGGTATCCTTCCATGCTACTGACTTAGTTACTACTAAAGGATTTGTCATCCTCTCGTACTTGGACTGAATCGGATCCTGACCGGTTAGCAAGTGTCTTAGCGGCGCCTCGTAAGCATATCTGTATCACCCCACGCCGATCGACTGATAGTAGTGAGCTGGAACTTTTACCCCATCTGACCTCTGAGAGGCTCGAACCCGGTCACATGGGGAACCTGGGCCCTTTTCCCCCCGTCGTGACCGTGGGGGATGGGAGATCACCGAGCGACCCCGAAATAAAATTCAGGAGGGTCTTGGGACAACATGATCTGTGCGATCAATCACAGCGACCTTTCGGCGCGAGCCACTCTCAAAGTTTACAGATAGACCTTGGACTCCGGTTGCATGGCACCAATGAGAGCTTGACCCCCCAGTCCTAGGGCAGGTCAAGCCAGTCGATTTTTACTCCTGTTGACCAACAGGCTGGTCTGGAAATAAAGTCAATCTGGGGGGGAAGGCGCGTGCTTTTGGCTCAGATATCCCCCCAGTTACTGGGATACGCTCTCCTTGTTCGTTAACTGCAGCCGTTTATGTAGGGCAAGTAGTACTACTGCAGGGGTAAAACTGCTTGCTGGGAGGTTCAGATCGGGGCGGGAAGATCTTCGATATCGTGGTAGATGATCGCTAAGGAATAATCATGTAGGAACACATTCTCCCCGTCCACCCCTTCTCTTGGGTCTAGACTCAGCATATTATTTGAGCTACTATGTCTTATCTGCTGTAATACTACGTTCTGTTGCTCGTGGGGACGTAAATTCATCAGGGCTGGGTCTGACTCGCCTCCTACCCTGGAAAATGGTTCCGGTATTGCGCAGAATGCCCGCATTACTGGATTTTTGTTTTTGCACCCTTTTCTGCACTTGCTGAAATTCCTAAAAGACTTCTCTCCTTTAACGGAACTGACCTGCGGGAAAGACCTCTTCTGTGCAGTGCCGGTAGTAGGAGAACTCTGGGACGGAGATTGTTCCACGGAACGGCCGGCAGCCAGACTTTGACCGGCCCTAGGTTGAGGATCCAAACTTGCTCCAACTGGGAGTGGCTCGCCTAGGCCGCTGCTGGGGTGCCAATGGATGCTTGACAGCTGCTCAGAAAAGTTAATAGAGGTCTTTTGGTGGACAGTCAGAAAACCCCCCTCTCCCACTACTACATATTTAAATACTTCTTCCTCGTTTACTACTTCGTTCCTTTCCCCCCCCACCCTTTCGGTGACCACTATTGAATGCAATAAAATACTTGTTGGATCGGGATACCATCGTACCTTTCCTTTTTCTCGACCCCTCCGAAGCGTATACCTTTATCTACATGGTTCCCTCCTCGCTGCCTATCCTATAGTACGGTATTTTTAACGTTTCCATGGCCGCGATGGCTTCTCCCGCTGAGCTGGAGATCTCACCTAACCCTCGCACACGAGAGGAAAACCAGGAACGGTAGGTCTGCTTCTTTTTCCTTTAGAGAGGGGCTCCAACTAATGAGGGTAGAGCTTTTATTGCTGCTTCGCGGCGTAAAGATCGGAGCCTAGATGCCCGTCTAGAATCTGCCAACCGTGCGTCGCAGCTGCACAAGCAGCGGACTGGCAAGGCCCTCCTCGTCAGTCGAGAGATTGTCGAGAAAGAGGCCATGTACGAAGAAGTCGATGATCGCTATAAGGAGAAGTTACAGCGCATGCTCGAGGCGCAGAATATGCAGATCAACACTCAATTTCAACAAAACATCCTCGCTACCTTGGCCATGCGACCCGGCCTGCAACACCGTCGGGCCTCCCTGATGGCACAGCGCGGTCCCGTCGGTGGTGTTCGTAAGATGAGCCTGGATTTCTCCAACATGCACAACCCTTTTTCCGAGGGCATGCACCGAAACATGCACGCTAGCCCTCTGACCAGCCCCATCGCCATGACCGGCAGTCGGAGCTACATGATGTCGCCTTCCTACGACGGGAACTCCCAATCCCCTTCATCGTTCCACCCCAACATGGGTCCAATGCCATCCTACATTACCCACCAGTCCCCCACATGGCCGGCTCACATCGGCCCGCAATCCGTGCAATCGCCTTGGGCTGGTTCGGGTGACATGAACATGCCTGTTCGCCAGTTCCGAGATCGACTGGGTTCTGCACCGGTTATTCCGGTGCACGCTATCCCTTCGAGTGCGGCGTACCGACCAACCACTGCCGCTCAGCACAGTCGCAACCGTTCCGAACCGGGTCAGGCTCCGACCCAACGGATGCCCTCCCATACCCCGTCTGTCGAGAACACTCCCAAGGTGGAGAGAGTGGATGGCCTACCTACTGAAACCTTGCCTACCACCTTTCCTACCCCCGACCTCTGCCCAACCCCCAGCACCCCTTACTCGCCCACCTCTACAGCCAAGAACAGTGACTTGGCATTTGAGACGCTTGATACCAAAGAACCGGACTGCGTCTCCTTCTCGCAGCCGGTCCTGGACCAGGACTTTGTCGATTTCCAGGGCCTCTCCTTCTCCCTGGGTAGTCACCCTACGATCCCTTCCTTCGATAACACCTTGCACCACCCGGACTCCGAATGGAAACCGGACGAGGTGGTGCAACTGGATGATTGGCTCGTTGGTGCGTGATTACGACCAGTTTAGCTTATCACTACTACTACATCTGTCCTATACTATGCGTCCATTTTACTTCATCATCTTCTTCTTCTTCCTCTTGCATCTTACCTTTTACTGTTTTTCTTTTTTCTCTTTCTTTTTCTCTTTCTTTTTGTTTTTTTTTTTATTTTATTTTGGCTTGTAATTGTTAACGTTGCGCTGGACCAGTCAGGGCAATACCCCGGGATGATATGGCGTTCCAATGGTTTGTACAATAATGAGAAATGAAAACTCATCCAATTGAACCGTCTCCATATTTGGTAAAATTAGGAATTTTTAAATTAATAAGAAAAACCAAAAATCCGAGAAAAGGAAACAGGAACACAACGTTGCAGCAGATCCACCGGCCGCAAACAGTAAATGTCACTTCAGTTCAAACTCTGCAAGTGCAAAAATAAACTACATGGCATTCCAACCCAAACCTTGTTCATTAGTTCATTACTGAAAACAGCCAGTTTCATCGTGACTTTTCTTTGTTGAGTTGGACGGAGGAAGAAGAAAAAAAAAAAAAAGCCTTATTTCAAATCCGCTATCCTTAAGAAAGAAGAAAAAGAAAAACACCGTACCGATAGACCAATTGTGATCTAATGTTGAACCTAAACTCCCCATATCTGACTTTTTTTTTTCCCTTAAAAAAATATAAGGATACATGGATGTTTGAAAGGGTGAAGGAAAAAAAGAAACCCTCCTCCACCAAGCACTGAGTTCCATCCAATCTGCCCGGAATGCAGAAACCGTCCCAACCGATCGGACCCTCACAAGTCCGCACAGACCAATCCAAAGCTCATGTGGGTCCCATACATTAGAACCACTAATACCTTGTACTAAGTAACTACTAAGTAGATCATATACTAATCAATACTCCACTGGGAGTCTCCACTCGGTTGAAGTCTGTTCGCACGACGCGGCCGTTGTCATTGGGTTCCGAGTCTCTGCTGGATGTGTAAGGGGTTGGTAATGGGGCTGGATCTTTCTCTTTCTCTTTTGATCTAATTTTGATTCTTTTATCTTTATATATTATAAATATATATATATATATATATATATATGTTTTACCCCTATTATTTGCGACTGGCGGTTGTCGTGCTTGTTCGTGGTTTGCTATCTATCTGTCTTCGAGGTATTTCGCTAGGAAGTCTATGGGAATATAGGTACATTACTCTAGATGCTTACAGAAGTATGTACTACTAGTAAGTAGGTTTTACTTACCATCCGACTCCAAAGCTGACGAAAATCTACAGAGTTAAGTATCAACTTGGTTCTATCCAGGAATTTTCCTCCTGTACACTACATCTCCCCCACAACAAAAAGTGCACATACTCCGGCAATTATATCCCCCGTCCCTAAACCTCATCCCCCCTCCAAACACTATGACAGTAGCAGTCCTAAGTAGTACTAAGTGGTGGTGGTAACAGTAGGGGTGGTGCTAGAAACAGTTCCTTCCACATCCCCTACTCGGGACTATTTTTCTCTCTACCCCAAATCTTTAACTATAACTATATACTCTATTATACTAATACTGTATCCGTCACCCAATTCCAAATTTACCCCCCCACTAACCCTGGATACTAGATGAAAGTCACCCAACCCCAGGAGTAAGAATGTAAAAGAAGAAAGACCCCCTTCTAGACATTTCGTTCCGAACTGGCCTCGTCCGTAGAACTAGAATAGGAGGGTTCTTTCTCCGGTGGATTATGTAGTTATCGTTTTTGACTTTTATCTTTTTTTTGCTTGTCCTTTTAACATATATATTCTTTTCCTGTAGAGGTGGGGAAGTTCTACTTGAGCTTTGAGGGTGTTTGTTCGTAGAGTGTGTTTTACTGTGAAGGGAGGGAATTAATGGATATTATGGGCTACTTCTCGGGTGGTTAATTGTCCAAGGAGGTAGGAGGTTTTTCTTTTCAATTTTTCCTTTTGTTCTTTTAATCTCCTGGTTCTGTAGTGGGCGTTAGTGCATACATTAGCGGATTAGACTCCGGATTACGAGGATAGTTGATAAAGAAGTAGTAAGAGTATAGAATCGTCGATCTCCCAGCACAGACAACAACTATGAAGCCTAACTAACTAACTAACTAACTAACTTTAACTATCCCTCCTTTAAGCAAGACTAAACCAATACCCCCATCCTTAATCCGGATATACTAGATACGGTTGTTCAGCATCAACCATGTATAACAAGGTAGATAGACTCCCCACAACCCCGAATTCAACATCGAAAACCAAAACAAACACCCCCAAATAAGAAACAAAAACACAGAAGAAGCAGAAGATGACCTGGTACATATAGACTCTACCAAATCCGCCCCTCTTACCCCTCAAAGTAACATTAACCCGAAAAAGAAACACATCGCGAAAACCCCACCCATGGCTCGTATTTGTCCTTGCCACTTTCCCCAGACCACTGAGATTTTCTCTTGGTTCGGATGGAAATTTATACTCTTTGCGCGGCGTGGTGGGTCAGATTGGGTTTGGACGCTTGTTTGTGGGCTTTTTTATCTCGGGGAACGCCTGGGCTGGGCTGGCATGTACCTCGGATGCAATGGGGTTTGCTAGGGAGGTTTGGGATAAGTAGAGATGATGGTGGGGATGTATCTGTCCAATGGGAATCTTGATTTGCCAGTTCGGGGAACTAGGGTGGGGCACTTCAGATCTGGTATCCATGGAAGACGTTGCTTGGGTTTGAGGCATCGGATTTTGGGGGGGGGGGGGGGGTGGTGTGTTTATCTGGGTAGATGGAGCAGATTTGACGTTGGTCAAACCTTTCGGGGTGGCCGATGCTTGCCGATCACTTCGAGTCAGGTTGAGATGGGTATTGTCGGGCATTGAATCGTTCGGGTTGATATTGTGATTGTGGGTCGAAAGGATAAATGTTTGTATATGCTTGAGGTTCTTGAATTTGGAGCTTCTTCTAACTCAAAATGGACTATACCATACGTACGCCTGAGACCAAACCTGGAAAATTTGATGAGGGATTTAGGGTAGAACGTTCCTTGTTCCTAGTCCCGATCGCTACCGACTGAACAACTCCCGTCCTATCTCCCCGCTGCGCCGCATGCTGACGCTTGAACTGCTGCTGCGTCGCCGGCGGCTACGGCTTTCCGCGGGATCGGCCGGGCTTAGCCCGCTGGCCCGCGCGTGCAGATTCAGTACATCTGTGAGGCTGACCACTCCCACTAGTCGTCCGGAGAGCCGTGCCCCCGGGAGGGCGGAAGCAGGAATGGACGGCACCGCGTGTGTCGCGCTTATGTATTGCTGAGGCGGACTCGGCAGATGCGGAGTGCTATAGTTAGGAGCCTGAAGATTAGTACTACTAGGAGTCGGCGAAGGAGGGGATTGTGTGCTCCCAGAACTTGTAGGAAGTGGGAGATGCACGCTCGAGTGGGATGGAGTCGGTGGCCCCGACGAGGAAGGAGATAACGGGTCGGTAATCCATAATCTATTCCAATCAAGTCAACAAGAGCGAGCCCTGTACGGACAAGGTAGCAGACTTACCGGTGGGATTTGGTGGCCACCACCTTGGCAACTGTGTGCGCTAGCGTCGAGCCCGGGTTCACATGAAATACTGGGAACGAATCTTTGCCATCCACTAGACCCCGGGCGGAAAGAATCACGGAAATGAAATGTGTACATGTATTGTGGAGAAGAGGCAGTGAAGATGAGCGCGTCAGGAGCTGTTCGTGGGATCAGTCTTGCCGTCTTTAACGGGGGTTGAGCCTATGCATACCTTAACGTCCGTCACTGATATATTACCCACCACGTTGGTATGGTTATCCACCACAGCAACCGACGAGATTCCCTCGTTGTTCATAATTTGCAATGCCTCCGCCAGAGGCTTGTCTCCACTATACGCAGGTTAGACTAGCTATATCTACCAAAATATAGAAGCAGACCTACTTGATCGAGATCACCTCCCGAGACCCTATCTTCAAATCTCGCAGCGCCTGCGGATACAGCTGATCAATCACAGGGAAGCTACGCCCATTCTCCCAAAGGAACTTGACTAGCCGAAACTGACTGAAAATGCCTACCACCTCGTTCTGCTTATGCTCATCGACCACAACCACCCGATGAACGCCCCCTCCAAATGTTTCGACGGCTGCCATCACACTAGCCGACGCCGGAAGCGTGGTCAACGGTTCTTTCCTACTCAGATCCTTAACATCTTTCAAGGGGATTTTAATTCCTTCCCTGGCCTTCCGAGCTAGTTCCTCATAGGAAGCCAGGGTATTCTCATCCGGCTGAGTCAATCCCGCCGCAAGGAGGAGGTACGCATTAAGATCCGAGTAGTCGAAAGTGCCCACCGCAGTCTTGTGCTCAGTAGTTTCGCGAACCAGAAGTACAGGGGCATCGGAATCGATCAGAATCTAACAGTCATCAAAGCTCAGTTTACCAGTTCTATACTCTCGATTCATATATCGCGACTCACATTGGTTGCATCCTCAATCCCTGTATCGATCTCCACAAACTTCAAATCTTTCGGGCTAACCAATTCTCCGATCGAGATTTCCCTCCAATCGCGACCGACAAATGCAGGGTTTACATGGTTCGGGGCCGGCGGGTTATCGATCAAGCTCTGAATCGCAGCTTGCGTGAGTGACGGTTGTCGACGGCTGCGCGGCGAGCCGGGGGCCCCGCGTAGACTTTCACTGAGGCTATGACGGTGTTGGTGGTTCGAGGAAACCTGCGAAAGTCGGAGCGACTGGTTGCGCATCGATGAAGAGCGAGAATCCGTGCTGGATCGAGGTGATGCAACGTTCGACCCACTAGAATTGTCTACAATCGTTTCATCTGGCTGGCGGTCCGTCATGGTTGAACCGGGAGATGGAGGGGTCTCGGGAGATTCCCCTGAGACACCGACAGTGTTAAACAAAAAGGAATAAATTGTTAAATTCTGAATTTCACCCGTGCGCACTGTAGCTGGTATTCATCACCGTTGCATATGCAAGACTGAGCTACTGATCAGGTTATCTGGGCAGTTATTGCCGTTACCTATCAAAATCACGGGGTTGCGGGGAATTGGTGGTGTTTGGTTGGCGGGCGGCAGTGGCCAATCAGCGTCCGGTGGCCAAGTCGTCATAGCGATCATACAATGCTTTTCATGTAATGTACTGTACTGTCCCCATGGCTTTTTATCGTCTATTGTTTCTACATGGGTGTAGCTATGTGTAGCTATACTCAATAGCTACACCTCCTGGTAGCTTTTACAGAGTCTCAACAGCATAAAGTCAATACTGAACGTCCAATCATCGCGTCCTGTCCCAACCCTCCTGCAGTGACGTCTTGCACATTAGATCTGCCGCCGCTCGCTTAAAGGAAAGTCCCCAATATTTCTCCGAGGTCCCTGGTTGGGCGATTTCTCATCACAGCCCTCTTCGGCGCCGGCCGCCCCTGACGCTCGCCCGGGGCCGAGACCTCTCCTCTAGGCCTTTTCGTCGGTATACGTGGTTCCGACTGCTCGGCGGGTGTCCGAATTGCCGCCGTGGTGCGATATAGGTATAGAGTTTGGACATTTTTGGATACACGCTTGGGTGTCTGATTAGTTTGGCCTACCTGAAAGTCCAGAATTGGACTCTCCCGATCCAGAGCAGAGGGCTCTACGCCCATATCGGCGAAGCTTGTTTGATACAATTCGTAGAGCGCAGGTGGCTGTCCTTCCTGGACCGGCCGAGACTCCCACCCATCTCTCTCCGAGCCATTGGTAAACATGGAGTGGATACCTGGACATCCATACGCAACGATTATCCGTAAAGATGGGAAAGCGCACAAATATCGCAGTACGACACCCGACAAGTCCTGGTAACACAATTTGAGAGCTCGAAGGTGCGCAAATGCACCCGACGTTTGCACCAGTTCCCTCCAACTTCGGATAATCCGATCATTCAGAGCTGTCACCGGCATCTCTGTATGGCTTGTGGGGGCCCCAACATGTGGAGGCGTGGCAACTTCCAAGGCAACAAGGTTCCGGATACTTGATATTTCCACGAGCTCAGGCACTCTGGCAAAGGAGGTAGCCAGGGTTAACACGACTTGCCATTTCATGGAGTCGCTCTTCACTAGCCCCAGGTAGTCCCGCATGGCCAGTCTAGGTCCTTCGATCTTCATTGAACGGTACTGGGAGATCTGCCGGAATTCAACCGGGTACGCGGTTGCGAACAGCTTCCACATATAGAAAGTTCTTTTTCGACTATTTTATGTGGTTATTTAGATGGTGTTCGGTTTACCGATGTGGCAAGGCGACTCACCTTCTTCCGAGGCAGTCCCACAGATAATTGGCAATGGGCCATGGTATATTCACAAATAACTGTGGCGTCAGATTCCTCTGGTCTGATAGCACCTGTTTCATTGCGGAGTGTTTCAATGAAGGGGCCCCGACTTCGTTTGTTTCCTCCCAACCCCTAGTCAAAAAGGGTGTCTCATGAACCCAAGATGGCCCTTTCGAGTAGGCCACAGCCGGGGCCGAGGTCTTTTCCGAGTATACCTGGCCGGTCCTTCGATCTAGGTGGTGGGGAGACATAGTGAATTGTGTCAATTAATACAAGCTGCATCATAGAACTTGAAAAGCACGGAGACCGTTGGAAAAAGGCCATTTATTCCCTCATTATGTGCCTATGCTGCAAATGAAGTGGCCATCGTCCAAAAGAACCCAGGATAAGATTTCTTATTCTTCAGATTCCTAGGGACATATCCAGGGGATAGGTATGTCTCAAAGCTTTCTCGAACGCTAATTCACTGAAAAGGAAGAAAACGCAAGGCACGTGGGTGTATGGTATGCGCAGAGAATCGTGCCTATATATGCCTAAGGCCAATGTTGATAGTAGCTCCTTATGTAATATGGTCTAGTACATAATAGGTTAGCTGGTGTTCAAATCTTAATCCATGGAGTCCTTCACATCTCCAGAAGTCCAAGTGTATATGCTGTAGTCATCCTAGACTTTCATAATCTCCTCTTAGAGTCTTATAAAAGCCATCTTTCTCTCTCCATAGAGCAACGGCATATCGATACCAAATATGCCCAGTAAGCATTATACTCGGTCCTCGAGTCTCGACGTTCGTCTCTTTAATGCCCAAGACATTACTTGAGCGATGCTAACATTATTAAGGTCCTCCATTCTAGAGTATATATTGATAAGAATGCTAGTGTATTCAGATATCTCTCGCTGTAAATTCTCCCTATTCCCCGGTTCTCGCCAATCCCAATCAAGGAACAAAACTTTCGGCGGAGCGATACACTCTGTAAGGTCTATCCTCTTCTAACTATATGTGTTCTTGGTGTATGGCAACACATCAACACAATATGCATAGCAGACGTCAGCCTGCTCATACCATTGATATATACTCTGAGTTGGTTGCCTCGGACAACTCTGCGCTGGTCGCTTTGTCAGTACAACATGTACTCGATGCACAAATATCCGAGCCCGTCGCTGAATGCTTTGACACAGCAATTCTCTATCTTCTCATAGCCTTTCTTGCCAGTTCCACAGCAACCGTCCAGGATATGGAAGGAAACCTCGTTCTTACCGCATGCCCCACCGCGGGATGTCATCATCTAAGAACTCCATGATCTCAAGGCAACCTGCATTTGTTTCTTTCGTGCAGAGTAGATACATGGTTAGCCATGGCAAACGCGCCTATCGAAGCGATAGGAAATTGAATATGAGGTGCAATTCGAGGCATGAACAATTGTAGATGCAGTCAGTCTCATATATACAGTTTAGGGGATCTTTGTTGGCAGCCAGCTAGTCAATCAACCAAATGTGATTGTCTGGTGAAGGCTGCTTTAGTTGTCATTGCAAATATAGTACCTGTATTAGATCTAATAGTTAAAGGACATGGAGCTTCTAAGGTGCCATTACTGATCTGTACCAAGTCTAGTCGCGCGACTCTGCGATTATGACCTTGAGGCGGAGTGAAAGCTACCGGACTGATGCTTCCATTCATCGGGTCACCCGGGACATTGTTCTCCTTATTGAATCTAATATTCGAAGGACCAGTTCATAGTCATAGGTGGAAGTAGTAGTTACGAACGTGTTGGATCAGTTTCGAGAGGCAATTACAGCGCTAGCTGGCATCTCGTGTGCCTTTGAGGCCATGTGGCATGGATGTTGAAGTGCTGCTATAATCAACCTATGAGAGCGTTACCGCGTATATGATTGTTTGATTTAAAACCGTCTTTGTAATAATGAATTAGAAGCATGTAAAATATGCGACCCGTTCAAGTCCGTGTCCGACACCCCATGCAAATCAATATAGTTAAGAGAATCATGAAAATAGAGCGCATTTGGGAGAAAAAAAAATGCAAAATTTGAAACCAAGCAGGGATGACAGAAAATTCGAAGGCAAGGCAAAAATTAGAAGAAAAAAGAACATTTCCGCGTAAAAGACCAGTACTATTCCGATACAAAGCCCGTCCCTAGAGAATCATCCATAAGCCCAGATATTTACATCACATAAAGCAGGTTCACATCTATGTCCAGTCAGAATGAAATTCAGTTGGATCTTATCCAATCGACTTACCCAGTGGGTGACTGCAGCTGAGCTGCGGCTTTTGTGTATACTTGCTCGATAGCTCATCTCGAATGCTGTTTAGCAACTGCACGTAGCTTTGCTGTGGGTTCTTCCGGAGAGCACTGATAAACGCCCAGGACATTGCACCGGTTGCTTGTCCCTGAATCTGAGCATCCTGGCTGGTCTGGTCGTCCTTGCTGCCTGACCACATGATGACATCCGCCGGGCTCGTCTTGGTCACCTTGTTGCGCTCGTATACCTCGTCGCCTTTGGTAGCCTTCTTCAAGAAACCGACCGCTGTTGACATCATACTGCCCATATCGCCCCGCGCGTATGCCGATACCACTCCCAGTAGACCCTGGCCGGCTTCTTTAGCCAAGTTGGGCTCCTTGAGGATACCCTGTGTCGAGTAGATATATGGCAGATCCAATGCAGAGCCTGAGTGGCACGAATCAAAGATCGCTGTCAGTCGCACGCCCGGTTGCAAAGGCTTGACCATTATCCGATGCATCTCATCATCCACAATGTGTCCCGCTTGCCGGAAATCGACAGGGTAAATAACTTCATCGTATCCATCATCTTCATCGCCATCCAAGTCGGGTGTTTGTCCACCATGACCTGTTTCCTGGTCAGACCGTAGGTGGGAAGGAAAACAAAGGATCATCGCGGACTTACCAGAGTAATGGAAAAAGAGGGAATCATTGGGCTGAGCGTCCTTGACTAGCCAATGCATAGCACGCAGTATATTGACCTTGGTTGGTTGACTCATTGGGTTCTGTTGATCGTCCGTCAGAAGAACCATATCCTCACGAGCGTAGCCAAAGTTTTGATTCAAATATGTTGACATGTTCTTAACATCATTGATACATCCGCGCAGCTGACCCTTTTGGTTGAAGTAGTTTATACCAATCAGCAAAGCTTTTCTCTTGCCGGTGCATCGTGAGTACTGGAAGTTGTAACCCTGGGGAGCGCCGTGGCCGAAGGCGACGGGGTCGCTGGGCGGACGGGCTGGGCCACCATGGCTGCCTTGGTTGTAGGGGTTCTGGTAGGCGTTTTGGCCACCTGTTCGGCGATTAGGATGCTGAACTGGCATTTCTAAAGAAGCAGCATCACGCATGTGGTCATACCCTGTTGTCCTTGATACATGGAACCTCCGCTGGGAGGGCCGTAATTTTGCGGGGAGCTCTGGAGAACCATGTCAGCCATAACTACTCGGCAAAATTATTCCCGAACATCAACCTCATAGGCATACGTTATAGCCATTGTGATGCGAACCGTACTGCTGAGGTGATGGTTGGCCATATGGGTATGGGTTGCTAGGTGGTTGCTGACGGTAGGCTTGGCCGGGATAGCCGCCGCCATAGGAAGGCTGTTGCTGATGGTGCATGTGCCTATATCAAGTTAGTTCAAGTGATCTTGAAGCAAGCGATATGGCAAGTAGCCGCGATATAAGCATGACAGATCGTAAATAGCCTTACTGCGGAGGAGGGCCGTAGTTGGACGGCGGATATTGATATTGTTGCTGCGGGGGATAGCCGGGAGGGCCCGAGTAAGGGGGATAGTAGGACATTCCTGGCAGGGTGGGGATAATATTCAAATACTAAAAAAGAATAGAGATGAGATGGCGACAAAAAAAAAAAAAGAGACGTCAGACAGCTAGAGGAGGTTTGAAACAGTGGTGGTCTATGAACGAAAGAACGACGGAAGAACGATGCAGCCTACAAGTCGCCGAGATCATGTGGAGAAAGTGACACGCACTGATTGGTTAGGGCTATTATCAAAGCAGCTCCCAGGTATGGATGTTAACTTCACCATCAAAGAGGGAAACAAAACGAAAAAAAAAGAAAGAAAAAAAATTGAGAGGCAGAAGATTCCGAAGAATTTTTTTTTTGAAAAAAAAGTGCTTATATATATCCGTAGATCATCAATAACCTGCATACCGTCGGCTACTCCGAGAGACTCTTAGACTCAGTAGAAGTGGCTCGCACCGTCTTTCAGCCAGCCAAGAGCTGGAGTATTGATTAAATTCCCTCATTCAGTCAAGATCCTAAGTATTCGGTTCTCGGAGCTCCTCGGTGCCTTATTATTCGTCCTAAGTTTGTAACAATTATTTTTATTATTTTTTTGGTCGATTCATATTCTCTCCCCCAGCGTTACTGACGCGCAGTGAGGTGGATCAATTGTCAAATTTCGAAGATAGGACTTGCAGAACTTCTAAGAAAAAGACATGTAGGTAGTCCAAGTAGAATTTTTTTCTTCTTCTCCTCTCCAAATAGGAACCAATCAATCTATGAATATGAAACATTATTGATGGTAAAATAAAGGTACCGGGCTGTGATTTCAACTATTGCATGACTTTTGTTTTCTAACATCATCACAAACCACATGGCATCCATCTCACGCATTAGATTTACCGACCCCTCCGGGGCATGCCGCGTCCTCTTCCTCCACCGAGAGCCCGTTGGGCAGCACCGGGGGGAAGACCACGGCCAGGTGCCTGAGGCTGGGCAGATTCCTCATTCTCTGTAGTAGCGTGCTTGTGTCAGCCAATAGAAATCGAACAAACAACGCTAGAAGCTTAAGAGGTCTACTCACTGATAGTCTCATCTACACTCAGGATCAAGCAAGCTGCTTCCACGGCGGCTTGGATGGCATTGACCTTGACCAGACTAGGCTCCCAGACAAATGCCGCCATGTTATCCCGAACTCCCTCATGGTCGAAGTCCACACCAGCCCAGACATTACCCTTGCGGTGCTCCACACGCAAACGGTTCAGGATGTCAGTCGCATCGAAGCCAGCGTTGTCACACAGCTGGCGAGGGATCACCTCCAGAGCCTTGGCAAATGCCTTGACAACCGCCTGCTGCTTGTGGGGTACGTTGCGGTCGGCGAAGCCGTGCATGTAGCTCGACAGTTCCATCTCGGTAGCACCACCACCTGCGACGATAGTTGTATTCCGGAGAGCACGCTTGACAATCATAATGGCGTCGTGCAAACTCCGCTCAACTTCGGCAATGAACTGCTCGGCGCCACCACGCAGCACGAGCGTACATGTCTTGGCGGCAGGGCACTCGGAAAACAGGTTGTAGCGTTCTCCGCCGATCTGGCGCTCGTCGAAAGTACCGCAAGTTCCCAGGTGGCGGTCTTGGATGTCACTGCATGTCGACTGTGTTGCTGCCCCGGTCGCCTGGCACACCCGGTCCATATCGTCCGACGAGACACGTCCAGCGCAGAAGATGTCACGGTCCGCGAAATACCTAGCATCATCGTTAGATATACTCGTACCAGCGGGGGCAATACAATGAGATACGTACTGCGTAGCCAAATCACCAATCGGCAACTTGCTGAGAACAACCTTGGCACCTGTCTTGTAGATAGCCTCCAGCTTGTTGTAGATGATCTGCCATTCTGCATCGACGATAGCCTGGTATTCAGACACCTGCTCGACACGCACCTCGGCGTTATCCTTCTCGCTCTTTAACTCAAGTTCGACGTTCAAGCAAACAATCTTAGGGTTCTTGAAGTACTTAGGTTGTTGTTCGAAACCGGCATAAGAGAAAGTCTTCTTGAAGGCAACGCCGTTGACGAAGAGAGAATCCTGAAGGCCACCACCAGTAACTCGCTTGACACCAATCAGCTTTTCGTTAAGATCGTCCTGGTCGAGTGAGAGCACAGCATCCACCACCACTAAAAATCGTCAGTATCCGCTTCCATCCAGCCACGCAGGAGCAATCCTTACTCTTAGTGAAGAAGTCCGAATTGCGCTTGATAAGCTTGCTATTCATAGCAGTTCCAGCCAATCGTCGTAGCGTTTCCACCTTCTTCTCCTCGCTTCCGCCAGCCTCGATAATGTCGACTGCGATTTCCTTCACCTTGTTGACGGCCATGGCACTTCCTCTCCGTAGGCCCTTGATGATCGTCTGTGCGCTCACGCCTTGCTCAACCAGTTCCCGAACCTCCTTCAATATCTCACCGGCAAGGACAACAACAGATGTTGTTCCGTCTCCTACTTCGGCATCTTGGGACCGAGCAATATCGGTGAGAATGCGGGCGGCGGGGTGAACGATGTCCAGAAGCTAATGTGGCATGGTATTAGTATCAATACTATCGATAAGGTTTGTTCTTTTTTTTTTCAAAGAAAAAAAAATCGCAGCCAAACGCACTTTCATTGCTGTCGCTCCATCGTTCGTGATAGTCTGCTTGCCGTTGCCGTCGACAAGCAACAAATCCCCTCCATACGGGCCGAGAGTGCTCTTGATGGTAGATTGCACGGCAACACAGGCATTGATATTAGAAATAATCTGGCCCTTTCCTTGGGAGGCATCCGTGCCTAATCATTCCAGTATCGCGAAAAAGTCAGCAAACAGGAGACACTTCGGACACACAGAGGGGGTTCAGAGTGCGGGCAAGAAACAGACCCTCCTTAAGCACAATGATAGTGGGTGCCTGGCCAGCGAAGGCCATTTTGATTAATGTATTATCAAAAAATACCCGTAGATAGAGCTAGTGAAGAGTAGTAGAGAATGAGAGACACACGGGAGATGGAAAGTGGCCCTGAAAGTTACCAGCTCGGGTTCACTAATGCTTTCGACCAAAATTTCCCCAAGCTTCTCGATGTCGCCAAAAGCACTGAGGCGGTGACCAATCATACCGTGCCTTCGCAATCCTACGACCCCCTCAACTTAGTAGTATGGAATTTGTATGTACCCTCTATCAAAAGCCTGCAAATCTTTTTATTGACCGATTACATATCATTTATTACGATCTTCATGTCGCTTCCTATTCTGTTGCCATATAATACAGAATTCCACAACCGGAATTATCCAATGATCATAATGCAAGCCCAACTTGCACTTAACGCCGTCGAGAGATGCTGAATAAACGAAAAAGACAAGCCCACCCTCCTTGCCCAAAGGAGCGAAAGAAATTTAAAATAAAATAAAAATAAACGGGTGAAAAAAAGGTTTCACATATTGAATGGGTTGAGAATCAGAAAGGGGTAGCCGGCTTATTATGTAAAGTCCAAGTCATCATCTGGTTGCCCAACATACTGATACTTCGCTAGAATCTGGTCGTGGTGCACATCGCTTACTTGGGAATGGACAAGCCCGAGTGCATCCTGATGCAGCGCTGATCCAGGGTCTGCATCAGAGGGGTCATCAACCATCATATGGTAATCATTAGCTGCGTGATGCCGCACATTGTCGTCAAAATGCGAGCTAGGCAAGCCGTGGGGGCCGTGGTTGTATGGGTCGGCCATGGCATCATGGGTTTGGAATCGGGGAAGCTGTTGGTGGATATCGATGATTTGCGGATCGAGAGGTATGACTGCGTAATCGCTGATGGAATCTACAGATCCTGGAACAACAGATTGATGGCTGGTGACAAACGGATTCTGGTTTTGGTGGGTATCAAGGGATACATGATCCATAAGAGAGTTCGCTCCCATATTCTCGCTGGTTGGCATACTAGGCTCGCTCTCGCGACTGCTGGTTTGGTCCTCTTCTTCTAACACGTCTTCATTTTTGAAGAGCGGGTTGGCCAAGGGAGATTTGAGGGTCTCCTTGCACTGGGGACAGTCTCGGATGACCCTGCTTACGGTTTCCTTGATCCTGACCCAATGATATTTGACTGCAATAGCTGCCGTGGTCTTATTTATTCCGGCATGCTGTTGAACATGCATCTCCCGAGCAATATCGTATTGCTGCTGCGGGTCTGATACTACCTCTTTGTCTTTCAGCATCAGCTTCTCACTTTCGCCATCCTGCCCCTCAATCAGCTTATAGTGAGTGGCTGCACTTCTGAGCCGGCTCTTCTCGGCCCGGTCAGCGCCTCTAGGGTATTTCGAATGCTTCAGATAATATCGGATCTTGTCAAAGCGATCCTGCGTGACAGAGTCTTCACCCTCGGGCCCCAAATCCCGGCCATAGATAATCGCATCAACATATTGTCCGGGATTGGAGAGTAGCCTACCACCTCCTGGTATTCTGCCAATCCGCTTGAAACCAAGAGAATCCCAGAGGCGGCAAGATGCAACATTACTCTCATAGACTATGTTGAACATGGCATACGTATACCCCTGTCGAAGATCAGAAATGTGATACCTTAGATAAGCCCGCAGCAGTAGCAGTAGACATCTAGGCTAACAGGCTGTTCACAAAAGTGTTATCGATGTAATGGTTACTGACCAGCTTTGGAGCCCACTCTAAGTATCCTTCTCCCATCAGTCGACCCACCCCTCGATTTCGAGAAGCATCGGTAACCAGGAACATGCTATTGCAGATATGACTACTACGGCCAGGGTAGTTAGGTCTGATGGTAAAACTGCCCAAACAGAGTTTGAGCCAATTTGCCCCCGCCCTGTCCATAGCTTGGACTTCTTGTGCACTCTTAATATCGCCGAGGAGCATGATCGCACCGAAGTTAGAGAACCAATAGTACTTAAATTGATCGTACGGGATAGGGTCGATCATGGCATAAGTATCACCCTTTTCAATCTCACTATTTAATTGGTCCGATAGATAGCCCAACAGAGATGAGGGCACATCATCGGGAGACAGAAAGGGCACCAAAGTCGCGACAGTAACGCGATCTCGAAGGGTCACTTGCCGAGGATAGATTTCGGGCAGTAACTCCTGGTCTGTAGGTATCACCATGGATGCTAGATCCCCATGTACAGCAGGCATGTTGACGCCTTGGGCCGGCCGAGCCGGTCACGGGACTATTTACCATTATTAGTTGATTGAGCAAATATCAAACGTCCATTAGTCCGCTAAAATTGCAATTGCGAATTGATATAGGATAAGATTATGCTGGGGAAATAGACCAGGCGGGGCAGACATCGCAATAATGCCATCACACAGACTACGAGTCAAGCAAGATACAGGAGGGACCCAAAGAGGAAAAACCGTGGCAAAGACATTACCGCGAATTCTAGGAGCACTGACTTTCTGAGGGCGAGATCGGAAACAACGTTTCTCCTTTAATACTTGGATTGTTCCCCTTAGGGGCACTTCGAGGACCGCCGAGTATTCTGGAGTCCGGAATGATGTGAACGCAGCAGAGAAAACGTCGTCCCGATGGCGGATTTATGGTTGATCCGAGAATCCGGTAGATTCTAGCCTGATTTAGGTTCTTCTTCATACCTCAGGTGTCGATGCAAGGCTAGGTAGTTAATCGGGAGGTATAAGTTAATAAGTTAGTGAACGTATCCCACAGGCGAGCGGTCCATTTTCTCCGCGCACCCCAACAGTCTAATAGAACCATATCTCTACGCATTGGTTTTCTACCACAACTATAAAAAATGCCTCTTTCTAAATTTGTGTTCAAATGGCAGTGCTCACTTCAAAAACAAAAAAAAATTCCATCAAATATGCATGCCGATGGGATATTTGGCGTACCTAAAACAACATTGCTTAGACGGCTTAATGGTATCAAATCACGATCAATAACATGCGCTAATAGCCATAAATCACAAGTTACCGAAGAAGTCCTTTAACGCGGTTACTAGATATAGATCAACGTGATTTCCCGATTTTTCCAGAGTTTCTACGTGAGATGGCGCAGATTCTGCTTCGTGAGCGACTTTTACAGCAACTCTTAGAGTTAATTGTTTATTAAACGCTATCCTGAACTATGTACACGATATACAAGACGAATGACTTATCAACGTGTAGAACGGGAGGATCAAAAAGTTATAAAACCATAATTTTAAGCAGTGCATGAAGCTATTCTAGAACACAGTATATATAAAATATCGGGAATTTCGGTGAGACAGGATTTACAATGGGGCTCTGCTCTTCATCTGGAGTAATTACTGCTGTTGATCGCGGTGAGCGACCACGCAGAGTTATCCAAGGCAATCATGAATAGGTTACAATCATTGAAACAGTCAGTTCAAAAGGCATCCATATACCACCGGTTATTATACTTAAAGCAAGCTATTAAAAAGCTGCCTGGTTTCAAGAACTTAAGCTTGCTAAAGACTGGTGGATTACAACTAGCCAGAGTGGCTAGACAACAGATGAAATAGGCCTTCACTGGTTAAGAGATGTATTTGAACCCTATTCCAAACGCTATATGACCGGCGCTAAATGGCTGCTTATACTTGATAGCCACAGCAGCCATCTGGCTGCTGAATTCGATGACTACTGCAAGCAGAATGCAAATTATCTGTCTCTGTATACCTGCCCATGCTTCACAGCTTCTTCAACCGCTTGATGTTGGTGTTTTTGGCCCGCTTAAGCACGCGTATAGAAAGCTTCCTAAAAAGTGTATGGATATTGGCAATAATTATATTGATTATTACAGATCGAATAGAGATTCGGCCTGATGACCGTACAGGATACCATGACCCAGGTGCATGGGCAATCAGCCACCGATGAGGAACATCAGGCCATACAACGGTTTGGTTTTCAATGGGAATTCTGAATCCTTTAGCCGTAGAGCCTTCAGCTATAAATTAGCAAATCGTTAATTGTAGTAGGAAATCAAGAATTAGTCTCCTGTCTAAATAGTATCTACTGCCTGCCTTTGGTCTTCCTCTCTCCTTCGGCCTGCGTATCCTTACCTAGTTGACAAGACCTCTACCCTGAATAGTAGATACCCTTAAAATGATATATATACATCTTTTAAACTGACTATTTTAATAATTATAATCTATTTATAATTGCCCAGGATAACTCTGCGCGGTTGCTCACAGCAACCAGCTGTAGTAATAACTTTAAAAAGTAGAGCAGACGTCCATTATAAAGCTAGTCTTTCAAAGTTCCAGATATTATCTTTATATATACCGGTGGGATAGGAAATCCATATTTATCTGTATCCAGTAATTGTCTAAGGAGTGATTCTTTAATAGCAGTTAATTCATAGCTATTAGCGCGTGTTTCTGATCGTGCTATATTACCTTTAAGCCGATAGCACAAGGTAGATTCAGGAACGCCAAATATCTCAGCAGCTTGTAATTTTGACGTAACTTTTCGACTTTTATATGCAGAAATGGTTATTTAAATACGGCTTTCTTGGGAGAAAGGTATTTTCAAATAAGTAAATAATGATATAACGCGTTGATAAAAGTTGCTCGAATTATTTTATGGATGGAACGGTCAAAATTCGCAACTTGGTGGTTGATTATGTTAGTTATGCCTCCGTTCTAACTTCTAGATATGTAAGTTATACAATATGAGAGCTAATGAGCCATTGGATCGGAACCCTTGCCTAAGTTTTAAGTACTCATTACAACTATGTAGATAGTTCCTCTTAAAAAAAGGGAAGAAAAAACCAAGATGCACTATTAGAAAGACCAAAAAAGTTTCACATTTATTTTACCTACCACTGATGTCACCCAGTATCGGCTAATTACTTGACGTGAAGTATAAAGTCACCTACAAGTCATCTTATTCGCTAGCCAAACTCCCACATCGAGCTACTTAAGCTACTGTTTAGGTAAAGCCGCTATGAGGAATCGAACAAAACAAATGATGCACTGTCTTGGAGTTGAACTGGGTCCACAATTCCGCCATCAAACAACAACTCGTCCATCATGAGCCACCCTCAGTACTATCCAAACACGCTCGAACCACTGCAGATAAATAAAGAGACTTTGCAGAAGACACTTCATGAGCTTCGGGTTGCCGTTAACCATGGAGCCTATCTGGTGCAGCAAGGCCGTCCTCCTTCAGCGGAGTGGGGCAATGCCGGTCTGTACACAGGGGTAGCAGGTATTTAGAGTCACCCACCTCAGAAATATAAAGCATATATATACACAAAAAAAACCTCTCGACAGCATCAGTGCTGTCTATTTCACTGACTGCATTTCAGGAATTGCTCTCGCATTTCTGCGGCTAGACCGTCAAGCTCTATCCTTAACAGATCCAGATGTAAATCCTACCGACTTTGGCAAACTTGCCAGAGAGCGAATCGTATCGCATGGACCAAATTTGCATTTGGAACCAGGAAGACTGTCGCCTTTGGGTTCATCTTCCCCAGTAGCAGCCGCTGTGATGCGTCTCTCAGCAGCGACGGTTGGTGGTGTTATCCTTGATGATGATATTATCTGTCTTCAAGAAGCTGTCAAGCTGGCACTTCAGAACGGGCCCAGGGTGCCCCATGGAGATCAGATAATGGGAGGTGACGAACTCATGTACGGTCGACCTGGGCTGTTGTGGTCTATTCTTAACCTCCAACATCACAACTTTGATGGGAACACGAGGAAGCGCCTGCAGCCTATTTTCGATACTGTGCCTAGTCTTGTCGATGTGATCGTCGACGCCGGAAAGCAGGGGCGGGAGGACTATATCAACATGCATGGAGAGAAAGACGCATTGCCTCTGATGTGGTCATGGAAGGAATCCCGATTTTATCTCGGAGCGTGAGTGTCCCCCAATACTCCCTAAGATACTAATAGTATCCAACGGACTGACGAGTCGAATTGGGCAAGTGTTCATGGCATCAGTATGTACACAGTAATATATATATGTGTTTTTTCAGGATTATTTTTAGCTAACATTTAGCAGTTGGTGTCCTTGCTATTCTTCTCGCTTATCAGGCCGAGGAGGCCAACGGTGGCACCTCGCGCAACTATCTCCCTTGGCTAGCAGGTACTATCACAGGTCTCTGCAAGATATGTATTGCTAATAATGGCCACCTTCCCACACGTATTCCTCCTTCTTCCCGTCGTTTATGTCCACTTGTTCAGATATGCCATGGTAGCCCTGGAATGTTGCTTCTCATGTCCTGTGCAAGAAGAAGCCATTTGGTTACTGAATTCTGGGAACCTGAATGGGACAAATCCATCCAGTTAGCGGCTGAAAGCATTTGGAGAGAAGGTCTGCTATTTAAAGGCGGCAGTCTGTGCCATGGTATTGCCGGGAATGCACTGCCGCTGCTGCTGATGCACGACAGCCTCGAATATGACACGGAAAAGATGCAGGTGGCGAAGCGCAACTATATGGACCGAACCAAGACGACCGACACGAGATATATCGAGGACAAACTCTCAAGCGACTGTTTCCTGTCCAGAGCACTAACATTGCTGTTGCATGCGCGGGAGACACCGCCTTACAACACCACGCCCATGGCATCCTCGAATACTTATCGCATGCCTGATCATCCGTTCTCCCTTCATGAAGGGCTATCAGGCACGATTTGTGCATGGGCTGAGGCCTGCGTGGCAATTCAAGTGAGATTGCGGAAGATGGAGATGGAGTCAGAGGGCAATGGACCAATCTTGGAGGCAGCTTTGCAGAGGGACGCAATTATCCAGGAACTAATGAGTCGCCAGTTAGGATTCCCAACCATTGCTTACCACAGACCGACAGGTCTGCTTTAACATAAAGCCTGAATATCTTAACTCGCCTGTCGGTGGAAAGGCAAGAGTACAAGCAAATGTCGTGTGTTACAGTAGCATTACTGGAACATCTAATCGAACGTGTGTGTCGTGCATCTGTACCTGAATGTTGACCTAACGTGCACTTGCTGTCTTTGAACAGACGAAAGAAGGCAGGGTAGAAGCACATGGCAGTGTTCACTCCCATTAGAATACTTTGGCCTAATCATTGCCGAAGATATACAGAGGAAAATGAGAAGACAGCCTTAGAAAAGTCTAAAGCCAGACCGGTACATGGGAGGTTGACCAGGAATTTCTGTCCTAAATTCAACACGCTTCGGCAGAAAATTGCCATGCGGTACCTCGACAGCCACCCTGAACCGACGCCAGCAATTGCCATATTGGTGAGATGAGTCGCCGCAGAAAGTACAGCGCGCGGCTGTTGATCGGGCATGGGTTGTTTGCACTCTCGGCACCGGATGGCTGTGGCTTCGCAGCCTGGTTTTGCGTTCTTGTTCCTGGTGCATCTGCTCAATGACATATTGATTAATCTCCTCTTGACTGGGTTTTTTGCTGTGCTGTCTCGCATTTTCGCTGTGAAGTGCAGTCTTTCCATCTCGGCTCATTTGCTGGACAACGAATGCGTTTATATCCTCCTGCGTAAATTTTCTAGAATTTGATGGCACGTCAAAAGAGGCATGAGGCGTGCTTTTGCTCCGTATATGCTGTGTACCCTTGTTTTTCCGCCGCATGGCTTTCTCGTACCCAATTGCTAACTCTGCGAGCTCTTGGAAGGTAATCCTATCCGCGGGATTTTGCGTGTCCAATCGCGTGTTACGGAGCATGTTCGTCGCCCAGTCATTCCATTCCGGTCGTGACTTTAGCTTATTAAGAAATAGGACGTTGATTTGCGAGTCCGGGATTTGAAAGTCATCGTCAACATGGGTAAGGCCTTCTCGCATTGCTTCAATGAGCGCGATGAAATCGGCGACTGGATCAGTTTTGGCAGCGTCAAGGTCCAATACCTCAGTGATTTGATGCATCATACGGACATTTCGCTGCCATGTATTCATCTTGGTGAATTCACGAGCTGCTTATGCTGACGCTCCAGGTTAGGTTATTGAACATATGTAGTAAGTATGCGCAGCTGTTCAGACGGAACTAAAGAGCTCTTGTTTTTGATTTTCTTTAAGGGAGAAATGACGTCACGGGAGACCCGCGTAATTTATTGACAGATCTGGGGTCGATGTAAATTACCGTAGCTGATACTAACGGTCCCATTAAACCCTCCCAGGCAAATGGATATTCTGAAGAATCTTGTATAGAGGAACTGTCATGTCCCTGTTTTTGCTATCTTTGCTTGATTAACCAGTGGGTTATGAAGCTTACAACTTCTGCGCAATACGAGGCGTGGCAGTGCGGAGCCGTTATATAAGGGGATGGTCATGGGGGCTATTTTTTCTTGGCTTTCTGAAGCAATATCCAATCAGTCATTATGTCTTCGTGTATCTTCTTGGGGGATCTAACATAGTCCTCCATAAATGTGACATCCGACTACTGTGATACTACTGTCTTGACCCGACTATAGCCCTGATCGCCTTCCCAGCAAGTACCACCGAAGATGGATCTTGTGCCACCTTCTTACCAGTTTGCAACAACCAGAGATGCATGGTCCGTTATCGCGGAATACATCCCATCTAGTGATCTATGTGCAGCTTCTCTAGTATGTCGGAAATGGCATGCACTCTTCATGCCATTCCTGTGGGGTGATCCTGCATCTCATTTCGGGACCGATAATGATGCTGTTTATGGTAATATCGTTCCATCATTCTGCGTGACCCGAACTGACAAGATATGTGGACTGTAGTCGCCTTGACAAGATTTAGGAGAACTCTAAAGTATGCCAGGTTGGAGGTTCGGATGCTAACACATACCTTGCACCTGCCTCCTGCTCTCTCGGAGATCTACGGCGGTCCGCGACCGGAATGGTTGAGAGAGATCCTCGAGTATCTGCCGTGCCTTCAGTCTCTGATGGTTTCTAAGCTGCCATTCATTGACCATAATTCACTGGTAGCTTTGCGACACGATACAGACCAAAAGCAGGTCAACGACACAGTGCCCCATACGTATAATGTCCGTTTGCTGCTGGCTGACCACGAACCCAACACAACCTCCCAGGGGCTTGGAGAGGCACTATTACGTTTTCAGGAACTTATATATCTTGATTTGTCTTATACCACTCCCTCTCGGGATCGTAGTGTTCTGTCAGCAATATCTCAGCTGGAGCATCTCCAAGTCTTGAAACTACGGGGCATTGGCATGAAGGATAGCGACGCGGAGTTCTTAGCTAATGCTATTGGCCTGAGGGTCCGTTATCTAGATCTGCGGGATAACAGACTTACTGATATGGCTGTGCGATCTTTACTGCAAGCTTCTTTCCTATCGCCAGGTAATCCAACGGTCGGCCATGGCCCAGGAGGCACAATAGCTCCTAACTTTGTCGCCCAAGCAACACCTCCACCATCTAATTCGAAATTGCTCAGCTACCCGACATTGGATGAGCAGTTTATGAAAGCGTTAACTCAACCACTGACAGGCCGTTCGTGGGTCGAGAACGTACCACATGTTGGTATTACACACATATATATCGCAGACAATAGGATCACAGTCGAGGGTGCCGCCAGCCTTCTAGCTTCGTATCGACTGCATGCTCTTGATGTAGGAACAGTTGATACTGCTGATTCCATTCGGGACCAGCGTGTTATTACCTCCTATCACAGAGATCCTCGAAAGCTCCCTGGTGCGGAGAAGTTGATCCCGATCCTAGGCTCCTCTGCGAAAGAAAGCCTAACGTACTTACGCGCTCACCACGCTGTTTGCACCGCCGATGCTCCGTGGAAAGATACGGTGTTTCCGGACGGTTTCTTATCTGAACTTCCGGCCGAAAACGAGCGTACAGAGGACCAAACTCACGAGCTAGATGCTGCGAACATCATCCACGAGCTACCCGCTGATGAAGCTCCAATCTTTGAGCTTCCGGGGTCGATTCCGGAAATATCGCGAACAGAGTGTCAACGGCTAGGACAAAGTGCACAACTGCCTGTTCGTGAAGACGAGCAACTACCCGAACGTAGACGAGGCTCTGTATTTGCCCCTGAGGTAGTTGAAACTACTCAGGGCAGGGCGGATGATATTGTCGTACCTACCACTACCAGACCGGTCTACCCGGCCAAGACCTATGAAGGTTTAATTCCGACCGAGTCGGAGTTCATTGGGAATTCGGAAGCGCCTGGGACAAACCCGATATATGCATCCCCGATATCGATGGATGATCCCAAAGGCCAGAAAATCCAAGAACTCCTTTGCAAACGGCCAAAAAAACCTACATTGCCACGAAAAGACAACAAGGAGAACACCTTCCCATATTTGCATCCTTCTCATGTCCCGCATTTAGAGACATTAGTTTTGACTGATGTTCCGTCCCATGTGCCAGTAAACTCTCCAATTTTGAGGTCTTTAATCCGCTTCATAACAGATTGCTCAAATGAAGCGTTGCTCGCAATTCTCCAAGCAGGGTCGGACTATTCGCTTCCTCCTGGTCGAGCTCGAGCCAAAGCTGAACAGGAACGATCTCGGTCTCTTTTTGCGCTGCGCCGCTTGGTACTTGAAGTAACCCCTGTAGAGAAAACGATCGCTAAATTAACTGCGTGGAAATCGTTGAGTTACCAACAAGGAGCTTCAAAGTCAAGTACTGGGGATCGAGATTCTGAGAAGCTATGGGCAGCAGCAGCGGACGACTTTAGTTTCTTCGGTGAAGATGAGTGTGGGGTGCCGGAACAGGGTCCAGGGAGGTACTTTCCGATGGCTGTCCTCAACGAAAAGGTTATATTGAATCCAGATGATGAATCGGGAAATTCGGAAGATTCAACACCCGTTGCTCCTGTACCGAAGGTGCACCGCCCAAACTTCAGTTCATCACATGGCCGGCGGCTGCGTTCCGACTCTATCAACTCTGGGCTAGTGCAGGAGAACGGCGGCGTGGTATTGCCTCAAACCGATGCCCCGGAGGTAGACCTTGTCGCAGAATTGGCTGCTTTCCGACGCTTAAAGAAAGCTGAATATGAAGATTTGTTGCGCAGAGCTCGGAAGAGGAGAAGCACAAACGGCACAACTTCACTTCTCTCCCCATCGGGCTCCCTATCATCGTTCGGACCATTGTGTCCTTCTCCGAGTCTGTCTAGCTTGGCGGCGGTCTCAGCTCCTCAACTGGCTCTGTCGCATTATGTGGAAGGATATTGGAAAGGGGAAGTGAAAATTGTCCGAAACCCCGCCCCCAAAGGCCGGAGTGGAGTCGTGGATATGTATGGGAATTACTTTGAGAAAGGATATTTGTATCCTTAAGCCTTTCACAGTTTCATGTCGAACATATTGATTGCCCTGCTTGGAAGTCACTATTTGCCTGCGAGCAATGTATTTACTGGGCTGCGTGCTTTAACCTGTGCTATATAGACCTGCGAGATCAGGTTGAATACCACACGACAAACATGTCCTGTTGAATGGACTGTGTTATACTTCTGCGTAGTCCACATCGAAGTATGCATGCGTAATACCGATTAGGCTCTACAGTTGTGGGACATGAACCAAAGGTCATATAGCTACGTACTAGGGCCGCTCGGCTTTTCTACGGAAATGCAGATATAAAGTCGTTGGATTGTCTTGTCATTTTCTCTTTCAGTCGTTATGTAAACTTGGATTCCTGTTCGTCACCAAGTCAAAACGTCGACATACAAAGGAATCATGATAGCCCTTGGTCGAACCAAATGGGTGCATCCGGTTCCCGTCTCCACTGGGCTGAGTTCGTTTACCTTTCTTGAACAGTATATGTTTAGAATTTGTTTTTGTTTTATTGCGTCTCCTGCCCACGGGCGACCCATAATGCAAGCCTTGGTCCCCAAAACTGAAACCCATTCATTCCATTTGAACCGAGTAAGAAAGTCTGTTCAGTTAAGAAACAAGAAAAGAAACAAGCCTTTAAACTAATCCCATTTTTCTCTTCTGTTTCCCTTCCTTACATAGCCTTAGCGGCCTGAGGGGGGTTCAGCTTCTTGCCGTCCTTGTTGTACCTGATGCGAGGGGGAGGGGCACGGTTGCGACGACCTTCCCGGGAACGGACACTATAGGAATATCCGTCAGCTTGGTTCAACTTTCCCTAGTATTCCAGAGATGTCGAAGGGGTCTGTCATAGTCGAGGGATGAGTGCGTACCGAACTATCTTGCCGTGGATAGCGCAGGAGACACAGTACTGCAGCTTGAGGTACATCTTGGGGACGGCGTAGTCGGTGAAGACGGAGGCGTCAGAGATATCACCTGTAGAGTAGAAATCGCCAAGTTAGCGCCAGTTGCGGTTGGAAATCGCTTCCCACCAATTCCTGCGTCGGCTGTTGCCCTTTTCTTTCATGCTTCCTTTTCTTGATTCTAGCTTCGATTCCAGCTCTTCCGAACAACAGCGCGCGCGGGCGAAATTGGTTCAATTGTTGGTGTCAGGTTCGAACATACGGATGGCAGCGGACTCAACCATGTTGCGGATGGTGAATCTCTTGATGGCCTTGTCCTTGGGAGTGCACCGAGCGCAGTTGGAGCAGCGCACGGGCTTGACGTGGCCGCGGCCGTTCTTGTTACGACCGCTGTAAATCCGTTAGTTTTTCTGATTCCATAAATGGTCCTCTTCCATTTTCGATCCTTTTGAATATAATAGAACACTCGTCGGTAGCCGGGTTCCCACGGGCATGTAGAATAGACCGGACCGTAGGCGTTATATCATTTTAAGGCACGCATAGAATGAAATCGGACGGGTATAGGAAATAGGGTCGGTCCTTACTTGTTCGCCCTCTTCTTGACCATCTTGACGGCTTTTCTCTGGAACTATGGGTCAGAGAATGAAGAGTCAGGGGGAAGGGGGAGGTTGTCGCGTACTTGGCTTGTCGGGTTTGGTTGTCGTGAAGCACCGGAAGACTCGTGATGAGGTTGTGCGTGGCCAGTCATGTGCAAAAAGCCCTATGCCCTTAAGCGAGACCGGGGTCACGGGATGCTGTGGTGCCTGAGGCGACAATGTGGCATGGTGCCTGAGGCCAGAACTAAAGGGGATCGATCCGCCCGCCGACATGGCCTGAGGCGACCAGGGCCAAGGCAGGGATTGGGGACATATGATCTGTTCACGTGCCGATCCTCCTGTCTAACTTGACAATGCCGAGAAACTTACGATACACCAATACGGGTACTTTGTTTACATTCATAACAGGCCAATGGTCCCATTTTGTGCCGTAAACTAACAGCTAATAGTTCGTCCACCCGACGAGTCTAAACCCACTCGAGGCCCCCTGTTTGCCCGTAACTTTCTCGTTGGCGTTCAATTTATCGTGTCTCTCTTCCTTCTCTTTCCCTTACTTTGACCTCTGCTTCATCGCGAATCGAGACTTGACGCTGTACCTTTCTCCGCTCCTTAAATCTTTAACTCCCTTTTACCCCCTCCAATTCACCCTCTCCCCTCTCATACCCGCCGACTATCAACTCGTTGTGTAACTGTACCTGCAGTACCGCTGGTTGACAATATGTCGGCCACTGGAACGTACAGGGGGACTACTACTGGCCACAAGACTGTTGGTAGAGGTAGGCTGCCCGACTTCGATAGTCCGGCATCCCACATTCCGCGCCCTCGGCCTGATACCACTTCTTCTTCCTCCACACCCACTCCTCACACTCCTTCCAGCGATATTGGAAGTTCAACCATGAGTGCAGCCAGCAGACAAAGACAGAACCAGTCAAAGCGAGATGAGGTATGGTCTTCTTTCCCCTCGGTTACATGGCATGATACTCTAGAGCTTTTACAGAGCTTTAATTCTTTCACATCCTTTTTTCCCCTTCACCGTACCTTTTTTAACTGCCTGTCTTACCCTCCATTTTTCCAAACCCAATTGTATCTTGAAATAATGAAAACAGTTATACAACTCTCTGCTCTTATTCTAATGCCCCATTCAGGCTATCCGCCGAAAGATGGAGGCGGACCTCAACAAGAAGAGCAAAGCCCCAGCAAAGGCGCATCGCTCTCGGAAAGCTCCTCCAGGAACCGTTCTCGCCCTGAAACCTAGTCAAGCTCTTCAAATCAAGCCTAACACTACCATTGCGGAGGCCGCTCAATTGATGGCAGCGAAGCGGGAGGACTGTGTCCTAGTTACCGACGATGATGATCGCATCGCCGGAATTTTCACTGCGAAGGATCTCGCGTTTCGTGTAGTGGGCACCGGTCAAAAGGCTCGAGATATCACGGTCGCCGAGATCATGACCAAGAACCCCCTGTGCGCAAGAACCGATACTAGTGCAACCGACGCACTTGATCTGATGGTCAGGAAAGGTTTCAGACATTTGCCCGTTATGGATGAGAACCAGGATATCTCAGGTGTTCTCGATATCACCAAGTGCTTCTACGATGCGATGGAGAAGTTAGAGCGTGCCTATAGCTCCTCCCGCAAGCTATACGATGCATTGGAAGGTGTACAGACAGAACTTGGCTCCAGTCAGCCCCAGCAGATTATCCAGTATGTCGAAGCTCTACGTTCGAAGATGTCCGGACCAACTCTCGAAAGCGTCTTGGATGGCCTGCCCCCGGTTACAGTCTCTGTTCGTACTTCCGTGAAGGAAGCTGCTTCTCTGATGAAGGAACACCACACCACAGCCCTTCTAGTCCAAGACCAGGGCTCAATCACCGGTATTTTCACCAGCAAAGATATTGTGTTGCGTGTAATTGCTCCTGGTCTCGACCCGTCCACATGCAGTGTTGTTCGCGTCATGACTCCTCATCCTGATTTTGCTCCCACTGACATGAGCATTCAAGCTGCGCTCCGGAAGATGCACGGTTAGTCATGACCACCATATATTGTCTGAATATACAGCCTGACTCTTGCTTTTTCTTTCATAGACGGTCACTACTTGAACTTGCCAGTTATGAATGAGGCAGGCGAGATTGTTGGAATGGTCGACGTGCTGAAGCTCACATATGCCACCTTGGAACAGGTTAGTAAATGAACATGGTACATGGAAGGTTCAGGATAGTGTCTAAACAGGTTTAGATCAACTCGATGTCCACGCAAGATGACGAAGGGCCGGCATGGAATAAGTTTTGGTTGTCTATGGATCACGAGTCCGATTCAATGGTCTCCGGTAGCCAACAGCCCAATCATCGGTCAGTACTCAGTCCTGAGTCTCCGAAGGCTAGTTATGACGCCAGAGACAGTGTGCTTCCTAATGAGTCTGCCTCTCACCACGGCGGTGATGAGCACTCTGAATACATTGACCACCATCAACATCACTCTAACGGCGACACTGTTCCGTTCCCCTTCAAATTCAAGGCCCCAAGTGGCCGCGTTCACCGAGTTAATGTTCTTCCATCTGCCGGCGTTGCCGAATTAGTCGCTCAAGTTACGGCCAAGCTAGGCTCTGAGGTGGAAGCTGTCGGCGGTACGGCAATCTGTGAAGAGGGCAAACTTAGCAACACGGGATATGCCCTGAGTTACCTGGACAACGAGGGAGATACTGTCTCAATTACTACTGATCTGGATCTGGCTGATGCGGTGACTTTGGCACGCCAGTCACGTCGGGACAAGGTTGATCTCTTTGTCCACGACCCTACACAGCCTCCAATTCCCGTTACTCTCGAACCCCAACCTGCACCTGTCAAGACCGTGGAGGAGAAGAGCTCTCCAGCCCCAGAGGATGAGTTGTCAGAAGAATCACCTGTGTCTAAGCCCCGATCTCAGACATTCTCATCACATCAACCGGAGGAGCAATTCATTACTGGAGTGCCTAACGATCTACTTCTGCCCGGTGCGATTGTCACATTGGCAGCCGTGATTGCGGGTGTTTTCGTTTTGAGCCGAGCCACTGCACGGTGATGTATTTCTAGCGAGTATTGTTTGATATGGTTGGATCTGTGGGACTGCTGTACCTAGTTCCTTTTTTATCTTTTTGTCAGTGTAACCCAAGAGCGCTATTTCTCTGCTTCTTTGGCCTGTTTTAAATCTTCCCCATCTTTTACCCCTTCGAACTATTTCTTGCATTGTTAACTTAATCTTCTGATATGAACTGTTCGGATACCGTTTCTGTTATTAGTGAGAGCATAGTGATTAGAGGGCATAGAACTATTGGTTTGATCTAGATCAGTTGTGAGAATAGTATATAGTAGACTAGTAGTATAGTATAGTATAGTGATCATTGCAGCTAGTAATATTTGCTATGCAATGTTGTTAATAGTCGTCGATAGTCGATAGGATGCTTACTGGCAGTTTGTTGTTGGTTCTGCAGTGATGCCTGGATGCCTGGGAGCGGCCACATCAGGTCTAGCGCGGCGTGGCCTCGAATCGCTGGAATTTTTTGGTTGCTCAGTTCCCTCATTCCCACATCCATTATTCGCTCCCTCGCGAACCTCTAATTCTCCCCTCCAGTTCGTCAGCAGCTCTGTACCCAGCTGGGATGCTGAGCCTGCGTTCGAGCTGTGTGTATTCTTGAGAGATATCCCATTTACTGACCTTGAGTACGGGTCTTTGGACACTATTTCCCCCTCTATATCCCCCCACCAAAACAATTACAGAAAAACCTATTTAACCACTACCCCGCTCACCGCTTGGGTTCAGCACTAAGCCGCGTCTTAACGCCTTCCTGGATCGCGATTTACTCGGTTTCACTCGCCTGGACTTTTCCAGTTTAACCCAAGCGACATGTCCTTGCTACCCCCCGAGGTCCACTCTGCGCTCTCGCAGCTACTGCGCGCGCTAACCACCCCGGACAACACGGTCCGTACCCAGGCGGAAGAACAGTTGAATAATGATTGGATTCAAGGTCGCCCGGATGTCCTGTTGATGGGCTTGGTGGAACAGATTCAGGGCGCAGAGGATGTAGTAGTAAGTGTCTCGAAATTGGAAATACGAGGGGAAAATGTGGCATGAAAGCGCCGAGATGGATCATCTTACTCCAAGACCGCCTCTTTCACCACAATGGGTCCTGATCCTCATTCTTATTGATTCCCACAGGCACGTACATTCGCCGCGGTACTGTTCAGGAGAATATCCACCAAGACGCGGAAAGACCCTGTCACAAATGAAGCCAAGGAGCTCTTCTCGACCCTTTCCGGAGAACAACGCCTAGTCATTCGACAGAAACTGGTGACTTGCTTGACGACTGAGACTGTGACAGACGTCCGGAAGAAGATCGGCGACGCCGTCGCTGAAATTGCGAGACAGTACACGGATAACGGTATGCACAATGGACGACTTAGAAGACCCTAGTTTGACGACTTTTCTAGGTGACCAATGGCCTGAGCTTCTCGGGGTCCTTTTCCAGGCCAGCCAGTCTCCCGATGCTGGCTTGCGCGAGGCCGCATTCCGCATTTTCTCGACCACCCCCGGTATCATCGAAAAGCCCCACGAGGATGCCGTTCAAGGTGTGTTCGGTAAGGGCTTCAAGGATGACGTTGTATCTGTATGTCTACTCCCCCCCCCCCAAATCGTCCGTAAATAGCACATTTTTTTGACTAACTGTTTGCAGGTGCGCATCGCTGCCATGGAGGCTTTCGCTTCATTCTTCCGCTCGATCTCAAAGAAATCCCAGCCCAAGTTTTATCAGCTTGTACCGGACCTCCTCAATGTTTTGCCTCCCCTGAAGGAGTCCTCCGAGAGCGACGAGCTTTCTGCGGGTTTCTTGGCTCTCATTGAATTGGCCGAAATCTCTTCGAGGATGTTCAAGAGCGTGTTCAACAATCTGGTCAAGTTCAGTATCAGCGTGATTTCTGATAAGGACCTGAGTGATCAGGTTCGCCAAAACGCCTTGGAATTGATGGCCACATTTGCGGATTACTCTCCCAACATGTGCAAGAAGGACCCTGAATTTGCGCAGGAGATGGTGACCCAATGTCTCAGCCTTATGACTGACATTGGCATTGATGATGACGATGCTTCTGAATGGAATGCGTCCGAGGATGTAAGTTGTCCACGTTCGCTTTGTGTATTCCGCATATTCTGACCTCTGTAGCTTGATCTGGAGGAGAGCGACCTCAACCATGTGGCTGGCGAACAGTGCATGGACCGTTTGGCAAACAAACTCGGTGGACAAGTCGTTCTGCCCGCCACCTTTGCTTGGATCCCCCGGATGATGTCTTCCTCGGCGTGGCGCGATCGGCATGCGGCCCTCATGGCCATTTCTGCTATCTCAGAAGGCTGCCGCGAACTGATGGTTGGTGAACTGGACCAGGTGTTGGCTTTGGTCGTTCCCGCTCTGCAGGACCCCCATCCTCGTGTCCGCTATGCTGGCTGCAACGCCTTGGGCCAAATGAGCACAGACTTTGCTGGCACGATGCAGGAGAAATACCACGCGATCGTGTTGAACAACATCATTCCAGTTCTTAGCAGCGCCGAGCCCCGCGTTCAGGCTCACGCTGCCGCAGCTCTGGTCAACTTCTGCGAGGAGGCTGAGAGAAAGGTTCTTGAACCTTATCTTGCCGACCTCTTGCGGCACCTTCTGCAGCTCCTGCGTAGCGACAAGCGCTACGTGCAGGAACAAGCTCTTTCCACCATCGCTACGATTGCAGACTCTGCTGAGAATGCTTTCGATCAGTATTATGATACCCTGATGCCTTTGCTGTTCAACGTGTTGAAAGAGGAACAGTCCAAGGAATACCGTCTTTTGCGTGCTAAGGCCATGGAATGCGCTACTCTGATTGCGCTGGCCGTGGGTAAGGAGAAGATGGGACAGGATGCTCTGAATCTGGTGCAGCTGCTGGGCAACATTCAGCAAAACATTGTCGATGCAGACGACCCGCAGTCGCAGTACCTGCTTCACTGCTGGGGCCGCATGTGCCGCGTCTTGGGCCAGGACTTTGTTCCTTATCTCCCCGGTGTGATGCCCCCTCTTCTGTCTGTTGCAGCTGCTAAGGCGGATATCCAGCTGTTGGATGATGAGGACCAGATTGACCAGGTGGAGCAAGATGAGGGCTGGGAGCTAGTGCCTTTGAAGGGCAAGATCATCGGTATCAAGACCAGTGCCCTGGAAGACAAAAATACTGCCATTGAATTGATCACCATCTATGCTCAAATTTTGGAAGCTGCCTTTGAGCCGTACGTGCTAGAGACCATGGAGAAGATTGCTGTCCCTGGTCTTGCCTTCTTCTTCCACGACCCAGTGCGGGTGTCATCGGCGAAGCTGATCCCCCAGCTCTTGAACTCGTACAAGAAGGCACACGGTGATCAGTCCCCTGGATTCGCACAGATGTGGAGCAAGGTGGCTGAGAAGATCATCGAGGTGTTGAGCGCGGAGCCCACAGTTGATACCCTTGCCGAAATGTACCAGTGCTTCTATGAATCTGTTGAAGTGGTGGGTAAAAACTGTCTCACCCAACAACACCTGCAAGCCTTCATCGAGTCGGCTAAGTCGACGTTGGAAGACTACCAGATGCGTGTCAAGGCTCGGCTAGAGGACCGTGCAGAGGCCGAGGACGGTGAAGAGGAGAACTTAGAATACGAATACGCCGTGGAAGACGACCAGAACTTGCTCAGCGACATGAACAAGGCTTTCCACACGATCTTCAAGAACCAAGGCACATCTTTCCTGCCTACGTGGGAGTCTCTGATGCCGTTCTACGATGCGTTCATTACAAGTCAAGACCCAACACAGCGCCAATGGGCTCTGTGCATCATGGACGATGTGCTGGAGTTCTGTGGGCCCGGGTCGTGGAAATATAAGGAGCACATCATGCAGCCGCTAGCCAACGGTTTGCAGGACCAGAATGCCGCCAACCGCCAAGCCGCCGCGTACGGTGTGGGTGTTGCCGCGCAAAAGGGTGGCGAAGCCTGGGCCGATTTCGTTGCGGCCAGTCTCCCCAGTTTGTTCCAGGTAACGCAGTTCAGCCAGTCTCGGACAGAGGAGCATGTGTTCGCGACTGAGAATGCTTCTGCCAGTATTGCAAAAATCCTGCACTACAACGCAAGCAAGGTGCAGAACCCTCAGGAGATCGTGGCTAACTGGATCACGACGCTACCGATCACATTTGACGAGGAGGCGGCACCATACGCCTATTCATTCCTGGCTCAGCTCATTGACCAGTAAGTTTCTTCACTAATAACTGTACCAGACACTACTAACTGACGATACAGACAAAACCCCATTGTCATGTCCAATGCCGACAAGGTGTTCGGATACATCGTGCAGGCACTGGAGGCGGAGACCTTGCAAGGACAGACGGCTGGCCGGGTGGCTAACTCGGCGAAACAGCTGGTGGCTGCCACCGGGCTTAACGCAGACCAGATCCTGGCTGGTGTAAACCCAGATAACCAGGCGGCAGTGCGAAGTTATTTCCAGTAGACTGGGATGATTGCAGGGATTGTCTATGATATGGATCTTTGTTGATTTACTTTTTACGAGCCTATAGCGTCTATAACGGACTTTAGGGATGTCATTGAATGAGATTATTGCAGATACACACAAAACCATGTTTCCTCCCCCATATATACAAGGGATATAGCTATGTTATATAAATTAAGCCACCATCTCCAGAATCTCCAATACCTGGCGCTTCTCCGTCAACGGCAAGGGATTCGTCTTACACCACCGATCATGTAAACTATTCTCCGCCAGCTGCTCCAACTGATCGCGTCCGACACCAACATCTTTCAACGACCGAGGCATGCCCAATTCCCTAATCACCGCATCCAACACATCCCCCAGGTCGACCTTCTCCCCATCTAACCCCCTCCTCTGCAAGACCTCCCTAACAGCTTCCTGCCTCAAAAGAAATCCCTTCACCCTCTCCTGCCGCTCCCCATTCGCCCCATGCCGCGCATTATACTTACAAACCGCCGGCAAAAGCACACAACTCGTCTCCCCATGCCCAACCCCCAAGGGCCCCAACTGATGCCCAATCCCATGACTGGCCCCCAACTCCACCCCAGCCGTACAAGCAGCCATAGCATCCACAGACCCCAGCTGACACTGCAGCCTCGCGTCCACGTCCTCCCGATCAACCCGACACCTCAACAACCCCGGCACCAACAGCCCCAGCGCATGCAACGCAAGCCCATCCGTCTTCTCACTCGTATTCTTCACCGCAACGAACGTCTCGATGCAGTGATCGACCGCGCGGATCCCCGTGCTTAGCCAAATGTGATCGGGCGTTGTGGTTGTTATTTTCGGGTCCAGGATGACGAGCTCCGGGCCCTTGGTCGGATACTGGAAGGCGTGTTTTACCTGAGTTTCGTCATTGGTTGCTCCCGCGAAGTTGCTGTATTCGCCGGCGGAGAGCGTCGTTGGGATACTTATTATGGGAACTTGAGGGGGGTGGAGGGTTGGTTGTTGGGAGGGACCGGAGGGTAGTTTGGAGAGGTCGGATGTTGTTTGAACGTTGTTAGATAGGGCCTTGTTGAGTTCTTGTTAGTTGGGGTTCAGCAAACCTAACTACTGTATAGATCTTGTTTCGTGTAGAGAAGAATAATGAAATATGAGATAAGACAAGGATACTTACTACAGCTACTACTTTTGCTCCGTCTGTCAGACTCCCTGCCCCGACTGTTAGTAGTAGATCTGCCTCTGTTTGCCTTGCTTCGTGGACGATCTCTAGTATCTCGGACCAGTATGTATGGCTCTTCATCCCGATCCGGGTCCCCACTATCTTGTCTTTACCGATGGATGCGGTTAGTTGGACCAGCACGTCTGTGTTTCGGGCGAGTGAGCCCGAGCAGATAATGTAGATTCGAGATGCGTGAAAGATGTCGTTGATGTGTTTTGAGGCCGCGGTTTCGAAGGGGACGCCATAGGACAGGAGGGGGCGGGGTCGGTCGGCGAAGGCTGTGCGGAGGGTTTCCATGTTGCCTTCTTTTCTTTGTTTTGCTTGGAATGATGTGGTGTTTGATGAGGTTTTTGATGGTGGTGATGGTTTGTATAAATAAAATGGTGTTTTGTATGAACGATGAAGTCAGATCGATGTATTACAGTGGAGGTGTGGGGCTGGTGGGGGCTGAGCGGAGCGGAGGTCTTGGTATCTACTTATACTCGGTACAAAAATGGTAGAAAACGTGGAATTTTAAATAATTAAGCAGTGGTATATGTATACTCTAATCAGATTTTCCCGCCTTTTGCGCCAACAAGTTCAATGCACTTCCTGCCAGGATAAATGCACTCTGATCCGGACTCAGAGTGTGCTTTACTGGGATCTCCACTGTCTCGCCCGTCCGCTTGGTCACCTGCAGCTTGATAGAGCCCTGTCCGCCTGCCTGCAGGGTTTCGTACAATCCCACCGTGTCTACCTGGTCGCATGCGTCGATGCGGTCGTAGTCGGCGGGGTTCTCGAAAGTCAAAGGCACGACACCCTGCTTCTTGAGATTGGTCTCATGGATACGAGCAAAGCTCTTGGAGAGAATGATGCGTCCACCCAGGTAGCGGGGTTGCAGTGCGGCATGTTCACGTGCGCTACCCTCACCGTAGTTGTCCTCGGCGACCACCAGCCACTCAATGCCCTCAGCCTTCCATTGCGCGGCCAGGTCAGGGATGGAGTACTGCTTGCCGGCTTCGTCGTAGGCAACATTGGTCTCACCAGTCGCGGCGTTGACAGCACCGATCAGAGTGTTGGCGGAGATGTTGGGAAGGTGACCCTTGTATTTCAGCCATGGGCCAGCGGCGGAGATGGTATCCGTCGTGCATTGGCCCTTGACCTTGTAGAGCACTTTCAAGCCGGACAGGTTGCCCTTAGGGAACGGCGCAAATGGCTCCAACAGGGCCAGTCGATCCGAAGTGGGAGAAACAACCACTTCGCAGCTTGCGTCGGGGACCGCCGCGGAGGGCTGGAAGTTAGGGTTGCCATCCTCGAAGCCATCTCCGGGCAGGGCGTGGCCAGTCGGGGGCTCGAACCGGAACTCCTCACCGCTTGGGGTCGTCAAGCTGTCAGTCATAGGGTTAAAGGTAGTGCGGCCAGAGTACGCCAGTGCTGTGACAAGCTCCGGAGAGGCAAGGAAGTTCATTGTCTGGCGGTTACCGTCATTACGGCCGGGGAAGTTGCGGTTGTAGGAAGTAAAGATGGCGTTATCTTCGCCCTTAGCGACGCCATCAGTCCGCTTCCACTGACCAATGCATGGCCCGCATGCATTAGCCAGGACAGTACCGCCGGCGGAGGCAAAGGTAGAAAGCGTCTGGTCGCGGTCAAGGGTCGCTCGAATCTGCTCACTGCCTGGGGTGATGAAGAAATCCGCCTTGGGTTTGAGACCGGCAGCAGAGGCCTGCTTGACTAGGTCCTCAGCACGGGTCATGTCCTCGTAAGAGCTGTTCGTGCAGCTTCCGATCAGGCCAGCTCCGAAAGTCTCGGGCCACTTCTTCTCGCGAACGGTATCGGCAAAGGCAGACAGGGGGACGGACAGATCCGGCGTAAATGGTCCGTTGATATGTGGTTCCAGTGTTGACAGGTCAATAGTAATTAGCTGGTCGTATTCGGCGCCATCGTCGGCGCGAAGTAGATTCTTGGGGCCTGAAGCGGCGATATCGGCGGCTGCCCTAGCTACATCTCCACGATGCGTCGCCTGTAGATATGGGACCATGCTAGGAGAGAAGGGGAACACCGAAGTCGTGGCGCCCACCTCAGCACCCATGTTGCAAATAGTAGCTTGACCTGTGCAGCTAAGAGTTTCCACACCGGGTCCATGATACTCAATTATGGACCCCGTTCCTCCACGCACGGTAAGCTTGCCTGCCAGATGCAGGATAATGTCCTTAGGAGCAGCCCAACCGTTGAGTTTACCCTCCAGTCGCACACCCAAGACACGAGGCGCCTTCAGCTCCCAAGGAGCATCAACCAGCGCATCGACGGCGTCAGCACCACCAACACCAATTGCGATAGCGCCGAGCCCGCCTGCATTCGGGGTGTGACTGTCTGTACCCAGCATCATCAATCCCGGGGCGGCGTAGTTCTCCAGCACGCTCTGGTGGATAATGCCAGCACCGGGGGGCCAAAATTCGATACCGTAGCGTTTGGCGGCACTCTCCAAGAAATCAAACACCTCGCTGTTGCCCTTGATAGATGCAGGCAAATCTGTGTCTGCACCGCGCTCGCCCACAATCATATGGTCGCAGTGGATACTGGCGGGAACTGCGGTGGATGGGAGACCGCACGACATGAATTGCAGTAGTGCCATCTGGGCTGATGCATCTTGCATCGCCACACGGTCCGGCTTCAGCTTCAAGTTCGCCTTGCCGCGAATGTCACGTCCATTATCCGTGCCGGTTAACAATGACTCCTCGGGGTTGGCCAGATGGGCGTAGAGGATCTTTTCCGCAAGTGTGAGAGCTCGCGACGAACCCAAGACTCGACGAACTTCCTCCAAGTTGCGCAATATTTTTGGGTAAGGGGGCATGCGAGAAGGGATCGAAGAAGCCTCCGTGGCCAGACCACGGCGGCTGAACAGTCGTTGTGGGGGAAGGCATCTCGGAGCCAGCTAATGATTCATACCGGAGGTTAGCCCACGGGATGCATATAGATCGGCGAGTCAGGAGGCAGCCATTGGGTTACTCACCCTACGAGAGGCGGTGATCCGTTGCCAAGCAAGCTGCCTTACCATCGTGCTGCCTGAAGACAAGTGAATAGGAGGAAGAAAGAAGACTTGAACTGAGTTCGATGGCGATATTCTTTTATTTGGCTATCTTTTACCTGGCCTCTGATTGGCCCACCCCTTCGCCGATGCCGGGCCGACATTCCAAGCGGTCGTTCTTACCGTACTGTACACGGAGCCCATGTGCAAACTGCCAATGTCCGCCAGTTTTCAGGTATGGTACGGTATTACTAGTTTGATAAGTTTTGATATTAGTAGATTTGATGACAACTAGTACTGCAATGCGCCTGAAAAATAGGGAGGAAACGCCGGTATAGATCCCAGAAACAAACTACCGCACTATCGAACAAAACCAAGTTCGTCACACCAAATACCTCCAGGTCGCCGCCATTTAATACATGAGATACGGTAAGGAAAAGGATCAATCAGGCGTCATCGTCCACCACAGCCGCCCGCAGCTCCCATACAATGTCATAGCATTCGGCTAATAATGCATTCACGCTGCCCTGTCCTTCGGGGATGTCGCTGCCCACGTAGAACTTGCCGTCCACCCGCATGTTGTCAATAGAATTGAGCTAAATTCGAGTTAGTGATTGTTCCTGCACTGCTGGTATCTCAAACCCGCAAACGTACCTTCATACTATACGGGTACAGCTCACGTGAGTTTGCCACGCCGCCGGACTCTTTGACCTCAAGGAGACAGCGCTTCAACGTTTGAAGTTGGTTATAGACCGGTAACAACGCCTCAGATACCGGTTCTGACGAGATTAAAAGCGCGTAAATGTATGCATAGCTCCTCCGAATCAAGTATAGAAGGGTCTGCAAACTCAGGTCAACACATACACAGTTCCTAGCATGGACTAAGTACCTACCCGCTGCGCATGAATATCTGCCAGTTGCCCTTCCGCATCGACAAAGTTACCATGCACGCGTGCCTCGTCAATGCGATCGAGCTTCCGTTGGTAACCAAACAGATCCGTCTCGCGGAGGGACCAGGCTTGTGTTACAGAGAGCCGGTCAAGCTGATTGCGAATGTCGACCAGTCGCTCGTATTGGTCTTGGAACCGCTCATCAATCTTTCCCTCCCTGTTGGGGTTAGCAAAGTAAAACGATGGTAGAACATAGAGACAAACGCACCGTTGCAAGACGATCTCAGTCCATAACCAACAGCGTTCCAATAAACCTTTCACACTGTCATTTCCCGGCAGAGGTTGCCCATCGGCACCAACAAAGTTGCCATCTTTCAAGGAATCCTGAACCTTCTTCAGCTGATCTCGTAGACTATGTACCTCGGATGCGGAGAACTAAAATGAGCTCAGTCAGTGTGTTTAAGTGTACGTGACAAAACAAGTGCATACCTTCGAACGAGTGTTAACGGCAGACGTTGAGCGCAGGATTGACACAAGCGTCTCATGTGTAGCCACAAGCTCGGGGCTCAGCTGAGCAAGACCACTCTGCAGCTTCTCTAACGAAAGTTGGCATTTGTCGAGACGGCTCTCCAAAAGTGTCAACAAGGCGGGCGAATACGCATCGCGACAGCGATCGAGAGTTTCATGCACATGGGCAAGGGTCTTGGTGATGGAGCTGAGATCTTTAGAACTATAAAAGCCAGCTTCTTGGAGATGATCAAGAAGTCTCTACCTTGACGTTAGAAAGCGCGAGGGAGGGAAGAGGGTGTCTTGTCTCAAATCACCTGAACTGTGGAAGCCAAAGAGTACCTTCAGCGCAATCAATCATCAGCCTCGATCAGATCTTGATAAAAATTACGACAATGGGAAGCACATACACCGCAGGAGCTTCGTTGTTCCGTCCAACCGTTAAGAAGAGTAGGGAGATCAATTGGAAGCAGTCGTCCAATACATAATCAACTAGAAGTCCCGGAGAGACATCAGGAGTCAGCCAACTTCTTCTCGTACCATCTACGCTCAAACGCAAGGCCCACTCAGTGCTAACGTCGGTTATGTGGTAGCCGGCGGTCTTTCCCCTTCCGGACGGCATTGAGCTTTTCCACCTCTGTAATCACCTCTTCATATAGCGGGAGCACATCGCGAGACTTGATATAGGAGGATTTATCCTGCTTGAGGAGTAGGAGAGCGTCACGAGTGCGCAGTAGACGGTCGAGAATTGGTCGTTCTTGCGGATCCAATGGAGCGGGGGCGGCGGGAGAATCCATGACGCCGGAGCGGGATATTGTAACAAGGGTAGTTAGATAGTGAAGGTTCCTAGGAGAAGTTATAGATCGGGTTGGATATAGAATAGAGGGTATATTTATATGATCGAACTTCTTTTTGGAAAAATCAAGAAAATAAAATAACCGGGGTGGGGGGAAATATACGGCAATAATTCGACCTGTGAGACTAAACTGCATCATGCGGATAAAGATGCGATCAGACGATGATGGCATGTATTTCCTCTTTCGGACTAGCGTGTAGTCACGGGAGGGGTGTTGGCGCTAAGCCGGAACAAGACCCTAAGCGAGCCCTAGGTGCACACAGTACCAGTTCCGCTCTGGGCGCCTACCGGACTCTCAAAGATAGGCCGAGTTAAAAGTCTCCCGTCTTCCTCTCTCTTTCCTATACCCATCCCTCTCGAGACTCCAGTCCAGTCAACGACCCCATCGACCACCATGTCTACTGCCGAGCTCGCTTGCTCCTACGCGGCCCTCATCCTCGCCGATGATGGCGTCGATGTCACCGTACGTATTATCCTTGGATTTTGAGTTGGTATTCTGGGATGCCGGGTGAACAACAAGAAGTTGTCGCAAAGAGGAAAATTACGGGCGATGTCGAGATTTGAGATATAAAAGAAGATTTGCTCTAGGAACCCAGGCTGATCTTATCTTTTCGTTCACAACAGGCCGACAAGCTCCAGACTCTCCTGACTGCCGCCAAGGTTCAGGACGTTGAGCCCATCTGGACTTCCATCTTCGCCAAGGTAAATATTCGACAATCTTCGAGCGACAGGTAGAAAAACGCGAGGTTCAATTCAGCAACTTACACTCCATTTTCTTAACAGGCTCTTGAGGGCAAGGATATTAAGGATCTCCTGACCAACGTCGGCTCCGCCGGTGCTGCTGCCCCTGCCGCCGCCGCCGCCGGTGGTGCTGCTGCTCCCGCCGAGGCTGCTGCTGAGGAGAAGAAGGAAGAAGGTAACGCTTCGATCCATGAAGAGTCTGCGAAGGTGGGCGGAGTGCTGACTTTCGCAAACAGAGAAGGAGGAGTCCGACGAGGACATGGGCTTCGGTCTTTTCGACTAAGCGTCTTCACCCGTTCGGCTTTCCTAATTTCCTTTATCTCCTCGTTTCTTCCATATCTCCTTTTCGCCCTCGCATTACTTGTACCCCATACTACGCGACCGCACGATGACCAAAAAGGGAAATTTAAAAGAGATCAACGGACAAGGACATCTGGTGGGACTGGGCGCTTTGCTTGTATGATGGGTTCTTTGACAGGTACTGGAACGGATGACGCTAAGATTCCGGCCATCAGACTTCAGTCGTGGCAAACCTATGGGTCGGGGGCGAGATCATGTTGGCCGTCCTCGTTTCTATATAGAATGTTCCCAGTTTAGCTAGATTCGAGCTTAGGTGCCCAGATCTCATGCCATGTCTGTCATGCGACCATGAACAAAAGGTTTCTGTCTGCATTGTCTGTATAAAAACTATTGATAATTCCCGTTTGCTCCCATTGCCCGCTCTATGGTCAACACATAAGTAGTAGATACAAATATAGTACAAACGCCATACCACCTATAAACCCCGCAACTTTTTTTGTGATCAGAGACACTTGAGACTTTTGATATGGACAATCGATAACGGGTACACGGCTTCGCTCCCGTTGAAAGTCGATCAACGCGCTAAACTATTAGCGTGACTCCTTGTGAAGGGGTAAAAAAGAAATCGATCATGGTCGTGCTGCGGTTGTAGTAGAGTCCGCAACCGCATATAGACGAAACTGTATGAAAATCGCAATATCCTCAACCATCGTGCCTAGTGATCCAAGTAGCCAAGGGATATTCGTAACGATATAGTTCTTATCCGTTGAATGACAGAGGATCTAATTTGTATTACATCGTCAGTCTCAACCATCGTACTAGGAGATACATAAAGAATTGTACCTACCCCAGCGCCATAAGTTAGATTTCCCAAAAGGGAGAGAATGAAGAACAAAAGTGAGAGTCCTATGATTTCAGTCAGCATTGTACATAGTACATACGATGCCCTAAGGTCTAGCGAATACGCACCCTCGCACGATTTGTCTTTCCAATTCTTATAGATCTGCGGAAGACGTGCACTGAAATATGTCAATACTAAAAATCATACCAACTTCTATCGAGTTTAGAAACTCACCCCAGATAGCAGATGGCGCTGAAGTATCCAACCACCTGGGCCCCAACGGCAATCTCAGTGGCACTATCATTCTCCGGAGGCGCCGGCTTCCAGACACCAGATTGCCATGCGATCGTCCATCCACCCATTCCAATCACGCAGATAGCCAGTACACTGCTGAAGTTCTTAACCCAGGCATTGAGACCGGCCTCGTTTTCCTCGACAATTTTCGCCAGCGTGTCGTCGGGCCCATTGGTATGGCCATCCCGGTGTTGCGACGTCCATGACCGGCGACGTGAAGCCGGCGCATCATGAACGCTGTCGCTAAAGCGCCGACCCAGCAAGGGGGTGGTCGGGTCGGGTGTTTCGACGGAGGAACGTCGGCGATGGAAGGTCTGAAGACGCGAGTTGCGCGCCTTATAGTACAGGCATTGCCCGATAAGAACACCGTCCGCGATACAGAAGTAGACTGCGATAGCCACAATGACGGGGACCAGCCCAGCCCAAAGGCCTCCGATTAAGTTGGTTACGTCACCAACGAACCAAACGAATAAAAATACAAGAGAGATGGCTTCTGCGTTGCCATTGCGATAATTCTCGATGAGTTGAGGCACCTGGTGAAACGGTGGTTTAGTAAAACGTCTTCACGGGGACTCTTCGAGTCGCAGCACGGGTCGAGTAAAGGAGGGAGTAGATAACACATACCAGAACAAAGATCCAGCAAGTCAAAGAGATCGATCCCAGGAGCCCGGATGCGGCTTCACGGGTGGTTAACGGTACGGGTTCTGCCGAAGCCATACTGATCTGCGACCACAGTGACGGCATTTTTTTCCTTGGGTGAGCGGTTTGGTTCTCGGGGCGATCAGCTAGGGAGAGAGATAAGGGCACAACCAGTTTTAGTAGCTCTCTCGCGATGTAACGTGACAATCATAGCACATGAGTCACGGAGATAGCGCAGTGGCAAAAGTTCAGAAAATTTCCTGTTAACTTTGCTCTTGGATCAAGATATCCCCGGTCAGTCCCTTGCATGTTGGAAGTAAGGTGACAGGATTGAATTAAGATTTTCTTATAGTTACGGGCGGTTCCGCGGTCTTGTCGAGGAATGTTTTACTAATCTGTATTTCATTGCGGCAGAGAATGTCTCTCGCTTTATCCTTCTTTTTTTTCTTTTTTTTTTCTTGTATAGTGAACAGTTGAATTGTATTATGTGGATAAGATAGAATATTCTAAAATTAACGGCTAGAACTTTATGGCCGATCAAAAATGAATGCAAGTGACTGAAAGCGGAAGCCTTGGTATTTTATTCTGTAGGGACAGGGAAGACGTTTGCCCTAACCGCTTCTCTAGTTCTTTATATATAATTACAAACATCGACCCCACAGTCTTATTTCCCAGTGTATATTTTCTATAGTGGATGGTATTCTTAGTTCAAAGGAAAGTCCTTGTATCAATTACAAGGGTACAATATCCTCGCCTGTTTACATCAGACCATAGCAACTACGATTTTAAAGGGTTGAAATTCACTAAGGAACAATCGAGCTTATGGTATGAGGAGGAAAATAGAGGTATATCATTCCTTCGCTATGCATGCATCAGGGGTGCATATAATCACACCTCCTCATCTTCGTCATATTCCAGCAGCTGAAGTTCATCCTCCAACAAATCTATCACCATCTCGCCCATAGAGTCACGAATCGAGCCGTGCAGTAAGCTTTGTCGAGTATCAGCCTGGAGGGCGTTCAAAGCATCCACATACTCGGTTATGGGCGAGTAGTCGACTACCTCCCCCCAGTTACCGCGATCGACGCCATACTGGCGCAAAAAGGCTTCTAGGCTGTGCATTCCATCTGCTAGGAGCCATTGCTCAAGCAGTGGCTGCTGATCAGCGCTAGGGTGTGGACGTGCATGATTAGTCTCGCCTTCAATCTCACCAGGTAAAGCATCGTCATCATCATCATGCACGTCTTCACCGCCGGGTTGGAACCGAGGAAAACGAATAGCGCCATTGTTCATTTGATCAAGAAGGCCGCGTAGCCACTGTGGGCGATCTGCCTCCGGTACCCGAGATAAATATGATGGGGTGGGATCTGACTGTTGGCGAAAAGCTTCCGAGTCATAGGGAGGGAGCGGGTCGGACGCTGATATCCGCCCTGAGACAAAGCGCGCAGGTAGATGCGTCGTAACTCTAGGAATGTCTGACAGCACCACATGGCGGGCGATGTCAAGCGTGATCTCAGGCGGTTCAATTGGCTCTTCTTCTTCTGCCAATGTATCTGCAACTTCCACGATCAGCGAGATAGCTTCGGGTGTGTTCCAGAGATCCTTGGCCCGGGTAATGTAAAGCTCCGTGAATAAGTCATGGGCGTCAGTCGGCGGCATCTTGCCCCAGATCTGTTTCGGCATGGGTTGGACATCAAGCTCTTGTGCAAGTTTGCAAAACACCCATGGATAACGTGACATGGCAAGACGAAGCTGCTCTCGACACTCCTTGGGCTTGTTCACACGGAGGTAAGCCAGTACGAGTGAGCATTGAATGTTTGGCAGAGAAGCCCAGTCCTCACTCAATCGGGTTTGTGTACAAAGTTCAATGAATTGGGAATACTCTCTGCCCCTTAGGGCCAAATGATCGATCAAAAGCCTGATGCAGTATGGATCACTGTCACTGAGACTCAGTAACAGCTTAGCCCACTCATAAGCGGTCCTCCAAGTTCCCTTCATTCCAAGGTTGGTAATATACCTCCAACCTACGAGCCACAGCTCACGATTCGCCATATGCGCAAAGTCCAGCCTTGCCTGACCTTCCTTAAGGCGGGTACCGAACGATGAATGAGCCGATCGTCCAATGTTGAAAAGTGCCCGTTCAAGAAGGTCGGCGGAGACAGCATGGTCACCTTGATGCTTGGCTATTTCGGAAACTTGGAGCAAAGTCGAGATATGGTACGGGTTGTATTGTAGGAGGTGAATCATTCTTTGAGGGTCCATAGACTCCACACACATGTCAAACTGCATTTGTATATCCTTATAGGAGGAGTTGTGAATGATCCGGTAGACCGTAGGCCCAGTTGAAGTCTTTTCTACCAGCTCCATCCCAAGACCACCACTAGGGGTACGAGGCCATTCATCCTTGCCCTGCATGAGTACATTGCGTCGCAGTGTGACGCCAGCTAAGCTTTGACCTCTGCTCGCAGGACTGTATCGGCCAGTCAATGCGCGACCAAGGTCAATTGTTTCCCGGTTCCTGTCCCTTCTGCGGCCCGTACCAGCATCTTCTTGATCGAAGCTTTCCAACACCACATTCCCAAAAAGCTTTCGCATTTCATTTGTCGCATTGAGGAACTTTGGGTCAACAGCGAGAAGCTCCGCTGGGGTCTTTGAAAACGGGGCATCACGAGTGTTGCCTATTGCAGCCGCAGTGATATCGCCTTGTGTGGTACGATTCTCAACCGCCAAATCCCTTATTGCTCGATCAATCTCATCCAATTCTTTGTCATCTGCCTTGTTGTTCGCTGCTGCTTCACCGGTGGTTTTCGTAGAAGCTTTCCTCTTCTTGCTTTTCTTCTTCCTCTTTTTCTTTGATTCTTCCGGCTTCGCAGGGATTTGTATATCTTCTGCTGGCTGAGTTACCGGCTCCTGAACATCATTGTCAGAGTCTTGTGTTTCGTCCTCATCATCGTCGGCGGCATTCAGAAGATCGAAGGCGTTCAATTTAGGCTTCGAATGTCGAGATATTGGCTCATCTTCGCTTGACTCATCGTTTTCTTCTGCTTGTAACGACGCTTGCTGCTGCTCTTGCTCGCGCAGCTTCTGCAGCTTGCGAAGTGCGCGGGAGGACATACAGGGCGGACGAGGGAGTGGTATGTATTAATCGATTTTAATATGATGCTCGAAGCGAATTGGTGAGCTGTTTCTCCTCGTATATATAAGAAGTTAAAAAAAGTGCTTTTAATTTCATTAACATACCGCGGGGAATGACGACACAGACAATTCGGGATTAGCGCAGGATTATCGTTTCGACATTACAATACAAAGCATCAATCAATACAATATCACATGATAGTTGCCTGGAAAGGTCTCCGCTATTAACTATTACTAGTGGCTTGTTTCATCATACCGTCTCCCAGCATCGCTGGACCTTACAACTCTCTATACTATTTTAATTTCCTACCAACTCAATGCGACGTGCAGCTCTTCACGCTTTCCGCACTTCGCGTCGTGTTCCGGTATGGAGAGTTGCTGGTAGGAAGCCGCGTGCTGTGTCGTTTTCCAGCAGCCACCCTCTAGGTCTCCGGCCATCCTCCGCCGGGAAACATCCTCCTTTCATCCCTGCAGCTCTACAGTCATCGATGCATCTCCGGAATTTTTCTCTCGCCATTATATCGACGGTCGTTGCATCCGGGGCCTGGTACGCCTATCAGGGCGGCAGTGCGCAGTCGGCGTCAGTAGCTGGCTTGAACCGCACGATATCTACCTCCACCACCGCTTACGCCGAGGATCCCACGGAGTCATCTCGTCGAGCTCTTCTGGTGGATAACGATCAATTCTACACCGCGACTATTAATGGAGAAGAACCGCTTCGCAAACAAACAGACGACTCTGACCGCCGACTTTTGGAGATGTTGACACCGGAGCAAGCTACGCGGAAGCTGAGGAAGAACGAAGAATCATACTTGGTTAACAGGGGCAATGGAGTCGTCCGCTATGATGTGGTCCAAGTGCCTAGCAATTCACCGATCGAAGACGACCATGCCGAAAAGACAGTAGAGGTGCCGTCCTCTGTGGCTGCGGCGAAAGAGGGTGCAGCCAACAGCGATTGGATGTTCTGGGGCGTGTTCGATGGGCATTCGTAAGTTTATCCGCCTTGTGCTTCCCACAAAATAAATTCAGTATAGGTCTAACTAGTCTCGAAGGGGCTGGACGACTTCCGCTAAGTTGCGCAACGTTCTCATTTCCTATGTTGCTCGGGAATTAAATACAACATATAAGGCCGCGGCTGCTGATCCATCTTTACTTACACCTACGTCCGCAGCCATTGACGCAGCCATTAAGCAAGGATTTACCCGTTTAGATAATGAAATCGTGCACAACAGTGTCGAGAAAGTGCTCAAGTCTAACTCGCGGCGAGTTGCGGCCGAAACACTTGCCCCTGCTCTGTCTGGCTCCTGCGCCCTTCTTGCCTTCTATGACTCCCAGTCAAAGGATTTGAAGGTTGCCTGCGCGGGTGATTCCAGGGCTGTGCTGGGTCGTCGTAGCCCGAACGGAAAGTGGTCTGCAACTGCGTTGTCGGAAGACCAGACTGGCGGAACTCCGTCCGAAATGCAGCGTCTACGAGCAGAACACCCTGGCGAGCCTAATGTTGTACGCAATGGAAGAATCCTTGGCCAATTGGAGCCTAGCCGATCTTTCGGAGATGCGTTCTACAAGTGGAGCAAAGAGACACAAGATAAGATTAAGCGACAATTCTTCGGAAGAACACCTCACCCTCTACTGAAGACACCACCATATGTCACCGCCGAGCCTGTTATCACGACCACCAAGGTTGAACCCAAACGCGGAGACTTCCTCGTCATGGCTACTGACGGCCTTTGGGAGATGCTGAGCAATGATGAAGTCGTCGGACTTGTCGGTCAGTGGATTGAGCAACAGCAGTCCGGGACTGTGGGTGGCAACAAGACCTGGCTGCAGAGTTGGTTCAGTTTCGAAAGCAAACAGCTACCCGTCGAAACATCACAAGAAGCGGGCACCGAAGGCCAACGCCGTCCCATCCGTCAACAGCAGTACGATATCTCAGGCGCAGCCAGCCGATTCACAGTAGAAGACAACAATGCTGCCACTCACCTCGTGCGTAACGCTATGGGCGGCAAGGACAGGGATATGGTTTGCGCACTGTTGACCCTCCCTAGCCCCTACTCTCGTCGTTACCGGTAAGTTCTAAGTTCCACACCACAGTCAACAATAACAGAACGCACTAACATAAATATAGCGACGACGTCACAGTAGAAGTCATCTTTTTCGGCGAAAGTCCCGACACCCGCACCGTCGAAATCAACAAGGAAGCTAGCGCATCCGAAGAAACCCCTAAATCGAAGCTCTAAACTACCCAGAGATATTAGAATTTCAATGGCGTAAGACTTTTCTTATTCGATTCGCCCCATCTGATGATCCATCGAGTATTCTTTATTCCCCTTTACTTTCCTGTCTTCGAGTGTTTAGTATATCGCATGCTAGATGATCGTAAGATTTGGCGTTCCTCTTGGCTTGGGTGGTGATTTGCTCTGAATATATCTACCTAGAATGGCATACCCGCATTAAAGAATCAATATACCTATTTGACCTCTGAAAAGCGTCCACATAACAGTAGAGAATTGAGACGTGCACCTAAACCTCTGTACGAACTCTGTCTATGAATTAAGTATCTGTAGTAGACCGCTGACCGCGGAGCAGATGTCTACTTCTTTTCAATTGGAATTGAGTAATCCAGTTAATTGAAAGAATGGCTGTTTGGAATATTGCTTTATCGCGTAGAATAGCGTCGGATTCCACATAGTGTACTATGGAAATCAGAAACCCGCAGTTGTAACAAGCGAGCGGTCCGTAGGGGTGTCAGAAGCTAGAATAGCCTTGGTAATCCTTATCTATATTTCTGGATGAGGATATATTTGGTTGAGCTGGTCCTCCGCGCTGGTTTTTAAGCAAGATTATATAAATAGGGTAATATATATACATAAATGGAAGCGCGGATAAAAAGAGGGGTATCAAATACTCCATGCATAAGATAATTGATGTTTGTATCCTTTCATATGTGACCAGTATAGGTAGAGAAAGAATGGACCTTCTGGGTAGTCCGCAGACTATGTCCCTAGCCGAGGCCAAATACGGATCAGTTGAAGCGGCCGAGGTGAATGCATTGGTCTGCGTTTCGGCGTAGCAAGGTCGCCAGGAGCCCATGCGAATCTCACCGGTTCCTGGAACGCTCTGTATCCGAAGAATGTGACCTTGGCTGGCGGCATATGTGCCTTATGTACATCAAGGCTAGGAGGCGGTCTGTGTCTCATGGAGCGTGAGAGTCGTGATGATAGCAGGCTAGTTTTCCCAATCACTGGGCCTCGCCCGCTGGTAACGGCCGCAAGCTTCACACTGGCCGGGTCTCTCTAGTAATTGGCTTATCTATTCTTCCCACAACTTGCGGCCTTTCGTGAACCTCATTATGGTTCTATGTATGCTTGACGGTTCTTGGTCGGGACCCCACTTGATATGCATGTTCTTCCAAGGCTTGAGTGGCTTCTTCTTGAACATGAGCTTGTCCAAGGAAAGCGTTTGCAGCGTAGCAATGCTCGAACTACTAATCCAGTAGAGCAGAAGCGCCGAGGGCATTTCAAAGTAGTAGGACGAAAGACCAACATTTAGGGCAAGGACCTGGACGAATGTCCTGATACCCCTTATAGTTAGTTGCTTGTAGAGCTCTACCTTTGGCAAATCGGCCATCTCCGCAAAAGGCCTGGCTTTCCAGCCGGTGTGAAGATTAAGCAGGATAGAAGCGGTCAATGCTGCCGGTAAAATACCCGTCGGATCGCCTGCTAGCAGATCCGGGAACCAAAACGCACCCTCTGTCGCTAGCGAGGGTTCGACTGCTAGATGGAGAGGACTGCCACCTTCTGAAGATGAAGCAGGTTCAAGGAGGGACAGGAGATACGGAACGAGACCCTTGTCATTTCCCGACATGGCTCGGAGGCTCTCCATGACCGAAATCCAAACAGGTATTTGCAAGAAAGTAACTGGCTTCCAGTACTTAGGGACGTTCCAATTCTCTTTCAAGATCCTCCGCCTCTCTCTCATCTTCATGGCCAGCTCAGAAATAACCTCATTGGAGGGATTGTATAAATCCATATCCCCGGAGACGTTATACTTCTTTCGTATAAGATCATTTTGGTAGTACTTCTTCCAGGAAGAGAGAAGCGGAACTAGATCTCGCTCTTTGCGCGCTTGGATCTTGGTGTATATCTGTAGAGGCATTGCGACGCATGTTCGAACGATCAACGCAGTCAATGGAATGGATAACGCCCATGGTAAGCCGCTGACTGAATGAACGCTCTGAATAAATGTGGATGATCCATCTAGAACTTCGTTGATGAAAGGTGACGGCTTTGTAGGGTGGAAATGCCGGGTTTGCTGGAGAGTTGTCTTCCGCGGCGTGCGAAGGGAGCGATGGAAAAGTCTCATGTTGTCGACCAATGGCTCGCCGAATGCCTCACTGGCACATCTTATAAGTGGGAAGACACAATAGTTGTACTGAGACAACACAAATGATAGAAGGTCCCAAAAAAACAAATAGCGTGTCATGTGATGCATATCACGTGCATATAGCGGTCGTGCCATACATGACATTACCAGATCGGCACAGGCTCCGAGGGCCGCTTATCGATAGTGAGACAGTCAAATAGTCGCCAGCTGTTTAATCCGCAGCTCCTTTGCAGCATTGCCTGCGCGCCACCTGATGTACGGATGAGACTACCATAGTTATGTGCATTATCCTCAGCTAGCCATGATGCTATTTCTATTGAAGACGGTGATCACCGTCCTTGCGCTTCTCGCAACCTGCGTTTTGCTACCCCAGCTTCCCCTAGGGGTTCTACGCTTCGTCCTCCGTGGTATTGGATGGGTCATCCAAAAGCGAACGAGGTCTCGTAGAGAGTATATCCTGTCGCGTGTCCGGGCTGAAGATGAGGAAGCTTTATCCGAGCGGGCCAGATCACCTTCTGGGACTCAGGGAGAAGATGAGGATTGGGAGAAACTCGACTCCTCTAGCTCCGGTTCAGGGACATCTGGTAGTAACGAGGCCCAGGAAAGTGACGATTGGGATGGGATTATAGGTTTCTTTCACCCATTTTGGTATGGCAATTTTTTGAGTAGATATATAAGTATTGTTGCGGGCGCAACTAACGTGATCTTGATAGTAATGCTGGCGGAGGCGGAGAACGTGTCCTCTGGGAAGCCGTCAGGGCAACGCAGAAGCGATGGCCCAAAGCAATCTGCGCTATATACACAGGAGATCACGAAGTCAGCAAAACTGCCATGCTGGAGAGGGTTCGGAACCGGTTCAACATTCAACTACACGCTCCGACAGTGGTCCTACTATACCTTAGTACCCGCAAATATGTCCAGAGCAGCATGTATCCTTACATGACTTTATTGGGCCAGTCTTTGGGATCCCTGCTTGTCGCCTACGATGCATTTAATCTCCTAGTCCCAGACGTCTTTGTCGATACTATGGGCTATGCATTCACCCTAGCCTTCTGCAAGATGCTGTTCCCATCTGTCCCAACGGGTGCCTACGTGCACTACCCCACCATTTCCACAGATATGCTCCAGTCTCTTGATGATACGACCGGTTTGAAAGGAGTAAATTCTGGTGCCGGAAAGGGATTGAGGGGACAGATCAAGCGAAAGTACTGGCTTGCCTTCGCCCGCCTTTACGGCTGGGTCGGGGGGCATGTGGACGTTGTGATGTGCAATTCGTCTTGGACATCTGCGCACATTCGCACCATTTGGGGCCCATTCCGGCGGGTGCAAACCTACAAGGAGCCAACTGTTATCTTTCCACCCACGGCCGTCTCGGAACTTCAATCGACCATTACGGTTGACGCGGAGAGCGAGAAAACTAGGGAGCCTCTTATCCTATACATTGCGCAGTTCCGGCCAGAAAAGAACCATCCGTTAGTCTTACGCTCGTTCGCACGCTTCCTCCGGGAACGCAGCAAGAACCCTGCCTTAGCCTCGCAACCACAGCCCAAATTAGTCCTCATTGGCTCGGTTCGGCATGCTAGTCCCGATGAAACCCATATCTACAACCTCCGGCTTCTGGCACACGAACTCCGTATCCGCGATCATGCCACCTTTATCTGCGACGCCAGCTGGCCCGCTATTCTGTCTCACCTTGGTACAGCATCAATCGGCGTTAATGGCATGTGGAACGAACACTTTGGCATCTGCGTAGTAGAATACCAAGCCGCCGGCCTGATCAGCGTGGTGCATGACTCTGGTGGTCCTCGCGAGGACATTGTCATTGACTTGGGCGATGGCGCAACAGGCTTCCGCGCCTCAACAGAAGACGAGTTCGCTGCCGCGTTCGAGACTGCGCTGGCTCTACCAGAGGGTGAAAAAGTTGCAATGCGCTTACGTGCGAGGAGATCTGCTCTGCGCTTCACTGAGCAGGAATTTTCCCTCAAATGGATTAGTGAAATAGGGAAGCTCGTTCGCATGCATGTTTAGTGATTTGAAGAAGAGTCGACGACCTAAGATTTCCAAAGATATACTATGTACTTTGCAGTATTAGAAAGTTTCTGGACCCAGCAGATGAGCGAGCATATATGTGGTCGTTTGGTGTGAGCATCTGTATCGAATAGCAGCGCATCTCCTATATATGTATACTCAAAAGCTCCCAACTCTGATAGCAAGTTCAGACCTGCCACAATGTAAGATTGAAGGAATCTGTATCATGTTATGCCGCGTGCTGTGGGATTGACCCCAGAGTCTCGATCACAACTGGAACAGCATCGTCTCAATCTAACTGATGAGATATACCTAGAAACCGTATCTTTAGAGGTCAGTAAAACAGATTTTACGTTTGACCTAACATGAAGGAAAAGCAAAAGTCTAGGAGCAGGACAGAAATGTATTCCATGACAACAATCACAGTAACAGACTTATTTCTCCAAACAAGCACCCAATCGAGGGTATTCCACACGCGAAACAGATGGAGAATTTCCATGGGTATGAAGACTCATCGTGAACACATAATAATGACGGTCCGCAACCCTTGCGGACTAGGGGAATCGAATCAAGAACATAATATAAGAAAGCTAAGGGGGGTAAACAAAGAGCTGTGAATAAGAGAAAGCATTTAATATGCATCCGGAACTTCAACAATTAACGAAAGTTAGTCCGCCGTCATCTGGTTTCCATCCTGTAACTCAACGCCAAGTAAAGCCCTCTATGTTGCCTAAACCATGGCAATGTGCAACCGATCGGCTAGAAGAAATGAGAAAAAATGGGATGTGTATGAAGTTAAAGGGAAAAAAATTGAACTTAAAATGGGAAGAAAAAGAAGACGATGATCAGGCGAAATATAAAGACCAAGTAAAGGTCAGTTAAGAAGACCACTCATTGTTGGTCCCTCCATTCGGGGTTGACATACCCCGAGTCCCCAGGGTTGACATTCAGCATTTGATTCTGATTATTCATCACATAGAGATTATCCTGGGGACTTCCGTATCCACTCATTCCAGAGACACTACTGAGATTGGATTCGTCGTCGTCGTACCCGAACTCGCCGCCAGAGCTAGCGTCAAAGCTGCTACGGCCCCCAATGTCACTGGGATCATCTGCCGACGCAGTAATCTGATCCCACTGCAGGTTCTGTAGGGCCGGGTATTGTGCCAGCAGCGCGGCTGGGAGAACAAATCCGTTGGCATGCTGACCGTCCATTCCAGGCACCATGAGAGGTGGCGGCACCGGCTGTAAGTGGCCCGTATGCTGTTGCTGTTGCTGGTCCATGAGTGAGCGCTCTCGCTCTTGAGACTCTTCATCTAGCAGTGGCTTGATGCAGATTCGGCCCGCTTCTGATCGGAAATGACGACCCAGAGCATCTGCGCGAGCAAATCGGCGACCACATCCCCACTGCCCGCCCCGTGAGAGATCGCCACGACAGACAAACTTCTTCTCTCCGGAGTGTAGGCCTTCATGCCTTTTGCGATCGTGTTGCCGAGCGAATGCTTTCCCACACACGGTGCAGACGAAAGGCCGTTCATCCGTGTGAGTTCGCAAGTGGGACCGTAAATTGTAGGCTCTGGTGAAACGCTTGGGGCAAAGATGGCACTGGAATGTAGCGGGATGTTTCTGGACGCGCTTGGAGTCGTTAGGGCTTGCTCCAGGTCGCTGAGGATCGGCGAGACCCAGAATGTAGTTGCGGCTGTCGATTGATGACGTAGACAGACGACGACCGGACCGGGAGGGTGAAGGATCCCGGGACGAGGGGTTGCTATGCGGCTGGCGGCCCATCGAGTCGAAGGGCGACAACGACCGTGGTGACGACGGAGCCAAAGGCTCCAGGCTACTCGAGACTGACACGGGAGACCGTGAACGAGAAGCCGGGTGGGCGTAGGGGTCGGATTTACTGCGCATGCGAGAGCCTGCGTTCTTAGGTTAGCATAGAATATAGAACGTCAAGATCCTGGACAAACGGCGTGAGGTTGACGCTTACGCATAGAAGGAGGCGGGCTCAATGAGTCTAGATCGGCCGCTGGCTTGGCTGGGGGGAATATTGGGTTTCTAGCAGGCGGCGCAAACTCTACATTAATAGATGGCGGCGCCATCTGTGACGCTTGACCTATGTCCCCGGCAAGGGCGTTTCCCTGCGACATATTGAGGACGCCTTCCGCTCCATTGCCATATATATCCGTAGGAGGACATGAGTATCGGCTCCCCGCAGGGGCAGAGATATACGGCATGGTAGGGATAAGTTCGGTTCCCTGCTGGGGCATAAGTTGCGGGGAAATGTACGGGCTGTGAGCCGGGCTGATGCCCTGGTGATGTTGCTGCTGTTGCTGCTCAGACAGGGTGAAGGTTTCGATACCGAGAGCGTTATCGTATAGCCCAGGGTCGTTCGTCTGAGGCGCCAAGAGCGGGGATGGGTTATTATCCACCCCGTCAAATGATTCGTGCTGTGACATATACGGAGAAGGCGCGGCGGATGACACCTCTGACACCTCCGACGGGGCGCGTCGATGGCCCTGGAAAGCAGCATTGCCCATTACGCTCTGCCAATCCGAATGCGAATTGCCTGTCAAGTACGCAGCACTGGCCGGATCCAACGATGTATGGCGGGAGTGCTGTGGGGTATAGTATGTCCCTGGCGTCGCGCCCGGAGGGGACATAGGGCCGGGGGACGAATGATGAGGCTGTTGTTCCTGCGGAGATATCTGCGGAGAGGCTGCGGCGTGAGGGGAAGAGATCTGGCTGACCAGATCGGCCGGGTTGACCGCCTGATTTACTTGTCGTGGATGCCCCTGCATCTGAGTGTCAAGCATCAGCGAGGAGTCGTAGTCGGGCGCGGTGGTGCTGTTGGGGCTGTGATTTGGGTAGAGGGAGAAGTCGAAATCGGCAGGGTTTGAGTTCAACAAGGTGGAAAAGTTTTCCTCGGGGGGCTGTTGGTGTTGCTGATGCTGGGTTTGTAGCGAGAGGCCTGATGAGTGCTCAAGCTGATTGACTAGACCCGGATCGAAGGACTGCGGCAGTTGGAGGCTGTGAGAGAAGGCTTGATCGGGCGGGGCCCGCGTTTGCGCGCTGGTAGGGGAGAGGTAGCCGCCGGCGGTATAGCTGTAGGACTCGGCACCTGGAGAATTCGAATTGGGGTTGACATTGAAGGACGCAGCGGCTTGGTAAGATGCGACAGCGAAGGACGGATCCAGGGTCAGGCCGGGCGAAGCGGTATTGTATTGCTGCTGCGGATGGGCTGAGGGGCTCACACTGCGGCTTTTAATAGCAGCAGCCGATTGCCCTGAATCCCGGAGTGTATCCTGGGAGGCCATCGCGAGTAGGTGTATCTCAGAATAGATACCACGCGAAGCAAGGCTGAGGGCGTCGACGACGATGTGGAAGTAATAGTAGGATAGACTGATCAATCAAAGCGGGGAGCGCGTACACGACAGGCGGGAGAGAGGGGCGGTGATGGTAGATCAAAGTAATCGTTGGGAGCGATAAGGCAGATGAATGGTCAATTCAGGCATACGTAGGGAGAGGAAAGAGACAATTTAGTATGAGAAGCTGCCGAAAGCTGACAGGAGGTGGACAAGTAGGGGGAGAAAGAAGGTGAGTCGAGTGCACCTTGCGAATCAGCCTCGTGCGAGAATGTTTCAAGGAGTTTAAGTATTTAATGGTATTTCTGTACAAGTTAAGTACCTGCAAGTTACTTAGCCAGAAAATGGGGACCGCGACCGCTTGAATCCCCACTAATTTCTGTAAGAGCCTCCCCCGTAAGGGATAGATAATAAATAGTAGTAGAGCAACCTGTTGTGTTTCGATGAAGGTTGTTCGAGAAAGGGATGAAGATCCCTCTATATAAAAAAAAATTACTTGTCTTTTTCCAGAGAACTTCCCTTTTTGGGCTCAACAGCAATGCCCGCCTTACTGCCTGAAATCCCCTCTTACACGTGAGGTACGAACCAAGGTTATTGAATATTGAGTCTGGTATTCACTCTCTTCTCTTCTACCTACTGTCTAATGATAATGATCAAAGTAAACCTTCATTATCACAGCCTGACAAAGACTCTTACTATATTGGGTCTTTGGTGAGTGAATTGACCACTCCGTATATACTGTACCCCGTATTCTAGAATTACCTACTATATAAATATCTCAAGGCAGATATTAGGCTCCACCCACAAATTAAACACAGGTGGGCTCTAAGCTGGCAGAATGTATATGATTATAATTGACATAATCTCTGACATAAGTGGTACTTAAATAACTTACGCCTACTACATCCATCACAAAACGGGGAAGAACATATATTGGATGTACTCCGTATGTATTCGAATATAGTTGACTAAGTTAACTAGTCAACTAGTTAAGCTAGTTAGTTAATAGGGAGTCGCTTAGATAATAGGCAAGAATTAGTTACCTACTCGGTACGGTATAGTATTCACCGTATGGGCTATGTCACAAATAAGCAATTTCATTTTTCCAGAATATCAGCAACCGACCATGGCACAGATGCATCATATGTTATGAGTATTATATTGTATATGTATTGTATGTATAGAAACCTTAGGCTAACATCTACCACTACTACGGGGAAATCGATCTATCAGAATTTATAATTCATTCTAACTTGAGTACAAAAATAGAAAAAGGTCATTAAGACCATGGAGTATATTATATAGCTTTCACAGAACTATAATCGAACTAGATCCCACAATCATTGTGCGAGCAAAACAAAGAAAGGAAAAAAAAGCACCAGGTGGATTCTCGACGAGTGGACCCGAACTACTAGATATATCAACGATACTCTCCACAACTTATCACACTAGAGTTATGCCTAACCGCTAAGACCTTCGATGATTGGATTCCACTTCTCATACAAAGCGAATATCATTGCAATTTCAGGACTAGAAAGTCAGCCTGACTCTCTCTCACCGATTACCCATCCCACAACATTTCAAAGTAGTTAAGTACCTTAGTACAGTACTTTCATTTCCCTTTTGAGCCTCCCGTATTGGTTAGTAGAGGAAGTGGAACTCATCCACGATTTCGCATATTTGCACAGCCACCGCTTCACGGTTCCTGGCTGCCCTTTTTCGGTGATTCCCTTGATGGGGGTATTTTCGGGTTGCACGTTCATTTCAATGATTATATAATATATCTATTAATGAGCCAATGTACAACGCGGGCTGTCTACCTATATACTCTGTACTAATCTCAATATTAACCTACTGCTCACGGACGCATCGAAAGCTGTGGTACAGTTGCGAAAAAAAAAAGAAAAGAAAAAGAAAAAAAAAGAAAAAGGGCAACTTCTTACTGCCCGAAGGCCTTCACACTGCTGCGAATCTGGTTGGTGTTGTAATCCACCAACAGGTTGTCCTCACAGCTCGACCCCAATCCCGCATTCTTGGTCCAGGCAGGTTCCCAGTAGAAGTAACCGGTGCCCTTACTAGCAGTAAGTGTCTCCGACAACCTCTGCAGGAACGTCACCTGGCCTTCCTCTGAGAAAGGAATGTCCTTTAGGTCCGAGGGGAACGGGAATTCCGGGCTAGAGCACTTAACGGGCCAGTTGGTCTCGACCACGATCACCTCCTTGTTGTATGTCTTCTGGATGTTCAACACGCTGGTCTTCAGCGAGGCAAGAGTGGCCTTCTCGTTATAGAAGGGGTAGTAGGACAGACCGATCACATCGAAATCTTCGGACTTGAGGATGCCGGTCGCGAGGGTGGTGTCATAGAAGTATTTCTGTTGTTCCCAGTCCCAGCCGTTATCGAGATGGATCAGGATCTTGGGCTTCTTCGCCAGCTTGGAATCCTTCACACCCCAGGCACCCGAGTGCAGCAGACGGGCAATGTTGTCGTAGTTGGGGGTCTTGCCTAGAGGCCAGAGGAATCCGGAGGTGATTTCGTTGCCGATCGACACGAGCTCCACGCTGAGCTTTGCCGCCGCGAATTCGTTGCAAACACTTAGTGTATATTGGTAGATCTGATCGGACAGTTTGTTGATGTCATCGGTAGACCAGCCTCCGGGGGTGGTCTAGCTCTATCAGTCTTCCGCCATAAAGGACAATATGTATCAACGGAATATTAGGAAGCGAAAGTACACATACCTGATGCTTGGGATCCGCCCAGTCATCACTGTAATGGAGATCCAGGTAGATACTCGCGCCAGTCGCGGCGACTCGCTTCGCAAGGTTGATATTGTATATCAGGTCATAATCTCCATTCTTCACCCACACACGCTGACGAATAGAGTTGACACCATTGTCAGTAAGAATGGTCTCCAGAGGCTGGGTCTTTCCGTCCAGGTTCTTGTAGGCAACACCAGCCTTCTCCTCGAGGAAGACGGACGAGATGTCCGCTCCATGGTAGGTGAGGGCAGCCGCATTGGCTACCAGTGGGAGAGTCGCAAAAAGGTAGGAGGGGAGCATTCTGACCGTTGATTAATCAGAATCGGTGATAAATAAAATCAGTCTGCGGCTTGGAAAGAAAGAAAGAAAAAGAAAGGCAAACCAAGCCAATGCAGTCCAGAGGGTTTATATACTTTGGTAATTTGGTACCATCGCCGCGTCTTGCCATGATGAGCACGGAGAAACTACTCCATTAAGGGCGGGATCCCTCATGACGCGATTGAGATTAATCAATGTAGAACAATGACGGCTCCTCTATCTCTTCAGCATGGAACACTTCTAACCCACAGAAGTCTATCTGGAATACACTATTGGTGGATGGACTCTCTCCGTGTTCCGTTTGCGACATCCGTTAGGGCTAGTGTAGGTCCACTATGCTTGGACCCTTACTTCGGAGTGCATACTGTGCCTCTTCGACATTACACTTCATAGGAATGGATGACCCTCGTACTACAAAGGGGAATTAGAAATCTAGCGCATTTATTTGTACCCATGATCCCCTCGCAATCATGCTCAAGAGGAAGTCAAAAAGATGAGAATGAACAGGATATGACAATTGGCTTAGTCTCGGAAGGCTGTTTCACTTCTAAAGGCGATCAACAGTCGACCTTTCCGCTATCCGACCACCGAAAAGGTGAACCATATATCAACTAAAACAATAGTTCGTGAATACGTTCCTCAGCTCCCTCGTAAGTCTCCTAGGTTTAGCCTAACACAGATCGCGTGGTTCATAGAACGGTTGGGATGTAATCCTATTAAGGCATGTGTAATGCAGGTCTTGAGGCTTGGCCCAAGTCGAGTCTCCACCACAGTTATATATAAATTTGTAGCATCATTGTTAGGGACTTGGACAGGAAATTGGATGTGCGCCTTTGGAGCGGAATGCAAGCCAATGGATCAGGGATTCCGCGTTCGTTCAAGTTCGACATCCACCTAGTAGATTGTAATAGTTGTACCGTATTCCTGGAAAATGTCTTATGAATCCTGCCTGCATGACTGCCCTTTGTATAAAACGCTAGGCTAAATGCATGTAAGCACAAGACAAGCGAGGTGGACAGGCCGAGTCCGACAGAACGTACAATGCACCAATAACTCCGTGCTAGATCTACTAGGCGTGCCGCTACTGGAGACTGAGTAGTTGAAGGCATAACTAGACGGTACTTTTCGATAATCATGCAACACGGTAGAATACACATGCCCACTTTATGTTGAATCACTCCAGGAGTCCAGGGATAATGCCACCGTAGCCAGTGGATCTTTGTATTCTTCTCATCATCCTAAATATATTTGTAAATGCAACTCTTGTGGGCGCTGCCAGAGGTCCCCTTTGTAGCTCATCACCATCATTCAGCTCACACAAAATAGAAAAGACATGATCATGAGCCCTGCTAGTTCCATGAAGAAACTGACTGCTCTGTGTATCCTAATCCCACACTATATCCTCCTCATGGCGACATTACGTACAAGAAAAATCACAGATGCCCTAAGCCCTGATGCACCAACCCGAACAGAAAGTATATATAGACGCAAAAGGAAGAGGTGGAAAATTGCAAGAAGAAAAAGAGGAAAATACTAGCGTCCTTGAAAAGCTGTCCAGCCAAGCGGCACCAGGGAAAATATAAAGGAAGCAGGGTGACAAAACAACCGAATATAGACATGCCGCCAATGCGAATATATGTACAAGCAATGGATCAGTGTCTCGCACACTTTGAATAAAGAAAAGCCTTCCCCAAATGTTTATGCCATAGAGGCTAGGGAAGGCGAACACGACTAAAGGAGACACCCCAGCAATAAAATGATATACATGCAAAACCGGACCCCAATAGAATGGAAAGACAACTCGTGATAGATAGAAAAAAAATATTAAGAAGTAAGAAAGGGACATCGTGACCAAGTGAGGCGGTAAAGGGCCTTTTGGGTATGACAAGCTCCGAACGAAACTTTTCACCTTTGGTCGGCTGTACAGCCGACGAACAACAAAGTAGCTTCGCATTGACATATATAATTCAAGACTTTGGTAGGTTGTCGCCACGAATAATTGGTTTTTGAGGTGTCGCCTTCTTTTTGCCAATGACAAGGCCCTCGTCCTCCGAGTCGTCTTCAGATTCATTTTCATCATCACAATAATACCGAGATTCATCGTCATCCGCTGATCGTGACACGCTTATGTGCTGCGCTTTAACGGTTTCACCCGTGCGAAGAATAGAAGGAACTTGGATTACTGAATCTCCATCCTTTCCAGACGGATCACCTTTGCCGGAAAGCGATGATGCCCCCGAGGCGACGGATGGTATACTTGGGTGCGAAGCACTCTGCGACATTCCGCTGGTATAGTCCTCAACCGAGGATGGAGGCGAGGTTGTTAGTCCCCCAGATGGCGGGTCGGTAAAAACACTTTCACCAAGTGAGTCTGGTACCCGGGGCTGAGCTTCCAATCCTAGGCTGATACAATCCTTCGTAGATGGCTCGCTGCCTCTACGATGAAATGATTGGGTTCCGTTGGCACTAGGTTCAATGTCGCTACGTCTCTGACGTAATAATGCCTCCTTGGTGAGGTGGAAAGGCTCTGTGGAAGACTTGCCCGGCAGCTGATGGGAGCGATTGCGTCGGTGTCCCGAGGACGCAGAGGTCGATCCTTCAGCTCGCAATAAAGATGAGTTATCTTCTGGCAGTAAATTAGAATGCTGTCCCAACGCCGATGCGACACTCAACGCTAAAGTGGGCTCGCAATGACGATCCCCATCCAGAGACGCAGACTCAGAGACTGATTTATCCGAGCGCCGCTCTCCAGATTGGAGTCCTCTGGCAAACCGACGACTTGCACCGCCAAAAAGGCCGTTGACGTTGGTAGTACATGGGGCCTCCGTGCGAGCTGGTGTAACGCTTCTTTGGGGTACAGGCGTGGAGTTGGAGTTTGTTGCCTTTACTGTCTTTGCGGACTCGGCTGTGGACAATGTAGATACCGCACGCTCTGGCGGGTCTGGCCGCGGGGTCCGGTCAAGTGATAACGATGAGCCGACTAGGGCTCCCTCAAAGTAGGAAGTTTGCTCCTCCCTACCCACTGGGCTCGCAGTGACACTCTGCGATAGGGGATGCTCACCGTCTTTGCTTAGACGGGGCGGTCGCAAGAAGTCCTCATCCCTGAGACTAGCACGACGACTGTCCCAAAGGTACTTTCCAAAGCTGTTGTTACTTGATGCGGAAGAAGACTCGACTGAGGGAGCTGCACTGGACGTTCGCTTGCTAGAGTCTTTATCCTTGGACCGCCCAGTAAGATAGTTGGACCACTTTGCAACGTTGGATCGCACACGCTGTATAAACGGGACTTTGCTCACAGCTGTGGTAACTTCTTCGTTGGATACCTCAATCCTCTTACCCTTACTCTGGTAGCCTGGATCAGTTTCCTCCACCCACGCTCTGGGGTTGGGTAGACCGTCTAGGACCCAAGGATGGTGCTTTATCTCTTTCACGGTAATTCGCTTGACGGGATCCTTGGTTAAGAGTCGTTTTAATAAATCAAACAACTCATCGTCAATATCTTCATACGCAAGCTCATCTTCCATTCGTTTGTCACCATCTGCATAACGGGGCCATTGACTGACCGTGTCAGGGTCGTCTTCGACAGGCTTCAGGCGTTTGCGTGGGATGAAGACATCTTTCTTCACAATTGTTTGGAACATATTGTATTCATCATCGGAGACGAATGGCAAGCGCCCAAATATCATACCATAAAGAGTGACGCCAAGGGACCAGACATCAATAGCACCAGTAATCCGCGGTACGTTGCCAATGGCATCGACGAAGTCTTCGCCCGTATAGCACAACTCCGGAGCGTAGAAAGCGGGTGTTCCCACAGTTTTAGATAGCTCCCGAGCGTCATCCAGCTCAGTCGCATCTGTCTCCCCAACTTGCTCCTCCTCTTCATCCCTCATGGGTCGCCCCAGGTAAGACACACCGAAGTCTGAGATCTTAACACGGTGATTGCTGGTGAGTAGGAGGTTTGCAGGCTTGATATCGCGGTGAATGATACCCTGATAATGGAGGTACTCGAGACCAAGCAGGGAATCCCGGAATGCGTTGCGTGCTTCAGTGAAGGTTAGACAGGGAACAAAGGACATGTCGTCATCATCAGGTGTCCATTCGGGCTCCGAAGGCGCATATCCAAAGCTGCTCGACGCTGTGCTAAACCGTCTCTCAAAGGGATAATCCATATAAGCCCCATACATACTGCCTTCCACCGCAGCTAGGGCCGCATCATGTGAAGAATGGCTTGGAGAAGACTGGATGTCTTCTTGGCTCATCCTGGAACAGCTAGGCGTACGGGTGACTGTCAATTCGGGCCCCAGTTCGTCATCTGACTCTGCTCCATGCTCTAAACTCCAGGCAGGGATGGGAGCTTCTTGTGCGTGTGCGGCTTGCATTTGACGTCGCTCGCGTGCTTTCTCACGTTGGTGGCGAAGATGTTGAGCAGTCCGGATATACTGTTGACACTCCTCCATGAATGAAGGGGAATCGGGAATGCCCGCTTTTTCACGTTCCAGTCGGCGCTTGTCGACATGGACAACTTCTCGTAGCCCTCGTCGCCGCCAAATAATTTCGCCGTTCTCGACATATTCAAGGACGATGTATACCTTCTGGCGATTTGGATCGTCAATCACCTCTAGAAGGCTAACCACATTCGGGTGTCGGGCCTTCTTCAGAATCGCAACTTCTTTCTTCACTTTGTCCTCGGGATTCCCCAGTTTACCCAGACGACGTCGTTTTGAATACCGCTGAACAATCTTGATTGCGACTTTCTGGCGGGTGCCCACATGTCTTCCCAATTTCACTTTCCCATGTTCGCCGCGTCCGAGTTCTTCTAAGATCTCATACTGGTTGATTACTTTGTTTCCGGTTACAGTGTCCCTGTCTACCTCAGCTGTATGTGTTCTACAGATGATCATTAGCCAAGAAAGAAATGACAAGAGGGCAGGTAGATGGAGCTTACTCCTTCGGCGGCTGGAGATGGGTTGGGTGAAGAAAAGGACTGCTGATCCGGCCGTCATCGTCCGACACGAGTGAAGAGGTCGAACGAAGAGGGCTGCGGATAGAGAATAGCCCTGGGCTGGACACCGGAGTATTGCCTGCTGTGCGAGAGGCACGCGACGGGGGAAATCGCCCAAGGACCTCAATTCGTGATGGGTAGGAGTTTCTGGAACGGATAGACGGAAGCTGGTAAGTGGGGTGAACTTGAGATTGGAGGACAGCGTAGGACTGATCGGGATAGACTGGATATTCGGCAGGTTGGGTATCTGACTGCCCTAGGTGGGAACTCCTCCGGGGAAGGGGACCCCGGCCGATCGCGCCGAGATCGGACCGGGCATCGACAACGATATCCTCGTTTAATGCTTGCAGTGAACTCGAAGAGGTTCGGGTGGAAGGAGATCGGGAGGTACTGGAGGAATGGTAAAGATGGGGGAACGGATGACGAAGAGTAGTTTGACCGTCCGTTAGATCATTTTGGAGAGGCAGTTTGGCGGTTGGTGGCCTGGTTACGGACTGTTTGACTTCCACCTCTGTCGACACTGATCGCAACGAATCCGAAGCCTCACGGGGTTTTTCCCGGCCTTGTCTGTGAGGGCCGTCCGATATATGACCATTTCGGGCAATGTAATTAATAGGTTCCTCCAGACCGGGTACTGAAGGGGGCCGATCAGTCATTTTCATGTCTTCAAATATTCGAACCAGCTCCGTTTCAGTTACAACAGAGCATCCTCTTCTTTGTGGCCCCCCTCTCTACTCCCTGATTTTGACCCTCTTGTTTTCTTTCCTTTCTTCCTTTGGTGCCCACTTTTGATAATATTCTTATGTTATTACCTTTCTCAATAAACCACTTGATTTAAGGCGAGCTGATGGGAAGCTCTGACACTGTGCACGAACGGACCGGCATTACTCTCAGAATTCGGTCTGACAGCAATGACAGCCAAGTAAGTCGACTGGCGAGACAACCGTGTGCCGGACAACGGTGAAATTGAGGGTGTGTACCAAATGTCCGGGCGATAGACCTGCTACAGCGCCACGATGCAGTCGACGATCGGCTATTCCGTGCGGAAGCAAGCAGTCCGAACGGGCGTGCAGTATCGGAGGGGAGGGCCGTAAGGAAGGAAAGTCCAAATACAGAAACTAGGGAGCGGACAGTGGTGGCTCTTATATAATAGGAGCAGACGAAATCCAATGGAAAAATGGAGAATATAAAAAAAATAGGTCCCTATAGATAAGGATAGATTGTAAAGAGAACTATGAGAAATGAGAAAAAAGGAAATAATAAGGAAAAGGGAGGGTTTTACGGATTAGTGGGGAAGGAGAAGGAAGGGGAAAGGAAAAAAAAAAAAGACGAAAAGGAAAAGGGAGGAAGGTTGTCGGTGACGGTGGAGGAAGAATAGAATGGGTGACGATGGCGGAGGAACGATGTGGTTGAGGTGGTGATTAAGCTGCTCGCCCACAGTTCAGTCAGGCGGATTGGGGAGGGGGAAGAGAGATGGTAGTCCGTTGAAAGGAGGTGGGGGGAGAACATTGGGAATAAGAGGAATGCATGTATGTTACTACTACGTATGTACAGTATGTATGTGCGTATGTACTATACAATCTCAGTCAGTGTCTTGTCACCGGTTAGTACGAAACGTTTCTATGGGATGAGAATGAGTTTACGAGTATCTAGTATGGTTTCCCAATCTCTTTTCCCTTCCTTATTTTTTTTGGTTCGAATGTTTTATATTTAATTTTTTTAAAAAACTCCTAGGGTGGGGAACTTCATCTTCCTAGTAAGGGGAAGTTTCAAGTCGGCTATCGATAAAGTCTTATTATTACAACATGCTCCGCAGAGATTCTATCACAGAGAGTGTATTGGACGGTATGGTAAAGTAAGCCCCTTCGGCCGACCAGAGTCATTCCATCAGAGTCATGGCACCACCTCGATCCTGGACTAGTTTTCGGCTGGTGGCTTTAACTCTCCATTCATTCTAAAGGTAAGAGCCCTTGGATACTTTATTTTCTCTTGTTCATTGGCCAGTAATAGATATAGATGTAGACATATAATAACTAGTATATAAAATTTTTATTAAAGAAAAAAAAATAAATAAAAAGAACGAAAAAAATGGATTCAAGAAAATTGACCAAAAAGAAATTTTTTTTTTCCAAAATGCAAAATTTCTAGTGGCGGATTTTCCAATCGTGCCAAGCGTCCAGCTTCATTACGTATGGACACTTTTTCCGTGCATTGTAGGCGAGTCATGGTTCCATCTGCTACATCATCAATTTCTCTTTGACAATCATTAGATAGTATGTAGTAGTAGCTCGGTACCAGGGACTTCGTTCATGAGTACTACCTCATTTCTCTTTGTACCTTAGTTACATTTCCCCACTATGAGGTACTATCTATCTAGAAATCAATCGATCGATTTCCTATCCCACCATAATTATGCTTCAACTGGCTCACCTGCCACTTAAGTTAGTTCACTCACTTAAAGCATTCAGTAGACCACCTCAATGTTAAAAGAGAAAATGGTGGGAAAAGCTATTCAGTGGTGGCACCTGTCAATTGACGCCCAAGAATCCCTTCTCGATCGTTGATCTTGGGTGTTCCGTGGGTCCAAATGCCTATCGCCAACTCTCTTTCCGCTTATTTGTCCCGCCCCATCAGTCTCGGCCATTCTAGCCAACCTCGATACTGTACAAGTATTTTCTCGTATCTTCTTCCAATGTCGAATGATGATAGTTCCGTCATCGATCCAGCGGTATCTAATGACGTCGAACGACTCAAACTCATCTTTCATCAATTATATTTAGGTAGTAGCCGACGGCCAAAGGCATCTGGAACTGACCAATAGAATGGCAACCGTGAATTTAGCTTTGCGCGATGAGTCTTTGGGCTGGAGGTCTGTGTCCATGCTCTAACAGTACCTTAATGAGCTAACAACCACACGAGCATGACTGGATTTCAGAGAGAAGGGGCGAAGAATAATGATTGTTTTTATTAAAGGGTTAAAAAATGGTTCAAGATACTACAACTTTTACTTACTACGTACTACATATTCCATCAATCAAACCCTTGGGTCCGGTGCTGTGGCTGTTCCACCCTTCAAGGTCCCAAGACTATTTCCATACTGGGAGGACCAGCGGCGCGGGGCCTCTAATGCAGTGCCTTTTACCAACAGTCTATTATGGTAACATCAACTAAAGTTCATTGACTTTCCTCCTTCTCCGGACAATTGGGGATTTATCGAAACCTTACAATGGCTGATGATTAAATCTGCTTTCCTGCGTAGTTTGATCCGTCCCACGCAGTGCAACTAACTTAGAACGATCTTCCCCCCGGCTATCCCACTACTGATGCTTTGGTTTTTGGAGGGGTGTTGGATGTATACATGGGGGAGGGTTCATCCACGAAATCCGGGTGGGGAAGTCAAGTAACGCGCAGAAGAGCAGGTACCAGTAGTACTGTACCTATATATATCTCCCTAGCGTAGTCTATTGATCCCATTCCCTCCCCCTCCGTGAAACAATGACTAGTCTGACTAGAAGGGAAAGCCAGCCGGCGGGGAGGAAGAGAGAGAACGAGAGACTTTCCTGACATGAAAGGACCGCATTGGCTCGCCCAGTCCCAATCTCACAGACAACCTATGCACGTCAATTTTCCCCAGCATCCAGTCATATCATGGGCGGATCCAGAGTTACCTCTTAAATGCCTTCCATAATCCCTATCTATACGTCATTAGAGTCTATTGCATCTATGACTCTTCGCAAACAAACAATGGAATTGTCCTAGTGTGTTGATACTCTATAGTAAGTCCTATTAATAATGATATTCAATTCCCCCAAGAGGAGTCGGTCAAAGCAAGTGAAGGAAAACATCCCATTTGTCCGAAATCTCGGCGCGCCACGATATTTTTCCACACTCTCTCCACCTTTTCCTACTTAGCCTAGGTAGGTACCTAACTATGGAAATTCTTAAGTCTTTGATGCCCCTAATTAAACTGCCTCAGAAACGCCCCCAGCACCGGCAACGGGACACTCCGTCCTCAAGCACCCCTGGCAAAGCGATGATTGGAGAAGCGGTTAAGTGGACGCGCACAGGGCAACTGGGCGACCCTACGAATCACTTATTAATGACAAGAACTGTGAGATTCCCCTTACGGAGTAAGTTGCATTGACTGTTGTATCAGAGACCAAGGACAGCTACGTTATTGCAATCTGCGTTACAGTATCACTACCGAATCGAGCCACTTGCATACCAACCATGGGGGGTAACCAGAGACTTGATTGGCGCCGAGGCCTCAGATCAAGCTTTTATACGCACACGCAGAATGCAAAAGGAAAAAGACTCGTGAAATCTCAATACGCAGGAAGTCCCCTCCTGCTTAGTGCACCGTGGTGGGCCTCTCATAGGTCGAAACGCGGACTCATCTGCACATGTCCATCTACATCGCTGCCCAGACGTCGTACAACAGAGGCTATTGTTTTCATCAATGTTAATTATATTAAGTATGATGCTCCACGCCTCAGCGAGTCATCTCGAGTTTACCCCTGCATTCTATCGAACCGGTTCAGGTTACTATTCTTCCAAAGGCACCCAATCACGGTTAATACTGGATACGAGTTTGTGCCCCAGTAGGTATCTGTCACTTAGCCGTGATCTCTCTGAGATTTGATAGGTGCAATCATCTACAATCGTGGGCAGTCGTGCTATTGTGGGTTTAATTTAGTCTATGTATCCTCAGGAAGATTTTTAATGTGAAATGCACAGTCCTCTACTAATTGTGTTGAGGTCTGATACGCTACTGTCTCGGCGGCCACTGCTCATTCCCGAGGCCGGCCTTCAATAAGCCCTGATATACCCTGAATTTATCAATGGTTCACATAGCCGATAGGCTGGCCGCCGGTTATTCAGTATCTACCTGGTGACGGAGCCGGGGTAACCATCTCAACTTCAACGTATCTCAATACTCAGTAGCCCAACCGGCCATCGTGAATAGAGGAATCGTATGTCCTTCTGCTTTCAGCCGGAGCGTCATGTCCCGGTTGCTCTTCGTATTTCTTTCCATCGCATTACTCGAGAGATAGTTAATATCGCAACATACTGTGAGACAATTAAAGTAGGCTATTATAGGTGTCCACAACTTATAGTGATAGGTAAAGCTTAGGGATTCACCCGGGATCATGTGTAACCCACCTACATTACGTTTATAGTATTGTACCGTTATTCCGAGCGAATTCGATGCCTAGTTTCCATATTGCTCATGAATCAATTCAGGAGGCGTGTATAGAGATCATGTATGTCATGTCTTACTCTTGGGGGGCAACCGCCCATAGCCCAATTCGGACAGCGACAGGAAAAGCGCACTGACCTGTTATGTTCGCTTGCTCTGAACATCAATGACCTTTCATAACACTCTGTTTGCCAAGCCAGGACTGAAATATTGACAAATGGAATCCCTCTTGAGGTGCCATCTAACGATATTGATCCTGGTTATGGACCCCGCATAGGCCCACGAGGTTTTACAGCATTGGGCGGCTGTGGCGTATTACTATACGCAGTAGATTCAAGTGGTAGTAAGTGTAATATCTATGTATGGTTAGAAAGAAGAAAGGGCTCTATGATGTGTGCAAATAATTGACTTCTATGGCTCAAGTTCAAGCTTGGTGTATGGTGATTAGTGTATATATAGACGACCAATACCTGAGGTGTGTTTGCCAACAAACTATCAGAAGAATCTCACCAGTTGGCTTGATAAGTTCCCTGTCATATGTGAGGTGTACTGTCTTCTGTACAGATCCCGTAAATCATACATACATGTTAATCGCACTTACCCGTGACTTTCTGCGGGATTTTATAGCAGCGCCCCCCCCCCTCCCCTTTTACTAAAATCCCTTGAACTTTTCTCCTTCGATCAGGTGATGAATACTCGATTTCTAAAGTGCAAGGAAGCCGACTGGTCTGTGGATGCGCATACCATCCCAACTGTACCATGAAAAGGAACACGCTAGTGATTGTTCCATCTCAGCGCCACTAACCTTCGATCCCAGACTGATGGAACCGCAGCCACGGTTGGATTCGTCCGCCGTCGTACTCGAGGATCATGACGATGATATCTCCTAGCATCTTCTGTGTCAAGGGGTTCGAACCATTAAAAACAAAACATATGTCCCGGTAAGTGCCGCAGATCTTGGAAACGCCTCATTACAGTGGCTATGAGGATTTTTGGGTACGGATGCGGAGTAAACTAGGAAATTATTACGGATGCTGAGCCTAGGACATTGATGGCAATTTGAGGACATCAGTGAAGGAGTGTGCATAAAAGGGACATATAGTAGATATTTCCTAATGCCTATGCAAGCAACATACCTGAAAATTCTGCCGGGTTTTCTTTTATTATCATTTCAACTTTATTTAGTCGTTGGGCAGGATCTCTGAAGAAGCCCCCACTTCGTCACTATCGGGAAAGCATGAAAATGATCGTCAACGTATGGAGCCTTCACAAGAGTAGTATGTCTTGCTATTGCCCACGGCTTCTGAATGAGCTGACCGCTATCTTCGCTAGCAAAGCTTTAGATCTACTTCTATCTCAGATAGAGATGCTACTAATCCATTAGCCCGTGTGTGCATGTCTCACTAATACTCCACCGGGTGCTGCAGGTTTTATCGATAAACTAACTGATGGTGGGAAAGAGTTTCAAACCCTAACTTGCCTCAAACATCTTGTGCCCAAAGACTTACGCAACCAATTTCTCTTTGGCTTTCTTGTCAAGTCGGGGTTCAGCATGGTGAATGGACACAAGTGCCGGTTTGTATATGAATTGGACGTTCCTTGATCCATGGAGCGATTGGGCCACAGCGCAGTTGCCAGTGCAACGACCCGTGTTTACGTGCGCTCTAGTACCCCTCAGCGAATCACCACCGCCAGCTTCAGCGACGTTGCACAGGTAGCCATAGAGGGGTGATTGAGCATGACGTCGCGGTTAATATAATTGCTTGTCAAGTTTGGGTGAAGGTCTAGATTCAGCGCCGATCGGGGGGTTGCCTGTTTACATTATTTTATCTTGACACTTCTAACTGTACAACTTCATCCGCCTCATTTGTGCCCCCCACATATACCAACTAACTACTCTACCCCGGTAGGGAGGCAAAAAGTGTACCGTTCTGTTATCAACAACACGTTCCTCTCCATGTCGGCCGGGCAAACCTCCAGACGCACCTGCTCCGACTTAATTAACCGAGAAAGTGCCGATCAACGGTCTTTCTAGATGCATCGTGGTTTGTCTCGGATTACCGCAGCGTTTCATACCCCGTCTGATATCTCCTATAATTTTCCATGGATGATCGGCTATCTCGAACAAAAAGAAGGCGTAGGAACGTCGGTGCCAACTTGGCACTGACGCTTTCCCTTGTCCTGCTCCTCGTCGGTCCGGTTGTTGCTGCAATTCCGTACACCCAATCCCACCTTTTGTACGCAACGCAGCACAATGGGTCCATTGCTTACCTGTTACGGCCCAACAGCAACAATACAACCGAGTTCCTCTCATTAAACATCTCAAAGGATATTGACGACGCTAAACCCCAATATACCACTTTAATGGACCATGTGCCGTTTCAGTTTGATTATCAGGAATCTGCCCTGGTCCCAGTCATCGATCAACATGGTACCTTGAAGGTCTTTGCGGGGGATTGTTACAATGCTTCGGCGTATGGTGCGCTATGGCAATTTACTCCAGATGCAGCAAGTTCCATTGGGAATGGGACATGGCAGAGAATCGAGGTTAACGGGACCGACCAGCCGCAAGTCAACACCCATGGGCCAAATTATCTCGCCGCGGGCTTCGCATACGCCTCCACCAATACAACTAACAGCTCCTTCTACACCTTTGGTGGAATGTGCCCACTCTCAAGTTCCTCGGAGGCAACATGGATAGCCGCCGCCAACTACTCTCAGTCCATGGTAGTCCTGGAGCCCCCAAAATCGAGTAGTCAAACCTCATACCGAATCTCGACGACCGGTGACCGCGCACCCCCAATTCCTGAGGCCGGGTTTACGATTACTCCGTTACAGGCGACGCATAGGTCCACGTCCGGGGGTACATTGCTACAACAACAAGATTTTCTAATGATTGGAGGCCAAACTCAGAACGCATTCATCAATATGTCCCAGGTTGCTGTCTTTTCACTGCCACAGAGCAGCTGGAGCTTTGTTACAATCGGTTCTATTCAGAGCACGAGTCGAACGGAGCTTGCTATCCGCCAATCTCCAGGTATAGAACCAAGATCCGGCCATACAGCTGTCCTATCCCCAGATGGAAGCCAGGTGATTGTCTTTGGCGGCTGGGTCGGGAGCACCGGTGTTCCTGCCAAGCCGCAATTGGCTATTCTTGAACTAGGCACAGGTTCCTCTGACTGGGCCTGGAAAATCCCGCCCAGTACAGACATTGGATTGGCGGACGGAACTGGGATTTATGGGCATGGCGCGGCTATGCTGCCCGGCGGAGTGATGATGGTCACAGGCGGCTACCGCATGTCTCAGTCAACTAAACGATCTACAGCCAGCCTTCAACTTAATTCAGAAGTCCTCATGTACAATGTTACTTCGGGTAAATGGGTCTCTTCCTACACAAACCCCTACAAAGGCTCCTACGGACAGAGACCAGGCACCACCTCTTCTCAGCCAGAGGGTGAGCCAAAATCTTCAGCATCACGTAAAGCTGGGCTCGGTGCTGGGCTTGGTTTGGGTATTCCCATTGTCGGCGGGGCAGCAGTATTCCTTTGGCTTTTCTTCCGACGACGGCGAGTACGTCGAGCTCGAGACCAGGAGCTCCGCAAGCTGGCCTTGAGTGCAGAACGATCTCATTTCTGGGGCGGAGACGAGTCCCATATGGCTAGTAGCATTCGCAGGCCCTCCATGAGAGAAGCGGGTGCGAATAGTGATTATCCGTGGAGTAATAACCGGGGCTTCGGACGACCAACTAACTGGCGGGATAACCCCGAGATCATGGCAGAGAGAACTGGCCTCCTAACGGATATCCCGAGCCCCACGAAAAGCAGCCGACCACCCTTGAACGCCAGGATGTACAGACCTCCGGCGCAAAATAATGATTATAGACGAAGCGATGGAACGGGGGATATACATCCGATTGATGAACGCGAAGAAGACGAGGCACATGGATCAGGTGGACAAATACAGGAACGGGCTGACACTTTTAGAGAGTCAACCTTCCTCACACCTCGGAGCACTATTGGGGCGGAGCTTTTCCCTGAGGGAGCCGCTGCATTTGCAGCGAGCATTGGCCGAGACAATGACGGACATTCCTCTGAGCGCGACGACAGAACGTCTTCAAACCTCTCCGACTCATCAAGGTCGGTAACCTCGGGTCATCAACCTCGTGGCCTCATCAGTAGTCATCCGAGCCAGTCAAGTAGTGGGCGTGAATCTCCAGAAAAGCCTAGTTCTGCATCCAACCAGAGCCGGGACACTTGGAGCCGACCTAATAGCGCCGCGATTTCACAGGAAAAACGTTACTCATCAGATTCATATTCCACTGCCCACACAACAATTTCACAGCGGCAAGCTGAAGGCGAACACCTACTCCGCAACGACCCTGAACCCTCTTCTCCAATCGACCTTATACCCAGGCCTCTTTCCATCTCAAAACCAAGAGCCTCTGAGTGGATCGGCAACGTCCGACGGGTGCTTTCTGTGACCCGAAAGCGGCCTCAGTCTGCTGAAGACGATAGCACGGCTTCTGCAGCTTCGGGGATTGACAGAAGACGTATCATGCTTGGACCAGCAAGGCCTTTGTTCGATTACGAGTCCGAGACGAGGCTTCCACGCCGATCGGTCAGTGCCTCTGCCGAGCTATTCAGACGGAAACAAGGCGCCAAAGATTGGGGAGCAGGCAACCGGGTTCCCCACGAGCTGACAGGCAGGACTATGCGCGATGACTTCGGATTGGACGGGCTACTAGATCTTGACGAGGACGACTGGGATGTCGAGGGTGCTGTAGAAAACCGACGTGTCCAGGTCACCTTCACCGTGCCAAAGGAGAAGCTGCGAGTCGTCAATGCTACACCCAATGATATGGATGATATCAGTGAGAAATCCATCAGTCGAAGTAACAGTCGGGCATGAACTTGATGCCGTTCATTTTAAAGCTGTCTATATTGACTTCATGTTAACGCCCAGCGTCCGGAGTGCCGGCCTACGTATCCTAAAAGGCTCTACGTTCGACCTCCCTTTTTCTTTTCTTTTCCCCATTCTTTGGCTTCTTGTGAATCTTCTTGTCTTCATCCATGGGCATGCGCAGTATGTCTACAAGATTCTATTGTCTATATTACATTCGTTCACTGTATAAGGTATCGTGATATCCCTGTTGAATAAGGTTGGACGGTTTTCGTCATCTGTTTAATTCTTTCTATATTCTATTCTGTCGTCAAGACTGTTACGCATGCAGATTATGTGTTATGAGCATGAACGAGATGATGACATGGTTAGTAAGGGTCAAGATTGGCACAGATTTGTTTGGTTTTGGTTGTAGATGCAGGTGTACCTAACTTCGTCATTCGATGGGTAAAGTGAATAAAGAATGGATTCTTATTTTTTAAGGAAACTTAGAGCAGTGTAGGACAGATATTTCTCTTTGTGCTTTGCCTACCTACACCCCACACCCAATTTCAACTACACTAGTCTGATTACAATTCATATTATGATAAAATTATCCAAAAAAAAAAAAAAAAATAAATAAATAAATAAAAAATAAAGAGAGAATTCAAGTCTATGAGGCTATAAAACTAAATCGGCCTTTCTTTATGAACCGTAAAAGAAACAAGGGAGGAACAGAAACTTCACTTCATGAACATAACCATACCACGCATTTTACTTTACCTCGTTTTAAACAGAAGCAATTCAAGCTGAGAAGAAAGAGGATACAAGAACTCAACCCAAATCATGCAGAGCCTGCGGCCGCTGCCTTAAGGGTAGGTTGAGTTGGGATGGTCTTAGCCAGAGGGGGGAGCAAGCTCTTCGCGCTCTCACGAGCATACTGGGCCATGAGGGCATCCATGATGACAAGGGCGGACATGGTTTCAACGATGGGGACGGCACGGGGCACGACACAGGGGTCGTGACGGCCCTTGGCTTCGAGGACGCCCTCTTCGAGACCGTAGGAGGCGGTCGTTTGAGCCTGACCAATGGTTGCTGGGGGCTTGAATGCGACGCGGAAGTAGATTGATGCACCGTTGGAGATACCGCCCTGGATACCGCCGGAGTTGTTGGTCTTGGGGGTCAGACCATGCTTGGTGGCGGTTTCAGTGCCGGTGCGGGTCTCAATGTCCGAGACTACGAAGGGATCGTTATGGATGGAGCCGGGAACTTCGCAGCCACCGAAGCCCGAGCCGATTTCGAACCCCTTCGTTGCGGGAATGCTGAGCATGGCGTGCGCTAGCTTAGCTTCGAGCTTGTCGAAGCAAGGCTCACCTAGTCCTACGGGCACGTTGCGGATCACGCAGGTGACCGTGCCGCCGATGCTATCCTGGTTGTCGCGGAATTTCTCGATGACCTTGGTCATACGGGCTGCGGCCTCTTCGTTGGGGCAGCGAGTGGGTACGAAGGAGTCGACAGTTTCACGGTCAATCTTCTCGATGAGGTTCAGGAATTCGGGGTTGGTGGCAGCTGTGGGGTGCTCGGCGGTGGGAGGGAAGAGGTGCTCGTTGCCGACGGATGAGACGAAGGAGACGATCTCAACGCCGTGGGAGAGACGCAGGTACTTCTCGGCGATAGCTCCAGCGGCGACACGGCCTGGGCTTATCAGTAATACGTTCTTCCCTCCTTCGCTAGGCTTACAGCCTCGCTTTGAATATGCGGTGACTCACCAATTGTTTCACGGGCACTGCTACGGCCGCCACCACTGCTGGCCTTGACGCCATATTTCTCAAGGTAGGTGAAATCGGCATGGCTGGGGCGAGGGTACAAGTCCATTGTGCTGCCACCGTAGTCCTTGGGTCTCTGATCCTCGTTGCGGACCATCATGCCAATCGGGGTACCGAGAGTGACACCGAATTCCGTTCCTGACTGGATTTCCACGCGGTCCTTCTCATTTCTAGGAGTCGTCAAAGCGCTCTGGCCAGGGCGTCGCCGGGTCATTTGAGGTTGGATATCGTCTTCGGTAAGCTCCATCCCTGGGGGGCAGCCATCGACTATGCAGCCGACGGACCGGCAGTGAGATTCACCATAGCTGAATAAGGGGCAACATGTGAGCCTGACTCGTCCAGAACCGCAATATATGGCCGTTTACTCACGTAGTGACCCTGAAGTGTTCACCCCAGGTCGACATGATGCTTGATTGTCTCGTTTAGATCAAGAAAGGGTTGGCGGGGTAGTCGGAGCTCGAGAGGAGGGGTGTTTCTTTCACAGCACCGGACGAGATCCACGTAAATACTCGAGAAAAAAAAGAAGAAAATGAGGGAGATGAATGAAAGTCTATCTTATTTCGCTCCACGAGAATCTTCAGTAAAATCAAGGATCGTCTAAACCCACTCGACTGATGAAAATAAGGTGAGAAATCTGGGCATCTTTTCTCTTACCCGATAAGGATTAGCGCCCGGAGATCGGAGGGCCCATTTCCTCTGAGTCATGATCTCCGGAATCTGAAAAGGCATCTCATTGGGCGGTGAGTGACACTGCGTACAGTGTACCTTCCCGTGACCTAACGTCCTGGATATCCTTAAGCATGCCGACAAGTGACCGACTCAATGCACCCTCTCCGGCAAGGCTCATGCCTACTACTATGCTCCCTTCAATCTCCAGCATGGCCCGGTAAAACAATTCGTCCAGGCCTCGTACGATATAATTCCTCTTTCCCCTCCTACCAATTCGCCCAGCTCGCTAGCCGTGAATCCTCGAAGCATCAGATATATCAGTCCCTCTCAACAGACCCGTACGTAAACCTATCAATTGAGCATTTCCTACTAGAAAATGCCCCGCCAGACTCAAACATCCTCTTCTTATACACCAACCAGTCCTGCGTCGTGATTGGCCGCAACCAAAATCCATGGCTTGAGACCAACCTTCTCGCCCTTCAGAATGACCGCGAACCAAACACTCAAGGAAATTACGCCGACGGCGCACTCTTCGTGCGCCGCAGATCAGGCGGAGGTGCCGTCTATCACGATGAAGGTAACCTAAACTACAGCGTGATATCCCCGCGGACAACATTCACCCGAAACAAACACGCAGAGATGGTAGTGCGGGCACTGCGCCGCGTTGGAGCAACGACCACAAGCGTCAACGATCGCCACGATATCGTCATATCCACCGGACAGTCGCAGCCTCGGAAGATCTCCGGTTCGGCCTTCAAGTTAACCAGACACCGCGCCCTTCACCACGGGACCTGTCTGCTTGATTCTCCCAATGTCCACCGGTTGGGCTCGTTCCTGCGGTCGCCGGCTCGGGAATACATTAAAGCTAAGGGTGTTGAGAGCGTTCGGTCACCGGTGGCGAATGTGTCGTCTGTATTTGTGGACGCTATGATGCCCTTTTCTATTGATCGGGTCATTGCTAGTATTGTCGAGGAATTTGCCCTGATGTACCAGGTTGACGCCGATGCGGTCCGTCGGGCGAAGCGCGCTCATGTCCTTGAGCCGGAGTTATATGCTGGTGATACCTGGGTTGCGGGTGGCGTCGGGGAAGCCCAAGGTTATGGGGAACCTGAGGTTAAGAAAGGCATTGATGAGTTGACGGTACGAGTACCAAGCAAGGGAGGTTTACTACTTTTCCAAAACTCAATCGCGCTAACCAAAAACCAATTCAAATAGTCCCTAGAGTGGAAATACACCCAAACTCCACAGTTCACCTTCTCCACTTACCCAGTTGAAGGCGATCGTCGAGAAAGGCCGCTTTTACCGTCCACTTTGCCCCATTCTGTAAGATGAATCTCAATGGGACAAATTCAATATCATATATCTAATCAGTCCAGACACGTGTATTCCTCCGCCTGAAACATGGCGCTGTCATCGAAAGCCATATCTCGACCTCCGAAGATACATCTGTAGCTTCCGAGCAAGCCGCGCGCATGCACGAGGCTTTGAATGGTCGTAAGCTTCACGAGCTCTCCCTCTCTCAGTGGCGTGAGATCTTGCTGGGTCAACTTGGGGGTGGGGTAGAGGGAAATACTTTACAAGAGCTTGCTAAGTTTATTGGGGGTAAGCTTGGCTTGGACACTAGCTCATGATGCTTTTTATGATTGCTATATTAATGTATTATACAAATCTTTGTACATTATAACTGTGACTACTATGGACAGTGTTTTCCTGAGGATCTCGACAATTACTTTCGTAAGCGTTTAACGCGGACAAAGCAACAAAAGACAGTTACAGCAGCCAAGCTTTGAGAGAGCAGAAATATCGACTACATATCTATCACTACATGTTTACTCTAATACTATTGATTTCACTGACTCTCGCTCTCCATAACCCGCTTCAACCACTCCGGTATAACCGGTGCTTGTTCCCACTTCTTCTGCCATTCATCCCCGTTCACATGTGCCGGTAAAGCGAAGACAGCAGTCACGAACCAATGCTCAGATCCAGCAGCCAGATCAGCTCCCAGAGAAGGAAGCAAGGTGCGGCCATACATGATATTCGAATTAGGATCTGCAAGAACCACCCTACCAGCTCTACTAACACCGGACAGCAACTCTACAATGCCCACAGCCCCTACAGAGGAAACCGCTAGTGCCTTTCGAGATCCCTGTAAGGTCCCCTCAGATGAGCGGTCCGTTAAAGGTCCCAGAATCCGGCCGTTGTCACTCCGACAACCATAAATGGCGAAAGCGCCTTCAGACGTCATGATGGCCCGACCCGTACGCACGCGGTGTGCCCGGATATGCCAGTTCTCGGTTTCTTCGGCCGGGGGGAGCAGGAATGTGTCCACCTCGACGTCTGACCAGGGTTTCCAGGTGGAAGCTAGGACGGGGACGTCATCGTGCCATTCGATGCGGGGGTTTAGTGCCAGCCTTCGCGTTTGCCAGATATCGCCTCCGTCATCTGACAGTGCGAGCATGCTGTCTGGGGCGTGCTGCTCTAGTTGGTAGGAGCCTGTGGGTACTGAGTACCCGAACGATGCGCTGTAGGCAAATTTGCCGTATTTGGCCTGTGTTGCTTTTAAGGGATAGTGGCAGGCTTGTCCGGAGGAGAGCAGAAATGAATGCCCGCCGCGGTGGATTACAATGTGCTTGGGATACTCGAGGGCTGCCACGGGCGAAAGGGAGGCGCTTGGGTATGGTTCCTCCTCGGCTGTCCAGAATGGATGTAGTTCGGATAGTACCAAGGGAACAAAGGAAAGGCAGCACCAGTAGGGTGAGCCGGGGGAGTTGTAGTTCTCCGTTAGGTACATGTTTGCGTAGGCATATCCGAGGTTGAGTGTTCCGTCATTGCTGAACATGTCCTCTTGGGTTGCCCACCAGCGAAAATGTCTCAAAAGGAGGCCCTTAACAACACCCCAGGTTAGTGGAGGAGGGAGCGCCACGTCGGCCAAAGCAAGCGCTCCCCAGAACCCAGCCATGGCAAACCGATATGTCATGGATCTTCCGAAGGGGATGGCGGCTCCTGTCAGAGGAGAATAACCTGTCAGTAATGATCACTATTCAGTTCAGTGCATCTAACAAACCATCTACATCAAAGTAATACACAAAATCCAGCGCAAATTGTCTAGCTCTTTCCCGATACCGTTCTGCCCGTTTCGGGTCGAAATCGGCCGCCAATCTCGAATAAAGTAACTGCAGGAATTGAATGGCAAATGAGCCCGAGTAGTAATCCATCTGATGGTGACTCTTCGGGCCGTCGTTGCTCCATCCTCCACCAACATGAAAGGTGTCCAAGTGGTCCATATCAGCTTCGATACGGGGGAGGGAATAAGGTGCGCCGTTTCTCCTTAGACCCAAGTTGGCGAAGGCCCGGAACCACAGCCTAGATACGTTCATTTATGAGCTTTTATGCCTATTAACTATATGATCTGCATCTTGTAGGGTCATACCAGTTCGTATTTGGCATCTCGCGCTCATTAATGCTAGCCAACCAATTCGCAATATTGTGCTTTTGTTGGAACGTCAACGGATCCCAGAATACATGCGGTGCGACCGCCAATGCAAACCCAATGGGACACATTTCGACCATGCGCTGATCGAGATTGTCTATATCTCCCCAGTACTCCGGACTATGAGGGTCGGTCCCGTTGATGAAACCCTCGCGCCAACGCGCCGCCTCTGGGTATTGACATCCGCCTCCTAATAAAGCAGCTAGGGCCCATAGGGGACGCGCGAAGCCCTCAAGCTGGGCAGCACCTTCATCGAAACGAGTCGTCGATGATCCTATTTTCACCCGACTGCATCCCGGTGTGAAGCGAGGGATGAGGGGGTCAAGGAGTGCCCGACATGCATCTTGAAGGTCACCCCGGTTGCGAAAGGGAGATTGGCTAAAGGCCTGGATGGAGGTCTTTCCGTTCGCTTGTACTGACATTCTGTGTAGTGCCGCTAATGAACCTCGATCGTATTAGTATACGCCGCGTGAGTCTCGCCTGGTCTCTTAGGTTTAGCATTCTAACTGTCAGCAAGCGGTATATATTGCTGTCTAGTCTACTGAAGCAAAAAAGAAAAAACCGGGGCAGGTCGGGGATCATCCCGAGCTTTTTCTCCATCGACGTGACTGTTTGTATGATGTCGGAAAGGAATACAAGGAGGCCAACGTGGTCTATTGGTGGATTAAAATGACCGAAAGCGATTTAGCCGGAAATTTAAGGATAATAAGAAACGGATAGACTCCGTAACCCTAATTGGCCAGAATTCTAAGTAGTAGACGCAGTATCCCGACATACTAATACTGCATCGGACTTAAGAACGAAGAATAAAAAAAAATAAAAAAATAAATTCCCACTTCAAAACTAGAGGAAAAAAAAAGTTATGCACTCAAATTGATCTAAATCAGGTGAATTTTAAAAAAGAATTGCATTTCTTATGGATACATACACCTTTTACGTGAGCGGAGAGATAACATGTTTGTTCCTAATCACACCTGCCAAAGTCCGACTTTATTCTTCTTGCTCAGCATTGGAGGTGGCAGCATCCAAGGGAGTCGACAGTCCTACCCGATCGATGGTACGTGTATACGCAACACCTCCATTCACGCGATCCTCATGAACAACGAGGTCTTTGCGGTTGTTATCAACAAGGAGGCGAATGAGGTCAGGGCGCATGTAATGTCCTCCCTAAAAAGTAAAGAGTGTCAGCACAGAAGTTGTAGTATTAGAATTCTAATGGGGCACTTACGAAGTCAGCTAGGGACTTGGTAAGATGACACTCATCCAGGTCGACCTATTTTTCCCGATTAGCTTTGTTGGCTCTGGAGCCGAAGGTATAACTTGAAGAACTCACATCAACGATAAGAAGGCCCTGGAAGTCCTTGTCGGGGTGGGGAACAAGGTTCTGACCATCGGGGCCAAAGATACGGCCGTGGCCGTTATAAATATGAGGATCCTCCAGCTCCTTTCCGGGGGGCGTGTTCAACTTGATGCCCTCGGCGGTGATGCTTTGCCAGGGTGCCAAAGTAAAGGTGCCGGTCTCGATAGCATATGCAGGAGTGACGAGCTGTGCAGCCTTTCATTAGATCTCAGAGCGAGCAAGCGAGAAAGACCGGGAGACCATGACTAGATCGGGCAAAATGTGACTTACGTCGGCATTGGCCTCAGCCACATTGGTGAAAGGGTCGGGATACTTCAGTGTCTCCTTTCCAGGATAAAGTGGCCAAGCAGCAACATGAATCTGTTCACCAAGAGAGGCTGCATATGCCTTCATGAAAGGGTTCATGTTTTCCCAGCAGTTCAAATGACCCACACGGCCGATCTCAGTTTGAACCACAGACTCAGTGGTATCACCAGTGCCATCCCCAAAGACCAGGCGCTCGACATGGGTAGCACGGATCTTCCGACGGTGGTTGAGGACATCACCGGTGGGGGAGATAAGGACCTGAGTGGTGTAAAGACTGGCCAGATCCAGCTCCGAGTAGCCCAAAGAGACAAAGATCTTGTTGGCGCGGGCTGCCTCACGGATCCGACGCATCTCCTCCGAGTCCGAGGCCAGACTATTTTCGCGATACTTCTTGAGAAGTGGCAGACTTTCTTGGTAGGTCACCTTCCAGGCCCAGTATGGGTATCCGGGGATCCCTGTTGCGGTGGTCAGAGTTATGGTGAAATAACGAACATGGTTGGGAATAGGCAGTACGTACAAAGCTCAGGGAAAGCAATGAACTTGCAACCGGCTTTGCCAGCTTCGTCGATCCAGTGAATGGTCCGCTTGACGGATTCCTCCAGGTCGAACCAACCTGGCTCGGCATTGACCGCTGCGGCCTTGTACTTCTTCAGAACTGGTGCCATTTTGTGTGGGAGATGTTACTAGTTGCGTGAAGCAAAAACAGTGATGTGAGATAGAGTGAGATTTGTAGCTGTTGATAGTCTAGAGGATGATCGAAGCAGAACTTGGTTGTCCCAAGGCTTCCTTATATACCTACAATTGCTTGTCGATATTCAATCCATGTCCTTTATTATCCACTCATGCAATTCGGTATGCCCGGCTGCCGGGTTTTGCTTTTGTCTACCATGTTAATCTAGCAGCTCGGGGTGTAATACATTATACATTCTACAGAGGGGAAGGGGCCGCATGATGATGCACGTTCGGGGTCTGATCGTGCACTAGAACAGATGCAAGGAAATGTTCCAGCACAGTTGATCATAGATCAGTCAGCCAAATTTCACCCATGCAAGGCCAACTTACCTAACATAGTAGAACTATGGGCTTTGACCAATGTTTCACGGTATCCCTTCTATGCCCAAACCCCGTTCAGCGCAGCGCATGAGAATGGCCTGACTCGGGTCCGTTGCGCAGTATATGACAAATGATGAATTCCCGACATATGGGAACATCTCTAACCAGACTTATCTAAGCAAAAATAAATGGAACTGAATTCCGTTGGGGCTCTGGTCGATCACCGTTGTGGTAAAGCAGAGCCCGTGGGGACTCTAATTAGATCAATCCAAAACCCTAACCAACTCGGCCGACAGCAGGGGGAAACCGTCCATTCGGGATTGCTCTATCAATTTAAATCATACCACTAGGAGCTTTCTATTACAGTATATATACTACCTCGTCTTGCCCTAAGTCTTAGCTAGCAGAAAGTCCCAGCTTCTCTTTGACACCACCTGACAAGTCTTCCTGCCGAGGTCCTGAATAGGTTTTGTATTTTTTTTCCCTTTTTCATCTCATATTTTGGATCCCATTTCCCGAGAAAATCAAGCTTTCATAGCTATTTAATCCTAAAGATACCATTCTGGCGAATCTGTTTATTACTTTACCCCATGCAAGATTATCCTCATGGCTTAGGGGAGTTTGATACCAATTACTACAACCTAGAGTATCTCCCAAAAAAAAAAAAAAAAAAAAATTAAAATGAATGATAAATAAATAATGGAATGGAGAACACATAGTTGCACGAGTAGATTTGCGGTAAATCTTTGATTTGTTTCTAATTCGAGGATTAACTGTCAGCCAAGATAGCCAAGGAGCGAGAGCTCATTTATATTTTGGCTAAGAGGCTAAGGCATTATCGGTTATTGATCATCTCGTCTATAGTCTCATGACCAAGTCCAAGAAGTTCATACCCTCCTCTCTCTTTCTACTGTTTCCTTGAGGGCCCTTTAAGCTGATAACTTCTGCGCTTGTCAGGATACCTTCTCTAGTTCTCGGGACCCCAAGGCCCATGGCGAGCTTATACACTAAGCAACATACAAAGACTTCAAAACGCAATTAGCCTACCACTATATACGCAACCTTAGTAATGACATTATGGAGGTAGTATAAAATATTAACCGATCCCTATACAGGCAGGTTATCTAAATATTGGTGATACACCTGATTGCAAACCTGGTGCAAACGTTATACTCTTGTCTTCTTTCCAAAGCCCCAAGGCTAAACTGTGTTCAGAAAGGCCACGGAACAGCTATAATCCGTGTAAATGACGTGAAATTGCCAAAACAGCGAGATGAAATATTACCATAAGGAATGCGTGTAACAACGATATGTAATCCAGACCTTGAACTTTTGAAGGTTCCATGAAAAGCGGTCGGCCAATAGGTCATCATGTTATCAAGGACCTTTAACGGCCGCATTATACATTCTGGCCAGACCCTGTATATTCAAAGGAGGGTCGATATCAAAGGCAGATCGTATTTAGATACAATACTATAAGATGGCAGTCATCGATTACCTCGGGGTGTAGGATATACATAAGGTGAAGGCAAGAATGTATATATAACTGTACCCAGCTTCAATAACTTGAATAATAGGACGGTGAAGTAAATACGTCATGTTATTAATTATTTCACGTCAGATAGAAGGCGGAAAGACATTGCTACAAGCCGACAGATATCCAATAGATTTGCCTTATACTTTGTCTTGCACACAGGGTCAATCGAACCATAGTCACTCTGATATTTTTAACCTTGATCTGTTATCATCTTATGCAGAATCATTTCTATGCAGAAAGTATTCGCTGCCACAGAGGCGCCGAAGGGAAAATACAGGACACTTCCCTACTCCCCAAAGCAGCTCGACTGTAACTTTAATTAAAACATTATCCAGCATTTTGTCAAGAGCTACTCAGTGATAGGCATCCCAATGACTCCCTTCCCATCGGACTAACCGGCCTGTATAGTGGAATACTCCAGCCCAGCAATCTACGCCGCATGGTTGTCGATTCTGGTATTCTGCTAGAACAGCCATAATGTCGCCCATAAAGAGACGGCCTGTCATGGATACAATTTGATAGAACCTAAGCAATATATCAGCTTAAGAGTTTGCTGTAAAGGCCAGAGGCTTTTTACATTGTCACGTCACCGGAATAGTCGCCATAGCATCCGACCAACATTCTCTGGCAGAGAGGCTGCGTGGCTAGCATGGTCGTCCATGATCCAGGTTTGTCATAGATGCCTTCCTCCAAGCTGAAATCCCCCTTTTCTTGAAGCCCGTCTATTAACTCTCTATCTTCTCCTGTATCTTGGATAATGAGACGCCTATTCGGTTGAAAGCAGTGTTCAGCTTCCATGTTTATTCACCGGAGATTGACCATGTTTGAGCATCTCTAGTATTGGAGGATTGATACCAGCAGGCCTCCTAGAGCGCCGGGGACGTTTGGACAACATCTCTCTAGTTACGGCAAACGCGCTGGGTGCGAATGATTTCCACGGGATTATTCAGCTGCAGGAGCATATACTCGGCAGGCTCATAGGTGCTAAAAGCTTGCTCGGCAGATGATAGCATTTCCAGGACTTCCGCGTGAAGTGTCATGTATGTCCACTTATGTATCAGTAGAGGGAGGGTTCTATTCCCCTTTTGATTTGATTTAGCGTGGAGACTGTGCCTAGAGGCCCACTACCAATATAATGGCTCAGGTTAATAAAGCCATTTAAAGAGGTCATTTCGTGCTGCTACTCATAGAGAACAGGAGTCTTTTTCTTAGCGTTTCTGTAGTATAAATTTATATATCGTAATAGCCTCTGTACCTGACTTTGTCAGAATGAAGTGTCATTTATATTTTGGTAATTGGTTACCTTGCTCAGTAGATAAATACAGTTGATCTCAGCAGGCGAGAAATCTGAAGTAGAGAATGATTGATTGATGTTACCCTGTGGAAGGATCTCTGGGTGTTTATATGTATTTGTACTGGCCATGTAAACATGCTGAGTCATTTAAACCCCAGTTCACTAACTACCTGGTCAATACAGCAACCTGTACCGAGGTTCCAGGAATATTTTACGAAATAAGTTAGCGTGTCCCGTGATTAGGGTTTGGGAGAAAGAAGATGAGTATAAACATTTGCATTAGTTTTGCAATCAGCTGTAAAAAAGAAGATATACATCATTCGATCATCAGGACTCTTACCTATACCCGAAGAGGCTCTAGTCCACACTTTCAGGATTCAACTGCTGACCACCGGTCGGCGAATTGTTACCAGTTTCTGGCTGAATGATCATCATTTAATGTAGTATCCACTCCCCACAGAGGGTCGCTTTCCCCGCAAACCTTCCTCCAGCTTGGTTATTTAGAATCAATCCTTCTCTCACAATGGCTGCTATTCGTGGTTCTAACTAACCTTGTCGTTCGTATACAACTATGTCATGTTGCATCCCCATGTTCCGTAGTAGTGCCTTTGCCTCGATGAGCAAACGCCGACGGTTATTGAATTCGGAGCTTGCCTAAATTCCCTATGAGACATGTGTCCTTCCCCTCCTTGCACTGACCCTTCTAACTGGCTTAGGGAATGGAGGATTGCTCTACCAATGAGCTTTCCCACGCTCTCTTGGGATTCGTGGAATCTTTCCCTCGTCTTGGCCGTCTTGTTTCTCCGCGGTAGATGTCACCACTCTGCATTGCGTATCAACGATATGTGTTTAGAGCAAAAGTAGTGATATACGTGCTTTTTAGTCTTTCTTCTATATTTTATCTTGCCTTAGTCCGGCTGTGTTTTTCTTCGAAAGGATCTTATTCCAGTGTTTTATAGGAGCCAGGATCGTGCGTATCGCTGTTTCAAGTTTGGAAACGGCGTTGTCGATTTCGGTGACCGAATAAGCATATTGACAAAAAAGTCCCCCTAGATTGACTTGGTCAACGGAGGCAAGATGTCAGTCATACTCAGGAGCCTCGTCCACAATGAGGCGATGCAAGAGGATCCCAAAGAGATATATGGATGGAGAGTGTATATGCTAGCCTGCTCGGTCAGTCCTTCCCCTACCTTCTGTCATGACAGATTCTAAACATCTATAGGCTTGCTTCGGCGGCATGCTTTTTGGGATGGAGACAGGCATCATAGGAGGGGTCCTTACCATGCATCCTTTCAAAGCGTAGGTCGTTAAAAAAAATGACATGTCCGGCACTGACTCACGATTTAAGGAAATATGGCCTAGAAGGGTTGAGCAAGGTAGGAGAGGCCAATCTCTCCGCTAACATTGTATCGACATTACAGGCAGGGTGCTTCTTTGGCGCTCTCATAGCCTCCCCAGTGGCAGAAAAATGGGGACGGAAGACCGGGTTAATAGCCGCCTCGATAATTGCCATAATTGGCTGTATCATGCAACTCGCAGCAAGCGGACACCTGGAAGCGATGTACGTCGGACGGTAAGCATTTCATTTGATACTATGCCCCTCTGAATTCTCAGGACTAACAGGATCCAACTTAGTCTAATTAACGGATTTGGTGTTGGCTTCGCTTCGATGATCAACCCTCTCTATGTCTCAGAGAACGCCCCAAGAGCCATCCGTGGTGGTCTAACAGGCCTTTACCAACTATTCATCACTACAGGAATTATGCTCGCTTTCTGGATCAATTACGGCTCACTCCTCCATATTAGTGGCACAGCACAGTACATGGTCCCGCTCGCCATGCAAGCCCTCCCCGCCCTTCTCCTACTTGCCGGCATGCTCCTGTGCAATGAATCCCCCCGCTGGCTGGCAAAACAAGATCGCTGGGAAGACGCCCGAGCAACACTCTCCCGCGTGCGAAATCTACCTCCAACGCATCCCTACCTCGAGAACGAATTCCAAGACATCGTCAACCAACTCGAACAGGAGCGCCGGCTCATCGCCGGCTCTGGCTTCTGGGACCTGATGAAGGAGATGTGGATGATCCCAGGGAACCGCAAGCGAGCCATGATCAGTATTTTTCTTATGGTGTGCCAGCAAATGACAGGAACGAACGCGATAAACTATTACGCACCCCAGATCTTCAAAAACCTTGGCATCACTGGTAGCTCAACCGGTTTATTTGCAACAGGCGTTTACGGGATCGTGAAGATGGTCGGCTGTGCAATCTTCCTTGTGTTTGTTGCTGATTCTCTGGGCCGTCGACGTTCACTCCTTTGGACATCTGTTGCGCAAGGCCTTACAATGCTCTATATTGGGTTGTACATCCGCATTGCCCCTCCGGTAGAAGGCGAACCCGTCATCCCGGCTGGCTACGTCGCGCTCGTCTGTATCTTTCTCTTCGCTGCCTGCTTCCAGTTTGGCTGGGGCCCTGTCTGCTGGATCTATGTTTCTGAGATCCCGACTGCCCGGTTGAGGGGTCTGAACGTTGCCTTCGCAGCTGCGACTCAGTGGTTGTTCAACTTTGTCGTCGCTCGAGCTGTTCCTAATATGCTGGCGACGGTCGGCGCTAATGGCTATGGGTGAATTTACTTCCTTTCGTTATCACATCTTCTTGCCTTTCCTTACCTCCCACGCATCAGTATAGTTTTGGACCAGAACAACGGCTAATAAAATGAGGATAGAACATATATCATTTTCTCCTGTTTCTGTTTGTCAATGAGCGTCTTTGTCTGGTTCTTCATCCCTGAAACGAAAGGTATGCAATATATTCTGCGATTTTTATATATTGTTCCCGCTCTTTGAGGAGACTAATATATTTGTGACAGGTCTTTCGCTGGAGAAAATGGACGAGCTTTTCGGTGTCGCAAATGCTACTCATCAGAAGACTCAGGATGAAGAGAGAGGTACAACCCATGTGGAGGGAGACAAGAAGAGTGAAGCTGCTGCAGAAACTAGGATGGAAAGGGCGTAATGTTCTTACTCTTTTCAAGTCCTTTCCCTTGCATGCTTTATGATTCCTTGGTGATGTTGCGCATGTGGTCAGGTCACTTGGTAATTGGAGATCTATCTATCAAATGACATGAAGCTCAGCAATGTTCTGTCCAGTATCAGTCTCGCTATGTTGTTAAGTCGTAAGTCGTATATTCCCGCTATGTACATGATAAACAGCTTTCTAACACGGTAGTGACAATGATGTGCATCGTTCTCGAGTGAGAATACAAGTAGAACAACAACCTATTGAGAATGTAGAGCTAAACGCTAGAACCTAACTCGCTAAGACAAATGCAACAACCCAGTAACCACCTCAATATCCAACAGCCAGACTCCAATGGTGCAAATCACGAGAGAAAAGGAGCAAGTGAAAGAACGGGAGGAGTATAGAAGTATAACAAGCCATAGTAGTAGTCTATCTAAGTCCCCGTCCCGGGAACCTCCGAAGCTTCTGAGTCTGACTCCGGGTCATCCGCCGAGAAGGTTCATCATCAAGACTGAGACCACCAATACCCGGTCCAAGTTCAGACCGTTTTGGTGAGAAAAAGGCGTCGCTGCTGTTTCGTCCATAGCGAATATTTCGGATTGTATTATTCGTGGCTGTAGTAGCTGTTGTCACTGTAGTTTCGGTGTCAGAGTCACAGTCTAGTGGATCTGACACGTCAGATTCTTCGCCCTTCAGGCTTTTTAAGCTGAAACTATAGTCGCTGTGGCCACCGTCATACGATGGAAAGGGATGATGGCGCCGAGTCCCAGGCGTTTCGGCCGAAAAGCTAGACCCAGCAACGGTCGAGGAGAAAGAAAGTGGGGGTACAGATGACTGCGAGACAAATGACTGAAGCTCTTGACGGTTGTTATTCTCAAGCCTGGAAGAGTTGCTAGGAAGGTCGGCACTTGGTGACTGGGGTTGGTTCGCTTGCAGTTCTTGACCAGTGCTGATGGCCGAAGAAAAGCGATAGAGGGAAAGTAAGTTTAAGGCTTCCTGAACAGTCATGAATATCAGAAGGAGCTTCCCATATCTGTCAAAGTAGTGTCTCTCGTAGGAAAGCTGCGGGAGATTTCCTCCAAGGTGGACTGCCGCCACGAGCTCCGCAAAATAAACAAGTATCTCCATGCCGTTCCACTGAGCGAGCGGTTGTTTCAAGGCTTCCAGTAGCGCAAATCCGGCTATAAGACTAGCACTACCCAAGGAGGCTACTTCAATGTAATCGCCGGGTAGAGAGATATGGCCATACTGTGAGATGAGCCAAGCAGCGATAGAGGACAGGAGTAATCCCAGTCGGAGATACTGGAAAACAAAGTAAATATGCAAATCAAGAGCATTCTGGGGGCGTGCGCTGTTCGCCTGCTGCTGCGACTGCCATGAGCCGTGGCCCTCATCCTCCGGTGACTTGATGGTGAAAGTCTTATCGAACAAACTCTCTAGCCCAGTTGAGGCAACATGATCACTCATGGGGAAGAACTTCGGAGGCGCAAATGCAGTATCTGAGTGGCCATTGTTCCGCATCCATGAGCTGGATGACTGAGTTGGAGTACGGCGAAATGGGTTGCGTTCAACAACCTGTTCGATGGGCTTCTGGCGCTGAGCAATCTGATTACGCAGGTTCCATGACGGAGGTTTAGGAGCGGCCGGTAAAGATCCATAGAAGGGCAAAGGTCCGTCAAGAACAGAAGTTCGCTCTCTCTGATGCACGCTAACAGTCGGTGTTATATTATGCTGTACAGAAGGGGTCCAGTCCATATCATCATCCCCTTCCGGTGGAGGGGTGGGAAAAGCTGGCTCCTCAGGAGCAGGCCGGGGGGTCGCTAGCTTCTCGAGAGGAAAGCGCGATGTGCTTTGTTGAAATCTTTCGTTCGGACTTGTGAAAAGTTGTTTGCTTCCAGTAGGCTGCACCGGGGACTCTTCGCGTCTACGAGCCGGGGTATTCTCGGTCCAATTTACTACTAAGGGACGAGTGTCGTACTGTGCAATGCGCCGAGAAAATAGCACAGACTAACTTTGTAAGTGTGATGTCCTAGATATTCATAGATAGCAGATTGGGCAGGACATACCGAAGCGGTGAAAATCAACATGAACGCATGCAAAGTCGGCGGAATATGTGATTGTAGACCACTTGACGAAGGGTCTCTAAGTAAGGCCCAGAAGACACATCGCACCACCATAACAATAAGTTGAACTTGGTAGTATTCTCCTAGTCCGACAAAGCGACCAGCTCTCCCTTCGAGCTTGAGTCGCAATTTCGGGTTATACCAGGCAGAAAGGATACCAGCTACAAGAGCCAGGCCGGCATAAGGTGCCAAGTCAACTGAGCAACAACTTGGCACTCGACGCGTCCGCAATGTTGAATTGACACATGATATGAATGATGGTGGCACTAGGGGATCATCCGGGTACAGTAGTGATTCATCGGCAGCCAAAGCGCCCAATAGATTCCAGGAAAGTTGACCAGCAACACTAGCCCAGTAACTTATAGCGCCAGCAAAGAGCAACAAGCTTCTCCAGTTCCATCTACGCGCATGTCTTGCTGCCCTTCCCGCTTTGCTTCGGTCCATCATACGTCTCAGGTGGTCTGATTTGGCCTCGTAACCAGCCTGGCGGATGCGCTCTTTCACTCTGGGCTCACACTTGGCGCATACCTGCGGATACCGCTCCTCCAGGTTCTTCCGGAACTTTGGGTATTCTTGTTCGTATGCACCATAGTTCGGGTCGTCGGCTGGCGGGAAATACGCGGCCAGAGCACTCGTGAATAAATGCTGATTTCGGATACATTGCGCGCAAAACAAGCGGGTTCCTGTAAAATCGGCCGACTCGAAAGGGGTGCCCGGTGCGTCGGGGCCATATACGTTAGGGTTAGTATCTGCAGCAGGGGGGTCCGTGATTTGTCCTTTCTGTGATAGTTTTCGAGATGGTAAGCGAACATTTAGATACACGAAAAGAAAAGAGAAAGGCCTACTTCATCCAAATAATTTATTGCTTCACAAGCGTTGCATCGCCATTTGCGGATAGGCCCTTTCTCAGTCTGAGCAGCCCGTCTTCCGCAATAGAAGCAAGTTAGTCGCTTTGCGAAAATGGGAGCCATCTCATGTCCGAAGTGTTGACATTGATAGCGGGAAGGTTGTTGATGGAGCAACCTCGATCTTGGACGGGAAGGAGTTAAGACAATAATCGCCGAATCGCACAGACCACGTGCCGGACCTGAATCACCACTTCTACAGATTCAAGTAGTTGTTGGTTATAATTCGGACAATTGAAAGGGCTAGCCAAAGCGTTATTCAAATTAATCTGTGCTATACCATCCCGCTCAGGATTATGTCCAACTCGTTTCCTTTTTCTGTCAACCATTGTTCATGATGACACCTGCAGCTGCGGACTAACAAAATTCTGCTTTCCAGTCACATTCCCTTTGCCTTTTCACAGCTTTCAACTTCAAAGACGATGGCATTGATTGAGTTACACGTCATTAGCCTTCTTTGGATCTCTATCCTAGGATGTGTGATCAGCTTGTCAACTGCATTTGTAAGTCTCTGGGTCGATATGCAGCTTATTCATCCTCCTTATATGTGGCTAATATCCATATTGTTTCGTTGCAGGTCCTTATCATTGGCCTACTCATCTCACAAAATACTAACATTCCCAAATGGCGCTCGAAAACCTCTCCCACCCATCTTCTCATCGTCCTAGGCAGCGGAGGACATACGGCAGAAATGCTCTCCATGTTACGACGCATGAAGCTCGACCCATCCAAGTATACCTATCGCACATATATTGTGAGCTCCGGGGATAACATCAGTGCCACAAAAGCGGTAGAATTCGAAACCCAATATCTCAACCAATTTCGAAAAGCAACTGCGACAGATCACAACTTTGCGGAATCCTATACAATTGTGACTGTGCCACGCGCGCGTCGCGTGCATCAATCATATCTAACGGCACCTTTTTCCACACTCAGATCCTTCTGGGCCTGCCTTCTCGTCTTGCGCGGACGCTATGCTGACCAAAGACCGCTTCCATCGTCAATGGCCTCCCCTTATCCGGATGCAATTCTTACGAACGGACCTGCTACCGCGGTGTGTGTCATACTAGCTGCTAGGCTTCTGCGTCTCTACAATTATGCTAGGGGCTTCTTTTCATTAAAGAACGCCTCGCAGGGGGGATGTTTAACACCGGCTGACTACCAACTTCGTACGATATTCATAGAATCATGGGCCCGTGTGACGACCTTGAGTCTCTCCGGTAAGATCTTGCTGCCTTTTGCTGATCGTTTCCTTGTCCAATGGCCCGCGTTGGAGGGAAGGAGAGCGTGGAAAGGCATGAGAAAGACGGAATACGTTGCTATGCTTGTAGATTGAACATGGCAAGTCCGTTAAATGTCTCGAAAGAATTATTAGCTTTTTACATTGCACTTGTATCTGTAGATATACACAAAGCCATCGCTTAAAACGGTCAAATCCTAGGAAACCGATCTACTTCTATACCATATATTACGAAATCAAGAGTACAATAACATTGCGATCGCGTCCTTTGTCATCACCAATACATTACAGAGCCGGCAGAGAGTAAAACCTCGCTCACGAGAATACCTGCTCATTAGTACTACTCTCTCCAGCACTATAATCGCAGAACATATATTAAAGGTATCTTGATACCAATTATGCAAACTGTACATTCAAAATGGCACTTTTGTTCCCACTTGTGGCTTTACTGCAAAGGGTTATAGAATGGGGTATAATCAGAACCGTTCGAGGAGAATGTTCGATCACCAATCATCCGCGCCTTGAGAGCGGCTCGAAGGGCATCTGCATTCTGTTCACCCTCAACTTTCATTTGGTTGATGCGGAGAAGTTTACCGTCTTGTGTGAATACGTAGACGCCTTTTCCTTGCCGAGGCTCAACGGGGTGAGCTCCATCCACAAAGGGCAGGCCTGGAACGATAGCATACGCCTCGCTACCTTTCATCGGTTTGACTTCCTCTATTTCAGTGAAAATCACCCGGCGGTATTGAAGTGAAGGAAGGTCAGCCGAAGCATCATTGGCTACCAAAGCCTTACTCCATAAAGGCCCTAATACACGTGTCCGCCTGCTGATATCTAACCAGGTCCAATTTGCCCAATTGATATGGCGGTCCTCAGGCTTAATTTTGGCTGCATGTATCAGCGATTCAGATTCTTCGGGCAAGCGCCAGCCAGCATCCTCTACCGGAGGAACAAACAGGCCCTTTTGAATACCATCAACAAGAATCTCGGCTCCCTTGGGGGCAACAATGTCCAGCAGATCTGGCACGGTACATGACTCGGGGTTTTGTATCTCAAATCCGGGTGGCGGCGTCTGCTGTAAAATGATGCCATGGTCGAAATTCTTAAGATCTAAGGTCTGCAAAGTGACACCAGTCCTGGTTCTACCAGCCAAAAGAGTGTGATGAAGGGGAGCGGGACCACGGAAGCTGTTTATAATTAGTTAGATTTCCGTGTGAGACACACATCGGCTATTCATCTATACTCACTCGGGAAGTAAAGAAGGGTGAACATTCAGACCCCCGTACTTTGCGCCATTAAGAATTCGCGGAGGCACAAATAGACCGAAGGATACAGCTACTATAAGATTGACGGGTCCCCCAGGTAATATAGGTGGCTAACAGAGTCAGTAACACATCAAGAACCCCGAATCATCTCTGTAATACCGTCCACCCTTTGAAGGTATCTATTTCATGAACCGGGAGCGAAAGGTCCGTCGCGGCGGCTTTGATGGGAACTAGTAAAAGTAATGTAAGCTAAGCCCTGTATCTCTGAATCTTGTGAATCTATTTACCCTCCCGTATTTTTTTCAAGCCTCTTCCAACCCTTTTACCAGGCCTACAGACAACGTCAATGGAGGAAATCCGATCTGGTCGGTCCAATTGCTCCTTGTGGAGAGCTTTCAAGGAAGCTATGCTGAACTCATCGGACCCGCAAAAGAGTATTCTGAGGGGCTCATAGGACCTTGTCGCAAAGAATCGATACGCGAAAGTTTGACCAATTCCAGCGCGTCTGTATGAACAGAGCGCCCCGGGGCCCCGAGGGAGAAACATGACGCAGAAGACAGCGTAGGAGCTGCTACAGCATACCTACTTCTCCGGTTGAGACTAAAGCTCCGGAAAGCTCTCCGATCACTCGAACAAGCACGTGATGTCACCGCATCACAACCCCAAGCCGATCAGCGAGATATTCCCCATCTTTGTCTATTGCGCCCGCTGACTGTGAGTTGCGGCTCATGTTAGAATGATGCGATGTCAGTGAGCGACTTTGCTTCGGTAGTTCCGGCGCAACTTGCATTCCTAACTATATACAACCCCCTCCTCGGATCGACCGACGAGACTATTCACGATCAGGTCGTCTTCTATACCTCCAGGTCAGACCGGCTGCAACGAGGTGAAAGATCTGCGACTCAAAACGATGACAAAGAATCTAGTGATGAGTGGAATAAAAGACTACGCCAGATAGGACTGGCGCAGGGCATGGTGAGCTTCGCCAGGTGGGGACCGCTGCTTCAAAACGCTACAGGACTATGCTAATAACTGGCGTAGGAACTTTTCAAGAGGACAGGCTGTGGACTACGTGGAGACAGACAAATCGCTTATCGTGCTACACGAACTCGAAAAAGATTGGTGGATTTTATCTGTAAGCATGGCCTTGAGGAACATGCTATAACGCTCAATGCTAAGATTGTTATAGTCCATTGATCTGACTCGGCTTCCAACCGACCCCTCTAATGGGTCCTCTTCGCAGCGCAATGCTTCAGAGACACCCTCATTTTATTATTCTTCGCGGGAGATGTGTCCTTCGCATCTTCTAATCCAGCAACTACGCCGAGCGCATTCCATTTTCCTCCTCCACCATGACATCACACTCGACGCTCTATACCAGCGTGTTGGCAGGTCCACTTTGTGCGCCCTTCTAGAGAACTTCTGGCTGCAGTTTGCTTGGAAATGGGACGTCCTTTTAAGTGGGAATCCTGCTGTGGACGTTTATAATGGCATAAAGCTTTCTGCGGGAGGCGAACTTGGCGTTGGAGTTGGCGAGGAAGAGTGGGGAAGCGGGGAGAGAGAGGTGTTCGAAGACTTTGTAGCAAGGACAGATGGCCTTGTGGACCTAGTGGTTTCTCGGTTCGGCGATGCTTACACGGCTGGCGAGGACGCTACAGCCGCAAACCTATCGGCAGACCTTACTGGCGATGACGACGATGAAGGTCAATGGCTTGGCTCAAACACTTATCCGCAACCATCAGATGGTGTTATCTTCTCAGGTGTAGGGACGCTTTCCAGATCTTCTGTGGTACGCATCTCACAATGGATGGAGTGGATCTACAGATACGGCTTCGACACCTATGGAGTGGGTGAAGACCCAACATCACCACGGCGTCGTAAACGCCGGAGACGACGAGGCCGTTCTGTAAAAGAGGCCAATGTCATGTCGCAAGGCAGAGAACATTCCCCGCGGGAAGACATGGATCGCAGCTTCTCTCCAGGTATACCACGCCCGCTTGTGATGGGAGCATCGCAACCATCCCAGCCTCAGCCAGGATCCGTTAGGGCGAGTCCGCATTCAAGTGGTGAAAGCTCCCCTGCAAGAAGTGACAAAGGCACCGACTGGGTGGGGTTTACAGCTGGTACATTTGTGAAATATCTCACTCTAGGATATGGTTCACCATGGAGCATGTCCAAAACACCTAGCCCACACCCCCGCGTTGAAGCACTGAAGCGAGAAGACGACTCGGTCGGCGCAAACAAACAGATAGTATCACCTACTGGAACTCAAGAGGCGCCCGAAGAGAGCCCTTCTAAATCTGCAGCTCCTCCCAAACCTCGAAACCGAGGTAAATTTATCATTGGTCTACAGAATGTGCCAGCCAGCTATAATAATCAACCCCTGGATACTTCTGATCCGGCAAACACTTCAACCGAAAGATTGAATAAAAGGATAACTCAGAGGACGTTACATATGCACCTAGCAATTCCATCAGAAGAAAACCCAACAAGTCAGTATTCGCCATGGCTGAATCCTGTTGACTGCAATGCTAAAAACCGATTGTTTCCAGGCTCAATACAGCAACGAGCAGTGGTCTACATAGTGAGTCTTCCTTTTCGTATTAGGCCTTTGCAACTTCCACTAACGGGAAAGCAGCACAAGCCATTCATATACACCTTTCTATTCGACCCTCAAACTTCATCTCTGGCAGACCCATCTCTTTATGACAATATCCACAATCAGCTATATCCTCTCCAGGAATCACTCGGCAGGTCAACATCGCCAGCAAATGCAGCAGTTAGAATCTCAATATCTGGAAATGCATTCGACATCAGTCAACGATTTTCAGCCGAGAACCAGCCAGTTTACGATCTAGTCTATGATCCAACAAATCTAACGATCCGCTCTTCAATCCCCAATATCCCCGATCTCGGTTTCTCCCCTCTAGGAGCCCCCCGAGAATCCAGCACAACACCCTGGTCCCGTGTCGAAAGCCTCAACATCCACCACCGCTTACTGAGCACCTACATAGAAACGCGATCCCGACCGCACGAACTAGAAAGAACCTGCAAAACCAGTCGGGGCTGGTGGATCGTCTGGGTTCGCATGTCTGACCCATTGTATAAGCCAACCGGTAACAACAGCAGCACATCTCATCCCGATGACCCTCGTCAGGAGGCTTTCGTGATTCGGAGGGCAAGCGACCATGTCTCGGCGTCTTCGCATGCTCGCATTAATAGTAGCGGATCTCGGTTCTTCCGGGATCTAGGCGGTGCGACTTCGCCGGGACTATCGGATATGGGACCAGGCAAGCTGGTTGAGGGATTAGGTCTAGACGCCAGACGGTATATTGAAAATATACTCAGTTTGAATAAATGAAAACATGAATACAATTGACTTGGGCCTTTTTTTTTCTTTTTTCTTCTCCTGTCTCCTGTTTTCACGTACCGTGTAAGTCGTAATACTAGAAATCTATATATATAATTCATGGGAGGAGCGCTGGCTATCCTTGGAGTGTCTTACTTTTACCCCTGAAGCATTAAACAGGGAGACATTAGGCCAAAAAAAAAGCCATCCCTACATACTCAAGGCATCAAACGTTGTCAAACAAGTCCCGCTACTTAGCTACAAAGGGAGCCAAGGGCCTGTCAAATTTCATTCTCATATGCCAGTTTAATTGATCCTCCTTTCCCCTATTCAACAGGGTGTCATTTCCATATTTAGGCATGCTAGCCTAACGCAATCCTACGTAGCCCTGTCCACCGGTTACTATCAATAGTATCATATCAATAGTTCGGCCCCTGTGTCTGTAATTGAGTTACCGGTATTCTACTGATAATAGATACTAGCTAGAATCTCCCGAGGTTTCGGAGATAAAATGCGCTTCATGCATTTCGCGAATATGTATCAGGGAGGGAGATAGCAGACAGGGTACAATGACATCAGGAAGAGCATGCAGATGCGGACGGCAAATGAATAGGATGTGCATTGATTAGTAGATAATAATTTGGGGACGATGGCGTTTGGCTCCATCCAACGATTGCCGACGCACGAGCAACCCGAGCAGATGGGGAGAACATTGAAGAAATTGGCCAAAATCCAAAGACGAAATCAATCCATGCATTCTCTTAACCGAAATCAACACAAAGGAATAAGAACTCTGCTGGGGAAATCCGAAGTGATAGGAATCATCTATCGTATCACGAAATTCCGACTTTCTTTATCAACCTCCTGGAGATCATTGACTGACGGGGCACACACGAGAAAACGCCATCCTCAATAGCTCATTTCCGATCTGCACTATTCAGGTAGTGATGACCCTGTTTTCCTGCCAGCGAAATGGCCATCCTCTGCCATAGTGATCGAACCGCCTCGTAGGCGTACGGGGAGCTGGAAAAGAGAAGAAAACCCACAAGGTTATGAAGACAACGCCTCCCTAGAAATAAAATAGAAGAAGTCTGCAAAATAGAAAAAAAGTCCACCAACTGCATAGCCAGATAATCCCGTAAGCCTCGTGTGCCCGTGATTAATCACTATCCACACTCGCATCCAGGCACAGATCGGAACACGCCAACGGAGGACCCCTTCTGAGTAAAAGAAAACAACCAAATAGTCGAGACCCTTATCCGTTCATATAATCTCCGCATTAAACACAGACCTTTTGTGAAGGAGACAAAACTAGTTTACAGGATGGTGCACCCCTTCTTCTTCTTGTGAGTCTTAGTCAAGAGGGCGGCCCGGGTGGCAGCCTCGAAGACCTCACGGACACCCTCGTTGGTTCGTGCAGAGCATTCGAGGTACTTGTAGGCCCCGATCTTCTTGCGAACTTCCTCTCCCTGAAAGAAAGTTAGAGGTTTCCAATATTTTTTTGGCTTCTATAGGGTACAAACCTGTTCGGAGGTGACCGGCTTCTGAGAAGTCTTGGTCAACTCTTCAATGGTCTTAGGGTCGTTGCGAAGATCCTTCTTGCAACCAACGAGAATGATGGGGAGCCCCTGGCAGAAGTGAAGCACTTCGGAAATCCACTAGAAAACAAGGTTAGTTTTCCGTCCAGTCCTCTTCGCAGTTGAAGCCCCTTTTCGGTATCTTTTTGCTTCGTAAGAGGTATAATTCAGGGCAACTTACCTTCTCCTGAACGTTGTCAAGGGAATCGGGCGAGTCAACCGCGAAACAGATCAAGATGACGTGAGAGTCGGGATACGAAAGAGGACGGAGACGGTCATAATCTTCCTGACCAGCCGTATCCCAAAGAGCAAGCTCGACACGCTTGCCATCAACTTCGACATCGGCCACGTAGTTCTCGAAGACGGTGGGGACATAGACCTGAGAGAAGTGGTCGTCAGTTTGACGCGTCCTAGGCCGGACAGGGAGATATCACAGGTTGGATTGGGTATCTGGTGAAAACTAACCTCAGGGAAGGTACCCTTGGAGAAGACACTGCATAAAGGAGACCGACGTCAGCACTCTTTTCTTGTCTGGAAAGAGAAATATCGTAGGTAGAGAGACACTTACATCAAAAGACAAGTCTTACCGCAGGCACCATCACCCACGATGACAAGCTTGCGGCGGATTTCAGCCATCTTGAAGCGAAGAGGATCAGTAAATGATGAGAACCAATATTACGGAGTGAATAAATCCCAAGGGAGTTGAGTGGCAAGTGATAGGAGAAGAAGGGGAAGCTGTTGCGGTAGTTGGGTGGATGGCGGAGAGGAAAGTTAGAAAGCTGAGAAGGGGACAAGTCAGGCGCCCGAGGAAAAGGGTTATCACATACGGTGCAGGTGCAACGGTACTGATTAAATTATAGGGAGAGGGAGGGAATAAAGACGGTAAAAAAATATGAATGGGTTGAGTAGAGCAACGAAAATAAAAGAATCAAAAGTACGGGATAATTTAGGATATGGACTCAGTCAAAAGGATAATAACAGATAATGGTCTCCGGGGGAGCTTAAGATGAAGGATGATTCACGGATGGGGGTGGTGGAAGACAGTAAAGGGAAGGGTAATGGTCTGTATGGGAACGAAGGCTATCGGCGTTGGCTCTTCTCTCGTTTCGTTCCCCCCGACTGGCCTTTCAGGTGAGGCTCCCCAAGTTGACTAAGTAACCAAACCAGACTAAGAAACGCTGAAACGATTGGCACAACCAATATTTCACCCAGATAAAATGCTATGTGGCTGAGCTGGTTTGTTCTCTTCTTTTACTTTTCTTTTAATTAGAAAATTTTGGGGGATTTTCTTTTTTACACCCTTCAAACATTCTATCCTCTTAGGGAAAAAATAAAAATAAAGAAGAATATTTGAAAATACGGATTTATCAGTAACATAATGGAAGCAATAAAGCAACAGCTTAATTTCTATAGCCCCCAAGTCACGCTTATGTTTGTTTCCCTCCTCCGGCTCACATGTTCATGTTGCAATATTCTGTTGTTTTTCTTGGATGCCTAGTTTCCTGTTGGCTTCCCATTCTTGTTTGAAGCCACCGTGGCTGGTCATTCAACCTGTTGTAATTTCAATACCGTATTGGTGTCCACCACCCGCTTACCGCCTTAGCAGAAAGCACCGTACCCAGTACCTCATAGGAAGTTTTGTATGTACAGTAATTTAATTTCAAGTTAATTTGAGTTATGAGCTTGTGAACATACTTAGACCGAGATCCACTTAAAATTTCCCAAATTTCTTAAGGAATAGAATCAATACCTACCTAATATTGCTTCAGATGTCAAAGCAGAATAGTTATTCAGCCACCAGAAAAATCATGGAACTTGTAAGGCTTGTACTCCGTACTATATGTTGCAGTAGAACTTAGGAGGTTTAATTGCGTGGACACGTCAATCCTTCAACTATAAGTCGGCGGCTAGACAACCGGTGGGCACCTTGTATGCTCGGATTTATCGGTTATGGCTCCATTCTTAATATTAGTCTTCCAATGGGTATTGTTAAGGACATGATTCGCTTGACGAAGGTCGTTTACGCGAAATAATACCTAGGTAGTAATAATAAAGGCAACCTACGGTCGTGGTTCCTCATTCAAAGAAAAGAGGGAGAAAAAGCGTCGTATTCGTAACTTCTCCTACCTTTCCCCATTCATAAGCATTTAACTCCTAACTTATCAACGGAAAATAGAAGATGAAAGAGACTGGTCATGTTCATATCAGGCAAGTTCACTGATCAATGGCATCATTCAACCTAAAATACCCCGGGCCCTGCGGACAAGAATAGAGCTTGTTTTGCCTAGACTGGACCAGAATATATATATGATCACATCATCATACAGGTCCCCGGGGCGTGTTTCCCCCCCCCCAAAAACAACGGGAGTCTGCCATATTAACCATCAACCAGACAATACGTGGCGGTGCACGGGATGCGCCCCTTAAAATCCTTAGGTACTGTACTGTACTTAAGGTCAACAGTACCAGCAATTCAATACAACGATAGTTCAAGCTGGAAACTTAACTCCTATGGCGTACAATGGTCAATCAATCACATACAACTCACGTGTTAATATCCTGGAAATATTTTGGGTAATATTTCTTTTACGACTTGTACCAGATACAGGATTCACTGAGAACAAATTTTTCGGGGGTGGTTATTACAGCCACCTTCCGGCTGTGCTTACTCCTGGGATGCGGTTGAACCAAAAGTAGGAGACGCCTTGCAGCAAGGTGTATATGTTTCTTACTTCTATTTTATCGAGGTAACGGTAGTGACTCAGTCCGATGTGCAATCATGCTTGTTGGTCCACCTTTTGAGCTGTCTATAAGAGTTCATTGGGCCACACTTGCCGCATTCTTACTGTTTCAATGGTAATTCAAATGATGCATTGCAGCATACAGCATATACAGCACCTGACAAGTATCCTGACAATTTGACTGACGCAATTTTTGGTGGTCACTCCCTTGTGTATCTTGGTTTACTGTAGCAAGTATTTGCTAGGTTACAAGGGAAAGTCCCCGAAGTGGTGTAGACTATCTGTTACAGTTATCATGAAAGAGCAATGTCCCGGAAGGCCAAGAAAGGATTCGACTCGTCTTACGATTCTTACATTATCGGGTCCAGTCAGCCTTGTACACAAAGTAAAGGGTGCATATGCATCCTTTCAGCTGAAGGTGGATTCCAATGACGCCTAGCTAAGAACGGGACTCCCCTGGCATTCGACACACGACCCTATCAAAATCATAGGTGGGTAAAAGAAAACAAAAATTCTCGGTGATATGCAACAGAGCCATAAAGCAACCTGTGATACACGTACGCCTTCGAAGTGTGCGGTCCGGACCTAAGGGATAGTTGTGGCGCTGGAGTGGACTTGCTCTCCGATAGTAAGGCTAGACCATTCTTTGTGGCTCTGCATATATGGGATTTATCTGGATTCCCCAGATCCAGACCCTAGAATTCCTGCGCCAAAGTAACTCTGTCCTTCCAACCATGGCAATCATGCCTGGAACCTAGAAGCCACTTGGCGTTGCTCAACAGATCTATCCATGACACTACTATAGGGTATGATAGACTTTAGAAAACTATCTTCCACTAACTTACCTCCTTATAATTATTTAATATTTTCTCTTGTAACAAGACTATCCTATCGGGGAGTGATCATATTAGAGAACTTCAAACTTGCACCACCGCAAAGCTACTTCCGTCTTCTTTTCTAATTTTATGCAGCGGCATGACGGTCATCTTACCAAATGGTTTAATTTTGACCTACTATTTACGCTTTGTGTGGGTATAGGTGTCTATACGGTACAACCGTGATGATCCTCCGGGATAGCACATAGAGACTGCAGCCCAGTAAATTATAGATGGGGGGCCACAACACGAGATTCCAACTTTCCAGTTTGATTTTGTGTCATGCGGTTTCCATACACTCTTGCAGAGACGAGAGATGAGCCCTATGTACTGTACAGTCTATACGAATTACCCGACTACTCTAGTGTCTACCAGTACTGGTACCTAAATACCTAGTGTTAGGAGTTGGGATGTTATCCATGAAACAACTATCGGATATCCCCATTGGCTCGTTGTTCCTTGGGCGAATCCGACGTATCACGTGATGTACACGGCCTCAATTTTCCCTCCCGGAGCATCCTCCGATCTGGAGACTCCGCGGGAACGTCGCTCAGCCATTGCTGGTACCGCACCAATTCAAAATGCAGAAGATTATTCGAAGGACGGCCGTGGCAAGGAATCAAGCTCAGCGGAAGGTCATTCGGACCGCTAAAGGCAATGAACGTCAAGAAGCCAAAGACTTCCTAAGACAACAGTTCGCTGCAAACCGCACGACACTCGATAACATTCGCTCCGAGAGACAACGACGACGTGATGACTGGCTCCGCGGACCTGTCGCACCTCGACACGATATAAGTCTGGAGAAAAAAACATTTGGTGCCCTGGACGCACAGGTAATGAACCCACCGACTGTCCCCAAGCACCTACGGAGGAAGTATATCAATATCGCTGTGGGAGATCGAGTGTGTGTTATGAAGGGCCACGACAAGGGCAAGATCAATGAGGTCATCCGTGTATCTCCAGAATCTGAAACGATTACAGTGAAAGATCTCAACGTGGTATGATGCAATACCCTAACAGTATCTCCGCTGTTGTCTGACTCAACTTTTCACAGGCCGATGTTCATCTCCCGAGCTGGCTTGCCTCTCAGAGCGGACAGAAGGGCAATGTCTCTCCAGTTCCCATGCCAATCTCTCTAGATGACGTCCGACTCGTTGTTGCCCTTGACGATCCGGCCACTGGACAGACGCGAGACGTCTTGGTTGAACACGTCTACGGAGGGGGGCCGATCCTTGAACGAGATCATGGTTCAGATACCCCTAGACATACCAGGTATATTACCGGCGAAAACATTGAAATTCCATGGCCTCGCAGTGAGCCTCCCAAATTTAAGGACGAAGAGTGGGATACGCTACGCATGGAAGTTGAGACACCAACTTGGACACCATCGCTGCATTATGCGCCGTTCCCTCCTAGTGTCATGGATGAGCTTCGGAATAAATTCTCCAAATACCGTACGCGACACGATCCGGAGTGGGTTGAGGCGAAGAAGATGGAAGATTACAGAAAGGAGTACCTTCAGAGCAGGTCTTTGTTGACACCAAAGGGTGAACTTATGGCTCTATTACGGGCCAAAAAAGAGGAACGCCTTAATGCGAGAAGGGACGCCAACGGCAACATGCTCATGGACAACCAGACGGCCGGGTTCATTGAGAATTTCTTGAAAGAGAAAGTGGCAAACAAAGCGTAATCGGCTCAGGTGGAATTCACCGGTTTTCGATGGGGAGAATGTCTAGGGGAATAATATCTTCTCCTCTTTAATTTGTTTAAATGGATGTATACAAATGTATCACTGTAGCATAGAACATGATTGTATAAGACTACTAGGTTAAGACTGCACTTACTTCCGCAGACCTGTAGGTTAATGTTACGGAAGAGCAACATGGAATTTGCTTTAGATTCCATTGATCAGCCAATAGGACTAAATATTAACCCCCCAGTTGCGCGTGGGCTGTCTCCGGTCGACAGCCGTCAGGGGAGTCGTTCGCAATCTCTCTTATCCATCATCTCTCCGCGCCCGAAGTTTCCATCCCCATATCTCCCTTTAACCTTCACGCACGCAGCCCCATTTTTCAAGACATTCTGCCCGGCTTTGTTATCTTGGGGCTGCTCTTTCCCAATTATGGCATTCGCTGCGATAAATTCATCGGCTCCGAAAAGTATTCCAGCCATTGAAGATGCCTTCGCCGCCCAACCCTCTCTGAAGAAACGAGTTTATGATGCGATCGGTGCGTAACCCAACACTTGACTTGATACGAGCCCAGGTCCAACGAAAAGAAAAAATTGACCGGTGTCCGATACGGCTTCACAGGGACTACCCCACAATATATACCTCTTTTCGAGGACATTGCTAGATATACCTCCAGCCTACTAGCCAGGAATGCGAGCACTCCCGTTCAGCCCGTGGAGATGTCTACCGACGGCCCTGTTGCGAAGAAGCGAAAGTTACAGAATGGAGATGCTGCAGGACAGGCACAGTCTCCAGGCGATCTGAAAGCCAACGCGCCATTACAATTTTATATGCAGGATGTTTCATTCGCTGTTCCGCAACGGAAAAAGCTTACGCTCGAGATCACCGCAGGGCGCGGTTTCCTTCGCGCGAGAAATCAGACGTCGAAGGCAGTGGAGTTTGGCATCCACATGGACAAAATACGTAAGTTTTGTGATCCGCTTCTATTACATTGATGCTGATTGTGTTGTCGGTCGAGATAGAACATGTCCTGTGCCTCCCTGTCCCCGAGAAAAATCAGAAGCAATTTAACTTCTGCATCATCCCCCAGTATGGTGATGGAATAAATTCACCACCGGAAGGTGAACCTTCCCCCGAGGCGATGGTGTGGACGGTCTCCGATGGTCCTCCCAAGGCCGCATTCTCGGGGAATGGACAGCAGATTGGGAACAAGGATGGAGAGTCGGCTGAAGATGTTGTTAGACAGGTGTTGAATGAGAATCTGTCGCAGGCAAAGGTGGTGCGACCAGATGAGAGGGAGTTTGTCAGTGCCATGTCTGAAGCGCATCGTAAGGGAGAGAAAGCCTATCACGTCAAGGCTTTCCGTGGTAGTAAGGAAGGTACTATTACCTGTAGAATTCGGCGTTGAGTTATCTTAAGCTAATCATTTCTTCGCTCTAGGTTATCTCTTCTTTCTCTCCACGGGCGTACTGTTCGGATTCAAGAAGCCCTTGGTCTTTTTTGCTTTCGAGAATATCGATTCAATCTCGTACACCTCTGTGCTCCAGAGAACCTTCAACCTGAATGTGGTGGCCCGACCTACTTCAAGTGATGAAACGCAGGAATTGGAGTTTTCTATGATCGACCAGGCCGATTATGCCGGTATCGATGCCTACATTAAGAAGCACGGTTTACAAGATGCTAGCCTTGCAGAAGCACGACGTGCGAAGCGATATAACATCAATGGGGTGAAAACTGAGGAAGAGGATTTTGTGAATGCGGAAGGTGCTCTCGAAGGGGAAAGCGAGCTGCAGAAAGCCCAGCGCGAGCTGGAAGATCAGGAAGATGAGGACGAAGAGGACTACGACCCCGGCAGCGATGCTGATAGCGACGGTAGCGGCTCCAGCAGCGAGGAGGATTCGGACGAAGACGGCGATGATGACGATGATGATGCAGATGATGGTGAGGAAGGGCAAGACCTCGTTGCGAATGAGCTTGGAAATGAGGCGGAAGATGTTCCTGCTGACCAGCTGTGACGGAGCACTTGTCATACATTAAATAATGTACGAAACGTTCGATGTTATATGGTTGCGATGCCATATTCACAATGGATGCTCCGCGAGTCAGTATAGTCGATCATGGCATAGGCCTTTTGGCGGTTTGTCTTAACCACCTTCGCATTGTGTCCTTGCAATAGCCATCCGTCATGCAGCATGTATCGGTATGATACTCTATACCTGGATCAACTTCAGTAAGAACCCTGCAGGAACTATGCACATATATCATAGACCGATGTTACATGGCCTCAGTCCAATCAGTCCATTCCACGTAGAACCGTTTCAAGGCTGCATGTTGTGGGTTTCAGACGTCAGGAAGCGCACCATGGCCCTCCAAGAGAATACCTCCCTCCGAAGTCTGCTCGGTGGGTCGTCTACGTGTCAGATGGAGAATTACAAGTCTTTCATGGCGGTTCTATGTTAATGTACCCGCCTGTCAACATGCATACATATCGTATGGTTTCATGTCCTGTCGAAAGACGTCTGCAGTGCAAGGTCACGAATCAACAACGCTATTCATCGCACACGGACAGTGTCCCCCAATGACCCCGCGCCTTCTATTGACTAGGATTTGCATCCTTCATCGGCAAAATGCCCACTGAATTCCTGGCGCTCTGTGTTGCTTCCTGTGCGATATATTGGATATTGGCCTTTGTCGAATGGCGGATAGGCTATGGTCATGCTGGTGGCTTGGATATTTTCTTTGGTGGGACGTGTCATTATTTATTTGTACTTCTGTTATGGGTCCTAGAAAGCCAATTATTATTGAACCTAGCCCTAGACTCATAAATTTATTGATATCGATCCAACAATGAACGTAATTTATCTCCTAGATCAGAGTGAGCTCCTGTGATCTACTAAGTCCATAGTGGACCATCGGAACTAGGGCGGGAGTCACTTATATAGGAGAAGCCTTGGCAGATGTTACATTGGTGCAGTATATCCTTAGGAGTTAAAAGTCAAGAGGGATCAACCCGCAGCTACTTCTACACAGTATCTTTTATCAGAAGTAGAGGGGATCTCCCACTAACAGGACAATCATGTAGAAAATATTCTCCATACTGATTCGGATAATCAGTGGGTGGCTATTACATCCACAGACCGTCGATACAAGCAAAAGGGGGTTCCGTATCCAGTCTAACCGTGGCTCAGTGGCGTGATTTTGATCTGGGTAATAACTAGTTACTAGCTATCTAAACCCCATTGAAAGGGGGAGATATATGTCTTACATCGTCTACGAATATCACATCACTATAAGTACTATGGCCTCTCAAAGGTCTCCCATACTAATGCCGAGGTTTTTTGGATTTTTTTTTTTATCTCTCCTACGCGCAATGATATACCATCAAGTACATTGGTTTAAAATTCCTCTGATCCGGAAGTCGAAAAGCTATCTCGGCCGGAGCGAGAGTACGTGCTCAAAGCCTCTGTGCTCTCCTAAAAGGTAGATTGTCGAAAGGCACGATAGATCGAGAAATATAATATCGTACTCGACAAAAAAGGTGAGCAAAGCCACTGTTGGGTGTTCCTCGGAGATTGTGGTATTGTAGACGATCGAAACGGATCCCTAAAATGCCGCAGGGTGTAGATTGGTCAGGGGCACCGCCAGCAAAGCGTTCAACTAGTTGTTGTTTTAGTCAAGAGCTGGCGCCTACCCACAACTGTTTTAAGTAGTAGTTGGCTGACAGCTAGCATTTCGATCTCCGAGCCTAACTCCAACCCATGTATACTGTCCTGCAGCTAGATAAGGTGAGAGTCCGCTCCGCTTAATGCACAGTACCTGAATTGATCAGTTTATCGATATTTTTTTATTACTATGTTGTAGGGGGTTGATTGTGCTTGGACTGAAGGTAAGGTATGTATTAGACAACGGTATCATACCACAATTTACCTTGATTGCATATGGCCGAATGCCAGTACTGTACCTTAGCACGGCAGGGTGGCTACGGTAATACCGAGGTGAGAAAATATGAGTAACCATAGTAACAACTGGAACTCACATACATCCACATGGATCCCCTTACACAATGAATGTCTCTCATTGAAATTTTCTATTGTTCTAGCTCCCCTAGATCCATGTTTTTGTTGATATCATGAGTTTATTGATAATTGACTAGGACTATGTTCCCGTATTGTTGTTGAGGGGATACTGTCTGTCTGTCAGCATGTACAGTACCTAATAATATTGCCATGTATGTATTTGAGCTAATCTTCCCGTTTGGAATTTTAGCTGCCAGTCTGGCCAGAACGACCCCCCCAAAATCCACTTTCTATTTCCTCAGGAAGTTAGTGGCCGGACTTCAACCGTTCGTCGCCCAACAGCCCGAGCGCTAAGGGAGCCACTAAGGCAGTCCAGTCCCTGTACTAGGGCGAGTCGAGTCCCATACGGGATTCCCTGTTTTCCTCGTCTCTTCTGTAGCTCTCTTGATTTCAAGCCTCTGATGATGACGTCTTCCTTCTCCCACACATCTCAGTAAGCCCTGTTCAAGAAATATGCCGGGACTTTGTATATAGATTCACAGACGAAGAGATCTCCGAAAAATACCGACTTACATCCCTAATTAGTTCTTCAGCAATAATATTTCCACTAGTCAATACCGACACATACACTCTTACCCATACCGCGCTAACCCCAAGACCGCCGGTTAATGAATGGTACCTCAGCCTTCAGGTACGGAACGAAATCGACGGACCAGTGACAGTCGGCCGCCCGTCTGGTTCTCATCGTCCAACCATCGCCTTCCCCCTCTGACTTCTCCTCTCTCCGCCTCAATTTTCTTTTTTCCCCCTCTAATTTTCCTCTCCCCGTCAGCTGTCCATGCTACTGGTGTATTCCCTTCTCACCTAAGTCCTTCCTATCCACTCATAGTTCCCCATCTCTCTCCCCATTCCCTCTTCCTCAATTACTCTTTCGAACCTCACCCTCTTCTTCCCCTTCCCTTGCCTGCTCTCCCAATCCCATCAAACCACTGCTCAGTGCGGTTCATCGTACTGCCACGCAGTTGGTGAGCGCCGGGGAGTAATTTTCGGGTTTGATTTTATTTCCTTTTTTTTCCCTTCGTTCCCTAAACCCACTTTTTTCTTTTACGACCCTCCCTTTTCCACAGCGCACCTTCAACTGTCAACCTGCAGCCCCGACTGTCGGCCTACCGGAAATAATAGCCTGTACTTCACTTCCGTGTCCCTTCCCGTCAGGCGCTTCTACAGTCATCTCTCCGCGTGATATTATCGGTACGGCTTATTTAGACAGTCGTCTATTTACTTTCATCCATCGCTCCCGTCTTACCGTGTCGGTTCGAACATACACTAGACTCGTGGATGAATGATCTAGATCGCAAACACCAGGCTTTTTGTGAGCCTCCCCCTTTCCCTTTCCATTTCCCTCCCCTTTCAATTCGAATAGTCAATGCCAGTCGGTCCTGCCGTCGTTCTCTCGCTGACTGTTCCGTTCTTTTCGCAGACTAGTCTTTCACGTGCCGAACCCGCGGACCGAGTCTCCTGACCTGACTGACTCTTCGTGAAATCATTCTACTTATCGTCACCCAATACCCATCGCAGACATGGCGTCCTCGTCTTCCAACGTCGTGGGTGTCCATTATAGGGTGGGAAAGAAAATTGGTGAAGGATCCTTCGGTGTTATCTTCGAAGGCACAAATCTTTTGAACAACCAGCAGGTGGCCATAAAATTCGTGCGTGCATCGTCCTCATGGATGGTAAGAAACTCGACATACTGACAAACCCAGGAACCACGGAAGAGTGATGCACCACAGCTCCGCGATGAGTATCGAACATACAAGATATTGGTCGGATGTCGTAAGTAATGGATGAGCATACGTGAACACCAGGAGACATTATTCTGATTAGATGCAGCGGGCATTCCCAATGTCTATTATTTCGGTCAGGAGGGTTTACATAATATATTGGTTATTGATTTACTCGGTCCGAGCCTTGAGGACCTTTTCGATCACTGCAACAGACGCTTCTCGACTAAGACTGTTGTCATGGTGGCTAAGCAGATGGTATGTGTATTACCTGTCCCACATATTATTCGTCTGACGTTTCGCCCTTAGCTCTCTCGAGTCCAAACAATCCACGAGAAAAACTTGATCTACCGGGATATTAAACCCGACAACTTCCTCATTGGCCGCCCGAACTCCAAGGCCGCTAACGTTATCCATGTCGTCGACTTTGGCATGGCCAAGCAATATCGTGACCCAAAAACCAAACAGCATATTCCCTATCGTGAGCGGAAGTCGCTGTCCGGTACAGCCCGCTACATGAGCATCAACACCCACTTGGGACGGGAGCAGTCTCGGAGGGATGACCTCGAAGCCTTGGGTCACGTTTTCATGTACTTCTTAAGAGGGGGTCTTCCGTGGCAGGGATTGAAGGCCGCAACGAACAAGCAGAAATACGAAAAGATTGGTGAAAAGAAACAAACAACTGCAATTAAGGACCTTTGCGAAGGATTTCCCGGTACTAGGCACCTTATCTTTCCCTTTACTTTAGCACAGTCGCACTGACCATTGAGACTTTAGAAGAGTTCACCAAGTATCTCACTTACGTCCGCAATCTTGGATTTGAAGATACACCGGATTATGACTATTTGAGAGACTTGCTCACGCAAGCACTCAAGAACGCTGGAGAGGTTGAAGATGGTGAATACGATTGGATGAAGCTTAACAACGGAAGAGGATGGGAGTACAAGTCGTATTCGTCCCAACAGCATCTTCATAACAATGTGCTCCCCAATTCATCTGCCCGTGAGCTCCATGCTCAGCAGCTTCGCGGCAGCCAAAGGCCCGGTGTGACTGCAGACCGTTTAAACGCCGCGCAGCCCCCGCCCCCTTCTCCGGCAAAGCCAGGAGCAGGGAAGACGCGCGAGCGGCAAAACGTCCCCGGCGGGATGCCACCGAAACGCCAGAGCGGGGGAATGGACACGACGCCGACGGTATCGACTCAGGCACAGTTTCAGAATTCGAACGCAAACATCCCGGGTCGCATGGGAAGCCCAGCCAACCCGACGAAGAATAGCCAACAAGGCCAAGGCGCTCAAGGAAACGATGAGCCGCAGCCTACTTTCGTCCAGAAAGTGATGAAAGCATTATGCTGCGGTAGGTGACTAAGCTGATGCCTAGGTATCATACCTTTTCGCTCATCCAGCTTTCCAGGTTGATGCCCGGTTGAGCACGGAGAATGTAATTTTACATCATGTTGGCTTTCGACTTTCTTTCGTTCTTTCTTGTCTTCGCACTCCTAGGAGGGTTAAAGGCAGCATGCAATTATACTCTGTTATAACCCGGACGCTCCCCATTTCCTTGAATCATGCTTGGAAGGCTTTACAGAAACTGCTGGCAGGTGAGCACAGGATGAATACGGGCGGGTATATTGTTTTCCTTCTATCATCGATAGAATGGGTTTCGGATCGAGCAAACCGCTGCACCCGCCTGGTTTCATCTCGACGCTGCAAAATTAATACAGCTCGAAGCGGACCGGTCACGAAGAGAGCGACCCTCGTTTTACACCTCTACGTCTCATCACACTCGTCACCTTCGACGCTCTTTTTATGGTGCTACGGCTCGGAATGGCGAATTCGATTTATCTCTGCTTTCTGCGATTTCTTTTCTCTTTTTCTTTCCCCGCATTGTGGCATGAGCCATTTAATACTAGATTCTTGTGTGTCAGATTACATGATCGTTGCCCTACCCTCATCCTTTTTCCGGCTCTCTCGACCTCCTAACCTCTGGCCGTGTCCATGCTCTCGGTTCATTGTGGCTGGTTCTTCGATGGTAATATTAATGGTGTTGCAGAAGGGCGTTTGGCATCCGATGGAAGAGTCCTCACGTTCAACCAGCAGTGACCTATTTACAAAGCATTTAAGACTATAAATGTTAAAATATGCCCCATGGGATACGTTGCAGGCATAAATGGGTCCATCGGTCAAGGAGTTTGTGTGGAAGCAGCCTGTGGCTGTTTGTTTTCGTTTTTATTTTCCTTTTTCTCTCGTGTTTCTTGTGTGCGCGCGTCTTGTGTCTATCTGCAGGGGATCATTCGGATGTAGCCTCATCGGTTGGATTTGTACTTATCTATACCGTTGCTATTGTCAGCAAAAGCAAGAAGAAAAGGGTGTGGATATTGATCAGATATGATCCGGTTTCAATTCCACCCTTGAATTTACTACGACGGATGCGCTTTATCGCGGCTGGTCTTGTCGCACCTACCCAGTCGGGTTGTTGCAGGATTGAAAGGGACCCGACAGGCAATGTTTCATATATTTCCGTTCCTCGCTTGAATCTACTGTTTGTGTCTATGTGTTTGAGCAGCGTGTTGGTTATGTGGGTTTAAGATAGCATTCTTTGGTTTGTTGCATCGTGCCGGATCTGGTTTACTGTGTGTATAAGACAGAGAGGGCCATGGTGATAGCGTAGAGTAAGTAATTATACCAAGCAAGTCGTGTTCAAATCTACGATCGAGAGGTCCTATCAGTCATTCAAGTAGTTACTGGAACAGTAAATCTATCTTTATACTAGAAGGGTTGTTCGGGCCCCATGTTAGGATTTATCAGCATCTGATACCTACCTATCTATCACGCCCCCGATGCTCTCCAACTCCACGGAAGGGTGCCATGGATCTGAGGGTAGTATGTTGTAGCGACACTAAGGATGGCATCCCTGTCCCCAAAGCAGTTTGCTGTGGTGCAGAAATGTTGCCCGGTGTCGGCCATTGGCTGACAACTGCAGGTCATCATGATGTCCGAGGGAGTCTGACTGACTGACATCTCCACATAGTAGGCAAATTAATCAGTCGTTTTTCTATCCATGTCTCCTCCTGCTGTAGATATGTAATGATGCCGTCTGACGGTTGATCATGCATGTAACCTTGGATGCATCCTGAGCAGGTTATTTATTCTCTGCATAATGTTAATCCTCTGCATAATGCTCTCTCAAATCGGCGTGTTCCGTATCAGGGATTAAATTATCCACCTCCTCTTGTGGATACTCCTAATCAAACGTAGTGTAGCACCGGACAAAACATAGAATCTGAATCATGGGGACCCCATTATTCTCTTCCCCTCTTCTTGTCTATAAAACCCCCACAGGTAAAGTCTAGACTTGATGAGGATTATCCCTTCAGGACCAATGATATGAGCCATCATGTAACGAGGTGGTCCTGTACTTATCTTGATTTAGAAGGTCGACGACTGGTCGATTGGAGTCACAGGTACAAATTATGGAGTTCACTAACGTCTTAGCGTTACTTTCTCGTACCTTAGGTCCATCCTGTCTGGAGATCCGATCATGCCACACGTATGTCCCTCTGTCTCCCCTCCCCTTTAGCCGTGGATTTGCCGGGCGTTAGGATATTCATGTCACAACGGACTAGCCTATCTTGACTCTTGTAACATTTGTCTGTTGATCATTTAGTCATAGAGTGGAAATGATATTGATGTGTCTGTCTGTCTGTCTTACGAAATGGAGAAATTGTGGATCACTTGATGACCTCGTGGTGAGTTTTCCGTCCTTAAAAAAAAAAAAAAAAAAAAAAAAAAAAGACAGAGAAGGGGAAAAAGAAAAAGGAGAATCTTTTTAGACCAGATAGATATACAAAACTCATATTATTTTACAGAAAGAAAGGATCCTCTACGTATTGAGTAATACGTTATTTGGAACAAATAACTGCCAACTATTCACAACTTGTCTTCCTATTCGATGACACGTGGATCTGATATGTTGCTTCGGTTTACAGGTGGAAAAGTATCGCAGTGCATACGCTTGATCGGTAGTGTTGGGGGAGTTCTAGCTGTAGCTCGCACTAGCTGTCTCATAGCTCCGATGTATTATGCATGTACTTTAGGAAGGTAGCTTGTCCGTGCCTCCAGTCTTGACTTGAATTTTCCCTATCTACAGGCTGTACGAGGAATTTACACTAGGGGAGAGATACTATCAGACGAACTATATATATCACGGTGTATGTTTGAAATGGCAAGCTTGAATCTTCATCATTGATTGGGACGAGCATTCGCTACCAACTTAACTGCAATTGAGTCGGTCAATCCGGTTCGCATTCCAGTCCAACAATCCGTTGGGATGAGCGAGGCTTGTTCGCAATTGGCACTCTCTTGATATCTCACGAGAGAAGCATACCCAATTCCCAAGGCGATATAAACTCTGTATCCACTTCTCCGCTGCGTATGTACATATACACAGTACTAAAGAACTTCGATACCTGAGATGGTGCTTCGCGCCATTTTTCGCAACCGTTCAGATCCACTTGGCCACTCCTCGGAAAACTAACCCTCATATTCTTATTATCAATCCCGACCGATGATAAGGTCATATCTTTCCACGTTGCTAATAATGGGACTATTGAAATTGATAATATTGAACCCGTTTTTACCTTATTTTCCGGAATGTAGCCGCACTAATCTTGATCGACAAATAGGAACATGGAACAAAAGCCATAGTTCCTAAAAGAGAGAGAGAGAGAAAGAAAAGTAAAGGGAAAGAAACAGGGAACCTTGTCAGATGTGGATACCTCTTACCCTATCGAACTATAGTATATAGCCTAACTACTCCGTAGCGATCAGAGCCTTATTTTGCCACAGCTTTTAGTAGATGATTTTTTTCTCTGTGTGGGGCTCAGGACGAAAAGTTCGATATTGAAGTGTAGGACTGTGGAGCTTAGGAACGACAATATCGGGCAGAGCAATCTCTATCTATAGACTTCGGTGAACACGGTCGAGTCAGTTGGCTCTCGTTCGTTAGTAAGGTCAATGTGAGGTTGCTGGGGCATTTGATCATTCGAGTGATGCTGGAGTTACAACGAGGTGCTTGAAGGGATTTCGGGTAAACTAGGGAATAGTTGGTCTATATCAGAATTTTTGGTCTGCTACCTATGTCACGTTGTTTCCAATGATGTAGTAGTGACTTCTATATTATTATGATTGATATTTGAGTTCGTTTGAAAAAAATTAAGATAAATAAATATATATATCTCAAACCTCCCAATCTAGGAATTCGCCTTGTATCTCCGTTCATAGATTAGTCTTGTTATGACAATAAGTAACTTTAAATGTACAGTTACACAGAAAAGCTACAATAAACAACTATCGATGTGGCGTTGGGCGACTAGAAGGCTTCCATGGATGTTCTAGAATCCAAAAATTTTCACCGCATCTGACCGCACTGAGCCCTGTGGCTTTTATCTTCTGACGAGACTGGAAGCGGGAAGAAACGGGATGCCCGAGGTTTGCAACTGCCTACGGGAAAAGGATGAGACTTTCCCGAGTTCTGACTCAGTTGCCACTTGAAACAAATAAACTAACTTATCTTTCTTTTATTAGGGTTGGTCTGGTGGCTCACCCTCATGTTCTTATTTGGGACTGGGCTGAGTGATCTGCAGATGAACAGGGACGACTTCAAATTACCTATGACGTTTTTTGTGTACGATGTTCGGCTTTAGTTAAAAGATTGTGAGGGATATCCTATTATCCATTGCAAGGGATGGCAGATCTTTGCTTCTGTGTAGGAGATGGCCCACCAGGCTTCCATTGGTGGGATTCATTTTATTCCTTGAGAACGGCATCTCGACACGCAATCCGTTTTACCTCATGGGATGGGGAATAGCATAGTATAAATCTATGCTTTGTAGTAGAAAGTCGATAATGATAGTCAATGATTAACTACTTGACATGTCTTGCCCAACGAAGTTAGAAGCCCAAGTCCGAGCCCATGGATAAATGCCAAGACATAATGAGAAAATGGGAAATAGGAAACTCGCTTTCGTCTCATGATCCCGAGCAAAACACACGTTGGCTGCCCTCATGTGTGGTGCGTGAGAGTGGAAGTGGGGCGTAACACTAAGCGCGATGGGAACCCTGTGGTATTCGCCGATGTCCCTGCCAACGAAAGGACCACGCGGGTTAAGAGTTATGTACACGCAAGCCACCATTACCCTGACTGGTCAGTAATGACCACGTACTTGAACGGGCCGAAGCCCTCTGATTAGTGGATCACTTTGCAATCCTTCCTAGGTTGTGTCGCCTTTTCCCTTACCGTCAAACTGGGGCAAACCTGCATTCTTTGGAATTCTTTTTGCCTTCGTTGACGTTCTGGAAAAAAAAAAAAAAAAAAAGAAAAAACCCTGCCCACCACCTCTTCTTTCTTTGGGCAGCCTATACCTTGCAGGCAAGAGTATTCATCATCATTGCCGTTCTCGGTGGATCAATTGAAACATTCCTTTCTTCTCTGCCATTCCGACTCAACCACACATCGAGACACATACACAATGTCTGCATGTCTGCATGTCTGCACTCCCTTGCAGACAAGTTGGGATAGTGGACTGCAAGCAGGGATGGTGACTGGTGCTACTACCATCATTAAACAAACGCCTGGATGGAGTCAAGCAAAGAGCCGGGGGTTACGTGATAAGTAGACGGGATTTGATGAACTACAAATGGCAAATGCACCTTAAGGCTAGCTCGAAAATGAAAGGTGGTCGGGGTTGCGACTACTCCAGAGTAGTTTAGCGAATCTTTTTCTTTTTCACTTTTTTTCTAAGACGTTCGTATAGGTGATTTTTTTTCTTCTTTGTTTTTTCCCTCTGCATCTAGACATCATTCCACAACCCCATTTGGGGGCTTGCAGATCCACTCCAAAAGTCTTGGGACAGAAGGAAAACCCACCCACCATCACCTCCCACGACACAACACCTTGCAGTTGGAATGAACAGATGCAGTTGAAAAATGTCTGAGCTCCCCGACTTACCTGACATTAGCCTTTCGGGTCAGGCTGCACTACTACTCATGAAGGTAACACCCCCTTGCCTCCAGGCTGCTGTATGGAGTTGATGGCTGCACTGCCTTCTTGGCATTCCTGCAGATCCTGACGTGGCGGGCCAATCAGAGCTCGGGATCCGCTCTGCACGACCACTCGTCAGGCCGTCTTGCGCCTTCAAACCACCACGACGGAGACGGGTTCCCTGACTTCGGATTCGAGAAACTTTCTCTCGGATGAGGTTATCATGGGTCATACAAGTAATTTTCCAGAGCAGTGGAAATCTTCAAGGTGCCATTCTACGATGTTGTCCGCAAGAACCCAAAAACACGTCGATTAAAGCTAATGTACGTCGATGATCATGGACCAGTAGTAGGTAGCAATGTTTTAAACTTAAGCTGTCACCAGCCCATGGCTTGTCATATACTACTTACTATAGTTGTGGGAAGTTTCCCAGATTCGGATGTGCTTCCCTACTGCAGTATGTACTCCGTGGTAATAATGTGTACGTATGTACTATGTATGTATGTATGTATTTAGGAAGAGATCCCCGAGTACACAGATACTGTATGTACATCAAGAGCAGGAAGGAGTATCGAAGAATGTACGACTAGTAGTTTATTCTATATATCTAGATGGATTTTTATTTTTTATTTTTACTCCATCCCTGTAGCTGCTAAATTAAACCCCAATGCACTAAAAAATCACAATAAAGCAGACCAAGTCGAGAGGCCAGACACCACGAGGCTTGCCGCCACAACGGGAATTGGCTTCTTTGGCCGAGGATATTAAACCATTATTATTCAGAGCTCCTGCATCAGGTGCTCGTACAACGACGACGGATTTTAGTGAATCGGCTTGAAGGCTTCCAGGTTTTACTTTTTCTTTTTTTAAATCCGCCCACCCCGGAAATATATCATGGTATCATACTGATATTAGTCGATGATCTCAACCTATGTTGTATGATCCATTACCATTACTGCGCAGACCTCCAGAAACCAGCATCCTCCTACATACATACATACTCCTACGCCCCCATACAGATATATCACCCTCCTTCCTGCCTGAGGGATTATTTTACCTCTGCCACTGCCTTCGCCCTGCGCAATTTTGTCATTGTGAACACTTTGCATACAGAAATTTTTCTCCTCAATTTCCCCTTACTCCTGACTCCTTCTTTGGATGTTCTATTGCGGAACATCGCATTGAATTCAACGTTGTGGTGAGTTGACCATTTTTCTTCTTTTATTTATAATTTTTTGTCGTTCTATTCCAATTTGGGACACACTTTTCTCCATTTTTTACCCCTTTCGTAGGGGGATTCCTTTCTTTTCTAGTGCACATTCCTCGAATGTGTCATGTCTGGAATGGAAGGTTCGTAGTGTGTGGTATAGGATCACCAACGGATGATAGAGAGAGAGAGAGAGAGAGACACCAAGACTCCGCTTTGAATTGATGGTTTTTACCATCCTCTCCACCATCACCATAACTACGACGCTTAATACTACTTTTCTTGAGTTACAACTTGCAAGGGATCCACCTGAGTTTTCTCTCTCTCTTTTTTTAAATTTTTTTTTTCTTTTTCTTTTCTTTTATTTTTGGTTGTTTCCACTTTTTTCCCATCCCAGGATTGACTTCCAGGACGGAGATCAATTTCGCTCCTCCACTGACGGACACGATCCTCTTTCACGATCTCCACCGCAGGGCCTTTCCAGATCCTGGTTCTGTTTGGGTTGAGTCTTCCGAGAGAGCCCAGAGGTCTTCTTTTATTTCCCTAGGGGACGATCTATCTGAAGGTGGATATGACGTGATCTGGCCTTGTTGGTGTGTATATGCGTGTATCCTCAATCTTTCAATTCATACGTTAGATATTCGTTGTTTTGATTCTCCATTCCTGCTCTTGTTTTTGTTGTTTCCCTCGGTCTCTCTCTGTCTCTGTCTCTCTCTCTCTCTCTCTCTAGCCGTTCGTCCTTCCATTTCAGGCAGGAAACGTGAAGTGAGAAACAAAGGGCCGTGACAAGTGCACTGGCATCATCGCGGGCCAAACCTGGGATCTGAGTGGCTCTCTATCTCCGCCGGCCTCGGTCTGATAGGACAGGCGCTTGATCGACCGGGAAGTTAGTCAACTGTGATTTGTGGCGGAAATACACGCTGTGGGCTCGCACCCTTTGGGTCGACCAACGTGGATGCTGTGTCTGGAACCCTCTTTTTTCTCGACGCTGTTCCTGTGGACCAAAACCACTCCCCCCCCCCCGGTTGCTCGACGCTTCCGTGCAGGATTCTGAACTCTCTGATCCGCAGCATCACATCACCCTTCCACCTTCCCGCCTCGTTTCTTATTATTTGAGAACCACTCAACCCCCGTTTTATCCTTCTCTTCTCTTTTTTCCCTACTTTCTTTCCTCCCCCGGTGTCGTCATCATTATCCTTCTTTGTGTACTTGTGCCTTAGTATTTTTCTTTTTCGGGGTCTTCCAAAAATTTTTTTCCCACCCATCTTAGACTCCTTACATTCACATCTCGGCCGCGGCACACGACTAATCAGTCCTTTCCCTCGATAACAGATCTCACCCTTCGTTCACTGAGATCCTTCCCCCACACTTACTCTGGTCCTATTTTAATTCCAGTGTCCCTCATCCCCCTCCTGACATTGTCTCCGAAGGCCCCGAATCGGCTTCGTTCGTTACACAACCGTTCCACCCATACGGCTTCTCGCATCCCCCGCCTGTTCTTATTGGCGAGCGCCTGTCCTCGCTGAGTCAGTATACGCTGGAATCTCCACCCTCGCCATTGACCCGTCATCTCCGGTCAGGGACACCCAAGCCCTATCGTTCTGTTCAGATTCGTGGAAGACAAACAGCGGGCTCTTCCCGAATTTCGAACCATCCCGGACTGGGGAAGATCAGGGTGGCTCAACGTACATTGAAACGTTCTAAAAAACCACGCACGCTATACGCGATGCTCAAAAAGAAGACCTTATACCCTCCTCTCCACTTCTGGCACAGCACTCCTACTTCTACGCCCGAACTCTCCCCCACATCTTCGTCTTCAGACAGTGAGTCAGACGAGGACATGGACCTGTCTGGCTCACGTCCGCTGAGTCTGACGGTTCCTGCGGGCGCATTTTGTCCCATGCGCCCAACTTTGGATGAGGTGCTTGCAAACACGGCACCTGCCCCCTACACGCTGAGCGCTTTTATGGCCTATCTCTCCCAGAATCACTGCCTTGAAACCTTGGAATTTACCCTCGAAGCCAAACGGTACCGAGAAACGTACGACTCCCTCAGTCATCAGTTGGGCCAGTTACCTATCGTAACCGATTGCCCGGAAAGCCAGCATCTGCGGATGCTTTGGCAGCGACTATTGACGGCCTACATCATTCCCGGATCACCGCGTGAGATAAATGTCTCCAGTGAAGTCCGCGAAGATATCCTTCGACACGCCAATTCGACCATCCCCCCTAACCCCGAAACTCTAGACGCCGCCATCAAACTTGTGCATGAATTGATGGAGGAGTCAATCTTCCTGCCCTTTCTGAATGCCCACTCCGCTACCGCTCAGATTATGCCGTTGGCGGAGCCGCTCTTCCCCCAGGAGGACGGCGTGACGGTGGTGTCCGGCCCGAGTCTCGACGAACACGCTGTGAAGCGCGCCAGATCGAAAGGCCGGCGACTGTCTCCGCGGTCTTCGAAAGATTTCGGGTCTCCCACTTCCTCGTCTGGTCATTCGGGCCGCTCGAACTTTTCCCTAAGCGCCATGACCTCCATGGGAAAATCCAGCCACCGACCTTCCGGTCACACTTCAAGCGGGAGCGGTGACTGCTCGGCTGGCCTGACGGACGACTCTGGAAGTCTACAATCGATGAGCACTGGCGAACCGATGACTCCTCCGACAACGCCACCATCCAGCGATGCCCACGGTCTGCACCTGGCCCACAGCCCGAAGCACCGCACTGACAACCCATGGAAGAAAATGGGAATGAAGTTGGGCTTCAAGAAGCGCTCGAATACCGGAAGCTCGGGGAGCAATAAACTGCAGGGCATGGATGAATGACTTGCCCTATGTCACTTCAACATCACCTTCAACTGATCCGTGCCCTTGGCACGACACTACGACCGACTTACACATCGCGGGGTTATTAGTCACAGTAATCTCCTCTTTCTCCTTTACCCCTTCACCATGTGATAGAACGACATGACCCGGTTTGCATATTTTCCACTGCATCCTATGATTGATCTCTTGGTTATTGAGCCGCATTCGCATTGACTTGGACATGATTCGACGGTGTAATGCATGGTGCATTGTTTTATTTTGGGAAGCATTGTCATAGCAGGCGTTTCGAGTGATTATGCAGTGAGCGAGCATTTCCTTTGTTATGTTTCAAAATAAGATAGAATATAGTCCCGAAACGGATGGGTGGTCATTTGTCAGGCGTTACTGTGTTGGTTTTGCAGTTCGGGCGATTGGGCATTCTTCGCCCCTTGTTTGATTTTGATGCATAAATGCTTCTGTCGCGATTGTTGATTGCATCGGACTGCCTGCATTATCTTCACTCTTCTCTGCATGTCTAGCATTTACATTCGAGAATAGATACCCATGGGTTCTTTGAACAAGTCTTATTTCCGCTACATCTATCTGAATGACCCTGCAAACCTCTACACTGAACGTAACGTAACCCCTATAAGATCTACGGTCTTATCACAAAGTAGAAAAATCATGTATAAACCAGCTCGCGAACTCCAAAGAGGCAGTCGAGAATGTCCCATGCCTATTCCATCTACTGTATAGCTGCAGTGTCGATACATGCATCTCTAATGGTCGCAATCCAGTTAGTAGTTACATACCTACTAGCGCGTTCCAGATTATTTCTTAGTACCTAAATAATATATTGCCTAGGCTCAGCAGTTTACACACTGACAGAATCGCATCGACCACTGGTGGTTTACAATTCCTTGTAACGAAAACTGGAAATATCCCTTATACAAGTACGTATAGGGTTATAAACTTTAATTAAGAAATAATCCTACATCAAAAGGCGGTTGTGTAGTGTAATGGTTAGCACCCGAGATTCTGATTCTCGTAATCCCGGTTCGATCCCGGGCACGACCTTTCTTTTTTTGTCTTTCTTTCTTTCTTGAATAAAGACACTGTTTGGTTTAGAGGTTATTCTGTTCTGCTTTCGGTTTGCTTTGTGTGTTGTGAATTGGCTGGTATATCGATGTGGACTTTATGTTTGTGTCTACTTGGGACTTGCACTTGGGTTGTATGATTCCTTTTTGATTGGCACTGTGTGTTTTGATTATGGTGAGGTAACTAACGCCTTTGATGGGCTGTGAGATCAAGCTTACACTATTTTAGAACATGTTCCCATAACCCAATGTATGAAGTTCTTCAATAATCATAAGCTACTCGCCGGCCAGACCTCGTTTCCAACGCTGCAATGTTAATATCCCATCCTGCCTGTGTCAAAGCTGACATGTACTGACCAGCGCGACACTCAGAGTTCAAAAAAGTCAATGTTTGAGATATCGCGTCCTTGATATGCTCATTCTCCACCTCATCGCCTTGCACCTCCGCTTTCTCTGCTGACAGACATAAAACCCGCGCAGCTAGTAAAGCGTGCATCCAGGCCTTGAGCTGTGATCGAGTGGTACTGCTCGTTTTCAGGAGGATCTTTGCATTCCATAATTTGCAGTCATGATGCAAGAAGAGGAGATAGTCTTCTGATTCGAAGAGAGCGAAGAGCCAAGACATTGGTATTGGGGTGCTGAGGGAACCGGATTCTGTATGGGGCGAGGAGGATGGGGCAAGGAATTGCTCGAGGGAGACGCCGATACGGCAGAAGCCTAGTTTGTATTGTGTTGATGCAGCAGATGAGATCCATCTTAGGACACCATCGGCCTCGAAGATCTTCTCTTGTTTGGAGACTTGCCCTGGGGTGGGTATGTGCCACTGGCTTTTAGATTGAGTTACATTGGTTTGTTTTGGTTTTGTGTGGGCTTGTAGGGTGAGATTGACATCGTCGATGTCAAGATCCGGGTCAGAGTCTAGTAGGGTTGAGAAGACGATGTTTGCTCTTTGCCGGTTCAGACTGGTCATTTGCACGGAGCGAACAGCAGCGTAGTTGAGACTCAGGTGCAGGGTGAGGAGCATTACCAGTAAGATCCAGGTTGAAGTGTAGCTCGTTACACGAGAAACAACGAAGGAGCCAACCTGTATCTTATGAGCTTGATACATTACGAGGGAATATCAGATAGCAAGCTTACCAACATCCCAATAAGAGAGATGATAGTTTCTTGCGAGGAGTCTTTCTGGACATAATAATATCAATATTAGAATTAGAATTAAGACTTACTCAACATAAACAAAACGTACCGCATTGACCTCTGCGAGATTCCCCCATCGAGAAAAATGTGCACTCAAACTCGCCTTGGAGCTTCCTCCTGCGACGCCGCACAGAGCCCGTAGCACACCGGCTGTGCTAAGAACTGTCACCCGACTAACCCCTGCTGGGATTATCGGAGAAAGACAGTCTAGGATCATGGCAGCATCATTGAATACGTCAGCAGCAAGACGATACATTTTACATTCTGGTTCCAGGGCAGTGCCGACCCTATGTGCAAACAAAATGGTCGCAACCCGGCCGGATGAGTCTTGGAGAATATGAAGCAAAAGAGCAGCTGTCGGAGATGCATCCGCATTGCCCACACCGACGCCTGTTGAACTATATTTAGTAAAAACCGATATGACTTTGGGCGGGGACGGAATAATATCATTACCTTGTAGTACTGCTCTCGAAGATAAGAGACCGGCAATGGAACTACTGAAAGCTTGGAGCGAGTCCTTGGTCATCGGTACGTTAGCAATATTGATACATCCAAATTTGACGACGAGACGGCACCAAGAAAATATCCCAACTTTTCTCAGCTCGTTGGTAGCTACGAGGCCGTCGTTTATTGATACAGAAGAGATGGAGAACCCACAAAGATTTGGTACCTGCAATCTTCGTCAGCTGGGCGCACATTTAAGTCTCGTGCCACAGGTTAATCTGGGGCCGAAATAACTCACGAGACGTAATCATTACTGACGCTGTGAGGATAGCCAGAAGGAAGGAACACATCGATTAGGAGATTGGAGAGAGAGGATAGAGACCATGAGTGAGGTTTAGAGGATGGATGCTGTACGTCGTCAATTTCAGCTGTCATAGCAATGTATATTATTGACAGAGAATGAAATCTTTTTGGCGAGTCAATGGAGCCATATTTCTTTCACTCAAATTGTGATTGCCATATAAATAGCATTGATAGTGTCTACGGGAACGGGGGCTTCCATTGAACCCCAGGAGGTTCTTTGTTACCCATAAATGCCTCGAGACAGGAGATTAAAAATCAGTAATAGAACCTCAAAACATACTATTACATCCACACGCCCTGTAATCCTGCTCTTTTTCTTATCGCGGGGAAGATGCTCCAATGTTTTGGAGTAGACGTAAGTAGCAGTAGGATGGTTGGCCTCGTCTACCTCGGTGAAGGCGATGGTGTGGCTGTCATTTGAAATCATGCTTGGGTTTATTGGTTCAGCTTTTGGTTGAAAGATTCAAATTCGAGGGGGCACAGAGGTTGATGTTGAGCATATTTGGTCTTCAGGCAGTCAAGTGTGAAGTGTATGTTGGAAACGTGGTTGTTCCTTAGTCATCTCGCAAGTATTCAAATAATGGTTTAAATTATCATCATATCAGAACTACCCTTTGCATTTACATAAATTTATAATATATAGACCATTTACTATTCCTCACAACCTCAAACTTAGCACTTCCCAGCTGAAAGTATGCCTAGACTAGAAGCCTCGGTGGTAAGAAAAGCACACCTCGCTCTCGGAAAGCGAGGTGGCTCTAGGGCCATATACCGTTCATCTCATTAAAGGCTCGTCCTTGATGTGTCTACATCTCCGGGGAAATGTCTATAAACATATTACTACCTAGCCGGACATGGAGATGAGTACTGGGCATGACGAGACTCCTTTCTTTATCCTTGTGGCTTGTCTGTAGTCGCGTTCCTCAACGCCAGACTTTCGAGCAACTACATGAGGCAATCTAAAGGGACCTTGGAGTGTACTAGACAATTAACACGAAAGACCAAAGGTGACCTTCGATCAAGCCTGAAAATTGTATCGGGATACACTTGGCTGAAGGCGACATGCTTGGGGTTATACCAGAAGAAACCAACATACAAAGATAGGATAGCGCTGTTCGGCGGAGACATTCAAGGAGACGAATTCAGAGTGTTGACACTAGTTTCCAAAAGCACTAGAACCTATCCTTGCACATTTAATTGGGCAGCTTTAACATCAACGACCACCCCAGGGGATACCAAGCACAGGTCTGCGTTCTTCGATCATTTTTTGACCTGGGCTATTCATACCGTGTATTTAACTAAAAAGTAGGCCTAAGTAAGGCTCTCAAGAGACTAGCACAATGGTCAATTCTCCTATCATTTGTTATGGTTTGGTCCATAAATGAATGGAGGTATGGCAGCAGGTCCTTTATTTGTGTCCATTGAACTCTGATTTTCCTCCTCGCCATTAGCTATGATACTATTGTACGTCAGGCACTTCCAACGACTTAGCGAGTACACTATGCTTACTTAGGACAAATGTAGTACAAAGCAGTGGCTATACTGATTGTAGTCGGGCTACGTTACTATTTAGCACGTAGAGAAAAAGATCTTTTCTAACTAAAAGTTTATTGGAAGTTCTGAGTTGATAGGATTCTGTAATTCTGCGATAAAGAGTCCATCTAACACCTTGTCCTCGCCGAGCTCCAGTATGATACCGAAGAAGTCATTAAGAAACCAAGTCTTAGCAACAAATGCAAAGTGAAACCATCTATGCACGGATGTTTGTAAACCCCGAACATTCCGCAGTCAGACATCAAGACAATAACACCCCTATATAGTACGCCCGAAACAAAAAAACCGCTTAAGACTAGTAACCACCAGCGCCATGGTACTTAAAAACAAAGTACTTAAAAAACAAAGAGGAACAAACGAAAGTAACGGGGAGCCAACCAGAGATTTCCCTGATGTAGATTCTCCTGGACCCATCAGGTGCAAAGCTTCCAAACCCCTGCTGAGTAATGATGGTAGGGTTCACCACGAAGTGAGATTAATCCAGCCCCACATCCGGATGTTCTTCATGTGCAAAATATCGGAGAGGTATTTGCGTTGTGTATCCGTTCAGCGACCAGCTCAAAGGAGTAGGTACCTCAATCATCTCAACTTTTTTGAATCGTTTTGATCGTCTTCATATATCCATCGTCCCTCATCCATCACACAAGAGGGTCTAAGCGAAGAGACTAGCACCACCGGTCTCAATGGCCTCAATCTCAGCCTCACTCCACGGAAGACGCTGGAAGCGAGAAGGAAGCTCGGTACGGTCAAAGAATTCTCCATTCTTGGGCTCAACAGGGCCCAGGGAGGAGCCCGAGCTGCGGCCGATCGAGCCCTGGATGAAAGAGCCACGGCTCAAGGGGCCGTGCTGCTGAGCCTTGACACGGTAGGTAGCGAAAGAATCAGGAAGCGCGCCCGAAGGGGAAGCGGGGTGAGGACGGGGAGTGTGGTCAATGGATTCTAGTATAATGTGTTAGTTTAGTCTCAATTATCCTTTTTACCTCCCCCGCCGGCAAGCAAGGTAACCAAGGCACATACGAGGCACAGAACGACGACCAAGGAACCGGATTAGAGGAGTCCGGGCAGCGGCACGGAGAGCAGCAGTGGCGTGCATTTTGGAATGTGGCGTAAGGGAAGGATCAAGGTTGTTCAAAAGGAGGTAATTTCAATTGAGCCGAAGAGATTGCGCGAAGAATTGGAGGGATCCGCTACCGCCCGACGCGACCAAAAAGTTAGGTAAATTATTAAGGTTGGTATGACCTAAGTTTTGCTTTTTGACAGTCTCGTGAGATTGTCGTTCAAGGTTGTCCAAGAAAGGAAAATGCAAGTATTATATACAATTGTCGGAAGACTGGAAGACTGGGCGCTAGGGTGAAGAGAGAGAAGAGGGAGAGGAAGGGGAGAGAGGAAAGTGGGAGGATAAAAGGAAGGAGGAGTAGAAAAGGCTTGGGAGGACGTCGGGATCGGAGCGGAAGCGAGGGCAGTTAGCGCGCAATTGATAAGCTCTTTGGTGGGCTATCCGGAGAAGGATTAGTATTACTGTAGGAAATTAGTAGGTCGTATGGTAATTTTACTCCGGATCCCTTCGATGTCACATCTACTATGTACAGCAACTACGTACTAGTAGTACTTACTAGTACTTACTAAGATTACCGACACAGGTAGGGTTTTTCCCCAAACTCAGATGACAGAAGATCATTCGGCGATGAGCTCAAATCATGCAATAGTCAGTCGCTATTATTCTTCTTTCCCCGGAACGCTATTGCCTCTCGGGTCCGATCCCTTCCCGAGCCCACCTCCCGGTGAGGACGTCTTGTCGTCCGTAAGAGGTGCTCTGTCCAGGTAAGCTCATGCCAGGTCTTCAAACCACTGCACTGCACGTTCAACTTTCTCCGGATCATCTTCGATCTTTCCCCTCATCAGACCATTTCTCGATTATTTATCTCTGACTCTCTTCTTTCTTGGAATCCATCCCCGCACCCCGATGATTCCATCACATGTGAGTCTTAACCACAATTGGCAATTTTATTCCAACTACCTTTTGTTCCCCTCACGGGGGTTCTTTCCCCCTTTTGATTGTCGTTTTATGTTTTATATTTTTCTTTTCAAATTTGCTCGAACAAGGAAACCTAGGCTTCCATTACCTATATCGGAGATCAAGGTTATCATTAATACCGTATCTTTGGTACCGTCGTGAGTTCCCTGTAACCACAAGGAAAATTACGAATTTGTTGTGTCCCGCTCGGAAAAACAAAGTAAAAGAAGTGGGAAGCTTGGACCAATTTCAATTCCGGGTTCGCCCGCTGGCTCCTTACCACTCCGAACCTCACAGGCGGAGAGCTTCTCCCAAACTGCGATTAACTCCGATTCGGGCGGCCTTTTTGCTATTGATTTCCCTCTTGTGATCATGCACGAGCTACTGCTCTTCGCCTCGGTCCCCGCGCACCAGCACCATGGCCTGTTACAACAACTGGCCGGTTTGACGGCCATGCAACCCCGTCACCGCTTGGAGAGGCGTCTGATCTTCAAGGCCTATCGGAAACCGGGGCTGATCAGTACCCGTGTGGGTGCCAGTCAGGATTTGCAGGGCAATGAAATGCAACGTCTGAATAAGATGCTGAACGGTGGCATGTTCTACACGCAAGTGGTCGGACCTGTTTCCGAGGCCGAGTTTGGTGCCCAATCTTCGATTCCACCATCCGGAGACTCTGATGCGCTGATGTCCGGAATTGATCCTGGGGAAAAACATGTGTCTCATCCATACAATTATGAAGAACAACCCTGGAAACTGGAATTTAGAGATATTCCGGAGGCGGGGACTCGTTCCGCCGTTACGTGCCGGCTGATGGCCAGCGCTAATTTGCCCAAGGGCGATATTGCGACCCCCATGAACGCCTGGGGTTATAGGTTAGTGTATTAAGGATCACCCAATGACATGATTGATTGCGTATACTGATGACCCCGTTAGCTTCGTCACTGAGTACTTGGTGGAGGGGGATGTCTTTATTCTGAATGATATCGTCATATTCCTACATCGGGTTCTGCACTACCCAACAGATGAGCCTGAAACACATGGACCGCGGCGGCAGTTGCCCCCCTTTCAGCAGATGTCACCGCTGGAAAAAACCGGGAGCTACGTCTTACAGGCCTCTATTACTGTCCAGGATGGAGGCAACCAAGAGATGATGAAGACCGCGTCGCAACATCTGTTTGGGCTTCGAGAGCAGCTGAAGTCGGCCGTCCGGCTGGAACAGGCGGATCGGCTATCCTTGGACACACGAGCAAAGTAATCCGATAGACGTTCTCTTTCTGTCATTTCTTTTTCTTCTTTCCTCCTTTAGGTTTGCTTGTTTTATACCCCCTGGCGGCGCCTCAGTAGGATATCCCTTTAATACAAAATATGAAAATTCGTGGGTTACGAGTTTGTCCTTCTGGGACATATGTTGCATTAGCAAGCTGCTGCACACCTCGTCAAGGCCAGTCCACATCTAGAACGCGATCGTATTCGTATAACTTTAATATCCTGCGTCGACACTGCCCTCTGGGGTAGCCCCGACTATTAAGCTGGGTAGTTGTTCCAAAGAAAGGGGGAAGATTTGCAAAGGAATTCATACTTTTTCCTGGTCATTGTATTCGCCGCTCATGAATATGAACATCAACCCCCAATGTCCAACGGCACTAACTATATGCGAAACATTATGAAACGAATGGTATACCTACCCTCATACCAAGGGTCTGATGAGTATCTATATCATATAATATTGCCACACTTAACTGATTGTCATGATTCTCTATCGACATATGTGGACATTGTTCAGCTTCGAGGTGAGGTGTGTAGTGGTTGGCCAGCTAACTTGAGTACTCCCGGAGCATGTGACTTCGTGAACCCAACGCGCGTTGTCCGCGTGTCTTTTGTTCATTTATATAATCTCTGTTTCCATAACGTCATCTTTGGGCCTTATATCCCACAAAGTCACTATTTCCGCTCATTAAATACTCGCCAACATTAACTCAAGACTACAGTTCATCAGAATGGCCGGTTCGGCCAAACGATCGGCGTCCCCATCTAGGACCATCTCCCCACCTCCGGTAAAGAGAAAGATCGAATCCACACTGACCAGTATGTCTGCGAGCTATTACTCTAAATTTCCCTAACTGATATTCTGCAGAACAATCCGTGTCATCTTTCTTCACCCCCACATCCCAAAAGAAGCCTGAGCAAATCACCTGGCGCACCGTAAATAATAGTCTTGTCATCGGCAAGTATGCAAAGAAATCAGATCATCAACAGACGACCCAGACGCCAAAGGTCGCTGCGTTCGACCTGGTGGGGAATATATTCTATGGGGAAACATATGAACCGTAGTGGGAGGCTAACATGACGTAGGACTCAACGTTAGTCTCAACTGCTTCTGGCAACACTTTTCCCAGAAACTCCTCAGACTGGAAGTGGTGGCATGACACGGTTCCTGCTAGACTTAAGCAGCTGAGTGCAGATGGGTATGTATGTTCTATGAAATAGATCACTACGTTATGTTCACCATATCGGGGGAAGACTTAATTAAACCGTCATGAACTGACATCCTTTCGAATCAGCTATCATGTCATCGTCGTTTCGAATCAGAAAAAAATCAGCCTACAGAAGGAGATGAAGGGAGGGCGTACTGATTCGAAAAGCCTGACTAACTTTAAAGAGAGGGCCGCCGCTGTTATGAGACAACTAGACATTCCTCTTAGTGTTTACGCAGCTACCCTTGACGATGGTTATAGAAAGCCAAGAATAGGGATGTGGAAAGAGTTTCTAGATGACTATGATTTTGACGTGACCGGGGTGGACTTATCGAACTCGATCTTTGTAGGGGATGCCGCCGGACGGCCAAATGACCATTCCCAGGTTGACCGGTAAGAATACCATCTTCCTTAGCGGTCAAAGCTTAATCTAACGTGACTCCTCAGTGGCTTTGCTATAAATGTCGGCGTTCCGTTTAAAACGCCTGAGGAGTTTTTTCTCAACGCCGCGCCGGAGCCGCTCGTGGAACCCTTTGACCCTTCCCTATATCTGCAATCTGACCACACCGATGATGGTAAGTCAGAGTGCTGGGTCTAGCCTACATCTATTACGATGTTGCCTATGGCTTTTTCCGTACCTCCAAATGATGGCGCCCGAGCAATAAAATAACATTTCTCCGACAGCTTCCCCCCCATTCTCCCGCCAAAGCGGCCTTGAACTAGTGATCTTCTGCGGCAGTCCTGGCGCCGGCAAGTCGACTTTTTACTGGGATTACCTGAAACCATTGGGATATGAGCGGGTCAACCAGGACATTTTGAAAACGGTACGTTTGCAATCCAACCCTGCCTCACGTTACTCGTCAATGCATTGTTCTAGGATTCCTGAGCGGAGCATCGCTTTATGCAGGGGAAACGAAAAGACCAAGGGAAAACAACGCTAACAAGTTCTGGCCAGCGCCCTAAATGTATCAAGGTCGCCAAGGAACACCTTGCGGCCGGAAGATCCGTGGTAGTCGGTATGTAAACTCCTTGCATTAGTGTCTCATTTTCTACGATATCCCCGCCTGTCTTTCATCCAACATACCACAGCCACAATGAATCCCAGTACAAGAACCAAATAACTGACCATCTGGCCTGCTCCCCTTCGAGGGGAAGACACGAACTTCAATAGATAATACAAACGCAGACCCAGAAACAAGATCCCAATGGATCAATGTTGCAAAGGAATACAACATTCCTATTCGCTGTGTATATTTCTCTGCATCGCCGACTCTCTGTCGGCACAATAATGCCGTCCGTGCTGCAAACCAGTCCTTGGTATGTACTTAAGTGTACCACCTTTGTACCCTACTTCCCTTGTACCCTACTTCCCTTGGATCCGAAGTCACACAGACCCGGCAACATATGGGGAGTACAGCATCATGCGTTATCATCTTATAGCCCCCGGTTCCTTTTCCCCCTCCTTTCTTCCGCGGAAACATCTGGCTGGACCTTCGGATTTCGACAATATGTGTACCTTATATACATACACTTCTACGTTTCCGCTGTGATAGGCTAATCGTGTATGGATTTTAGAACCCGGAAAGCCGGGCCTTACTGCCTGGAATTGCATTTGGGGATTACGGGCGTCGGTTCAAGGAGCCGATGATGTCGGAGGGATTTAAGGATATCATTCGCGTCGATTTCCGCTTTCGTGGTGACGAAGAATCGAAGAAGATCTGGAAGCAGTATTGGATTTAAATCGAGTTCATATCTGGACCTATTGAGACAATCGTGCACGGATTGCCGAGTACACCGGTGTTGTACGAGATTTTTGCTAATGGCTTCCGGAAGCTTTCACCAAACAATTGTAAAAATTACTCGAGAAGAGCTTTTTGACTACCCGTACTGGGATTTATACCCCGTTTCATAATTAAATCTTCCCACATTAGTCATACCATTATGAAGATGCTGGGTATAGTGCGTATTATATACATGTGAGGCATAGATCAATAATGCTTTTTGAGAGGCACACGAACTTTTCCATGCGATACAGTGGACGCGAACTCAATTAAACATGTCTCGGGGTATATTTAAGGAATGAAATGGTCGGAGCATCAGGGGCGACCCCGTGAAAGCACCTTTTTTTTGCCTTTCTTTTTTTCCAGCCTCCTGTCATTTTCCCTTTTCGATCGGGCGGTTTCTGAAAACGGTTATGCAAGGAATATTGCTAACAAGGTAGACAACACTGGGATGCTGATAGTAAATCGTGGTACCATGTATACGCGGCTGTAAGGTACCCTCCATCGCATGATTAAAAACAGTTGGGAGACTCCCACAAATGGAAAACAAAAGGAAAGACAGTAATCGTAAGGAATGTAGTGCACACTGCGAGTCAGTAGTCGCAGACACAGGTCGTCAGTCATCATTATCGGGTCACAGTGGAACAAAAAAAGGGGAGGCGTTAGTCGTCACACGCTGAATCAATCATTGGAGAGGCGTAAAAGTCATTAGATGTTGTACATCGATACCTCTCGCAGTAATTCTATGGTCATCAAGGAAGTTAGGCCCTGGAACGGATTTGACCAGGGGTTCTAGGATCGTGACACTAGATCCTGGAAGAATTTGAAGAAATTCCGTTTTAACGATCGACTCCGACATAGGCCGGATCCGCTGGTGCCTGGTGCAATCTTCATGGGTCCAACAATTTCTCCATCACCCAGCTCGGGGAACTTCTCATCATGTAGGCGTGGAAGCTTGATCTGTTCGTACGGGTCGCTGTGAGACTCGATGAGGTGCAAGCGATGTCCCTCTGTGGCCTCTAGTTGGGATAACATCATCTCGTGGTGATGCTTCCACTCATTATTAATACAGTCCCACTTATCCTGTGTTAACTTGTAGATTGTCGAAGTAATACCGTAATGCTCGCCCGTGCGAACGAGGTGCTTGGTGAAGTTGCATTGCGCCAGGTCCCACCGAGCGCGTAATTGTCGAAATGACTCGAGATCATACACCTCTGGCACATATGGCTCCGGCTGAATTGTGAAATTGGCATGGCCGAGCTTGTTCGACCACTCGTCGTTCGGGTCTGAAAGAAGATAGGGAGGCGCATCCGCTGATGCTGTTCGTACTGTGTTTGCGCGCGGACGATTGAATGAAGAAACGGACGGCTTGGTAGAGAGAGGTGGTGATGGGAGCCCGGCCAACCGCGAATCCCGAGGCGTGGTACCGTCTAAAGTCTCCTCAGACATGTCCGCCACGGACGGCGATTGCAAAGGGGAGTGGACTCGGGGTGCCACTGGATACGTTGGCTGATCACCCATGAATGGAGGCAGCAGCGGGGTGGTTGCCTTGGGGCTCGAATCTTCATCATTTTGGCTGTGACGGTTTGCTTTCACGATGTCAATAGGTTGGACCCCAGACTCGCTGAGACGCTCCTCGAAGATTGTCCTAGCGGGCGAAGGTGGCACAGTAACAGAATTGACCCGACTGATGGGAACGATCGTTGGACCGGCAAGCGTAGAAGATGCGGAATTGGTGCGAGACCGTATCGAGAAGGCATCTGGGGTGTCGAACGCATCCGAGCCCTGTCTCGACTTCCAGCGGTTCGAGATGGTCGATATGCGAGAACCGATGCGCGATAAACCTTTGGTAGAGATACTATCCGAGCGCCTCTTTTTGGGCGAATGGCGAATATCCATGCCGGCATCCGTGAGATCGTACTCGTCAGAGTAGTCCACCGAGGCAAAGTAGGAGCCGCCAACCTCGGACAAGTCTTGATCGAAGTGTTCTGTATCGGTCAATAAAATTGTATAAATACAATCGGAGAAAAGACTAGACAACGGGGGAGGCTGGGAGCAAGGGCAACAACATACGGAAATAATCCTCCTCCAGATCCCTAGCTGGGGCCCCGCAGGGTTCTTCCTTTACTCCTGTCAAGGGATTCCTAGACGCAATCTCCATTGAATTACTATGGCCAGGCGAGGATACCAAGGAGGACACAGAGCTCGAAAAGCGTGTATGTCCTTTGGTAGAGAAGAGAGAGACGGCGGGTGAGACCGGTGTCGATGAGGTGGTGGTCAACGGAGACTGAGGTTGTTGTCGGTATGACTCTATCATGGCTTCAGAACTATCCCGCCTTTTGGCGTCTATAAGTTGGGAAAGTTTCAACATCGTGTGGGATGCCAGAAATGATGTGTTCTTGTAGAAGTGGTCTTGGGAGACCAAATAGTGAGGCTTCCTTTCACGTGCAGGTAGACGTGAGGAGAAACAATGCGAAACGCAGGGAGGAGAGAGGAGGGATCGACTTCAATTCGGAAGTAGCATTGTCCACAGATTTCTTCTGGTATGTTATGATTTATTTCAGGCAGCAAGAAATAAATAAAAATGTTTACAGGCTGTTGGTAAAACGTGGCGTAGCGGTGAATCGACGTCCAGGAAGCAGAGTAAAAACAGACGCCTGACTGTCAAGATAGCTTGAGACGAACCGGTAAGCGCAATGAAAAAGAATTGTTCGTCAGTCGGTCGAAACGTGCAGGGGAGCCACACTCGGTCTGACTGGCTGGGGAAGGGGAAACGCAGGCGGTAGGGTAGGTAAGATGGAAGACGTGGAGCACGTCAGTGGATGCAGCGACGAACAGCTGGCGGGGTGTTCGTGAGGCCCAAAGAGGGCACTGACAGCTCAGTGCAGTCAATCAGAAACCGTTGGCTGGAATCAAAGATGCGACACGGATCTGAGGTAAGGGAAAGACGGAATCCACGGGCCGTGAGTCAATCGGATGTTTAAGAAAAATAAAAATCAAAGTAGCCCACGATCAAGTCAAAAAGGGAGGAGGGGAAAGGAAAAAAAGGAAAGAGGAAGGGATGTAAGAGAAGAGAAGGAGGAGAAGAAAAAGGAGACGATGATGAAGGTGGAGTAAAAAGAAAAAGTAAAAGAGAAAGAGAAAGAGCTGATTGAGAATGAATGCTGAGCAGTCAGATTGCAATCACCAGATGAGACTTTCCGTTCTCTACAAGAATAGCTATCAAATCACAAGAGGCGAACGCCATCGATCCGGCCAATGAAAATCTTTGAGTACATTTTTCTATATCCAACACCTTGGGCCCTTTTTCGCCTTCGCCGGGTTTTTTTTTTTTTTTTTTTTTTTTTTGCAAAATTTCTTCCCCTCACATGAGCGTCACTCTCTTCGATTCCCTGTCGCTGCGAAGAATTATTGCCTTTTTTTTTCCTTTTCCTCTCCCCTTCCGCTCAAACGTCTTCTTTTTATGATTCTTTTCGAATCGAACAGAACCAAATGCCGGATTCCTTCGACGATGTAAGATCGTCGGAATTTTGCCTAGTTTAGCTGGCTCCGTTCAGTTCCGTGGGAATTCACTGGTTCCATTCAATACATCGCCACGGTTCATTCCTTTCTTCTCTTTCTTTTCTTTTTCTAGCCGGATAAAAGACGCGGTATATATGTACCACATATTTTTTGGATTTGAGATAACATACTTCTATAAGTAAGAAAGGAAGAAAGAAAGAAAGAAGAAGTTAAACCGATTCCAATTAAACATGTTTAAACCAAAGTAAGAGAGTTATACTTTCTTCGCGTCTACCCACGAATTCAACGGCTTCACATCGTCATTGCCCACAAAATAATAATGATTATTATTATTATTTCTCAAGCGACAGAGAGAGTCGGGGACCCAGTATTCGCAGCGAACTAATCGTAGGGGAAAAAGAATCTAGACTTTGACCGACCTGCGAACCCCATCGGATTGACAATAAAAATCCATTACAAAATCGCTGGTGGATTCCTTATGCGACTGTCATCGTCATTTTGCCTGGGACGAAAGTACCATGACCTATCAATTTGGTCGGCCAAGACCCGAGACTCGGAGTGGTTGGAGAACATTACTCAGACATGATAGTGCATAATGTACGGAGTATATGCACGAATGTCCGTGAATCGCCAGCTCCAATAATGTTTTTGTGTCACTCTTCTCTAGGAGATCCTGGATGCATGTATTTCTTACTGAGGTAGATGGGTAAATATCCAATGATCAGAATAGATACTACTACTACTACTACTACTACTACTACTATAATAAACAAGATGACGGGAGTTTCTCCACACACTCTCACACACAAGAAGCCTTTTCTTCTGGTGCCGACGTCAGATCCACATGGTCGGAGCCAGCAGAATGGTACCTTCGAAGCCTGGATCACTTCTCATGTTTTCTCTACTCTGGTTTTCCAGAAACAGAAACCCACCCGAAGCTCAAACCCTAAAGCAGAGAAAGAATAAACGGTCATTCTGGTTCCAGCGTGCTTGGCAACTGGTGTTAATCTTCTAGAAAAGCCGAGTCCCCGAATTTGGATTTGACAGTACCATAGAGTCCTTTCTTATGACAAATCCAGATAGTGTGATCAGACGTATGTCTTGATTTATCTGTCCACCCGTCTTTGTGTATGTGTTTGCTCGACGGAGAAATTTAACCTGTTCTCTTTGTTCTTTTGTACTGTACGACCAAGATGGTCATACCGTCCATTCAATTGGTGATATCCGACCAATTCTCATGTTAAAATATCTAATGACTAACTGTACTTAGTAAAGTAGTGGTTCAATTATTGTCGTGCAACCAAAACAGGTATGAATAGTATTGTGAACCCGAGAGCACGTGATACGATATATGGACCGCCGGGAATCGGAACATGAACAATTCCTTGCGCCATTTACCTCGGTCAGTCTGGGGATTGCATCGTCATTGTCCCACTTTCAATTGAGTTTATCGACTTATCATAGTCTCTGGACAATCAATATCTTGCCTACCAAAAGTCAGCCTCCATGAAGCCCATCTACTCGCTTCTGTTGGGTACTGCCCTCACGGCAGCTTCTCCGCACCCCGCATTTCCGCAGTCACCTCTTGGTGTATCGACAGCATCACAACCATCAACAGGGAAGTTCAATTCCCCTGAGGAAGTCGTCAATGCATCACCCTTCCTATCTTTCCACCGAGACATTGTGCAGATTGAATCTATCTCGAGCAACGAGAACAAGGTCGGAACATTCATCGCCGATTTCCTTCGCGCCCGCAACTTCACCGTCATCAAGCAATTGGTGACGTCTTCTTCCCAAACGGACAGCCAAGAGCGCTTCAACGTCTTCGCTTACCCAGCCTCTAGTACTCCAGAAATCCTAATCACCAGTCACATTGACACCGTCCCGCCGTTCATCCCATACTCCTTGGACGTCGATTCAGCAACGGAGAATGATCGGTCCACAATCCGCATCGCGGGCCGCGGCTCCGTCGACGCCAAAGGCAGTGTCGCAGCCCAAATCTTCGCTGCTCTCGACATCCTCGAGGAAAACCCTAAGGCACCCCTGAGTCTCCTCTTCGTCGTCGGCGAGGAAACAGGAGGGGACGGCATGAGAGCCTTCTCCAACTCCTCACTCAATCCAGCTCCCTCCGCATTCCACACCGTCATTTTCGGTGAACCCACCGGCCTCGCTCTCGTCTCCGGCCACAAGGGCATGCTCGGCTTTGAAGTCATCGCGAAGGGCCACGCTGCCCATTCCGGATACCCCTGGCTTGGTCGCAGTGCTATTTCCGCCATCCTCCCCGCCCTCTCCCTCGTCGACCAACTGGGAAACATCCCCGCCGACAAAGGCGGTCTTCCCTCTAGCCCGAAATACGGCAACACAACCGTCAACATCGGCAGATTTGATGCCGGTGTTGCGGCCAACGTTGTCCCCGCAACTGCTCGCGCTGACGTTGCCGTGCGCCTTGCCGTGGGTACGCCCGACGAGGCACGGGACATCATCCGACATGCCGTACGTGATGCCACCGATGCCAACCCCGACGTCTATGCGGAATTCAGCACCCGCTCCGAGGGCTATCCTCCTCAGGACCTGGATACCGATGTCGATGGCTTCCCCATCACGACGGTGAACTACGGCACCGATGTGCCGAACCTGCAGATCCATGAGCGTGAGGACGGCCCCGTTCGTCGCTATCTGTATGGTCCAGGAAGTATCCATGTTGCTCATGGTGATAATGAAGCTGTGACTGTTGGGGAGCTGGAAGAAGCTGTTCGCGGATATCGGAAATTGATCGATGCCGCTTTATGGCGTCAGCGGGCTTGATATCTACTTGTGTATTATGTGTATGTTCTGCATCTCATGGGATAGAAGCAAGCCTAGGATTGAAGCGCTTGTGCGCTCTAGTTGATATAAACTTTTGAGCGTGACTGTCTTACAAAACTCGTAGATGACAGACGATTTATCATATGAACGATCTTCTACTATCGGCAGAATCTACAAAGAGTATAGAAGTTGACCAAAGACGTGGATCAGACCATGCTTGAGATATGTAAGATACCAACCCGTCGCTAAAGTACATAAACCAAAAGATCATCCCAAATAGTACCCAAATAAATACATCGAAAGATTATGACCCTTGCATCTCAATTATCGAGCTGGCGGCTATGACTGCGGTGCTGATCCTGGCAGCGGTTCAGGCTCGCGGCTCTTACGCTTCCAACCTGTCTTTAGGTCTCCTCCCAGCTGGAATTTAGGGAACGGGTGCGCTTCAGTGTTGAATACGTTCTCCTCAAGTGGGATGAAATCGCGGTCTGAGAAGAGCAAATAGAAATATTTGAGTGTTTCTGCCATCCAAAAGCTCTCCATATTGTCTCTGCGAATGGGTGGGATGGTATTGACGTTGTTTAGGGAGGTGAAGCTGATGATACGCGACAAACCTTGTTCGGCTGGCTTATCGGAATTAGATCCTGAGTGGCGATCGCCGTGCACGACGAGAGCCGTGTGTCGCATGAAAGATTTAAACATCTCCCAGCCCCAGTGGCGGTAGGTTTCGTCTCCAGTAATTCGGTACATGTAGAAGAGGGATTCAAGGGCTTCGGGACGTTGGAGGTTATGTCGGTCTTGCATGTGGATGTCAAGGTCTTTTACCCAGTTTAATGTTTCGTCGTCCAATGGGTAGAGCGGCTTGGACTTCAGGGGAAGATCTTCTAGTTGAGATTTTCGATTGCCAGTGAAGAGGGTGGACTCCGGGTATACGTCTTTCATCATGACTGGGGGGTTGTCCAGCTTGAAGTAGGTGATTTCGGCGGCGAGACCGGTCTTTGTAGCGAGGTAGGTCGCCCAGCACGTCTTCATTAGCTCTTTAGCTAGTAGGATCTCCTCGTCAAGCTGTTGACTCCAGTTGGGTGACTTCTTGGCTTGGGATAGTGGGACTCCTCCTGTTGCGCCCAACGCGATGGTTCCGGGTAAGAAGCAGACTAGATGATCCATTTTGGGCACCAACTTCCCATCAAGGCCCGAGGGCCTTTCTCCCAAAATTGTCAACTGGGCACGCTTCGTATATGCAATCAGGTGTTTGCGGATACCCATCAGCGCTTCATCCCACATCTCCTTGTAAACCGGCTCTTGCTCCGATGTCTGGAGGTACTGTTTAATGAGATATTCTAGTCGAGTCAACAAGTTAGTTTTCGGTTATACCAGGGATTCCTTTTGTAACATCGACTGTACCATAGTAGGAATCGCCTCTACTGCCGAGCCGGATGTTGTTCCCTCTGAACTTGCCGCTGTCTGGGTAGATATAAATGGGAAGCAAGCCATCTTCCATTGTCGAATTATCCACCACTTCCATTACCTTCTCCGCCATCCGCCAATATTCTGCTTCTCCAGTTAATTTGGACAAATATTTGAACTCCAGCTGCACGGTCGTCGCTTCAGCCGTGGAAGTAGCACCATTGTCTGAATGCGCTGGTATTCCCTCCGCCTTTCTGAGGTTAACGCTTGCGTATGGTACCCCAGATTTTGAATCAAACGCTCCTGCTAGCCGCTCTGCAAGGTCGGTCGCCTTCTCTATGTATAAGTCTTCGTCACCCGAGGCTGGCGCTAGAGTTGGGTTGGCGGTGGAAAGATAATGTGCCGATAATAGGCCTCCTAACATTCGGATGGTGGTTTCAAACGTGCTGACATCATGATCCTGGTTATATTGCAGCGAATGGTGAATCCAACTGCGAGCATCCTGAACCCGTGATGTGAGGTTCATCATTATCATCGTGTCAAGCGCATCAACGATTATCCAGCCCAATCCGCCCTCGACCATGTTTTTGCCGTCTTTAGCAACTGGGCGATATTGGTCCAATCCTGGTCAGCATCAGTATGTCGCTAGTAGTTGCATAGGAAGTGAATCCTTGGTCATACCCCATGCATTCTTTGCGTAGTCATCCCAACTCACGATAAATGCATCCCTGACTTTCTCACGCCTGACTGTCCAGTCGATACCCTTCAGTTCTTCGCCATTGTAGACTGGTTCTTTCTCCAAGCTCTGCACCCAAGCCCAGAGCTCCTCGCCCTTTTCTGAGTTGTATGTCTTGAATTCCGACTTGCCCCTCGCAGAGATATAATACCACAACGAAACTAGAAAGAATAGACAAAGCCCCCCGTAGAGGACTCTTCGTTGTCTGACTCTTGGGCTCGTGCGCTGAGGCGCAAAGTAGGGTTTGTCTTTGTACATGGGAAGGGTACGACCTTCGCCAAAGAACGTGTTCACGTTGTTGTGAACTTCACTGGACCGCGCGAGTCCGTAACCACCTAGCTTAGGTCCAGGACTCCGATTTGCGCGCCAATAACTGTTCTCGAGTGGTCTTTCGGGAGAAAGCGACGGATTGTTTAGAGGATATTGGAAGGGCATAACCGTCAATCCTTGTGTAACTTATTCCAACGCTTATAGGATAAAGAAAGGCCCTTGCGGAACCCGGTCACTATGACGAAGACAGTAGGCAGTTGGTGAAACACGGGGAATTGTCTATCCTCTTTGTCGCTAATTGATATTTTTGAACAGAGGTACCGCTATTTATCTATTGGGCGGATAGGTGACTGAGATAAGCCCACGGAAAAGGGGGGAGGAAGTTAGAGATAAAATCGTGACAATGCAACATTAACCGGGCAGTTGAGCAGAGTAAGAATGACAACTTGAAGCTAGGTGTCAACAACTAACCAATCATGCAGTCAGGCGTTGTGACTGATTGCCTGATACACACCCGTTTTGTGGAGCCTTACAATTATTGAAGTTGCTACTCAATAGAAACCGGAAGGAGTAGAATACATAATGAGTTTTGGTGTGGCTGTTTGAAGTTGCGGATAGAACAATAAGTAGCAACAGGGATCCTTCTTTAAAAAGTATGAAACAAGTGGAGCAAATAGTGAGCGGATATTTGGCTTATCCAATGATGCTTTAAAGACACGGTTGAAGGTAGGGGTTCTGCCAATAGAAGCATTGATCGGCAAAGCTGAATACCGAGTACTAGTATTTTAGCAGTTACGTACTATTTAACGCTTATTGAAACATACTTTGGCCACCTGGTAGTTATCGAAAGTCCCGTCTTTTAAGACTATTTCTATAAGGTGTACTATACTACACATTAACGGGCCTTCGGGGACGGGGGTATTTTGCTCTGCGATGGCCAGGTAGATGACATTCGCAATCATTCTTGAAGCTCTGATTTTGATCGGCATTCCAGATAAAAGGGGAGCTCTGATCGATTAGGACTTAAGAGTATTTCGATAGAGTGATAAGTTGGATATCTAAACGCCTGCAAGGGAATGCCAAACGTAGACACTTGCTTTGCAGAGATATGGCTAACTTTGAGACCTGGACTCAGATCCATCAAGTGACCCAATATCAGGACAGAAAAGGTACGGGGCGGAAAGATACAACCAAGTCATTGGCCTAGATTAAAGCCCAAGAATACTGAGTGTAGGCCATGTACTATCACAGTAAACCAAGTCCTAACTGAAGTCTACACAGGCAGGAAGATACTGTCCTTTCTCTCGGTTTTACTAGCCTTCCACAAGAAACTACGAGGAGAGTAATCACTCAAGGGAACATAATCGTGGGACCAATTGCATATTATCTAAACATGACTATCTCTGTATTATCACCTCCACGGACGTCTATTGAACTAAAGCTTCTGGTACTCTAGCTTGCCTTCCAGCTTCTTAGCTTCCGCCACCTTGCGCACCGCCCGATTGAAGTCATCCTGGTTAATAGCGTCCCGATAGTCTTTAATAGCAAATAGACCCCTGTGTTCAATGTCAGAAATAGCACTACTGGCGAAAAGAGTAGACTAGAAGGAACATACGCTTCTGTCACAACATTGCGCAGATCTGCTCCGTTAAGACCGTCACTCATCTTTACGACACTCTCAAAATCAATGTCACCCTCGAGTTGTACAGTACTAGAGTGGATCTTTAAGATCTCCAAGCGACCAACTTCATTGGGCAAAGGGATCTCGATTTTCCGATCCAGGCGACCGGCTCGCAGCAGAGCCGGGTCAAGAGTATCGGGTCTGTTCGTGGCCATGATGATCTTCGTCTTTCCGAGGTAATCGAATCCATCCAGTTGGTTAAGGAGCTCCATCAACGTCCGTTGGATCTCTCGATCGGCGGATGTACCCTCGGAGAATCGTCGACCGCCGATGGCATCGATTTCATCCATGAAGATAATACAAGGCTCATGCTCCTTGGCGTACCCGAACATTTCTCTTATTAACCGTGCAGACTCACCGATATACTTGTCGACAATAGCAGATGAAACAACTTCGAATGGTCAGCAAAGAATATATCCCTAGGAGATGTGCGATACGCTCACCCTTCAAGAAGTTGGTCTCCATCGAGCTTGCCACAGCACGTGCCAGCAGTGTCTTTCCTGTACCAGGGGGTCCGTAAAGAAGGACACCCTTGGGCGGTTTAATACCAACTCGGTGGAAAAGTTCGGGATTTTTGAGCGGCAATTCGATAACTTCTCGTAACTCTCGGATTTGTTCGTTCAAACCACCGATACCGGCAAAGTTGACTTGTCCGGGGTCCTCTAAAGACATGTTGTATACTAGCGGGTCGACCTCCCGTGGCAACATCCGCATGATAGTCAGGGTTGTCATATCGAGAGCGACGCGAGTCCCTTGTTTCAGTTTCGACTTATCGACCTTTGAACGGCAACCGACGACATAACGAGGACCGGATGATGCCTTGACAATGACTATCGTTTGTTTGAAGTTAGCCTCTGAATGGTGGTTTGAGGTGATTGATCCTTCATCATAAGTTGCATGTGGCACTAAATGTTGGATTCAAAATGTGGTGGATTTAACCACCAAATAGACGTACATCTCTCCTCGTCCAGTTGCTTCAACACTTCACCGATGATCTGGCCCACACTCTGTAGGGCCTTGATATTTTCCTCCGAGATGTCAAACTCTCTTTGCAAGTCCTTAATTCCCATTCGGAGTGATTTGAGCTTGGCTTCCCATTCTCGGAGCTCTAGCAGGCTCTTCTTGTAGTCTTCGAGCGCCTGCTCTCTCTCTGGGTCACTAGCGCCGTTCATTGTGAGATTACACCAATGATCCGACGGAAACGATCCAAGAAAGAAACTGTGGAAAGTGAGGTCGAGAGATCAGTAATGTGCGCAGAGATAATCGGGGATGGTTGAGATGGTGTCCGAGGATGGCTCGTTGAGGTATTCTGGTCTTAATGCTTTCATCAGCTCGGCAAGCTGTTGTAGAGGAGCTTACGGAGCAACCAGCCATTAGGTCACCTGACCCCAGTACAAACCCCATCGGTCACATGGAGTTGGTGTCTGAGCGAGGACGCGCAGTATCTATTATCCGGCTGCCCTCAGGCATCAAAGTTGGTTTGCATTTTCGTCATTACGCAATATGGAAATTTCCAGACAGCTTTCAGTGCTACCGAGCGATAGACATCAATCCAATCCAATTCAATTGACCCTGGAATTCTTCAGAAAAGAGCAAAAATACTGACCCAGGGAAATAGTAACCCGGTAATGACATTGCTACCCGCTAACCCCGAGTATAAAGCTCATCCATCTCTAAGTATAAGTACATACTAATCCTCCCATCCCCACCTTCTGCTACATACTAGTATTACTCCCGAGTAGTAGGTAGTGTAGGACATGAAAATGATCTGCCAAGGTACCACATTGATCAACTTTACTAGGCAAGCATCGTTTTACCCGCTTTACCCCGAGGGAATACGGAAGATCTCGCGGCACACTTGACATAGTTGACAGAGGGCTCAGCCAGCGAGAGTTACAGGAGGACTGGTGAGCCCCACCATCTCCTTGGAAAGATTCGGAGGACGAGGTCGAGAGCTTTTGCCGGGGAAGACAACTTTAATCATTTGACTCTCTATTTAACTCTCTCTTTCCCTCATTCTCATTTTCTAACGACGTCCATCCCATAACTATTCCTCTCTATCCTTTGTCTCCCCCGTAGGTGAGTCCTAGTGTTTGTTTATTTCCACTTTACTACTTACTTACTCCCTACCCCGCCATCCCACTATTTTGTTACGGTAACCATGACCCCTCCTCCATTGCAAGGAAAGTAAAGGAACAAGATAATCATCTTTGCAACGGAGATCGCACTATAATATCTCTCTGTCATACCACTATCATGTTATCCTGATTGCTACTGTTCCTGACTCTCGGTCAACTGAAATTGGATCTCCCCACTGGCTGTTGTACTCCGTCACTCAACCATCCGATCATTCTTTTTGGGTCGTCGGTGAACCCAACCCCCGCTGCTAGTCTCCTCCCAACACCGATCCAGAACTGTTTTGATTTTCATTTCCTTCGCCTATATCTCTCCTCCCTCCTCCCCTATCTCTTATTTCTTCCATCCCCAAACTTAGTCGACTGACCAATTCCTCAGCTCGCCATCATGCCTATCACCAAGATCCACGCCCGCTCTGTCTACGACTCCCGCGGCAACCCCACCGTTGAGGTGGATGTTGTCACCGAGACTGGTCTGCACCGTGCTATTGTCCCCTCCGGTGCTTCCACTGGTCGGTGATCCCAGAGTATGACCTCGTTTTCGTTCACACGTGCTAACGACGAAACTATAGGCCAGCACGAGGCTCACGAGCTCCGTGACGGCGACAAGACCCATTGGGGTGGCAAGGGTACGTTCTAGATGCTCACCCTGAATTTCCCGTCTGTTGCAATGGAGGCTGATTGTATCTGGAGAACAGGTGTTCTCAAGGCTGTCCAGAACGTCAACGAGACCATTGCCCCTGCCGTCATCAAGGAGAATCTTGACGTGAAGGACCAGTCCAAGGTCGACGAGTTCCTCAACAAGCTTGATGGATCCGCCAACAAGTCCAACCTCGGTGCTAACGCCATCCTCGGTGTCAGCTTGGCCATTGCCAAAGCTGGTGCTGCTGAGAAGGGTGTCCCTCTCTATGCTCACATCTCCGACCTCGCCGGTACCAAGAAGCCCTATGTGCTTCCCGTTCCCTTCCAGAACGTCCTGAACGGTGGCTCCCACGCTGGTGGCCGCCTGGCTTTCCAGGAATTTATGATTGTCCCTGAGTAAGTACATCACACACACCTTATTTTCCCATAGATATACTAACACGGCTGATAGCTCAGCCCCCTCTTTCTCCGAGGCTCTCCGCCAAGGTGCTGAGGTTTACCAGAAGCTCAAGGCTCTTGCCAAGAAGAAGTACGGCCAGTCTGCTGGTAATGTTGGTGACGAGGGTGGTGTTGCCCCCGATATTCAGACTGCCGAGGAGGCTCTCGACCTCATCACCGAGGCCATCGAACAGGCAGGCTACACTGGCCAGATCAAGATTGCTATGGACGTTGCTTCCAGCGAGTTCTACAAGACTGATGTCAAGAAGTATGACTTGGACTTCAAGAACCCCGAGAGCGACTCTTCCAAGTGGCTCACCTACGAGCAGCTGGCCGACCTGTACAAGGAGCTTGCCAGCAAGTACCCCATTGTCAGCATTGAGGACCCCTTCGCTGAAGACGATTGGGAGGCCTGGAGCTACTTCTACAAGACCTCCGATTTCCAGATTGTTGGGTATGTGACTCCCCTCCCGTTTACTGTTACGTTCAACGAAAACTAACCTGAACATTACAGTGATGATTTGACCGTCACCAACCCCCTGCGTATCAAGAAGGCCATTGAGACCAAGGCTTGCAACGCCCTTTTGCTGAAGGTTAACCAGATCGGTACCCTTACCGAATCCATCCAGGCCGCCAAGGACTCCTACGCCGATAACTGGGGTGTTATGGTTTCCCACCGCTCTGGTGAGACCGAGGATGTCACCATTGCCGACATCGCTGTTGGTCTCCGTTCTGGCCAGATCAAGACTGGTGCCCCTGCCCGTTCCGAGCGTTTAGCCAAGCTGAACCAGATCCTCCGTATCGAGGAGGAGCTTGGCGACAACGCCGTCTACGCCGGCTCCAAGTTCCGCACCGCTGTCAACCTGTAAATGAACCGTATGATTCTATGACGCCCACCAACCAACCTTGCACATTATCGACAGATGGTTGGACTCGGGACCGCACTACAACATACCCGGGTTCCGCTACATGTAGCTTCAATCTAGCTGCACAAAGCGCTACAGATGATATTCTCTTAAGATTTATGATGACGATTTCATAGGCCAGTTATATTGGCAGTAATGCAATAAAAAGTGCGGGAAAAAATCTGGAAACATAGACTGCCGATGTAGATCATTTAACGTTAGTAGTTGTGTAGCCACTTCTCAGAGTGGTGTCAATTGACAAACATGAACAGTATCGAGGCACGTGACCATATGCCCCACCACCAGTTTGTTTTAATCGTGAAGGTATTGCGAGGGACGGCACTCTTGCCCACATCAACATCGCTTTCAGTTTGTTACTCTCCCACGACGGCCCTCCTTTTGGGACACTCGGCACTTGATCGCCCTGTGTCTGAGCCACTAGACGCTTGAAACCTTTATCGCTATATACGTTTTGGACTTAGCCATGGCGCCAGAACGGTGGGGTAAGGATACTCGAATTTTGTGATCTTTTGAACACAGGCTACTTTTCATATCATGACGCTTTACTAACAGCTCTTCTCTCATTTTCATAGACGAAGAGGAAGAGAGTATCTCTCCTCCTGTGGTTGCCCGTCGCAGATTCGATGATGAGGAAGAAGAAGATGTAAGTTAATATTTTTTTAAGCTTTCACCTTTTTTTGAAGGCCGTCGTCCTGCCGCTTTACCCCGCTATGCATAGCACATATACACCACACCAAAAGACAATCGGCTGATTCACCGGGAATATTTCAACAGGTCCTCGACTCATGGGACGCCGCCGAAGATTCCGAAGTAGAACGCGAAAAGGCAGCCAAAGCGGCCGAAGCCAAGGCTAAGGCCGACGCCGAGGCAGCTGCAAACAAGAAGAGCAAGGCTCAGCGGATACAGGAACACAAGGAGGAGCGGAGAAAAAGGGCCGAGGAGGAAAGTTCGGAAAGCGACGAGGATGATGCAGAGAAGAGAGCCCGTCTGCGCCGCGCCCAGAAGGAAGCCGATCTCAAGCATGCTGAGGATTTGTTCGGTGATATCGACCTCAACCGCAATCGTGGAGCCCCCAAGGCTATCGTCATTAGTGATTCGGCGGACCCGACGCAGGCCATCGATCTCTCAGCTATGCCTCTGTTCAAGCCTACAACTAAGGACCAATTCGCCCGTTTGACCTCTACTCTCATCCCCCTCTTGACGCCCCACTCGAAGAAACCCCAGTATGCGCTGTGGACGCAGGAATTCACCAAGCAGCTTGTCAAGGAGCTGAACAGTGCCGATGTCAAGAAAATTGCTAGCATCATGACCACACTCAGCAATGAGAAGATGAGAGAGGAACGTGCCGCTGACAAGGGTAACAAGAAGACTAAGGCGGCCAAGACCAAGGTATCGCTGGTTACTTCCAGAGACAATAAGCTGGACTCTTATGATGATGGTGATGATGGATTGGGTGATGACGATTTCATGTGATCGGTCCTTTTCGTCTCGTTTTATAATTTTCATTTCATTTCTTTACTGCTTCTTCCTGTGCCCTTCTAGTTGGCAGCACACTGTCAGTATGGCATAAGGTCTGCCAACTCATGCATGAACTAACTTGTATATCCGTCCGAAACATCTTTTTTTGCGTTCCTTTTCTGTGCTCTCTTCCTTGCACTTTCTCTTTTGGTAGTACGATAGAGACTTTGCTTTGCCCCCCTTGCTCAAAACGTTGAAGAGTCAATAGAGGAAAATTTTCATGCATGTAGCGCTTAGAGACAATAGTACTGTTAGAACTATAAATAATGGAAATTACCGTAAACTTGCCATCAAAGAAATAGTGTACTCAACCAGCTTGTGTCTGACAGTTAGCTGGTGAACATAATTTGAGAACCTATTGTACATAGACAGGTACATTTAAATGAAGGATCCGGTGCCCCGATACGGGACAGGGATCTTGCATCTGTGGATATCTTCCAACAAGCAATTTATCAGGCGCAAATTATTCCCAGCTTGAGATGCTTATATAGGAGACAAATGAAGGCAACATGAAATACGGTTTGGATACGTTAATTAATGTATGCAAGAGATAGTCCGAAAACCACAAGAAAGTTATTTCTAAAAAAGGGTACCTTTGAAGCGAAGAGACGGGGTCTGTTCATCCTTCCCAAGCGTTGACGGTCACGCCTTTCGAATAGAACAACTACTAAGTTTGATTTCAAATATTCGCGGGGCTTATGGGATGATGTACGAGCAAACAATAGAAAGAGAACGCAAGCAAAGAAAAAAAAAGGGTGAATAACACATTGTATCTTGCTCTGGGGTGGGAATAGAAAAAGTAAAAGAGAGATAAATTCCGCTCAGCCCCTTTTCTTCGCTCTCCAAATATCAAACTCCGCCGGCCGACCCACACGATCCCGAACAAGTAGAAGATACGTGCTGGTCCAAACCAGTCACGCAGCTAAGACAGACCATCGTAAACACTTCCAGGGAGAATCCGAACCGCTCTCCAAATAGGCGCCGAGCGCACAACGCTGTTTTTTGATACAAAAGAAAACGTCCAACTTGTCACTTTAAGACTCGGGGGCAGCAGGCTTGGATTCCTCACCCTTGTCCTCAGGAACGGGGGCGGGGGCGGGGGCGGACTCCTCTTCAGGTTTGTCTTCCTTAGAAGCAGCACCCTCAGGTTCCTGACCATCAGAAGAGGTCCAGAGAGTAAGGTTATCACGGAGCAGCTGCATGATGAGGGTGCTGTCGCGGTAGCTTTCCTCCGAGAGTGAGTCGAGCTCGGCGATGGCATCATCGAAAGCTTGCTTGGCAAGGTGACAGGCACGATCAGGCGAGTTCAGAATCTCGTAGTAGAAAACGGAGAAGTTCAAGGCAAGACCCAAGCGGATGGGGTGAGTGGGAGTGAGGTCAGTCTGAGCAACGTCGGTGGCGTTCTGATCAAGATTGAGATTGTGATTGTGAGTATAGAAGCTTCAGTACGAGAGAGCCCACATCAAAAAACACACCTTGTAGGCCTCGTGGGCCGCAGTAGCAGCGACCTTGCGCTTGTTACCAGACGCAAATTCAGCAAGATAACGGTGGTAGTCGCCCTTCCTGTTCATCAAATTTGATTAATCGCATCGGTCATGGGGCGTTCATAGAACCAACGTGCTTACATCTTGTAGTAGAAAACCTTGGACTCGCCGGTCTCGGCCTTGGGAATGAGGGACTGGTCCAGAACGTCGAGGACATCCTGGCAGACCTTCTCCAGTTCGGTTTCAATCTTCTGGCGATAATCACGGATGATGGAAACGTGCTGCTCAGAACCCTTGGACTCCTCCTTTTGCTCGATAGAGGAGATGATACGCCAGGAAGCACGGCGGGTACCGACCACGTTCTTGTAGGCGACGGACAGAAGGTTACGCTCATCGACGGTAAGTTCACCTCCAATCTGATGCGGGGTCAGTGAGGCAAGATGGAAAAGGGGGTGCGGGGGAAGCGAATGTAGGGGGCCCAGCGAAATCATTACATACGTTGGCGACTTCCTATTGAATCATTAGCGATCGCGTCTCACATAGTTCATACAAGCATAAGTAGGTTGTTACTTACCTTCATATACGTGACCATCTCTAAAGACAAGAGGATCAGTATTCTAGGATACAAGGATCAGACAACTAATTAAGGAAATCTTACCATCGTAGCGCTCAGCCTGCTCGCAGAGGCGGGCGAGGAATGTCTTGCTGGAGAAAGGGGGATGGGAGGTTAGTGTCTCTGTTATCTGCTGTTGATAGTCGGTCTGGACCCTTACCTCTCACGCTGTCCATGAAGAAATGTTGTTAGTGTGGTTCAACTCTATATGAAAAGATAAACGGAAAGGCACATGAAAGATATCAAGGAATGAGACGTATGTACAGACACACACAGCCGCTACACAGCAGCGCGAAAGTAGACAACAATAGAGGAGGGGTCAGGCTGGAACAACATACCTCAGAAGTCATGCTGGAAGATAGGGTACAGATAGGGAGATTACAAGAAAGAGTACGGTGTTTGGAAGGGGTTTATAAGAAAAGAAAAGAGATGTGGGGAAGAGAAGACAGGACGACAACACCGATGGAATGGGGACGTGGAATTCACTAGAGGTTTAGCAGATGCGATCCTCACAGCAACAGATGATGAACCGGTGAGGTGACGGCCTCCCAGCTTTAGCGAGAGGCGGGCGCCGCCTATTGTTTGTGATGTTTGGACAGGATGCCCCAGCCGCGCCTAAGGCAAGAAAGCCAACAGTGACAGTCTGCCTGAGGCACCACTGGCACTCAACACAACCCTTTACACATGACCCTGACAGATCCATATGATCCAAGGCACTCCCGCATTATCAAAGGTGTCCAGACCTATGCGAGGTAAGTACTGTACACAGTGGACTTGATGAGACTCTTACAATGAACATCATGAAGGATGTGTGCGGTAACCACTGCCTAGAATGAAGCTCACTCTGACTATATATACCAGTCAGTGAGTAGGTTATGAATTGATACTTCCAGGCTGTGACTATTATATGTATGCTCATTAGTATATTACATGAAGACCTCCTTTTATATATTTATTTTTTTTTAATTTATTATTTCTTTCTAATGCCCTATTATTCTGCCGCCGTGTGATGGCAGTTTCCAGGGCTCATACAAAGAGAGGAATGATTAAAATTTATTCAGAAAAGATAATGTATACTAGATAAATAAATGACCTCAAAAGAGAGAAGGAAAGGTGAATCCAAAACAATGTCGAATCTATGATATCGGAGGCGGTTTACAGTTACGATGGTGGCAAGAAGCATTATCTCCGGAGGTGAGCCCCCTTCGGATAGGTCAGAAAGTACCTAGCAGCATAATATTACAATTTACCACCCATCTGCAGTGATATATCATTAGTCTGTATACTCTAGCAAACTCTAGCACAGAAGATCGACCCCTCCAGAGAGAGAATAGACATGGTTCAAGGACCACGCATGGGTCTTGGGGGACAAGGCATCAGCATTTCTAACTGTGGGGACAAGGCCGATATAATACAGGTAATTTACGGCCATTACAGTACAGATATACTGTACATCTTAGTAAGAAAGGACTGGCTGGTACTCACATGTTTTAGAATGAGTAGGATATTAGTTCACACAAAGTTGGATACAATTTGAGAGGGGGCGGAAAAAGAAAAAGGTTATTATTTTAGTATGTTCATTATGCAAAGTGAAATAATGGGAAGCAAGAAAACCCCCAAAGTCCCAGCTAAATAGCGGTCATGTTGGTCATCCGCCGATATATGTGGTTATCTTACCGTTCAGCCCTGTAGGCTTATTTTGGTCCACTAACTCGACCAGAGAAGAGGGTCTTTGTGATGGCGAAACGGGACCAATGGACGAATGGCAACAGACCGCAAAGAACACGTTTGAGTACCTGGACTCTGATAAATAATTTTTGACTCCAGGCACTTAATCCACTCTTGCTCCAGAACGCACGTCTTAACCAGGAGGCCAATTTCCAGGTTATCCGTCTCTCCCACTCTCCCGGTCATATCATTCTCAGTATTTTTTACTGGTATCTTTTCTAATTTTTTCTACGGGATTGACTAAATATTGTTGTTATCTATTGGGGTCGTAAAAAAAAAAAAACCCAAGGGCCGTCATTTTCTTTCTCCGCATACACATTTCGGGGTACGGCTATCTTTCCCTCCCTTCTTCTAGATTCTTCCCGATAGTTTCTTACCACTATCCGTTTCGTTACTAAGTGTCCAGCCACTTGGCATTCATGTCTTGATCTCTAGCATCTGCGGACTTTTCTCTAAACCCTTCTCTTTTTCTTCCATCCCCTTGCTCCTAACCCTAGTCAGATCTTTGACGGTTGTGGTTCATCATGGAGCATTCCTACCTCCACTCCCCAGCAGAGGTGCTGGAGCACTTTGGTGTTTTAGAGCACTCGGGTCTGTCGCAAGAACAGGTGTCGAAGTCAAGACTCAAGTATGGTCTGAATGGTTAGTTACACACTAGTATAACGTTGAATGGGAACACAGACTGACACGCCTTCGCCCCATCGTGTAGCGCTTGCGGAAGATCCTCCCACGCCTCTTTGGGAACTTATACTGGAACAATTCAAAGATCAACTGGTCCTCATTCTTCTAGGCTCGGCTGCGCTGTCGTTTGTCTTGGCTCTTTTTGAAGATGGGGATGATTGGACTGCCTTCGTCGACCCAGTTGTGGTATGTCGTCCTGAGCATGTTTGCTTTGTCGCTTTGTGAGCCAAGCGCCGCTGACCGCCGCTGTGTCGATAGATCTTGACGATTTTGATCCTCAATTCTGTTGTTGGTGTGACCCAGGAAACTAGTGCGGAGAAGGCAATTGCCGCGCTCCAGGAATATTCCGCGAATGAGGCCACTGTTGTTCGTGATGGAAAAAGTCAGCGTATCAAAGCCGAAGACCTGGTCCCTGGGGATATTATTCATGTCGCCGTTGGAGATCGTGTGCCTGCTGACTGCAGGCTGATTGCGGTCCACAGCAATAGTTTTCGGGTCGACCAAGCCATCTTGACGGGCGAGAGCGAGAGTGTTGGGAAAGATACTCGTGCCATTCGCGATAAGCAGGCTGTCAAACAAGATCAGACAAACATGCTCTTTTCAGGCACTACTGTGGTCAATGGTCATGCTACAGCCCTGGTCGTCTTAACGGGCGGGTCAACAGCTATTGGTGATATTCACGATAGCATCACGTCCCAGATCTCGGAGCCGACGCCACTGAAGCAGAAACTTAATGATTTTGGTGACATGCTCGCCAAGGTGATCACGATAATTTGTGTACTGGTGTGGGTGATCAACATTGAGCACTTTAACGACCCATCCCATGGTGGTTGGACCAAGGGAGCCATTTATTACCTCAAGATTGCAGTGTCTCTTGGTGTAGCCGCCATCCCTGAAGGCTTGGCTGTTGTGATCACTACTTGTCTTGCCCTCGGTACTCGTAAGATGGCCAACAAAAATGCAGTGGTCCGGTCTCTTCCTTCCGTGGAGACTTTGGGAAGTTGCAGTGTTATCTGCTCGGACAAGACTGGTACTTTGACCACGAATCAGATGAGCGTCAACAAAGTTGTTTATTTGAGCAAGGCTGGCAACAGTGTTGAGGAGATCGATGTCGAAGGAACAACTTTTGCGCCCGAGGGTAGTCTTTCACAAAATGGCAAGATTTTGCAGAATCTCGCGGTGTCTTCGTCCACTATCAGACAGATGACCGAAGTGATGGCGCTCTGCAACAGTGCGGATATCTCTCACGATGCTAAGAGCGGTGTCTACTCCTGTATCGGCGAACCAACCGAGGGCGCCTTGCGAGTATTGGTTGAGAAGATTGGAACTGACAATGCCACTACCAATGCGAAGATCTTCCAGCTACCAACATCCCAGAGGCTCCGTGCTTCGAGTACATTCTATGGAAGTCGCTTGCCACTCAAGGCAACCTATGAGTTTTCCCGCGACCGAAAGAGCATGTCTGTCCTTGTTGGTACTGAGAAGGAGCAAACCTTGTTGGTCAAGGGCGCTCCCGAGTCCATTCTTGAGAGATGCACTCATGTTCTCCTGGGTTCTGATGGACCTCGTGTACCTATCACTAAAGAGCACACTGACTTGTTCTCTTCCGAGATTGTGGAATATGGAAATCGTGGCCTTCGTGTGATCGCCTTGGCCCGCGTTGACGATGTGGGAGCCAATCCTCTCCTACGCAACGCCCAGACCTCCGAGGATTATGCTCAATTGGAACGGAACATGACTCTCATTGGCTTTACTGCCATGCTTGATCCTCCACGGGTTGAAGTTGCTGAATCCATCAAGAAGTGCCGTGCCGCTGGTATCCGGGTCATCGTCATCACCGGTGATAGCCGAAACACTGCTGAGGCTGTTTGTCGGCAAATTGGTGTCTTCGCTGAAGATGAGGATCTCACAGGCAAGAGCTTTACTGGTAGAGAGTTCGATGGCCTCTCTGATAATGAGAAGCTCGAGGCCGTTAAGACAGCCTCTCTTTTCTCTCGGACCGAACCCAGCCACAAGTCTAAGTTAGTCGATCTCCTTCAATCCCTAGGCCATGTGGTTGCAATGACTGGTGATGGAGTGAACGATGCGCCTGCCTTGAAAAAGTCCGATATTGGTGTAGCTATGGGCACCGGTACTGATGTGGCTAAGCTTGCTGCTGACATGGTACTGGCTGACGACAACTTTGCAACTATCACCGTGGCCGTCGAGGAAGGAAGATCTATCTACAGCAACACACAGCAGTTCATCCGGTATCTTATCTCGTCAAACATTGGAGAGGTAGTGTCGATCTTCCTTACTGCGGCTCTGGGTATGCCTGAAGCGTTGGTCCCTGTGCAGCTGTTGTGGGTTAACTTGGTCACTGACGGGTTGCCTGCGACTGCACTATCGTTCAACCCGCCTGATCATGATGTGATGAGACGCCCCCCTCGCAAGCGTGACGAGCCCCTTGTTGGTGGTTGGCTACTGTTCAGATACCTTGTTATTGGTACATATGTCGGTGCTGCCACCGTCTTTGGCTACGTTTGGTGGTTTGTTTACAATCCAGAGGGTCCCCAGATCACTTTTTGGCAACTGGTAAGCTCATGGCAACTTTTCAAGACTTCTCTTCGTACGCAACCGTGCTTGCTGACACTACTTGCAGTCTCATTTCCACAAGTGCTCTGGCCAGTTCCCCGAAATTGGCTGCGAAATGTTTGCGAATGACATGTCTCGCTCTGCGTCTACCGTTTCATTGTCTATCTTGGTTGTAATCGAGATGCTGAATGCTATGAATGCCCTTTCGTCCAGTGAATCCCTGCTCACTTTTGCACTGTGGAATAACATGATGTTGGTCTATGCTATCATCTTGTCGATGACATTGCATTTCGCCATCTTGTACGTTCCATTTTTACAAGGGTTGTTCTCGATCCTGCCGCTCGACTGGGTGGAATGGAAGGCAGTCTTGGCCATTAGCGCTCCAGTTGTGTAAGTCTAGTCTCCTAAAATGTGGTTTCAGTCTGGCTAATGGATGCAAGGCTCATTGATGAGGCGCTCAAATTCGTGGAGCGTCAGATGTATACTACAGCCTCCAAGACTATAAATCAGCAGAATGGAGCTGTGTCGAAGCCTAAGAAGGCATAGATATTGGTGGCAGGTGGGGTGGGTGGCATGATAGATATAGATATCGACCCTTTCGAGTCGTGTTGATTCAACTTCTTTCTTGGACACTGATGACATGTATGGTACGTGTTAGATGTTCTCCATAGTAGAGAGCAATGAAGAAATGAATTCATTCGGAGGAGCAAGGCTACGGCGTATAGTCGTCAGCTGAGATTTATTCTGTACAAAGAACATTCACTCATTAAAATATATTAAACCCCTCCTTCTTTTTCCCCAATCCATGAATTCTACAAATAGAAGTGCTGTCTATTTCATGAAACAGTATATGTATTGTATGGCATGGAGTCACGTTCCATCTCCCGTATCTCGATTCTCGAACTGATGGATCAAAGGTGGAACAACACTTGCTTACTAGTAATCGGACCAGGCCTCTCGTTCGAGGTTGCATTGGTTAGCAGCCATTTAAATCCTTCTAATATCTTTCATGACATGGGTCTCTTGACCTTCTCAAGACGGTGAGGGGGATCGCCACATTCCTCAGCCATACCGCTTCCTTCTCGGTGCAAAGATGGAGCGAAGCATTAGTACTTACCATCCATACCACTGTCACTTTGGACTATTAGATTAGGCTAATATGCGGGCGTATACGTGAATGAAGACTAAATCCGCATTTGCGAGCGAATCACCATCGCCATTCTTCAGGCGAAATGAAACCTGGTTTCATGCCAAGAACAATCAACGCCGGCGATTTGGGCCCGACAGTACTTACATTGTGCCAGTGGTGGACTTACGCGGCGATCTTTTCCCTAGACTGGATGGATGCTGCGTTTTGCGGGGAGAAAGTCTGGGGATGGATCACCCTATTTCTTAACCCCCAATGAGGGCCGTAGCATTCCCCCTCTTTGCGGTCTTTTTACCAGGAATGACTCGAACTGCGAGCTTAGCAAGGTGAAGCACAATGAGATGGTGCCATTCGAGGAGGTCTGTGTGGGTGGCCCAAGAATGCACGTACCGGGTTTATCCAAAGGGGTTGCAATTTATTTAAAAACGTCGACATGATATCGTCGACTGGCTTGTACTCATTATGATTTTTCACTCTGTCCTACTGAGGTTATCGCTTGCAACAATGAGGTTGTTACATTTCCTGCAGACCCGATCCGGGTTTAAAGTCGACAATAGAAAGACAACCTCGGCGGCAACCCTTACCTTACGCCAAAGCCTATGGCCCTTGTGTCTCGTCACTATTCTCTTCTTCTTATGGGTGGGTTCTTGGAGTTACTTCCCCACAATCGCTCATTCCCCATGGCTAAAGCCTTATTAGGGCTTCGCCTACGGACTGCTGGATACGCTCAACAAACACTTCCAGAACACTCTAAACATCACACGGACGCGTTCTTCTGGTCTCCAGGCTGCATATTTTGGGTATGTCGCAACCCTACCCCGAATAGAATGTTAAGTTCATGAGTTTAGAGCATATCCGTTGGCATCCCTGGGGTATGCGAATTATATGCTGCGGCATTTCGGATACAAGTCTGTGTTCATTCTCGGATTGGTACTCTACGGCATTGGCGCCCTCTGCATGTGGCCCGCGGCCCTCAATCGGTCATTCGGAGGTTTCTGCGCTGCGACTCTCGTTATTGGGTCAGGACTAGGATCTCTCGAGACAGCAGCCAACCCATATCTTGCCGGTATGTCGAGATTTTTGCCTCGGAGGAATGTGCGCCGTAAGTATTCACTAATACCGTTCTATACAGTCTGTGGCCCACCAAAATATGCCGAAGTTCGAATCAATCTTGCACAAGCGTTCAATGGAATCGGAACTTGCGTCGCCCCGGCTTTGGCGTCGTATGTGTTCTTCACCGACACCGGTGACGATGTAGATGCCCTAAAAAGTGTACAATGGGTATATCTTGCCATTGGAATCTTCGTGTTTCTTCTTGCTGCAGTTTTCTTCGTTTCAAATATCCCTGAAGTCACGGATGAGGATATGGCCTTCCAGGTTGCCGCTACCCATGTCGACGAGCAAGAGAAGCCTTTCTGGAAACAATACAAATTGTTCCATGCTACTTTAGCTCAATTTACATATACTGGTGCTCAAGGTGGGTCGATTATTTAACCCCTGGGTAGCTGTATACACCGTTACTCGACCCCTATCTCCATGAGTTAATCTAACGTGCCTAATCACATAGTGGCTATCGCCGGATACTTTATCAACTACGTAACCGAGACATGGCCCGGCACCAATAGTGCTACCGGTTCCAAGTACTTGGCCGGTGCCCAAGGAGGCTTTGCCGTTGGTCGTTTCATAGGCGCCTTTTTCATGAAATTTGTAAAGGCACGTTGGGTATTCCTGATCTATCTCTCCTGTACCGTGGCATTCATAGCAGCGTCCACAACACAAGGATATCAGGCTGGCTTAGGTACGTAGTAACCTAGTGTCATTGCTAAACGCTGTATTTGCCAAAGCGGGGCTAATAGGAATAAAAATGCAAAGCAATGCTCTTCCTCACTCTGTTCTTTGAATCTGTCTGCTTCCCCACCATCGTCGCCCTGGGTATCCGTGGTCTGGGTCGGCATTATAAGCGCGGTTCCGGCTTCATCGTCGCCGGTGTTAGTGGTGGTGCCGTCGTACCCCCGATCCTAGGCCATGTAGCCGATATGCGGGATAACACTGGCTTTGCCATGATTGTGCCGACAATGTTCATGGTCGTTGCGTGGACGTACGCCGTGGCGGTGAACTTTGTCCCTGGGTACCGTGACACGGTCGACAAGGTTGGAGAGAGTGAGATTGGACTTCGCGCGGATGATGATACTTCTAAGGATAAGGATGTTGAGGTAGGTGTGAATGAGAATTCGAGAAAGGTTGATATTGTAGGGTGATGTAGAAAGAGATGTTTATGCCATGCTTGGAATTAAATGAAACCTTTCAGACATGTCAGGATCCATGAAGTAGGAGTCAAGACACTACTGGAACCATTTCCCCTGTTTACTCTGATTGTAGATGGCCCAGTTTGTGTCCATTCCGTGCCTCTATGATTGTATATCATAAATTCACACAAGTAGATTATCGATCTCTATTCGTATTTCTATGGAAACAGTAAATTTTCAGTAGGAGTAAGAAGGGGTGACGTCTACTCTATTTATATGCGAACATGTACACTGGAGTGAAGCATGAAGTCAACAAAGAACGGCAAATCTATTCAAGCAATGAAGAAAGCATTGATCACTGGATGGATATCATTTCCCATGCCAGCCAAGATCCAGCCTCGGGGCACGTTATTATGAGACCGCGACATGAGTAAAAATATCAAAGCGTGTGTAATAGGGGATATCTCAAAACACGCCAGTCCTAATAGGACTAGCAGATTAAACTCAGCAGATAATAAACGGAAGCTGATGGGAGAAGACAAGAAATAAATAAGGTACATAGAAAGGAGATGGCAATGTTAAGGGATGGGCGCGCTTCTAATAGCGAAATAACGTCAAGATTATGGGAAGGAAACCCTGGAGGGGAAGGTAAAGAGAGGTATGGCAAAAACAAAGAAAAATTTTCAATGTCAAAAAGGAGAGGCAAAGAGAGACGGTGTGTAAAGAAGAAAGCATTCAAATCCATCACCTTTTACCCAGACCAGAGATGCCCAAGCAAAGAAACTAGCGCCGCATAGCCGCAGGGGTATAAGGTAAATTATGTAAAACATGAAAGAAACCGAAAATGCCAACCGACATAATGAAAGGAGTGATTCTTCATTATTAAGTCACGGTTCTCTTGCCGGAACGTACTGATCTCGGGGAACTGCCAGCTGCTGCCTCCAGCTGTGATGATTTAAGTGAGGATGAACGCGGGGGACGCAATGGGCTAGTGTCAAGATCAGGAGCAGGGGCAAGAACTGGCCTGCAGTTTCGTCCAGATAAGTCACCAGTATACTCCAACCCTGAGTGTTCGTCTGTCTTTATTTCAGTCGGCGATCCAGGCTCCTCTTCTGTGCCCGTAAATGCGTCAACTTCTTCTATATCCTCATCTTCCTCTATGTCTTCCTCTATGATTTGGCTCTTTCGTGCCACAGGTCGAGCGGCGCTGGAGGAAGTCTCCCCGGTGCTAACGCCACTACGGGGAAACTCCGGGGCAGACATGCCACCAGAGACCATAAGATTTGCAGTGTGAACCATGGGGCCCTTGAACGCAGATTTCTTGCGGCGTGCGAATACAAGACTCGACGACGGCGAATACAACAAAGGTGCGGGCGCTGACTCATTGAATAAGGAAGTCATCCTGCCATTAGGCTCATTCGCCTCGTGGAAGCCAGTATTTGTGCCTCGAACTAAGCGGATATTACTAGGAAAACGGGACGAGGCACTCGGCGTAGTGGGAAGTACTTTGACGGAGGAATGGGGGGATCTTGAGGCCCGAGCTGTTGGTGTTGATGTTGAGCCGATGCTGTTCGACGAGACAGACGAAGCCTTCGAATGCGTGTGTGTGTGGTGTATGCTGCGGATGGAGGAAATTGAAGAGGAGGTAGACTTGCGGCCTCGCAAACCCGCAGAAGATCGCCTGTAGGAACCCCTGGGCGTGATGGGAGAGGGAGACAAGGAGTTTCGGTGACTTGCATTGGTGCTTACAGGCCGAGCCTGACGAGGATAAGAGTGGCGATGGTTAGGATAAGATGCGCTACTTCGGGCTAGACTGCTAGCGTTGGATGTGCGCTTTATTTGCGTAGGCGTCGATATTTCTCCCGTCGCAGCAACGGTCGAAGGAGGCTGTGCGGACTTTTTCCCAGCATCCTGTCCCTTCGAAGGACTCAGCTTTTCCGAGAGAAACTTGCGATGGGCGCCTTGAGCGCCAGCTGCTTTGCCATGGGGAGACTTGGCTCTCTTCGCTGACTCGACGAACCAATGTTTAAGGGATGCTAGTTGACTGAGTATCGGATACTGGCGGCGTCCAGTGCGACGTCTGAAGATCCCATTGTGCTGGGTTAACTCAGGCTGGGACGCACTTACATGCAACGTACTTGGCCTGCTTGAGCGCTTCCTGTCTTTGGGAGGTGGTAATGGCCGGCGTCGGGTAGAACTAGCAGACCGAACAGAGTCTTTGTCAACGGGGGGAGGTGGAGTACTAGAAGCTGGTGACTGTACAGGAACTGGCTCCGGTAGGCTAGGCAGTTCAGGGACGGCGAGCTGCGAAGGTAAGCTCCGCCGATCTCTGCGCCCACGCTCTTGTAGAGGCGCATTCGGAGAGGCGTGCCCCTCCTCATCAACCTCGACAAGAGCCGCTGAAATTTTCTCTAGCCGGCTGCTGGCCGCACTCAGACGACGAATATTCTTCGCCTCAGCTTCTCGTTCCCGTCGCTTACGCTCTCGCTTTTGCTCCTTCCGTTGCTCCTTTTCTATCAACAACGCCCACCACCCGGCAAGAGGGTCGCATCGCTGAGCGAGGACGCTGTCAACCACCTCATCGATATTAACACCGGCACTTTTCATACGTTGTAAGGTTGTCTTCTCTAGAGGTGTAGTGAAAGGAGCAGGTCGCGGGATTTTCAAAATCGCTAGTTGTTCTGGAGCATTTTCTGCGAGAAACGGATGCGCCAAAATTTCATCTAGGCTCGGGCGGATTAGCGGTCGCTTCGATAATAAAGAATTTATGAGTATCTTTGCATCATCTGGGAATTTGTCATTATAGACAGGATCCTCTGTGAGGATTCGTGCCTTAGTGACTTGGTCATCATCCTCATCAAAAGGGAGCTCTCCAGCGAGAAGAGCATATAAAATGATGCCCAAGCTCCACACATCAACCTTTTCCCCTGCATACTTCTCACCCTTCAACATTTCCGGAGCACTATAACATATCGTGCCACAGAATGTCTGCAGGTAACTTGCTTTGCCTTCGTACTCTCGAGTGAACCCAAAATCGCAGAGCTTGACATTCTCATGCTTATCGAGTAGAATATTCTCTAGTTTTAAATCCCGGTGGACACAGGATTTGCTGTGGACATAGGCAACGGCACCGACAAGCTGTGAGAAGATCCTCTTGACTTTGTCGACAGGTAGTGGACCATGATGAAGAAGGTAATTATACAGTTCGTCGCCTGATTACGTATATTAGCACAGGGCGGAAACGCACTGGTATACGCCCCATACCTGGACAATATTCGAGCACCAACCAAACCAGCCTTTCCGTCACGATAACTTCATAGAGGCGGGCAATGTGCGGATGTAGAAACTGGCGGTGGTGATGGATCTCGCGCGGCAGATTTGTGTCTTCCCTGCTTGAGGACTTAAGCACAACCTATCCCCCGGTTATCAGATGATACACCTATAGAAGTATTAAGTTTGCCGTGCATTCATACCTTGGATCCATTAGTGAGCTTATGGGACGCAAGGTACACCTTGCCAAAGGAGCCTTTCCCGATTAGCCTTCCTAGGGTATAGTTCCCTACACTCCGAAGATCCTTGGACGAGAACTCCCTGATAGAGATGAAATGGTTAGAAGATTATGGATCTCATCGGGGGTTGGAAAGATCGCGGGAAGAGAGGCGCTTACTCCAGCAATTCATGGTAGGACTGGGCGAGCTGTAGCGCAAATTCCCAGTTAGCCAAGCCTCGAAGAAAAAAAAGACGGAAGCGGTGGGACCGATAGTAAACAATCTCTAGATAGCATGACAAGAATTCCAAATTTGAAGTGGAAAAGGCGCATAACTGCAGTGGTGCTATTGATCCGGTAAACAGGAAGCAACGAACCTTCTCCTTTTGTTTCTGAGCTTGAACCTCCGCTCTCGTCCTGGGAGGCGGCATGTGTCAAGATAAACTCCACCTGTTCTAGAATAACCCGCGGAGATGAATTATGCGCTTCCTAAAGTTCCGTATAGTATATCCGGACAGTCGCGAATCGTGTGCGACTGCCATTCAAAGGATCTAGCAAAGGGCGACCGATTGTCTGAGCAGAGGGGGTCGAGACGTAGGCTGCAGCGTAATATGAAAAGCAGTAAGTCAATCGAAGAGTTAACCACTTGATGTAGCTCGAAAGTCGAGGAGTGTCTCAAACGAGAGTTTATAATATTACACGGTGAAAATTAAAAAGATAATTGAGCTTATCCTCGAGTTAGAGAGAGAGAGAACGGAAGACGACGTAGTTGGTGGGAGCCGTGGAGTGGACCGCAATATCAAAACGGGTCGAGAAGGGGTCGAGCCGGAAAGCCGGGGGAGAGATGATCGACTAGGGAAGAATAATACAATGTCAGTTTGATATAATTTGCATATGGTAGGGAAAAGAAAATTTAGAAGAAGTAATGGTGCTAGTCTTAGTACTTTAGAACATCAGTGAGGGAAAGGGAGGGGGAGAGAGTGAAAGAGGGAAAAAAAATTAAAATAAAAATAAAGTAAACATACCGCAAAGATAAAATAACTGACTTTTTTAAGGAGACGACAAGAAACAAAAGGAGCGGGAGGGAAGCCCGAGAGAGCAAGCCAAGTAAACCTCCAATGGGTTAACCGTCAAACAAGCAAGCATGGATGGGGTTTGTGCGTGTAATGAGTGTGACAGGAGAGGACAATTGGTATGGGATTGGAGTAAGGAAGGCTTTGACAACAGCCAACAGGGCATTGCATAAGCCATTAATTGGCTCGTTGAAGTTAGTTTGAGTTGAGTTAGGAGTTTCCATTCATGATGTTACTAGTATTAGATTAGCTGTGGTGAAAACGTGGACCGTTTCTTGTCATTGGAAAACATAAATGGCTCTTAATTCGTCATGGCCTGGGAATCAATCCCGTTACTAGTATTCTATTCTATTTATTTTAGTTTAGTTTAGTTTCTCTCTCCCTCTCAGCTTTTTATGCGAGGGATCTTGTCAGACCTAATTGCGATCCCAAATAAAAAACAACAACAAATGAAGAGGAAGAAGAGGAAGAAACCACCAATGCTTTCCCCTTTTTCTTTTTCTTTTTTTTTTGTTTTCCTTTCCCTTGTATTCCTTTCTTTTTATTTTTTAAGTATATCGTTTTATTCCGGTGGGATGGATTATCTACCCCCTGAATCACATAAATTTAATTATGACATACCTCACTAGTTGTCCCTAGTGCCTTTCACCATGTCCCTGTTGAGCTTACCGAGGGATGTTTCATTTTAATTATGGAGCCCAATACGCTTCTCCCTTGGAATTGAAGCAAAGTAAATGTATCTACCTGGTAATAACATTGGTCATATGATGGTTGCATAGCATTACTATAGCCATGTTCACGGCAAATATTGAATCTCATAACCAAGGCTGGGGCATACTTATCCCAAGTTGTTTGTTTACACTGTCGAACTGCGACTTGATGGCTAACCATCCTCAGTCGTTCTTCTCCTGCCACCAGGGAAGGGAATGCAAATGACGAACTACACGATAGCTTGAACAAAGTGCTGGATCGACGCTCTCTAGCCCCGGCTCTTCCTGAAATGCGAGCGATACCAGTCCAAAATAAGAATGCAGTAGATCTGTGCGTACTGATTAGTCAAATGGCACAAAAATGAAATACAAAAAAAAAGGACAGGGAATTTTAAACAAGCTCGTCTTACCTGGTGGCTCTCCCACGCCTTTGCCGAATCCACCAACAATATGTTGTGTCTTTTCTAAGAGGTAGTGCCGGTTTCGAGTTGCATCCACCAGAACTAGTCTACCCATCATCTGTTCCTTTAATTTTAGCTTGATACACACTCTATGTGTGAAGACCGAGTCTCTTACATCCAATGACGCAGAATTCCAGAAAGAATAGCAAGTATCGGCGTACTTATTACACCGTCCATTGAACCCTGCCCATCGCAACGAATCTTCTGTTGCCGGCTGTATAACAGGGAGCTGGTCGGCCTTCGCGTCTAAATTGAGTTCCTCAATAGTCGCCGATAAATTCGTGACTCCATCTGTGTTGTGGCTGTCTTCCTCGTCAGATTCTTCCTCATCGTCGCCGAGCTCAGACGTTTGTCGTGCAACAAGCCACCTAACCAGGGACTCGAAAGGGCCTGCTCCTGGAGAAAGCAGCGCTATCGGTTTATGCTTCTTCGAGAGACGGTCCAAGAACGTAAGAGCACCGATAGCGCAATAAGTGTGACCAGCTGCGACTCAAGAGTTAGATGCCGTATGCCTCCAGGATTGGCGCTGTGTGATAGAGAACAGAAAACTAAACCTACAATGGGATTCGCAGAAGGGTCCCTCCCCTATACCACCGTCGTATGCCTGGAATAGTTTCTTAGCCAAATCATCGTATACTTTGGGATAGAGAATGAGAGGAGCTTTTCTCACTTGACAAGCCTCAATGAACGCCACCAACTTGTTCACATCTATGTCCCTAATACCCTCGAGACCACCTACACACTTCCCTCTTAATATATATCGCGTACCAGCACCAAAACAGCAGAATCTTAGATCACCACCGCCTTCAATCCTCCCACCTGAGCCGAGGACTTCGCCAAAACTTCCATTTTCGCGCTGCATTCTAGAGAGCCATCGTAGACACTCGGCCCGCCTCACCCGTGATAGATCGTCACCCAGAGTCAGTAGTATCACTAATGCAAAGAATGTCGACGGAACATTGGCCGGATCCCAAGCTTCATTTTCCGGTGTTCGCCGGTCTCGCCCGAAGTCGGTTCCAGTAAATCCGCGAAAGCCTCCCGAAGGGATCTGGCAGTGATAGATCCACTCGATATACCCTTGCCGCTCTTCAGCAGTTGTCCGGTTATGTAATTCGCCTAAAATGTCTAAGCCTGCAACAGTGAAGTAGGCGAGGAGTATGCGATTAGAGTCATTGGAGGTATATAGGTCGGGCAAAAATGTCTTAAGGCATCGTAGGAAATACTTGATATGACGCTGTTTGTCGAAAACGGCTCCGGTCATAGTTTCGGCGTCGACGAGGTAGACTATAATCCAAAGCACAGGCCATACAGCTTGCGCAGTTGAACTAAGAGCTGCGAACAGTGTATTATCTGGGTTCTTCTGTCAGGTTATCATGCCATAAGTCATATTTTAAACTCATTTTCTCATTTGGTGGACAGCGGACGCTATCGGAGTTAATAGCTCCCGCCGCCCACTTTAACCCCACATGTCTTAAAGGGAGAGAGAAACGCGAAGAAAAACAATTTCACCAATTAAATTAAATGGCAGTTCTATAGGTCTCGACTCGATAATTACATGAACATATGGAGGTGATATTCAGACAGCAATACTAACGATATCATCTCCAGCGCTCTGTCCTATTCTCAACCCCATTTCTCCGTGTCCCGAAATTCAATCAAGATGGGTTTATTGTCATCCAAAACGCTGATCCAGGCACACGCCTTATTTCTCTTTATTCTCGCAATCTATCTCACAAGGTCACCAGAAGTCATCACGAATTCGGATGTAGTTTTTATGCTAGGAGAGACGTTGCAACTAGTATGTCTTCATATCCTCAGTTACGCCCCGTGTTGAAGGTTGACAAGTCATTCACTCCATACAGGATACTGCTCCATCCCTTTCACGTCCTCAATCGCCCTTCGCGCTATGCGGTATCCTCCTCATTGCCGATGCTCTCGTCGATCTTATCCTTGTCACCAAGGTCCCTCGCATCAATGAAATCATTGCAATGGCAGAAATCGCTCGGTCCGCGGCTCCCACGTCTATCGCTGGAGCTATGCGAACGAATCCATTCCTAGGACGTCTCGCCGCGCTCTACTCGGAAATCTGGACATTGCTCTCTGCATCTCGCTTTTGTCTTTTCTTCGCTGTGTCGTTTTTCATATACCAGAGTAAGCCGTCGGCTTGGGGTATGGATGCCGGAGATACAGTTGGTGGGTATGGAGCTGGACAAGAACACTCTTCTGGGTTAGATCAGTTAAAGAACAGGGTGATCTTCACTTATGGATTTATGGAAATGATGTTCTGGCTTTGGGTAAGTTTTTATGGTCTATTGAACACATTGTTTGATTTTCATGGATAACCGGATTCTGTAGATTTTCCTTACCCTTCGCGAAGAACGACAGGAGATCGCAGTTCGATTTGCAGAACAAGATCAACAAGCATCATAGACTCACTCCTTTGACCACGCGAACGGGTGCGATACCCTTTAAGATGGACTCGCTGCTACAAGGGAAACTAAACAATCTTAAGTAGCATGCATATTCCCCTTTCATCCCGCCAATGCATTCTTCGAGTGGACGTTTAAGATAACTAGAATATTGACCTAGTGGGCTTATTGAAAAAAATAAGACAAGTTCTTGCCCAATAGGCTTGATTCTAGACATGTGGTCGCCTGCTCTACTTCCTCGACTTTCCATCAAGTAGTCGGGTTAACTCCACAAAAACTCTCCACTCAAGAAATGGGCTGCAAGCCTCACTTCTTTACACAAACAATGCGAAAACCGCCGCACCAATAGCGGCAAGGAGGCTGGTATCCTTGCCTTGGACAAGAGCGGCTCTGCCAGTACTAGTAGTAGGCGACGGAGCTGTTGTAGACGAGGCCTTGGTATTGTTGTCAGATTGGGAACTGACTGGTGATGAAGAGCTGCCAGAAGAACCCGAGGTAGTCGTGACTGATGCACTCGTATCTGTACCTGTCGAAGTAACCGACGACTTATTAGAGGCAGAAGAGCGGGGGGGGGTTTCAGTAGCACTCGAGCTTCCACTAGCACAGCTAGCACTCTTGGGAAGATCGTTTACACCGGCACCGCCGCAGATCTGGTTTGCAAATTTAATCACAGCTATGGGAACCCAGGTTAGCAAAAGAAAGTTGCTTTCCTGCCTTTGATTCTGCGTAGAACTTAGAATGTCGAGGAAAAGAGTGCAAGTTATAACATACCATCTTGTTGGTCCTTCGAGCACTTATTGGCGACACAGCAGGAAATATTGTTGATGAAGCTCTTGTCTGCACAAATACAAGCAATATCAATAGCCTGGCACTGCTTGGGAATGGAACCAGTAGCACAATCTTTCTGTTATTGTTCTATTAGTAGACGATCGTCAAGAAACCAGGCTTATTGAGGGAAAGTGGTCAAACCATTTGATATAGAGATACATACCGCGCAGTCAGGAAGACCCTCCAAGCCTTGAGCAACAACCGTGCTCAGGCAGGCTGTGAGCATGAGAGAGATATAGTGCAGTTTCATGTTGACGCCCTAAACTCTGGAAGGTCCGATGGAAATGAAGTTATCCTTTTGCGAATGGATTTTTCTGGGTCAAATGATGCAGGAGAGGTTTCAAGAAAAGTAAAAGGAGGGGGTGTGTTGAGAAGGATGATGATAGGAGACACCTGAGATCAAGAACTCAAGGTTTGGACAAATAATTGAAAAGCAGAGATAAAGGGTAATAACGCCGTTTCCCCGCTTCTACTACAGTAAGAGTAACTGACTACATTGGGCTAAGTGTATAAGGTTAGGCTAAACCTTCCATATGAGGATCAGAAAGTACAGGTGTAAGGTGTTTCACTAGAGAATTACTTCCTTACCTACATTCTTATAAGATCCACTTCTATTCAGGTAATGTTGAGCGGCTTTACAGCGAATAAGCTGTTCTAGAGTCTCTTGATATCAATGATTCAGATGTAACTGAACCGTGCATATTGCATAGATCATGATTGATCAATGGGACGGAAAATTGAAATGGGTACCTAACAATATGGCGTTGCTGTATATTACGGAGTATGTACTTCAGGATTTACTCCGATGGCTGTACAAGTAGGTATGTACATATTTACGAAGGGTTACAGAATACCTAATCTTTGGGTAGGTATAGGTAGGTGTCCGGTTATTTTAGTAATTGTAAGTAGATACCCACTAGAAAGTACTGTAGTACGGAATGAAGTTGTGTATGTGCAGTCACCAATAGAATTGCGCTCTTAAGGTAGGACAAACACCAGTAGTGCATCCCTAGCGCACCCGCAAATTCCTCTTTTTCGGTCTGCATAAGCTCCATCCCCAGATATCCTCCCCGGTTTACTCAGTCTGATTCGTGGGGTAACTCTCTGCTTCTCCACAGGAGTTCGCTTTGATGATCTTGGCAGGGCCCTGGGTTGACCAGAGAATCATGTCTCCCCCTCACGTCTCATTCACCGGGGCTTGCTTGCTACCTGTATTGGACTACCTTAGATGGTATCTCGTATTAGGGTGCAGATCTTTAAATAGTGTGAAAGGATGGTCACTACCCAAGACTAAAGGTCTTTCAAGTGATCGAATACCTTGATATTTATACAGGATTGAGAGCGGAGTGTGGCAGCTCATACCACCTTATCGTCAACATGAAGGCTAAGAATTGATTAATTTGAATGAAAATAATGTAGGTGAAATAACAGAGGACGAAAAATAGCAACTTTACTATGTTTAATGGGGGGTTGGACAAAACACGGGACAATCACTGATCACAGGATGCGTCTCCGCTCGGCGGTATGCAAAAAACGAAAAGTATACTCGTAATAATGATCCTATTAGACCTCCGACCAAATTTCATCCTCTGTGGGCTGGCCCTTGCAGAATAATTAATTAATCTAAGGCTCTCCCTATTGCGTCTCCGCTTCTCTATTTTGTTAGTTGATGTGGAAAGTTGTGAACCAGTGGGGTAGTATGGAAGCTTCTGAACAAATTAATCCTTGTGTTGACATCACAGTTTAGTGGCAGACTTTGGCGTGTCCCTCTTCTAGCAAAAAAAGCACCCACCAACTGTAAAGTTCCTTGCATCTTCTGTTCAAAATTATCAACGCCCGGCTTAGTCCTTGAGAAATTCCCCGTCCAATCTAACCCGAGCATTGATTGTCTCGAACATCCCCTCACGGCGAGACAGACCATGGGGCTAGGCGTGTTAGAGGATACTGTACTTGCCCATGTTCCTGGTAAGTGTCGAGTGGTATTCCGATATTCACTGTATATACTCAAGATCCCTGGATTTAGGCACCTCCGATCTCCTTGACACGGAACACTCTAATGAGCAAGCCATTGTCGAATCTAGCCTGAAATACGACCGCTCGGGCACGCTCCCTATTCTTTTGGTCCCTCAACCGAGCGATGACCCCAATGATCCCTTAGTACGTCAGAACCTCTGCGGCACACTACTATTCAATTACACGGTAGTTGACAATATGATACTGAACAGAACTGGCCACTATGGAAGCGCGACATTACACTTCTGGCCCTTTCCTTCGTTGCAGTTCTTTGTGCAACCACGAGCTCTCTTATGGCTGCTAACACTGTGACTATTGCTCTTCGCTATAGAAAAAGTTTCACTTCTGTTGCACTTCTCACCGGCTATCACCTCTGCGGTGTAGGTGTCGCCGGTATCTTGATCGTCCCAACAGCGCGGGTATGGGGTAAGCGACATTTGTTTCTTCTGGGGCACATTTTAATGGTGGTGAGCTGTGGCTGGGCAGGTGGAAGCGCCAACAATTATGCAAGTCTGCTATGGGCTCGCATCTTTCAAGGGGTTGCTCTAGCGCCCTTTGAGGCATTGGTCAACGCTTGTGTTGGTGACCTATACTATGTCCACGTAAGTCTGGGAAATACTGCAAATGGTTTTATATCCATTTCTAACCTACATCGTAGGAACGCGGAAAAAGGATGGCTCTATCTAACGTTGCTCTCTTCGGGGCGGCCTTCCTCACACCAGTTTTAGCCGGTAAAATTACTCATTCCCTTGGGTGGGAATGGACATTCTACTTACTGGCTATCTTTGCTGCGGCGTCATTGCCTCTGACTTTCTTCTTGGTTCCTGAGACAGCTTTCAGGCGTTCAGCTTATTTGAACAATGACTTCGGGCAGTCTGCAGACCAAACAAACGAGAATAGGATACACTCACAATCACAACCTAATAAGTTTCCAGAATCCGAAGCTGGCCGCATATCCGGGGAGAAACAGAGTCCTAGTGAGTCGCAAGCTAGACAACAAGAGCGAGACACCCATCTCAACACGGTGGTACCTGCGAAAGTGTCATACACTCAAACCTTGAAGCCCTTCAATGGCCGCAAGACGGACGAGGGCTTCTTGAAGCTTCTTTTCAGACCATTTCCCCTTTTTTTTCACCCTGCAATTCTCTGGGTAAGTTGTCACTATGATCTCTTGGAATCAAGCCCTGACTATCACAGGCCTGCTTAATCCAAGGGGTAGTTATCGGATGGACAGTGTTCATTGGTGTTGTACTGGCTGCCATCTTCTTAGGGCCTCCCTTGTGGTTCAACGAAGTTCAAACCGGGTACTTATATACAGGGGCTTTTATCGGCTCAATTTTAGGCCTGATACTCTCGGGCCTGCTCTCCGACTCCATGAACAAGATTATGATTAAGCTTAACAAAGGAAGATATGAGCCCGAATTCCGTATCCTCCTTGTTATCTTTCAATTGATATTCAGCGGGGCTGGGCTCTACGGGTTCGGTATAGTGGCCCAAGACGTAGGGAAGTACGGTTGGCTTGTGGTCGACGTGTTCTTCACTCTAGTCATTATAGGGATGGTCATGGGTGCTGTTGCCAGTGCGTTATATATTGTCGATGCACACCGTGAGATTTTTTTTTCCCCCTGTAATTGAGTTCGGCTCCCACGCTGACTTCTATAGGTCAAATTGTGATAGAATCGTTCACATGCATGTTGATATTCAAGAACATATTCAGTTTTATACTGACATTTTTCGCTTATGACTGGATAGTCTCAAACGGTGTTAAGCCAGCGTTCATGGCCATATCTAGTATTCAGGTGGGAATTTGCGCCTTGAGCATCCCTATGTGTAAGATATCTTAACTTAGTGAATATATAGACAGTGGGCTAACTTGGGTTATTAGATATCCTCGGCAAGCGAAACCGCTCCTTCTTTACGCGTCATGACCTCCTGAAGATTCTACACCTATGGTGATATTACGCGTTGGGCATATTGATTTAGGTAGACAAATAAAGACTATTAATTCTCGGCGTCTCCTGTTAATCGTAGACTTTCCAAAGAACAAGGGATCGCCCCGTTGCATCTATATTCGTAACGACATTTTCTTTTCTTGTCCTATAGGTAACCATCCATGGATAGAACTGAGGTATCCGGTTTGTGGAATACTACTACTACATACATACTATATTAGGTGGAGAGGGTCTAGGCCCTAGGGGGCCTGTCGTAGGGGGAAGACCACAAGTTCAAGGAACAAGTCACTACTTGGTACAAAATGGCAAAGCCTAAACAAAACTCTACCAAAAGAGGTGGGGGAGGGTCATGTGATGGGGCTGCCAGTACTGGACGAAAACGGAGAATGTATACTGGGATGAAATCATTAAATCAATCACGGGATGTAACCTTCCTCGAAGCTGTCAGTCGACGTCATGACTTCAGTGACCTAAGAACCATCTTCCTCAGCCTTACGATCGCCAAGCCATTTCTTCAATCTAGTGGGTGATCAGGTAGCATCCAGTGGGTCGGTCTCTGCAACCGACTACGTCACTGACGATATTATACTCTCGTCAAGCTTCCGGGGACTCCTTCCTCAAGTCGATCCCGTCAGTTCCGCCCAATCGCTCGTCCTTTTCTCGTCGCTGCTGCCCTGTCTTCACTTTTCTCTCTAGTTGTCTCGGGAATGCCTGTCTTCGTTACAGTCCCTTGCTTTCTGCAACACGCTGCGGACGTTATCTTATCATGGCAACCATTGAACAGCCCCCAATTCAGCGTATTCCGCGCTCCCGGTCAACCCGACTAGCGGATCAAGGTGAGAGTCTTTCGGGCAGCTCTGTATTTCCCTTATCCTCTCCGCAAAAGGGCTTTTGGGCTAACAGGTCTGCGGATAGCCGCGACGGCTGCCCTTTACGTGACGCACCCCGAGCGAAGACTATCGGCTCGTGAACCATCAGCGATCGAGACTGATCTGTCGAGTGAGTGTAGCTCATCGGCTTCTACAAACAATAGATGTATAAGGTCATATGACGTTGACGATTTGTAGATCTGAAAGTGCCAGGATCGCGTCCGGGTTTCAGCCATGCGTCGGCAGTGGCTGCTCTAGCGCACGCGAAGAGTAGGCAGCTTGAGGCCGAGAAGCAGGCTGCGGCAGCATTTTATGTCCAAGATCTTCGGTCCGATGTTTCGAGCCATGGGGGATACAGAGCTGGAGCCTCCACGCGCAGGGACCGTAATTCAATCTCGAATGTCCCTCCAAGCACAGAAATCTCCGTGGCCGACTTAACGTCAGAGGCGCGCCGCGAAATCACCGAAAGAGAGAAAGCTGTCAGTGCTGCTAGGGGCGCTCTGTATAGCACCAGGAAGCGAGCTGAATCCGCACCTTCTAAAGCACCTTACGCGAATTCAGCTGCTGGTCAATTCAAAGACCTTGACAATGCGATGGAGGCTAGCAGGATCCAGCACCTCACGAATATCAACCCTCAGCTCTTTACTGCGTCTCCCCCTGTGGCTCAGGAGATAGAAGACCAGAGAAGGAAGAGTGTGCTGCAAGCAGCCGCTGTGTCGATGGCGCGGGACATGTACAGCCTTGCAGAAGCTACAGAGCCCGAACAATTCTATCCTTCCGCTCCTGTTACCCAGACAAACCATGGACGTGTGCGTCAAAAACGATCTGCGAGTAGACCAGAAGCAGGGGCCATTCAACGGGCAGTGAGTCTGCAAGAGACCGCTCAAAAGCTTGCTGCACAGAAGCTGGCCAGTATGCAGGACGACACCGCAGTATATCGGGAATATTACGGAATTGAGCCGCAAACTACACGGTCCAGTCTGCCCACTCGCAGAAGGAGATTGTCCCTGGACTCTGACGCATCTGAATTTGACGTAGAGCGGTCTAGAGAAATCAGGCATCAGATGACTAGTCTTCGAACGAAGCTTGATGCGGTGGATGAACAAAGAGAGAAAGATCGCGCCCTTTTGATGGTCGCCGCAAAGAAGAATGTCGATGCAGTATTGCAGGACATGGAAATGCGTGTCTGCGCTGAAACCGGGCGAGCCCCTCCTTCACTCCAGAAGGAGTGGGAAGAGGCGGCGCTAGCTCGTGCGCAAAAGGATATACAAGATACTGACACGCAATATGCCTCAGGCGAGAGAGTCAATCTTGGAGCTCAAAAATTTGTTAACATGTCCGACGTAGAGGCTCTTGCCCGCTCCAGGCTCCAGCCAACATTCGACGAAATCACTGATCGTGCCGAGACCGAAAGAGCTAAAGAGCTAGAGCGGCGCCTGGATGCAGAAGAAATTCAGCGTCGCGAAATCGTAGCACGTCAACGAGAGGCTGACCTTTTGGCTGAGGAGAAGCGGCAAAAAGGTTAGTATTCCTTGGTTTCGTCTCATCCTGACTATATGACATTGCTAACATTTTATAGCTTCTATGAAACAAGAGTTAAAAGGCAAAGGAGAAAGGACTCGGCTGTGGAGGAAGTCTAAGAGGACCCAGGATAATGAGCCCACCTTAGGGACGCCCTCCCCAACCAAGGCCACTGAAAGACTGAAAGGCGCTGCTGAGGCACCTGCAGAAAGTGCGCCGCAAGAAACGGGGCAGCCACAGACCGCCGAGGCAGGCAATAAAGCTACGGCTTCAGGTGCAGTGGTAGATTCAAGCCCTATGGAGCCTATCACGAGAACAGAATCAAAACTCAAAACGTGGTTTAGTAAATTAGGTAGCCGTCGTCCCAATTCAGGTACTGGCGAGGCCCCGAAGGTAGCGGGGGCCGATCAAGAGGCGCCTGCAGAAATGGCGGAAGAGACAATTCGGGCAGCAGAAGGACCAAATGAGCCAGCCGAGACAGCTGAAGCAGACGAGGTAACTGATGATGACGAACGCGGAGCTCCTCTCAGGTCCAATCCTGTTACAGCAGATGATCTACAAGTAATGCAGAGAAACTCCGTGCATGAAGGCACTCTGGAGGGGGTGGGATCTGAAGGCCAGGTGGCTCAGCAAGGGACCAGGGAGACATCTGAGCATAATGGCGATAAACGATCTCGTCTAAAGTTCAGGCTTTCCCAGATGGTCTCGAGAAACTCGCAAGATACTAAGACGAACGGAGTTACAGATTATGGTAAGGAAACCGAAGGAGGATCTGCACCCGTCGAACATACTGCTGCAGATGAATTGCCGTCGCATACCACTGACCGAGACGAACTACGTGAGAGTGCTACCGAGCAAGGACTTCCCACTCCGCCTGCAATTGGAAAGCGAACAAGCGACGGCACTGGTCGTGAATCTCGGTTCTCCGAGGACTTGTCATAATGTATTTGTCCTGATCTCAATGTTTCTCAATGTTTCTGTGTTCTTGTTGCGGTTTCCAGATTCTTTTCTTGATTTCCTCCCCCCCCCCCCCAGCTTCCCTTAACTGCGGCGTGGGTTACATACTTTTCGGAGTCGGGTATACTATAGGAACGGCCAGGTGAGGCGTTTCGAAAGGCTTCCAATACATATGAAAGGATATTATGCCTTGACTACTTCTGCTACAAGTTTGTCCGTGGATTCACTGAGCTTCTTCATGAATCGGGTTGGAATATAGCCGGTGAAAAGTATAATTACCTAATAGTGTCTTCGTTGTTACATAGTATGTAATTCAATCTATTTGCCTCACCAACGATTGTATCATGTCTACATTTTTGTATCCACTTCACTTGGCTTGCCTTTCTTCCATGAGATCGGGTAAGTACTAGTAGCGATCCCCTCTTTGAATCCAGTGAAAGGAGAGTCCATACATGAAGCTAGAACCAGATTGATAAATCTTCCACCAATCCCTGTTCCAAACCGGGATATTAATGTGCGAGGACCGAACGGTACCTTTTATAGCAGACATTTCTCGCTCAGTCACAATGGTAAACTTGATAGAGGCAAGACCGGCAAGGAGGACAAGCGGTTATTTAGCTTCATCTGATTTGGCTCTCTCTCCGGACTCCATTTGTGTCAGGCATCGATAATGGAAGGACCACCGACGTAATATGGGACGGATACACCCTGTCCATCAAGGGTAAACGTCTTTTTATCTTCTCTGGTGTATCCATTACCAGAGACTCCGTCCCTGAGTTGTGGTTGGATGTTTTCCAGAAATTGCGCGCAAATGGATTTAATACTATCTCGGGTATGACTGTCGAAGAAACATTGGCTACGTGCTAACAATATGGCGCACCCTATCTCTTCTGGAGATTGGCAAGATCATTGCAGTAATCGAATCACCTACGGCGGCCCTGTTATTATGAAACCAACACGAAAATGAGCTCTAGAAAACGGCCTACGATCCCGAAAATACTAAAGTTTTCTAGATGGAGCAGATAGCGGAAGCATTTGAGGAGGCTAGGATAGTCGTCCCAAGCAGGCACAATGAAAAAGGAATGTGCTTGGTAAGCTGGTCGACTATAAGAACGTCAGAGAAGCTGTTAACATGTACGGCCTTGGCTCCTATCCCAGGAGGTTCTCATGCACCAATCCGAACACAGGTTTAACTTGGTTCGTACATATTACCAATGGTTCCAGAACTACTCTTATACACAACCCGAGCACCTGCCCGAGTTTGGAGGTTAGTTTCAACCTTTGGGGGGCTCATTCTATGACACTTGTACGTCTGAGCTTTCTCCAGAGTTTGCTGACGTCTACTATAAGAATAATATTGTCTCGCGTGTGACACTTCAGAATAACTACATGGCATTTGGAGGCACAAACTGGGGCCATAGCGCCGCTTCAGTAGTTTACACTTCTTATGACTAAGGCTCTCGTCTTCGCGAGACCTAGAGATTCGTGATAACCTGAAATAGACTAATCTACTTGGACTGTTCACTCGGGTGTCAGATGACTTATTGAAAACGTACTGGAAAGGAACGGTACCAATTATACCAATGATAATGGCATCTAAACATGGGTCCTTTGGAATCCGGACACGAATGGGGGATTCTAAGTCGTTCCTCACAACACTAGCTCGTCGCAAGATTTAACGACCTTCTCGTTGGATGTAAACACATCTGCTGGTACGGTGCCTTATATAAAAGACATCTTGCAGCCGTAGCTGACCCGAGCAGGAGCCATTACCATTCCAGAAAAAATATCTCGACGGTCGCCAAAGCAAGATCATTGTCACAGACTACAAAATTGGCAAAGATTATTCCCTAACATACGCAACACTTAACGTGGATATCACCAGTGATAATTCTAACTCGACTTGGATAGAGTACATTCCAATGTAAGGCCTTTTTTATATACGCTCACGACTAACGGCTTTTTAGAGTGTATACAGGCGATGAAAGGGAGACGAGTGTGCGCTGGAACGGGGAGCTTATTTACGGCAGTCTGATCGGCTCTGTCCCTGGAATGGACGATATCGAGATCTCCCTTCCCTCGCTAAGCTCCTGGAGGGCGCTTGGTACACTTCCTGAATTAACCCGGCTCATGATGACTCTAAGTGGACGATCTGTAACCGGCAGAAGTTGGTCAATTCGATCGCTCCGCTTTCCCTTTCGGTGCTTGACTCAGGTAACTATGGATATCACACGGGAACCAAGATTTACTGTGGACGATTCGACGGACAAAATGCTACTGGAGGCTAATGTCACGGTTCAATATGGCGCAGCCGCTGGATGGACGGCGTGGCTGAACGGTGTTTACGTGGGAGGGTTGTCCGGGGCCCCGACAATGTCGCAACTTGGGATGTGCTCAAGTTAACTGTCCATCTCTCAAGCCTCGCGAAAACATCCTGACAATTATTACAGACTATACCGGTCATAATCAGAATAGTCAGAAGTCAATGGGCACTCAAAAATCCGCGGGGAATCATGAGGGCCACACTAAGCGGAGGCAATTTTACACTTATGTCGCATCCAAGGAAATGCAGGTTGAGAGAAGAACATCAACCCAGTGCGTGGCTCGATGAACGAAGGCGTATTTACGGCGAGCGGATGGGCTGGCATCTGCCTGGATACCAAGACCCAGAGTCCGCATTTGATAGCAGTCCTTTGGAAGGAGTGTCCGATTCTCTACTACAAGCTTCACACTAGATTTGGATGAGAAATTGGACGTTCCCATTGGGCTCGAGTTGCAAGCGCTGGCTAACACAGAGGCGGTCGTGCAGACATTTATGAATGGGTATCAGTTTGGCCACTATCTCCCGCATATTGGACCACAGAACCTGTACCCATTCCCGCCGGGGGTGATCAACAATCGGGGAGAGAATTCATTAGCGATCAGCATGTGGACATTAACGGACGCGGGGGCGAGACTAGAGCAGGTGGAGCTGAAGGCCTATGCAAAATATCGCAGTGGAGTTAATTTCAATCAGGATTGGAGTTATCTGCAGCCGGGTTGGACGGACCGTAAGGAGTATGTGTGATTCTTATGTAGTTTTTTTTCGTGACTAATGACTTGAGATCGGTTTCTCACGTTCTATTTTTCCATGGGATAATGTATATATATATATGTTGATATAAATCAATTCAAATCAAACAATGATTATGTAATTTTTATAGACAGACGGAAAATTCTCATTATTAGTATTATTATTGTGGTTGTTATCATTTTTCCACTCTTCTCCACCGCCATTTGGCGGGCGGCTCAATTTAAGCCCGGATGCCAAATGAACTTCATCCACGTCGCCTGCATATAAATGGAGTGACATAGTCCATCTCTTTAGTTTTCTTTTTTCTCTTTTTCTTTCTTTCTTTTTTTTTTAAAAAAAAAAGAAAAAAAAAAGAAAACATCATTACTTTGCTACTGCCATGTATTACTATCGTGTCTGAATTGTTATTCTGTGCCCTTGTTTCTAGTTATTCATAATATCAAAAGGCCCCCATGATTGCCAGTCATCCACGCTGCTCCAGCATCGATCTGGACTCCCCCGATCGTCCATTCGACAATATCATCAACTTTCGCGATGTCGGACGCTCCATCAACCGACTCATGGGAAAGAAGTATGCCATCACTTATTGTTAGAAAGCATGGGTACACTATTATCCAGCTCCCATAGAACTAAAGACTAAGTATCACAGGGTCTTGAAAGAAGGTGTTCTGTTTCGCAGTGCAAGGGTAGTCCAACCCGCTTATTTCCTGATTCCTCCGATAGAAATCAATTCCAAGTGATTGATGGGTGTAAAAACATTTCAGCTAGATGATGCCTCGGAAAGAGATAAACGGCGTTTAACGGATGAACTTCATATAGCTACTATTATTGATTTGAGGTCTACGTATGTATCTTTTTTTTCCCTCTCATGTGCTGTCTTCGCCCCCTTCCGGACGTATGATAGTTATGTCATATCGGTATCATATTATCCATTTCAACAGGTCTTGTCATCAACTGTGCTAATGATCCCTCTCTCAGAACGGAACATCAAATGGCAACCGCCAAACTTCATGCCGAAACAGATGATTATTCTACATCAGCCGCGAACAACACCGACCATCTGTTTCGGTTACCCGGTGTCCGCCGGCAATTGATTAGTTTAACCGGGAAAGCTTTTGAATGGTCATTGCTCTGGCGGTTGGATTGGTGGAATTTTCTGTAATTTTTACTCCCCCTCCTCTTTTGTTCCTTTTTGGGAAATCGACGGGGAGGTGAATGATGGACAAAGGAAATGGAAAGAACGCGCGAATGGAAACTAATGAAGCTAATAGGAAGGTCCTTGCCCTCGCTGCGTCCGGATACCGTAGCGATGCGGTTCTCATCGTCGGGGAACATGTTATGTCACCTAGAGGGTTGATCGGGTTAGGCCAAGATACTCTAGATAGCAGCACGGTGGAGATGAGGGAGATCTTTGACCTCTTGGCTTCGCGCAATGAGGGAGAGGATCGGACGTATCCAGTTTTGGTGCATTGTACCCAGGGTAAGGACCGTACGGGACTTGTTGTTTTGATGTTGTTGCTTTTATCGGGCGTTGTGAGTGATGAGGCTATGTTAGCAGATTATGTGCGTTCCGAACCAGAGTTAGTGGTTGAGGTTGAGGAGCGGATGAAGGAGATCCGGAAGTTGGGGTTGTCCGAGGAGTATACGAAGTGCCCCGATGGATTTACGACAGAGATTAGAAGGCATCTGGAGGAGAGGTATGGGGGTGTCGAAGGGTATTTGCGGTCGGCGGGGGTGAGGGAGGAGAAATTGGAGATGATTCGAGAGGTTTTGATTGCTTGAGAACTCCGTTGTTCTGGTGTTTGGCGTTAGTTGTTGCACTGTATATGATGCAGCTCCATGTGGATATATAGTAGATAATTCTAATGATAGATGAAATGGTTTGATTGGATCATGTGCAATTCGTTAACGGGTATTAAAGTAACAGGCATATAGATAGGTATATAGTACAGGGCCCCAATGCACCGTAAATGCAATCACCTCTAGAGAGCAAGAATATCAAAAGCAAGCCCATTCGTTACATGCGCTGGCCACGGTAATAGTTAGAATCCATATTAGGCCCGGCTGAATCTGTCGTTAACGGCTCCTCGATTGTCGCATTCGGCTGGCTCACACCGTTCTCCATTTCAGACTGCACGATCCGCTTCTCGCCTTGGGGAACGTGACGGCGAGTGCGCACCGATGGCAACAGGTCAACGACGAAGGAAAGCACGTAGAATGTGAAGATGAGGGCGATTACTGCGGACCGTGGTCAGCTGGCTAAGCTTCAAAATAGTATATATTACCATGTTGTTATCACATACCCCATTCCAAAACAGCCGCCGCATTCCTTTTGCTTGGACCTTGCCTGCCGAGAACGCCAAAGGCAATCGCGAGGGCAATCTCAACCACGATGAAGGTGAGTTTGATAACAAAGCTGGCAAATAGAACTCGATGCTGTGAGCGGTAGAAAATGCCCAGGCGGAGGTACTCGGCGCAGATCAGGATCGCGCTTAAAATGTAACCAACCCTAAAATATGTTAGCACTCATTTCTGTCCTTGTGCAAGCTCCGGTATAGATCGCGTTGTCTTACAAGAACATGACCAGGAAACCATCGTGCATGTGCGGGTGGCGCAACGTATCGAAGATTGACAACAGAATGAGCCCCAAGGCACCCGCAATCGAGAAGAATATCGAAAGAATGGCGCAAGCTTTGTCAAACCGACCTTTGTTCGGCACCAATTGGCCAGCGTGTCGCAGCCACCGTTCCGAAACAAACGCCAAATCCAGGAATACAACTGTGATTACACTCCCAGTGATGAACAGGGGTTTTAGACCCTGTGCACCAATATCAGAGATGTACCTATTCAACCCGTGGTTAGTATTCGATCGGTCGCAAACCTGAAGACAATACCGTACGCAATTGTCTGTCCCTCTTCCATACTAGAATAGATCGGTGCACCTTTTACTGCCCAATTCCCCAACATGGCAAGTAGCATTGCTAGCCATCGTTACTATGTTGCCACACTTTCAACCGTTGACGGAGCCATACCTATCCACATGCATGCTGATATGACCGGAAATATCCAAAATGAAATGATCCACATTGTGACGGCTCTTCTCTTCTGATACTCTAGTTCACTCTATACGTATATTGTCGAACGCAAGGGAAAAGAAGGACAAAATGTACAGAGGGCGGCAAAAACACTGTCTAGAATCATCTAGGTTAGTCTATATACGTATTTTCCTTGGAGATTACGTAGCATAATGAGCAATGGCCTAGGAGAGAGAAAGGGAGAACATAATAATAGTACATCGAAAGTGGCAGTATATCGCAAGCGCCGGAAGCTGCGGAAGTGGCTGAGACGAAACTTACACAATGCTGCCTAGAGTGCAACTCTCGGCGTTGCAGAACAAGTTTATACGTCAGTACTCCGTACAAAGAAGTATATACAGCTGCGAGAGTGACAGCAAGGACGGAGAGTCGTCGAGAGTCGTGGTGGCTGTATGAACGGGAAAAAAGAATAAGAATTGCGATCGGGAGACGAATGGAATTGGCTTCAAAATATGATTTCTTGGACGGATAGAGGTGGTAATTATCGATAATCTACTATTAACTAGTATTCGGGGCTGCGAGGCTGGATAGGACAACAAAAGAAAAAAGGAAACGAAAAAGAAAAGATCAAAAAAAAGAATGAAAAATAGAGCAGAGAAACGACTTTAACTGATGACTTCACCTTTCTTCCTGTCCGTCGACGTCATCTCAATTTATCTCCCCGATTTTAGTGTGTCTTATTTCCGAGTATCCATCAAAGTTCATTTATTCTTATACAAGAACCAGGTCTCTTCAGTTACGATGGCCAATGACGCCGCATGTTTACACGATTGTTTGATTATTTAATGCAAACCCGTGTTACATATAGATCTGTAGTACTGTGTAGGTGTGTTCTAGTACGTAGTACTGTACTGTACACTGTGTGCTAATTACTTATTATACCTATGTACAACGCAATACTCTTTACGTTCTTCTTGAATTTATGTCCGGCTTTTGAAGAACCATAATATATTATCAGGAAAAAGAGCAGGGCAGAAAAAAGGGGGAAAGAAAGAAAGAAATAGAAACAGTCTATATAAACCCATCAAGACTAAACTCCATTACGTATGTCGCCGTAAAAGCCACAATGGTTCCAAATCCCACCCAAGCAGTAACTCAAGGCAAATCAAAAGAGACAATTCCTCCGAGACGTCAAGAAGGAACACAGAACTGAGGGATTTCAAGAATCTAGCGATAACTACGGCGTTGACGGCTGCCTTTGCCGCTCGCAGTCTGACTTGTAGAGTTTGTCGGCACTCTGCGCTCAGACACATCTGCAATATTCACTCGGTCACCATCGCCTGAGTCGCTTGGTTCGTCGTTATGTGAGCCCTCGGGCCTAAACTTTGAAGAAGCCTGTTGGGCAACGGAAGAACCCCGCACACTACTGGGACGGCCATAACCGACCTTATAACCAGACACGTAGGACAACAGTCGCTGTGATGTTCTTTGCGGAGAATCCACCAAGCTACGTATTGCATGCGAAGGCTGATCTCTTGAAGACGAGAGCTGATACGGCTCATCCGAAAGAGAACGCGCAGGGATTATGCCTCTCAAGGATGCCTTTGACGGAGTAGTAGAATAACGGTCGGGATAACGAAGCGAGGATCTAGGGGACGAGGTAGGCTGTCGAGATTGAAAATCGGAATTGCGAGCCCAACTGTTATCAGCCGGTTGATATGATGTGTTCTGTCCACCTTGTGCTTGACTGGATCCGCGTCGTGATACGCCCGATGTAGAGCTCACTCTTGACCTAGAAGTTTTGGTAGCGGGCATCCTGCGTCCAGACACCCCATTCCCACCTGCCTGCACTCGCTTGCGTTCCAGTGCCTCAAGCTCTCGTCTGGATAGTCGTACATTTTTCTGACCCGACATCTGCGCCCTTCGAACCCGTTCCAAGGCATTATCCACGAGCTGTTCCTCTCTATCCTTCATAGCCAGCTGAATCGCATAGGCAATCGTACTATCTCCGTCTTCGTGCAGATTATAATCCATGCCATCGAGAGGCCCAGTCTCGTGAAATAGTTCATCATATTCCAACATCCGCTTCCGCCATCCTAAGCTTTCATTAACATCTATGCCGGCCAGTTGCCTTGAATAAAAATCCCATCCATCCTGCAAAAGTTTTTCGTCTTCACTATCAATCTCCTCGATCCGTGCATCACCATCTACCCACGCAGCCGCCCGTCTCCTAGTTTGTCTCCCCTGTTGTGCCCCTGGTGGTCTTCCCCATCGGGGCATACCGTAAGGAGTTCGCGGCCGACCACCTAGACCGCCTCCTCGGAAAAAGCATTCTCGATCGGTTTGTCCATGAAAGCAGCGTGGCCGAAAACGCACACGCCGGTGGCTCCAATCAGCCACAGCACGGTTGTGATAGGGGAAGCCAAGAATCCCAGAGGGACCGCCACGATCAGCAATCCAGTGTAAAGCTGGGAGGTGTTGAATCGAGCAAATCCCAGATCTAGATCGCGGCCCTGAAGCTTGCCGATCCCGTACAGACCACCAGTAACAAGGATAATCACAAAGAGTAAGGTGATATTGGTCAGCAAGCTGTAAATGCTGAGCATCACAAAGACCGCGGCATAGTTGCTAGAAAAGTAGGACAAATTATAGTTCACACGGCCTTGGACTTCACCGAAGTTGGCCGGCTTGGAGACACGCTTGATATCCAGGAATTCGGAAATGGGTCGGAGGTTGGCGAAGCGAGAGCCCACGGACTGGGATCGAAGACTGTTGAAACGTTCACCAAATCGCGAGGTAATCGCGTCGATGGGAATCTGAATTGGGCTCATTGTGATGCGGTTGTGAAAGGATTAAGCGGCGCGATAGATGGATGGATGAAACTTGAATATGTAAGCGATCAGGGTGTGAGGTCGTGCGAAGTGGATTTGAGAAGCGTTAGCACGAGAAAAGAGCCAGGAACTGATCTAGGCAGACAAGAGAAAAGGTCCGAAGGAAAAGGGGAAAGTATAATAAGTAACGGATTAGTTGGCCCGGAAGCTCTGAAGAAGGGTAAAAAAAAAGTAGAGGTGTGTTCCGGTTGGTTCGTATTTTTGTCTGGACCTTTTAAATGGTAAGCACAGACAATCCACCAATACACAAACCCCGTAAGCGATCAAGGGAGAGATGGTCGATCTCCCACTGAGAAGAAGTCGATGGTCAGAGAAAAAAGGACAACCATGAAAGAGAGGAAGAAAGATCTAGTCAACTTTTGACTTAAGAGAGACAAACAAGACTAATTAATAATTCCCGGATTCATGGATTTTCACCTCTAAGAATAGAAGTGGATATGACCGGATTTGGAGACGAAAGACAACCACAAGTTTAGAATAAAGCTAGCGTCTTCCACTTTTATTCACTTTGTAGGAAGGACAGCCATCTCGTCGCATCGAGCTGGCGTCCTCTCTTACTCCATCATTTTCCTCTCCATCAAACAGGATATACTTCTTGAGATATAGATGGTAACCAGAAGGGAAGAAAACCAACAACAACTTAACAGGGACAACGCTGCATTTAAACCCAACACACTTCTTCTCCCACCCCTCAAAAATCCGGTCACCAATTAATTTCCCTCGAAGTGTCTTTCTCCATCAAACCCTCGCCTTACTTTTCAATATGTTCATGTGTCCATCATTGGTCCACGTCGTTGACTTGTGGACCATTCCCAACCAGGGTTGTAAGATTGGGTACCTAGTACCTAGTATCAGTAGGTACGGGGGACCAAGGTAAGGTACCTACATAGGTACTAACCATGGTACTGTACATACGTGCAGTACATAGGTACATAGGCACCTATCAGCTTTTCACCTTTGTGTATTCGTACCGTATATGATACATGACCGCCTTTGTGCCTGATGACAGATCATAACTTATTGCCAGAAGATGATAGGTCAAGTTCGGCCAGAGTGATCGAATCAGAAATCCCCTCACTCTTCTTCAAACCCTCCACAACAACTCATCCATTTGATGGTAGCTCGCCGGCGTCTCTTGTGTAATTTCGCACATATTTCCTCTTCTTTCAATTGTACCTATTCGGGTCCAGCGGCCTGACCGCTCCCCCCTCAACGCCCCCTCACCTCCCGAGATGAAGTCGACCGCACTCCGCTTGGTCGTGTTCGCCGTCCTGGTTGTCCTTACGGCGGCTTGGACTAAGGAAGGTCAGTACCATTCTCTTTTGTGTCTACCGATTCGCATCTAATCGTAACTCTTTCTCTAGACTATGAAATTTTCTCCCTTCGCGATGAAGTTTCCGCGACAGAGGGTGCCAATGTGACATTCTACGGTGCGCTAGGTACCTTCCCCCCAAGATGTGTTCGAGTCTGATACTCGATCAACAGACTTCCTCGATGTCCAACCCAATGCCAGCCAGGACGACATCAACAAAGCGTATCGCAAGAAGTCTCGCCTTCTTCATCCAGATAAGGTCAAGCGATCTTTTATCGCCAACGTTTCTAAGGATAAATCCCGAGCCAAAAACAAGAAGCCCGGCATCCACGTCAGCCAGGGCCCGACGAAGCGAGAAATTGACGCTGCCGTGAAGAAGGCCCATGAACGTGCTTCACGATTGAATACCGTTGCCAATATCCTTCGTGGGCCAGCTCGGGAGCGCTACGACTACTTCTTGAAGAATGGCTTCCCCAAATGGAAGGGTACTGGCTATTACTATTCGCGTTACCGTCCCGGGCTGGGTTCCGTACTGGCTGGCTTGTTTTTGGCTTTTGGAGGTGGTGCTCATTACGCTGCCCTGATTCTTGGTTGGAAACGCCAGCGCGAGTTCGTTGATCGGTATATTCGCCAGGCTAGGAGAGCTGCTTGGGGGGACGAACTGGGAGTTCGTGGAATTCCGGTTGTTGATTCGGTCAATGTTGCTGCCCCGGCTCCCACTCCTGAAACTGAAACGAGCGTTATGCCTATGAATCGTCGCCAGAAGCGCATGATGGAGAAGGAGAATCGCAAGGAAAGCAAGAAAGGTGCCCGGACAACTTCCCGAAGCTCCGGTACTGCAACGCCGACAGGCGAATCCGTGGAGCCCACCGGAGAGAGGAAACGAGTGATTGCGGAGAACGGGAAGGTCCTAATTGTCGATTCAATTGGCAACGTCTTCTTGGAGGAAGAGAGGGAAGATGGTGAGCGGCAGGAGTTCCTACTCGACATCGACGAAATCCAACGCCCCATGGTACGCGACACGATGTTGTTCCGGGTGCCAGTCTGGTTCTATCGCAAAACTATTGGCAGGTTACTTGGATCTTCTCGCGCAGTAGATAGCGAGATTGCTGATGAGGAGCCATCCGAAGTAGCGGAACAGGCTGTTGAACAAGCAAGCGACCCCGTGGAATCTAAAGGTCGGGTGTCGAGAAGACGAAAGCGCTCTCAGAAGTCTTAATCTGGCTGGTCTAGAGGGCGTCTTGTTTTCTGTGACTACTGATTATATTCTATCTCTTGGATTCTCGATGTCCGTCTTCTAGGAGACCCCACCGCCCCAAGGAACATGTATAAATATCTTCTCAATACTAAATGTATAGAAATTTAATTCATTGGATCCTTAGCAGTCAACAATATTACGTTTATGAAGAGCCAATATGTAAACAAGCAAAGTCCCTGCACGTGCCAAAAAGAGAAGTTCCTCTATGGTGAAACTGCAAGTAACCTCCCAACATCTCACATGAACAGACCGAAAGTAAATACCGAATACCGCAGCCCAAGTATATATCATATTAACTGTCATCATCATCATAATCGTCTTTGCCATTCCGGGCATCATCCACATCACTCATTTCCTAGCGAAACACCACGCACGGCTTCGCCTGGCATATACTGCACCCCTACTTCTTTACATAACCATCTTCGCAATGCTCATCAACGAGCTCAAGTTCTCCATGATGCCATCCTTGCCCCCCTCTCGGGACTGTCCGCCTTGGCCGCCAAAGATGTTCTTGGGCAGACGGATCCCAATCATGGCGAACAATTTCTGCAAAACTCCGCTTGTAAGAAGTGGGATGAGAACCAGAAGCAACACCTTGATAGGGTGTTCCCTGGCGTACTTGTAGATGTCGCGTAGCAGACGTTTGATGATATGAACTACTTTTTGGACGAAGCCAGACCGCGGCCGTGCTCGACGTGACGAGGATGAATAGGCCGATGGACTAGATCGCCCGGCGCGACTGCCTCCACTGTTGAAACTGAAGACTGAAGGGGTAGAGTGTCGGGAATGATGAGTGGAATAAGTAGATCGGCGGGAGGGAGAGCGTTTACGCGCAGAGTGAGAAGAGGCAGCGGAAGAGCGTGCGTCAAACCAACCCATTTTGATTCCAGAAAGTCACTCGATATGTTCTTTTTTCTCTCTTCTTTTCTTCTTTCTTTCGAGAATCTGGGGATTCGATCTAATGCTATTTGTTCGAAATGAATTTAGGGAACAGCTCAAATTGTAGCAATGAGGAGTTGCCGAGTCGGCTGCTGCAGATGCACACAATTCCAGATTCTAGGCTCCTTGCTGCAGTGGCTTTGTCTCCACCGCTGGTGTCCAGGATTACTTAGTAGGCTATGTGGACGATTGCGCGTAGATGAACCAGAAACTTGTTCCCATTGAAGTATAATACGTGAGACGAGGTAAAGTTGGCAAAACCAGTGTCGGGATTGGTTTCAATGGGACCAAAAGCGGCAAACTCGGAAGACTGGTAAAGAAAAGGAATTGGGTTGAATTGAAGGTGGAACTGATGTGTGTCCCAGTGAGGCAGACATACACTTAAACAAAGTGGGTGGCTGGAGGCATCCCACGTTCCTCATTGGTGGTTTTGCTCAGGGGCTCATTTAATACATCCCGTGCTCGGGTTGATTTGACCCCGGATTTTTAATTACCTACAATGACATTAGAGGTTGGTATTTATGCACTATACATTCATACATGCATATACTACCCTGTAGAGTGGTGCATGAAGTACTTACTCCCCGTAACGACCGCTATATTCAACCCCCTACTAGCACACTCAAAACGCACCGCCGCTTTTCGCAGCCCCAGGGAAGCCATTCTGAAAAATGCCCCAAAATGGTTTCCCACTTATCTGCATGTCTTTGAACGCGGGGCACAAAAGCACTACTAAAGGCTTAGAAATCTCAGGACTTCAAACACAAAGCAAATGAGATTGTTTTTCTTCGGGTGGGTGGTCAGGTTGAAGATGCCCCCAGTCATATCAGAGTATGAAGATTAAGCTGCACTAGACCATAATCCATGGGGGTCTTGTACTAATTCTCAGGAATGCTTTCCCATTGTTTTTGGTAGGTAAAGTTTCCCTTTTATTTTCCGATTGGTCTGTTTGGTTTGGTCTACACGAATTTTCGCCTATTTTGCCATCAAGTCCATGCTGAATGTGCCGTCCGCTGACATGTCGTACCATTCGATGAACTTGCTCAAGTTGAGAGCGTTGTTGTTGCTGGTTGCATAGATGTCATCGCGGGAATTGGAAGAATCAGATTCAATGAAATTGTGAGAGTCAGTAGGACCTTGGGCTCCGCCTGTGACAAGCTAAAGACAGAAGGAAAAGGAAGACGAAAAATTCGAGATACTCCGTGAAAAACGAGTCAAGGATGCACCCAAGATTACCCAGAAGATTTTGCACGCCTGTATCCCTTCCGTCGATGGAGAGGCTGGGATATAAGGCAAGTTAAGAGGATTGCCCGCCCAAGCTGTACCCATGACACTGAAAACTATCACCAGGTCCACTCCATCCCGTACACTGTAGTCGTTAGGCTGATAAACCCGGCGTCTTGTAGACAGGAATAGGCCTACATTCATTGATTGTAGTAACCACGTTTGTGAACTACGAACCACCAAATTTGGAAGCCTGCAGACTGTTATACACAGAATGCTTCTACTTACGGACACGGCATTGCTGCGAGGGATATATGCATGGTTTGCCAAGGCATTCAGGTCAGGCAAAGTTCACTCTAGTCACCTTGCTTCCATCCAGAGGTTGGAAGGCATGGTCCCCAGTAACTTTGGTTCAGTGGTTGGTCAGTGACACTTTGATAAGGTGAGTATAACGGCGGCATGCGACCTCAACCCTAGAGTAATTACGGGCAAAGTTGCTTTAGAAACCCTCACTGTTTGAGGCAATGATAACTGAAAATGAAACGATAAATGAATGGCCAAATGAATACCTCGGAAAGGAGAGGACTTGTTTAAGGAATAAAGGGAGTAGACTGCTTGCAGGGGACGCAGAAAAATGACCCCAACTGAAGTTTATTTTGAATTTTGATATTTTCCCCCATTTGAATAGAAAAGGACGAGGGAGAGAAAGCAAACGAAAAAGACAAGCAAGTGTACGGCATGATGGTGGTTCAACGGTAGATTGATTGATAGGCCATCGCAGTGGTTGTTAATTCCGTTCCCCTGAGTCATCGTTTAGTGATTAGCATTACTGCCCCTAGCTAAGTCATGTATATCTCATTTTAGCACACGTATGCATAATCCATGGTATATATACAACATTTCATGCCTGCACTTACAATGTCGATCCTAATTAATGAGGTTATCGGGGAATATCTTTGATAGCTTAGTTCCTCTGGATAGAAGCATTAAAGTATGGCCAGGACACAATATCACAACTAAGGCATAGTGAAAAGATTTCGTCAAAAGAGAAGTTTAGGGCCATCAAACTTATTGTACCAGACCTATTGGCTGTGACAGTGACAAGAATGCTATGCTAGATTCTCCGTCGTTATAGGGCTTGTGGAACATGAGTAGTGGATGCATCGGTTTTTCATAAAATCGCCGGATACTATATCGCGCTGCTCCTCAACAAGGTCAGCAAGGTAGCTAAGGTCAACATTGCTGAGGCAACCTAGGGAATTCTGACTTGTTTCTTTTCTACAATCAACTACCGGTGTTTCTTTCTTTTCTCCTTCGGTTTCTATCCGTCTTGCTACAAGTTCTTTAGTATTTACATTCTCTCCTGGCAAGTATGACAATAAGACCCTATATATTTGTGTTTATGTGTCGGTATAGGTATAATAATATGATAATATCCTCATTTACTAGGGGCATAAACCCCATGAGTGAAAGAGAGAGATGTTGGGTCTCAGGAAACCGTAAGGGCTTCAGGGACAAATAGTATGCCTAAGGCATTTCGCATAAAATATGCCCTACGTCATCCGTCATCCCCATGAAATTCATTTGCTTCCCTAATACAAGTTAACAGCACATCGCTCCCGCCCGCTCACCTACGGACTCAATTGCGGATAATATATCTGAGGTTATTACTACCGCAAATCGGTCATTCAATCTATTATTGAACTTTACCTCTGATACTATATATAATCGCCACTATAAATACAGTATGCCGAGTGAGTCTACTCAATGGGGTCCGGTCTAGATGTTGTCAAAGCTAATATATATGGTCCACAGAACGACCTGATTACTGTAAATGACATCCTTACCTCCCTGCGAGCATAACAATAGGGTTTATCTTAACCGGTGTACAGACAAAATTCTGGGTGTGTCCCCTAACGCAACTCAACGGGAAATTCGCAATGCATATAAAAGGTGAGCATTGGCACCTAATACTCGACTGATTCTCCGTAAGATTGACCTATCCAGGGAATCTTTGAAATCGCACCCTGACCGCGTACCCGCTGACTCTCCTGAGCGACCTGCCCGAACGCGCAAGTTTCAGGATATCAGTGATGCCTACTATACCCTTTCAGACGAGTCACGACGGCGGGAGTATGATGCAACAAGGTCAGGAGTCGAAGAAGAAGAACTTGAGGATGAAGTACCGCTAGGTGGCGCTGGGGGCTTCCCATGGTCTTCATTCGGGTTTGGCACGAGCGATCGTGAACAACGTGCCTCAGAGCAATTTAGCTCAGTGTTTGAAGAGATGCTACGCGAGGAGGGCCTTGCTAGTGATGATGTTGATGCTGAGGGTCATCGGCGCACTCGACCTACATCCCGCTTTTGGTCTGTTGTTGGTGGGATAAGTGGTGGTGCACTTGGGTTCATTGTTGCCAATGTTGCCGGTGCTTTTGCCGGGGCAGTTGCAGGAAATCGACTCGGTGCTGTTCGTGATGCGAAAGGCAAAAGCGTCTACGAAGTCTTTCTAGATCTTCCACGGAGTGATCGCACCAGGTTGTTAAGCGAACTAGCAGCTAAGGTCTTTCAGTCTACTGTAGGACGATAACTAGCAGTCATGTTATCATTTTCACCTACCCAGGCTAGGGGTCAGTGGCTTGTTAAGTATGAGTGGTACAGGTTTAAGATTCGCGCTATTACTTTCTAGCGACAATATCACTGAAGTTTTTAGTCATTTAGTTGGAGTACTATCTTTATAGCATATATGAGTAAGTCGAATTTATTACAATTTACGACAGATATTATACCCACACTATTTGCTAACGTGTAGCATGACCCGCCCTTAACTAACTAGTTATTATTATTATGTACTTACTAAGCCCGTACACTAGTTATAATTCCCAAAACAGTGTTGAGGTAACCAGTATGCGGCCCCTCCTCTGACTGTATGCGGCCAGGGCACGTTCTGGGGTAGTGGAGTCATAGAAAAATTCGATCTAATCAATTGACAGAGAGGGTTTTGGTTGCCCTCTCTCTAGAAATTGCCTCTCCCACAACACCACCTTCACCTCGCGGATATTAAGCATCATGATGGCAGCGGCCGCGGGTGCGTATCCAGCTTTGGAAGATCGTCATGTAAAGGACACATTTCGTCTCTTCGATGTTGAGGGTACTTTGACTCCCGCAAGAAGGGTAGGTGGGAAGATGAATGATCTGATATTTCGACTCAGCATTCCATGTTATGGAATCCGGTTGAACATTGACTAACAACTTCTAATTTGAAACTACAGACCATCTCGCTCGAAATGCTCCAGCTTCTCTCTCAACTGCGTCATAACTGTACCATTGGAGTTGTTAACCGTCACTGTTTTCCGGAAGTAGCTCCCAAGCTCATATCGCTTAGGTTGGCGGCTCCGATCTTGCCAGCAAGAGCAACTCGGCACATCCTCTACGAAAGTATCCTCGCTCTTTGATTTCTGCTTCGCCGAAAATGGATTAGCCGCCATCCGCCTGGGCAAGTCCCTACTAACAATAGCTTCATTGTATGGATCGGTGAGTAGAGACATCAGAATTTAGCTAAGTCCTACGTCAAGTACATCGCGGATCTGCTGCCTAGAAAGCGTGGTACCTTTGTTGAATTTTGCAATGGAATAATCAACGCTAGCCCGTTGGCCACAATGCAAGTGTTGATGAAAGGGATAAATTCGAAGCGTATGTGCCCATGTTTGCTCCTGCGGTGAATTTAGGCTGGCTGACAGTGGGGATAGCTATATCAGAAAGGATTTCGTAGAGGCTCTCAAGAAGGAATTTCCTGACTATGGTCTTAGGTATGTCGGAGATACAAGTTTTGGGCATGCTAATCATGCATTCGATATTAATGATATTCTCAAACTATAATTACTCTATTGATAGTTAAATCTCCTTTTGACGTCTTCCCAACCGGCTGGGACAAGACCTGCTAACGCCATATCGAGGCCGAGGAAATTTCTCCGGCATAGAGTACAAGACTACCCACTTTTGTGGAGATAAAAAGTTCCCTGGAGGCAATGATTTTGAAATATACAGCGTTTCTAGATCAGTGGGACATGCGGCCAAGTGCCTTGAAGGCACTATGAAGTAGCTGAAAGAAATATTCCAGCTATAAGCCCATGATTGATCAGTGGGATTTTATGTTCTGCATGATCTGGCTCAAACAAGATTAAGAATTATTATGCCGTTGAAAGAGGACTACATTATCAGGTAATAGTACAAACACGATCATCGTGATCATGATATCTCCAGGTCTTGGATTGTTTCACAGCCAATCTTCCCTCCCTAGCTTTTTTACTACGTTGAGAGCCGTGAGACATGGAACTCTTGAGCCTGCGAACACACTGCACCAATGGTAAATTAGTACTTTATGACATGCTTTTTAAAGACATATAACTACTAATAGTAGTACCTACCCAACCCTTTATCAGGTTATTTATAGTTTCCCGATACAAGCCTTAAAGCACGTGACCCTAAGAAAACTTGAAATTTCTCCGAGACGGGAAACCCCGGTTTTCCGACTCGGCCAGCTCCATTAGTGAGTGCCCTTTGGTTCATCGAATTGAGAGCATGACGATCATCCCGACCTCTAGAGAGCATTCTAGTCATCATCTATGATTGAATGCAATCATCTTCAAGCAGTCTATTGAGAAAGTCCTTCCTACCCAATACTCTCCCCTTGTTCACGCGAATCACCATCATACCGAGCTATAAGATGACGTCCCAGAAGTCCGTTGCAGAGGTTCCGCGTTCTATACTTCCTCGCTTAACCTGGAACGGCTCTTCTACCCGGACAGTCCCTTCACCTCAGAGCGCCATTCTCTCAACAAGGCAACAGCAGAAAACGGTACGCATACACAGCTGGAACTCCACCGGGCGACAGCTACATACACTTACCGCCTCCCCTCACTCTTCCACCTTCATTGCGGCAACACTTCGAGGGACGCCGACGTTCTCATCATCGTTATCCCGGCGATTACCAACAAGCTATACGTTCTGTCAACCAGCAGTGGAGCTCACAGGGAATTCTATCCGATATAATGGTGTTTATGTTGCTACCTTCAAACCAGCTCGACGCGCTTTTCATGCCTCAGCCCCCAAAGAAAGAGACCACCATTTCGATACGTTGAAGTTCGTCCAGCGGTTGAAGGATGAGGGTTTCAGTGAGGAACAGGCTGTCGCCATGATGCGAGTCTTAAACGATGTTATTCAGGAATCTATTCAGAATTTAACCCGGACAATGGTCCTTAGAGAAGGTGAGCGATGTCTTTCCTCGCCCCGATCTGGCCGGAGCTATTGAACAGCATCTGAGAATTGACCAAACCACATTCCGCATGACATATCTTATGATCTAGTACTTACTAACCCACTACAGATACCGAGAGATCGACGTATACTCAAAAAGTTGACTTCGCCAAACTTCGCTCTGAATTACTCAACGCTGATTCAACCGAAGCGCAACTGACACGTTCGTCACATGAGAAGATTGCTGCGGATCTAGCTAAGCTAAACTCAAGGCTCCGGGATGAGATCGGACGCACGCAAGCATCAGTTCGTCTGGATCTGAACCTTGAGAAAGGTCGTATCCGAGAAGAAGCAAATGGCCAGGAAATGCGAATAAAAGAGACAGAAACGAGAATAGAACAGGAAGTTGCAGGGCTGAGAGAACGTGTAGAGGCTGTGAAGTTCTCCACGCTGCAGTGGCTGATGTATGAACCGTCAACTCCTGGGAATTTTCCCTGCGTTATACTGATATATGTTTCTTAGGGGTGTCTGCACCGGTACCGCCGCTCTGATATTGGGTGCCTGGCGTCTTTTCATGTGAGCTGATGATTTGGTTGAGAAAAGGAAGAAAGCGAAAGAAAAATTGTCCCATTGACGCGGCTTTTCTAGCTTGGTCAAGAGCTCAACATATTGTATACTAACTTCTCCGTCCTCTGGTATTGATTTTTAAAGACAGATCCAGAGCAGGCGCGCTTTGTCTTCACTTCATTTCTTATGTTATGATAAGTGACAGCATGGCCTCTGTTGCTACTTTGGCATTGAGGTCTTTGTTTATTGGGAGCGAAAATGAATCTAGGCCCCTAGAGCTATGTTACGTAGTAGTGGGCGTAATTTACTAGAGGGCAGAATAAGCCATATTGATGCAGCAGCTGGCTCGTCGGCGCGCCCACTGTGAGGAACATTGGAGCGCGCGAGTAAATCCAGTCCGGAGGACTAACGCACGTAAACGCCCTCGAAGAACCGTGAAAGAGCTTATGCCCTTTTTCCTTGAATTACCCGATGACGGTTTCATCCAGCCCCCACCATAAACACTGACATGGCTTGCCCCGATGAGCATAGGCAATCAGTGGATTTTTTGTCCCTTACCAAGCAATAAACACGGGTTTTGTGTGAATAAGGTGGTCATGGTAGTCAAGAAACTGGAATCAGACACGCTCTTCGAAGACGGCTGATTAACTTATATCGATCTAAATTTATAGGCTTCATTGTGCTGTTATCTTCCAATTGTAAATTCGTTCTGTAATAGGTCCCTTTGCAAACAGACCAGAATTTCCCACAGGCCCTAGATGCCAAGGGCCACCCCGAGGTCGATAAATGATTTGTCTTACTTGATGCAATTTACCCCAAAGGTCGCGCGACCAAAAAAAAATGAGTAAAATAATTGATCCCACGCGGCCTAGCCGTGTGAAAGCGACACAGTCTGCCTAAGTTTATCTGAGGCCGTAATACTACGTACAATACCTAATACTAGTATAGTATATCTATGGATAATTATATATTAGTGGTAGTCGGCAGCGGTAATGTCAGGTGTGCCTGCGGGCATACCTACCTGCCTGCCTGAATCCTGAACATGCTTATATATGTGAGTGCAGTACAAAGCCGAAGGCTTTGTATCCTAGTCTTTTGCTGATAGCGCAGCCCGGTTAAGCTTCTGAATGCACCCAGAGGTCACACCGTGACAGGTAAGGCATTTTCAGCGGAAAGGCAGAATGAAGCAATTCGTATTATCAAAACTAAACGCCTGAAGAATCCATAAAATAAAGCTGGTCAGCATGTTCTACTGCTAATCCTATATCCGAAGTCGTAGGATTATTTTCTGTATAGGGGGCAGGTAGAAGATGGCCGTACGCCTTCTTGTAAGCCTTATCTGCCTTCTTCCTATTCCACTCTTCCTTTACCTTTTTATCAGCAATTGAACGATTTGTATCCCGTACGGTGAGTATATCACTATCTCCAAATCGTAGAATCTCTTGCTTAGTGATTTTGCGCTGATGAGGAGCCTGAATTACAGTAATTTAATCAAGAGTACTATTCACGTTTGCCAGTTCTTTAGATTGAAGTTTATAATAATAAAGCAAGCATTTAAAGCCTTATCTAAGCATTTGAGTTAGATTATCACTAATGAGAATCATAGAGAGCTTCTTTTTATTCTTTTTAATATTATAAGCGCTTTTTAGAGGTGTATTTTCAATACTTCAAGAATGTGATGAGCTGTATGTCACGTGGTTAGGCAGGCCTACTTCCCACAACAATCCTTCTTGTATGATAGTGTTTCCCCTCCCATATATTGTGGCCTGCGTCCTTCGCAAAGTCTACTTTGGCGCCGAAACCTGGTGGCCAGGCTATCCACGCCCGGCCCTCATACGGGCTCTATCCCAAATCGAGTCCAAGGGCACCTTGACCAGATAGCAAGGGTAATACTAGCTGGAGCAAGGGCAATTCTTCCTGTCTACTGCACAACTCCAACGCCTATACTCTACCGGGAGTCAGGGCTTCTACCAGCAGAGATTGAGCTAGACTATACAGCTACTATCGCCACAGTCCGCCTCCGCCGTCTGGATCCCTACCACCCCCTTCGTAGAAGAGCAGAAAGAATATCCCGAACTGGACACCCAACTAGCCGCTTTGCACGCCGTGTGCTGGCCCTGCCAGAATCAGAACAACTGAGCCCACTACAACATGCCCCATGGCTTCCTCAGGAATCACGGGAAGCTGCCCAACGGCGAATCAGGGTACCTACATAGACCAAGAAGCAGGCAGCTGCTAGCTTTCAAGACTTCTATACTTCTCTCCCGGGCACTGATATAAAGGTCTTTACAGATGGTTCTAAACTAGTAAACAGAATAGCAGGCGCTGGATTTACTTTATATCAGACTGGAAAGCAATTTCTCCAGTCCTTTCTCTCCCTTGGCCTAAATAAAGAGATCTTTGATGTTGAAGCTGAAGCGGCTCTAGCTGGAGTTAAAGCAGCTTTAGAACTTTACACAGCCTGCTTTGTAGCTAACCTCTGGATCTGCTTAGATAACCTAGAGATAGCCACCCGGCTTCTATCACTATTCATTGGCTCGTCACAAGAGGTCTTTGAATCCTTCAGGGCCCTGGCCTTAACCTGGCTTACACGGGAGAGATTTCCATATACTGACGGCGGCTCTGTACGGATCTGCTGGGTCCCTGGCCACATGTAAATACCCGAGAATGAAGCAGCTGACCTAGCTGCAAAGAAGGGAGCTTCTATGCCTTCTCTATTAAGCAGGTAATCGTACGCCTCACTAAGACAAAAGGCTAAAACAGATACTATATCTGCCTTACAGAGGCACTAGCAGTCCGCAGCCCCAAAATCCTACCAGGATCTCTGGATCACCTTCTTCCCCTGGCGCCCTGCTGAGCTAAAGCTCCCGAGGCCCCTTCTGGCCCGGATCCTGGCTGCTCATACAGGCCATGGAGACTTTGCAGGCTACCATGAGCGTTTTAACCATGAAACTGCATACCTTCTCTGCCACTGTGGAGCAAGAAATTCCCTAACTCACTTCTTCTTCTACTATATTACAAAGAGACGCCTACCCCGGCCTTCAGGATCTCCCTCCGAAGCAATCCCTTATTTATTAGACATTCCGAAAGGCGCAGTGAAGCTAGCCGCCTGGCTATCTGAGACCCGTTTCTTTGAAGATATCTGCACACGACATCCCCCAACTCAGCAAGTCTGAGAAAGCATCTTCCAAAAATAAAAAAATAAAAAAATAAAAATAAAAAATAAAAATTACCTGAGGAGGCAAGGAAGGTCATGGAGTGATATGAATCTATACGAGACACGTGATCGCCTAGTGGCTTGGCCGGATCACCAACTCTTCAGCCCCTGAAGGCTTTACCTACTAGTAGTTGAAGATGAAAATAAGCAGTCAAGATAGTTGATACAGTCGTCCATAGAATTGAGTATCTATCCGAATGGCATCCGGTCCTCAGTAGGCTACGTACGTGTAGCTGATACAGCAACATTCTGCCCATCTTTCCCCTGAGATCACAACATGGAGTATAGATGGAGCCTTGCAGCTGGCATTACCCCCTTTTTCCCTGCACTGCAGGCCTTTCATCCCGACTGCGGCAGCTATTTAAACGTGCCAAAGTTCCTTGGCTGTATATAGAACTAGAACTAGTGTCACGGGTAAGCCTTAGGCTTAAGGGCCCGATGGCAAGTTGCGATACTACATATACCGCGCCTGGGAAATCAACTCCGATCGGAGTTGATCATAGTGGATCTTTTTACCTAGTGGAAAGATCCTATGTATCGAATTGCTAATCCCAGGAGTAATCCTTTACAACTAGCAGCTAGTTAGACACACCCAGGGCTTACCCCCTAGCGTCCTTTTCCCCAACAGTGGATGGTGGGTCACATGCTTTGGCGGTGAACCACGGCCGTAAAATACAATCAATCAATCAATCAATTTCCCCTCCCATAGTTGAATTTAGTTGGAAATGCTACCATATCTAGCTATCTATCGTGGAACTGCTATCTATGAATGAGCTGTCATCACAAAGAGAGATTCAGTGGATATATAGATTCTCCATACATGCGGAGATCAGATACAGATAGTGCTGGCTCTAGCAGTAAAGTCTTTTGAATTACTTTAATAATAGAAGAGCTTTCTATCAAGAGATTGGCAGCGATAAGTTATATAAGACCTAAGGCAAAAGAGAAGGATCTTATATGTCTTATAGAGTATCGAAATTTAACTATTTTATAGGCAGTAGAGCTGGTTATATATATAGCCTTTTTCTAATACTACAGTATAGAAATTAGAAAGATCCTCACTGTACCAACTCTCTATAAATTCTTATCTTCAAAAATAAAAAGTGGAGTTATAATTTAGCTATCTGCAGCAACATATTCAAGCGCAGTTATATTCTCTGAATGCTCTAATTCAGGAAGATCGGGATATATTTCTTTTATACTGACTATCTTTTGACTCTTGCCATTACCAGGTTAAAAGCTGTATTCATTGAAATTATATACAAGGCGAGCAGAAATATCTTTAAGTTAGTAAATTAATTATACTAGAATTAAAGGTATTTAATCTAATTACTTCTTCTCCTTTGTTTTTTGAACTACTAGACCTAATTTAAGATACAGAGAAAGTCTTTTTGCGAAATGATATACATATAATCTACTGTCATGTATTCTGTATTAACATGCCTTACGGTAAGGTTAGCCCATTCTTCAAGCATTGTAATAGTGATGGGAAGGTGTATATCATGTATATAGGTAACCCAGTGCACTAGAGCAGTCTCCTGATACTGATTAAGGGCCTTGATTTACTGGCTTTTGAGTTGTAAGAGGGCTCTTTATGGTCATGGACACGGCCAAATAAGGTGCGATACAGGATCCCGAGTTCGCGCGCGAATTTTGCGATATTCGGCTTTTTTTCGAGATGAACAGCTTCACAGGCCTCAATTATAAGTTCTTCGCAGATTTTAGATGATTTCGGCATATTGTGTGGTTGTTATAGCTTCATAAAGATAAAAATATGATTATCTATCTGCCTTTCCGCTGAAAATGCCTTACCGCTGCCGACCACCCACCGGCGACAAGGCGGTGGGTAGTCGGTCCGCCACATATATATAGAGGTGATATATGTATATGTACAGCGGAGTACCATGGATCTATTTATCAGCACGTGATAGACTCATGTCAAATCCGATAAGATAGATTCGAAATGATATCGAGCTCGCCACGACAGGCTTACTCCTCTTAACCTTTGTAGTCATATCGTGCGTGTGAGAGGGAGTTACGAGAGGGCGAAGTATGTCTGTTGCGGAGGCCAAGATTTTTTTTCCAGGTAAAATTACTCGCTGAACGTCGTTTCTCTATCCTATAGCTTCTAACTGTTTGCAAACATTCCAGGTGCGGTGCCGGACAACCTGGTTACTGCTCTGGCGCGGAGGTCTTCCAAAGGACTTGACAGTGACGCGACCCCAAACAAGCGTCGCAAGTTGACTTACGGAATTCAGAGCCTTAGAGAGCTGAATGGACTTTCGGATAGTGGAGTGCCTCTAGGCTATATTCCCCTGGCGCGCTTTCATTTGTACATGGTACGCCATTAGCCGATGCGGGTTAGACCTTATTCAAATAGCTCACTGACCTTGTTGGCGAAAGTAGGATTTTGCCCGCGAAAATCCGGTCCAGGATGGATTGGATACATTCATAGAGAGTTCCTCCCAGTTGCCCGTCCTGATCCTAATTGCCAAGCATCCTCGCGCCAGCCCGACTTCGAATGACTGGCTCAAACTAGAGCTGGTCACGACGACGAACCGAGAAACCATCTTTGAATTTGAGTCAGATGATCCACAGCTGCTGATATTGGGAAAGGATCTAGAGCTCGCCCAAAACCTTGTTTGTGCGGATTGCTTCCCCCGGAAGATTCCCGTCGCCTGCTATCAGTCCACTCTATACATTATCCCAGACAGGAAAAGATCTTTCTACCTTGAGACGATTATTTTATGGAAGGACTCTCTGGATATTCTAGGAAACTACCAATTGTTGGGTGAGACACGAAGAGCATTTTCCCGATATGTCCTCCATGAACAACACGGTCTTACTTCGGGGCACAGTCACAGTCAGCCTGGATGGTCCCCCCGTGACTTTTATGATAACGTCTACGTTCCTCCAGACACACCCGGATCATCAGCAGAGGTTACGTGTAGTTTGATAGAGTGTCGGTTATTCCCATTCCAAAGGAGGGCAGTTAGGTGGCTATTGCAGAGGGAAGGCGTAGAACTCCAGGCCGATGGGCAAGTGGTTCCTGTCAAAGATAGATCTAATGGAGGTTTGCCAACTTCATTTAGACAATTTACCGATGCAGATGGACGAGTCTGCTTTGCAAGCCAACTGTTTATGATTGTCTCCACTGACCTCTCGAAATGGTATGACGCAGGTAATCATCTCAGAGGCGGAATACTGGCCGAAGAAATGGGACTTGGCAAAACTGTCGAGATGATTAGTTTAATGTGTCTTAATCGCCGGCTACTAACATACGAAGAAACCTTCGTGGACCGTCAGCATGGTAGCTTGAGACCGTCAGGTGCAACCCTAATAATAACCCCGCCTGCAATTCTTGAACAGTGGGAACAAGAAATCAGACTGCATGCTCCTGGCCTCAGTGTTTTTCACTATACCGGTATCCAGCGTCACCGGTTGTTGTCAGATGACGAATTGGTTGAGTTGCTCGCTGATCAAGATGTCGTGCTTACTACTTATGATGTCCTCTCGCGAGAAGTCTACTATTCCGGCGATGCACCACAGAGAAATCTGCGCCATAAAAAGAGATTTGAACCGAGGAGGACGCCGCTGGTCCGCATTTCTTGGTGGCGAGCTTGTATTGATGAAGCTCAGATGATAGAGAGTGGAGTCAGCAACGCGGCAAGGGTTGCCCGTTTAATTCCTCGTCAGAACGCCTGGGCTGTGACTGGGACACCGCTTCGAAAAGATATAACTGACCTTCTTGGCCTTTTGCTGTTCCTCCATTATGAACCTTTCTGCGGCGTCACTTGGAACAGGTTATGTGGCAGCTTTAGGCCCGAGTTGGCAAATATTGTTCGTAAAATTGCTCTTCGGCATAGTAAGGACCATGTTCGCAGTGAGCTCCATATACCGCCTCAGAAGAGGGTTGTTATCACAATCCCTTTTACAGCAGTGGAGGAACAGCGCTATGGACAGTTATACGAAGAAATGTGCGAAGCATGTGGTCTTGATCCATCGGGAGCTCCTTTGGATGGTGATTGGGACCCCGATGACCCGTTGATAATAGAAAGAATGCGAAGCTGGTTAATAAAACTACGCCGGACTTGCCTCCACCCTGCTGGAAAGCCGCGTCGTGGGTTAGGTACTGGGACTGGGCCTCTGCGCTCTGTGTCTGAAGTGCTTGAAGTCATGGTTGACCAAACAGACGCACTTATACACGCAGAGGAGCGCTCTCTGCTTATGTCTCAATTACGTCGTGGGCAGTTGCTTGAAAATGCAAAGCACCGGCAGCAGGCACTTGAACTCTGGACAAAGTCATTAAAACGGGCTAGTGCAATTGTCAAGGAATGTCGGGATCGGTTGCACTTAGAACGCATTAAACGCCGGATGAGTGCCATTGATGCAGATCAAGATGCAGCATCTGTTGACACGACAAGTGAAGATGAGGGTGAAGAGGCAGCTAAGAATACTCGAGTCGTTGCACGTCAGAGGCTGCGTGCTGCTCTTGAGATTCAACACATCTGTGTGTTCTTTACCGGAAATGCGTATTATCAAATAAAGACAGACCCTAAACTCACTGCGCCTGATTCAGAGGAATACAAATTCCTCGAGGAACGTGAAATACAGGCGTACGAAACTGCAAAGTTGATTCGAAAAGAGATGTTGACCGACATTTCACGGAAGGCCGGTCATCTCATGAAAGTGATTAGAGAACGGTCGCAAAAGAATCAATTTTCGCACATCCCTAAAATGAAGCCCCAGATATATAGTAAGGGAATTGAATCTCACCGCGTACTTGACAAGCTTGAAGCTTTCTGTGATGCTATGAACAAGCATGCTGTCCAGTACGATGAATGGCGTCAGATCATGATCAAATTGCTTTCCCAGTCGCTCATTGACCAAGAGGATGAAGCAGAGTTGGAAGGCGACGAGTATGAAAAATCTACGAAGCATCAAGATGAGATGTACGTTTATATGGAGGCCTTACGTGCAATGTTCGCCGATCGCCACGATGCTTTGACTGGGCAGAAGAATGTCCTCATTGCCCATGAAATCAAGAGCGGGATTGTCCAGGCACAGAGAGGAGAAGGGCCTTCCCCGAATCTCTTTCTACAGATGGTAAACACTCGTAGTAGTGTCAAGCCTGACTGTCAGCTAGGCTCGCTTCGCGGCATTATTAGCGAGCTTCGAAGTCTTGCCACTTCTCTTGAGTGGCAGGCGAACGGAGGAAGCCCTCGAGCCCGTGCCGAACTCGAAATTGTATCCTTAGTTCTTCAAAATGCGAGTCAGATGGCTTCTGAGCAAGGTAAAGTTGCGGCAAACATGGAGAGGGAAGTGGAAATGTTTCGAGATACTATGAACAATCGACTCGAATACTATCGCCAGCTGCAACAAATCTCCGACACTGTGGCACCTTATGATGAAGAAAGCGCTGGTAAATCCCTGGATGAGATGCTTTTCTCTTCCAAGCTCGAGCAAGAGGAAGCAATAGATGAGAAGATCTCAGCATTGAGAGCAAAGCGCCGTTACCTTATTCACCTACGCGACGAGTCTGGCTCTGACGACTCGTCAAAAATATGTGTCATCTGCCAATCTAGCTTCGAAGTTGGTGAGTGCCGATGGTATCATCAGACACCCGTTATTAGAATCGCTGACAACATCTAGGTGTTCTGACTGTTTGTGGCCACAAGTATTGCAAGGATTGCTTGCGCATGTGGTGGCATCAACACAGAACTTGTCCAACGTGCAAAAAGCGCCTGAAAGCCAATGACTTCTATCAAATTACATACAAGCCGCAGGAGTTTGTTGTGCAGGAGGAGAAGCCGCAAACTAGGATTGAGCCCGAACGTCCCCCCAAAAACTCATTATATACTGATATCGGCTCCGGCACTCTCAGAGAAATTAAAAACATTGATCTGGATGGTTCATTCAGCACTAAGATTGATACACTAGCACGTCATGTACTATGGCTGCGCCACCATGACCCTGGTGCTAAATCGGTGATCTTTTCGCAATATAAGGACTTCTTAGAGGTTCTAGCCATTGCATTCTATCGATTTAAGATTGGCTTTAGCAGTGTTGATGGCAAAGATGGTATATCAAAGTTCAAGCGCGACCCATCGGTAAGCCTTCCAGTCTCATATTTTCAAGTATCTCGTCAAAGTACTCTACTTAACTGTATCATCGCTAGGTTGAATGTTTTCTCCTGCACGCAAAGGCGCATTCGTCAGGACTCAATCTGGTGAACGCAACCCACGTTTTCCTTTGCGAGCCTCTCATCAACACTGCAATCGAGCTTCAGGCAATCGCTCGTGTACACCGAATTGGTCAGCATCGACCAACCACCGTTTGGATGTATCTAGTCTCTGGTACCGTCGAGGAATCGATTTACGACCTTTCCGTATCACGTCGCCTAGCCCATATTATACAGAAGGAGAAAGCAGAACAGCCATTTAAAGATGGGAAAAACGCGGTAATGAACCTTACCGAATCGGCAATAGACTCGGCGAACTCCTTGGAAATTCAAGATGCAGCACTGTCTAGGTTAATGGTTGGGGGAGCATCCGGAGGTGAACTTGTCAAAAAGGATGATTTGTGGCAGTGCCTTTTTGGCAATTCAGGAAAGGAAGCCAACGGTTTCCGGGCAGGTGCCGGTGGAGAAGTAGCAAGGTTCTTAAGAGAGGATGCAGCAGAACAGCGAAGAGCTGCATAACGAACCTGGTACGGTTCATTTGATTAGGGCAATCTTGGTAATGTCACATCGATCCTCGTGTAAGATGCCATAGCATATAACTATACATACGGAGTATGTACAATCGGAGTACTATTGGTACAGAAGTAAAACCAATGGGAATCTCGTTAGTATTGGAAGCCTCGGCTCATAATCATCATTACAATACTGAGTGTAACCTTGCATACGGAATGTAACGTATTCGGTAAGCGACCCGTACACTACTAGCATTTACAACGCGCCTCAATTTCTTCGATGATTTAGACCTCATCTATATTACCAAAAATGCCGAAATCATCAAGCTCACGCATTGAGGAAGAAGGCAGGGTCCTTCTGGCTATTTCAGCCATAAAAGATCATGAAATTAGCAGCCTTAGAAAGGCAGCTGAGGTTTTTAATACACCTCTCACTACACTAGATGATCGTCTAAAGGAGCTTCTTTTAAAGTACTCGAGCGAGTAGTCATAAATTGACTACTAGTGAAGAGGAGTCACTTAAACAGTGGATTATATCACTAGATAAGCGTGGAGTACCTCCTCGGCCTGCATACGTATGAGAAATGGCCAATATCTTACTTTCCAATCGAGATACTACTTCTATTACTGTAGGAGAGAAGTGGGTATATAACTTTACCAAGCGTACGCCTAAGTTAAAAACATGCTTTGTACGCCGCTTTCGCTATAAACGTGCTAAAGCCGAGGATCCTAAGACTCTAGGTGCTTGGTTTACGCAGGTAAATGAAGTTATTCAGCACTATGGTATAGCCTCAAGTGATATCTACAATTTTGATGAAACGGGCTTGCAATGGGTCTAATAGCTGCTGCTAAAGTGGTTGTTAGGTCTGATACACACAAGGCAAGCCATTTTTTATACAGCTAGGGAGCTGAGAATGGGTCACTTCCATAGAATGTATTAGTTCTAATGGATGGGCTCTACCTCCCTGTATTATTTTTAAAGGTAAGGTGTATATGGAGGCCTGGTCTAAGAAAGGAAATATACCACCTGATTTGAGAATCAAACGAAGCCCTAATGCCTGTAGGAACAATGAAATAGGCCTACGCTGGTTGCAGAATCATTTTATACCTGCTACTACAGGCCGATCTGTGGAACGATATCGTCTGCTTATTTTAGATGGCTATGATAGTCATCTAACGCCTGAGTTTGATCAAACATGCTCAGAGAATGACAATCTGCATGCCTACCTATGCTCCCCATAAGCTTCAACCGCTTGATGTTGCTCGTTTTGCGCCTTTAAAAGGTGCGTACGGGTCCTTGATTGAATCCCAAGTACGCTGTGAATATAATCATATTGATAAAGTTGATTTTTTTTGGAAGTCTAATGTTGAGGCTCATACGCAGGCCTTTACCAGCAGCAATATCTATAGCACTTTTAGAGCAACTGGCTTAGTTCCTCCAAATCCTGGGCGCGTTCTTTCTCAGTTGACAGTTCAACTAAATACTGCAACACCTCCGGGCAGTAGGCCAAGCAGCCAAGACATTTCAGCACCTAGAACGCCTCATACATTCAAGCAATCGAAAAAATCAGAATCTACATTGAAAACGCTGCTTAAAATCCGATCCCAAAGTCCTACTTCGCCTGTGAAAAATAGCCTAAATCAGTTGATTAAAGGTGCTGAACGAGCTTTAAATGATGTGGCAATTTTAAAGCAGCAAATTGAGCAATATCAGGCCGCACATGCAAGCACGTTAAAAGGCAGAAACACTCTACTAAGCGGATTGCTTTAGAAGCAGGCATATCAGTACAGGAGGCCCGAAACCTAATAGAACACAGAAAACATACAGATGAAGCTATACAGACAGATAGTGCCTTACCTACTGAATCACGCCCTAAACGCGCGCCTCCTAGGTGCTCTGGTTGTTATATACAGGGACATAAAACTACGAACTGTCCGAATCGATAGAACCACTCATTTTTCTATAGAAATATAAATTGATGATGTTTTGATTATTTTAAATTTTTAATATGGCGGGTGGTGTACGGGTCGCTTACCGAACAGGTTACAGGTCGGATGGCACCGTTCTAGAGGTGAGACGCCGCGCTAGTAAATCACATGACCTATTTTACTGTTTCCTCGGTATATAATACAAAGGATTAATTACCCTGTGGATAACCTTTTCGACTTTCTAACCATATAATTTAATTATAAGTACTTGGTAAGTACTTTCTAACTGATTATTAGCCACTTATTCAATTCTTATATTTAACATTCTGCCTCAAGTAATTAGTAGCTAGCTAAGAAAATATAAGAAAAAGCTATATAATTATCTCTTAAATATATTTAAAAATTAGCTTAGCTGTATTAGTTAAACAAAATTATTTTGTTCCCAAGTGATTATAAATCAGTTGAGAAGTACTTGAACGGTAGATAATTGAAATCAAATTTCACGGTATATAGTACTGTATTTAAAAGCTGAGGTGCTCCGCCCTTACTGCCAAGACCAGTAAGGCCGGCTTGCGGCTTCTCTGAAGCGGCACCTGACCTGTGGTACTCCTTACCCCGAATACGTTAGTTATGTACTTGTACTATGACTAATCCAATGGCTCAGTTCCCGATCAGGAAAGGAGCTTAATGCTGGCCTCAGGACCGTAACTGACGTGAGTGTCTCTGCCTGGGACAGGCGTGTGGGGTACAGTGCATAAAGAACCTCAACCAACACTACTGCTCAAACGACTTTTTGTGTCAATGCTCGGGGTCGGTTATCTTTATCCAGATATAAATTGTTTCCGCTATGGCTTCACAGACTACGCCAGCAAGTTCCGAGGCGCGCGAGCTGAGTTTAATCTCCAACGTCGAGTTCAGAATCGCGTTGGCGGATACAGACGAGAAACTTGATGCTTTACTCAATAAATATTTGGCACCTTTATTGCTGAAATTGGGCTCTGAGAGCCTTGCGGTCCGCAATAAAGTGATTGCAGTGTGCCAGCATATCAATAACAGAGTGCAAGCTCCGTCTATTAATCTTCCAGTAGCAGCTTTGCTGAAGCAATTCAAGGAGCAAAAGTCCCAGCTCATTAGGCACTTTGATTTAATTTATATTCAACAAGGCATTGATCGTTTGGGTGTCCATGCAAGAATCGAAGTTTTACTTCCATTGCTTCAAGGGATCTCCGAGATTGGAACATCGACCGACCAAGCAGCTGTTGTGTTTAACCTTGTCCTACGACTTCTACCTTTATTAAAGCTTCCCCCTAAGGATAGCACGGAAGATGTGCGACTAAAATCTCGGCTAGGCCTCTCTGACCAAGACACCAAGTTCTTGTCTTCATGGTTCGAAAAATTGCTGATTCTCTTCCCCGCGGATAAAAATGCGACTGCTTGTCCAGGAGTATCACCAGCAGATTATCTATTCCTCAACAAGGGTGCGCCTGTACTCGAAACATGGAACCCTTCCTCAAAGGGGGGGTTGAATCTCATCGAGACCAAAGCCACCGCTTTAAGATTTCTTAGTAGCGGGGCTTTCACAGACTCGGAGCGTTTTTTCCCTGCTCTGGTGGCATCTGCAGACCCAAATTCCCGTCTGGCTGACCTTGGGGAGGAAATCTTAAAACGCTTTATGCCAGCTCTTGAAGATACAGATGTTGTACAGCGACTGTATAGCTTATACTTCGGCTCCGTGGCCTCGGAAGGCGCTACCCCGGCACGACCTGCGCTACAGATCAAGATCCTAGTTTACTTAGGAAAGTCAATCAGAGCTACGATGGAAACGGCTAATGTACTTCGTCTGATTGAAGAGGGTCTTCTATCAGACGCTGCAAGGTCCTCACAAGGATTGCAGGCGTCGAAATTGCGAACTCAGATTTTCAATTTTACTACATGGGTGGTTCGCATGGGGTCTCCCTCAGATCTTAAACAAATGGCGCCAAAGATTATCGCGGGCCTACGAGACTTTATCCACTCCCAAGGATGGCCCAATCCAGGGACTAGTGGGCAGAGGCTGCCGGCAACAGATCTAAGCTTACGAGGACTTGCTTACGAGAGTATCGGTATGCTGGCGCCCAAGGTTGATTTCCAAACACAAGGCGACCAGGAAATACCCTCGGGCTTTGAGCTCATCAGATGGCTATTCATATCATTAAGCTCTGACGATTCTAGCACTCAAATTTTTGTGAGCATTGAACAGGCACTGGGAAGCATTCTTAACTCCTCTGTGGATAGCTGGGACAAGAGGTTTCAAGAAAATTTGCGGTCTCTTTTACTTCGCCAGATGAGCAACCATCCTGGGGAAGAGGACTCTTTCACGCGATTCAAGATCGTTCGCCGAACCCAGTATGCTGCTGTACGTTTCTCTAATAGGTTCTTGCCATACAGCGATGTTGTAGCTCGCTGGATCAATCTCATGGCTGTGGCATGCGGCTCGGAGAGACATCAGGAAGTTGTAGAAGAAGGCAAGAAAGGGTTGCATCCTTACTGGTATCGACTACTGAATCCTACTAAAGACAAAAAATGGTTTATATCTGTGACAGATGAGTCGCGCTCTTCGTGGTTCAGATTTCCGGGTTTCTCAGAGGCAACGCATTTTCTTCTCGGTTCGACTGCTTCCACAACTGTGCCAGGTCTTTCTGCAGCAGAGATATTGTCAGGTCCCTATAAAGACGCATTCGACTACACCATCACTTTTCTTCGCGACATTTTACTATGGGAATCACTCTCGGAGGCGGGTATGTGCACGGAAATAGAGCAAGACTGGGATGTCAAACTGAATATACTCCTTACATCTGACGAACAAGCGCGGTGCGCCGTGAAACACTACATCAAAAGATCCGACAAAGAAGCTGTGCTAATGTTTCTGACAAGTGCTTTGTCCGGTCTTAGTAGCGGGTCCCGAAAAGACTTACGGCAGTGCGGAGAGAATTTCATTGGTATTTGCTCCTTGGCTTCGAATGACATAGTTGGAGTTATGGTATCGGAGGTTGTCGCTGTGAAAAACGCCCTTCAGACCAACGATCAAGAACTTCAGACCGTGGCCGCACGCGCACTTGGAATTTTGGCCTCTCATCCTGCACTTCCAGAAATCGATCTAAGTAATCTTCTTTCGGAGCTCTCAAGTCTCATAGGGCCTTGGAATTCTGCAATTGGCGAAGCCGTGCTTAAGATCCGGGGCGCAATCCTTGCGCTCTCATATATCCTGAGTCGACTAGCTTTCCGCGGCGCTATACACAAAGTTCCGCGGACAACAACCAGCCAGTTCATTGGCACAGTCTTTGACATAACTGAGAATGCACGTGAAAAGTTGCTTCGACGGTCCGCACAAGTAGCCATCGGGCAGCTAAGTCTCTCTGGGGTTCTCTCGTCGACGATGTTTCCAAGCGATAAATGGGTGATAATCAAGGATAGGTTGAGACCAGATGCAAAGGCTGAGAGTGAAGCAGCGATCACAGCAATGGGGCTCTTATCATTGTCGTTCTCAAAGATTGACCACAAAGACCCGCAGTTCAATAACCTATTGAATTCCTTGTATGATCTGCATGAAATCCGTAGTCCAGAAGCCCACTTTACTGTCGGCGAGGCATTGAGCAGTGCTGCAGCGGGATGGGCCTCCAAATCTCTAGCCTCGGAATTTGACGTTGACGAAAATTTCCCAGGGTTAGAAGTCCCGGACACTGTGCTCGCCGACATATGCGAAAAAATTATATCCGATTGCGGAGCATCAAAGCCTTCTTTAAGGAAAGCGTCCTCCATTTGGTTACTGTGTCTAGTGAGGAACTGCGGCCACCTACAACAAATCCAGATCCGCCTACGTAAATGCCAAAGGACATTCACAAACTTGCTTGCGGATCGAGATGAGGTGGTGCAGGAAACCGGGGCTCAGGGTCTAAGTCTTGTGTACGATATTGGTGATCCAATCCTGAAGGATGACTTGGTGCGCGACCTGGTGGACTCCTTCACAGCAACTGGCTCGAATCTTAGGGGTGGCAAGGTCGATGAGAGCACCGAACTCTTTGAGCCAGGTGCTCTACCAACTGGAGGTGGATCATCAGTCAACACTTATAAAGATATTATGAACCTAGCTTCCGAAGCTGGTGACCCCACGCTTGTGTACCGTTTTATGTCACTCGCTTCGAATAATGCCCTTTGGACCAATCGTGCAGCATTCAGCAAATTAGGCATTAGTACCATATTCTCCGACTCTGGGGTCAATGGTTACCTGGCCAAGAATCCCAAAATCTACCCGAAATTGTTTCGCTACCGGTTTGATCCGAACCCAAATGTGCAGCGGTCCATGAACACAATTTGGCAGGCGTTAGTAAAGGATCCTACTGGAATCATCAATACTCATTTTGATGAGATTATGGATGATCTGCTGAAAAGCATGATGGCCGGTCGGGAGTGGCGAGTTCGACAGGCAAGTTGTGCTGCTATCTCGGACTTAATCCAAGGGCGCCAGCCAGAGAAATACTCCAAATATATGGAGGAAATTTTTACGAAAACTTTCAAACTTGTGGATGATATCAAGGAGACCGTCCGAGCAGCAGCCTTAAAGCTTTGCCAGACAATAATTAACGCAGCGATTCGCACCTTGGAAACAAGTGATGGTGAGACAGAACGAGCAGGTATGATGCTAGCAAGCACTATTCCATTTTTGCTGAGCGACAAGGGTATGGAATCAGGCGTCCAAGAGGTTCAAGGATTCGCTATTGGAGCTTTGATCCAAATGATCAAGAAAAGTCCGGGTGCGCCATTGCGCCCATTCGTTCCCCGCGTGGTGGAGCAGTTCTTGAACTCTCTTAGTTCGCTAGAGCCACAAGCAGTCAATTATGTCCATCTCAATGCAGATAAGTATGGATTGACGGGGCAAGAAATCGATAAAATGAGGCTATCTAGTATACGCACATCGCCCATGATGGAAGTTATTGAGCGGTACTTGATAAATATACTTGACGAAACCAGCATGAAGGAAATGGCTGTGAAGCTGACAGGTGTGCTCCGCTCTGCAGTTGGGCTACCTACCAAAGTGGGCTGTAGTCGTGTACTGGTTCTACTGAGCATGCGAATAGTCCTGTTTCGTCCTTACGCGGATCATTTTATCCAGCTTCTTGGGAAATACGTCGTGGACCGCAATGAAACAGTCAGTGCGTCTTATTGTACATCTATAGGCTACCTCATGCGGTTAGCCTCAGATGACCGAGTCCTGAAAATGATTGAGCACGCGAAATCTCTGTATCTGACGGCAGAAGATGCCAAACAGCGACTCATCGCAGCGGAAATCCTTCATTCAACATCCAAGTTGTCTAATGACCGTTTCATAACATTTGCTGCTACTGCTCTGCCTTTCATATTCATTTCAAAATATGATACTGACGAATACGTCCGAGAATCATTCGAGAAGACCTGGCAAGACAATGTGGGCGGTAACCGTGCAGTATCGCTATATATCAAAGAAATCACCAGCCTTGCCTCTGATAATCTAGATTCTCCTCGTTGGGCCATCAAGCATACTGCAGCATTGGGATTCGCAAATGGGATCATGGCACTAGAGTCCGAAATCGATCTTGCTACTAGCGAGTATCTATGGCCTGTTCTGGAAAAGGCCTTAAGTGGAAAAACATGGGATGGAAAAGAAGTTGTGGTGAAAGCTTTTATGAAATTCGCCAGCCAAGCAAAAAGACTTTGGCTGGAGAAGCCTCAAGCTAGTGACACAATGAAGGTATGTGCTTTTATGTTTTCTGTTCCCCCAGTCTCACAAATAGGTTTGACCTAATGCGCTTACCGACCGGTCAGGCCATAGCAATCAGAGAAGCCAAACGGATAAACCCAGCATATCGTCCGCATGCCATCACTGCTTTTGGCGGGATCGCTCAAGTGCGCAAAGATCTCACTTTAATGTCAGATGCCGTTAACATTGTGTCCCGAGCGCTAAGCGCCCTTGACGAAGAGGACGACCAAATGGAGATTGACTCTGGCAGTGGTTATAAGAATAAGTACTGTTTAGACATTCTAATCAATGTTCTGCGACTGACTGGCCATTAATTAGGCAATCCATGGAGGATACCTTGGTTGCTTGTGTCAAATGCCTCTTGCAATGTATCAATCTAACAACCGATGCGTCAGCCCAAGGTGAGTCGATTATCCCTCTTTCTTCCAGTATATTGATTTTGCTGACTAAATACTCAGTCATCAATGATTATGTGTCAGAGATAAAGCGGCTTATACTCAAAATTCTGAGTCGTGGGGGCAGGAACGTGCAGCTTACGCTGTACGAGGAACTCCGCATGTTCTTCAGTAGGGTAGCAACATGGGCTTCAGCGTCACATAGCGAGGATAAGCTGCGTGAAATCCAGAAGCCTTTGACGAGTCTGGCAGGGGAAATGTTTTCTCGCGAGATAGATGGGTCTGCTGAAGCAATCAGAAGAGAACGTGCGCAGGCGGCGGCTTCATATATCGCGCTTTGCAAACAAACCGGACTTGAGATCAGTGAGGACCTGTCCAGGTTGTTTAAGACATGGAGGGAAGGCGAAAGGTCCGGGCCGGTGCAGCAAATCCTAGATCAAGCACTGGCAAAACTCATACAATAAAGCCTGAGCTATGAATACGAATTAGGGTCTTAGGGTTCAGAACATCCGAAAGGGCAACAACATCAACAGCTGGTAGCATCAACCTATCAGAGTAGGCTCAAAAGTGGCCGCTACATAGTAGTGCCTAAAATACCAGGAACGCGTAAATTCCATAGCGCATTGATGTAGTTCGAGGAGTCCGTTTCCGATCAAGATTAGTTGGACGCCTGTACGAGTAATTGGCTTGGCTACGAGCTGTAGTACATAGAACGGTAGAGCCTGCCAGTCAATCGTACTACTGAGAAGGTAGTTATCGTGTTTCCCCCCCCCCCTTTTTTTCCCCTCCCTCGCTTAGAGGTGGGGTATATTAGTATATTAAAATCGCTAAGCTGCCAGTATCTTGTTTGCTCAAAAGGACCAAGCACCTGGGAAGAAGATCCAGACCGGCCCAGGCGCAAGTCTTGAGGGCCCGGGAATCCCGCAACTGGTGAGATTTACTTCTGAGTGGTCGACGAGTATTCATGCCTTTGTGCCTATAGCGTTAGCGTCATCTCTTAGTCTTCCTTTTCACATACTTATTTATTGGTACTGAAAGTGAGAAAGTGGGTTAGGAAGTCAGCGAAATTTTCTTGTGGCTGCGCTGTTCGGGTCTCACTGGATTAAATATTTGAATAAAGTTCCGCTTCAGGGATCAGGGTCATGGATGACCTAAAACCTACCCAACTGCCGGATCATTACCAGCTGCTATTCTAGTCCTAGGGGTAGTAAATAGAAAGTCTGCAGTAATATAATAAACAATAGTAATGCTACTCCTAAGTAAGTATTCTCCCCCTCCCCTTTCCGAGGGGAAAATCGCTTTTCTTTACTTGATTCGGTCAGTCGACTTGATCTAGACTATACATACTATACATACTATACTAAGCTATATATTATTTCAGTTTCAATTGGCACTGTGGGTCACCTGAGTTTGGCACTCAAGCATCGCATTTGCCGTGATCATTTATTACAATCCCATCTCCACATGGTTGGCATGTCCTGTTGGCACTAATTCTAGGAGTGCCCAAGCTACCCGCTGTCATCCAATCCTTCATGGGCAAACAAACAATGGCCTGTCTAGATGGAACGACCTTCCGATTTGCCTCCCAATAGCTGTAAAGTACTTGAAGACCGCCACCACCACAAGGCTGGCTGATGGAGGAGTCCTGTCTCTTGTATCCTAGAGCCTGTACTATAATTATTGTCTTCTGTTCCCCTTCCTTCTGCTACTAGTGATCGGGTGTCAAAAATGTAGGTACCATCCATTTTTCTAGCTTCGATCTACTCGGCGTTCTACTCCCGGCTCCATTCTCATTATATCACATTGTCGCTATCGCCCCTCAATTCCTTCAAGCTCGCCTTGAACTGAGCTTTTTCGATAGCTGAACGGCGGTTTCCACCGGTGGCATCCGTCACAATATACCAAGTTTAAGCCCCAAAAGGTTGGAAATTCCGCTTTTATCTTCCACGAGCCCGGGGCTGACGTGCACTTTATAGTTTTTCAATTTGCCATAATGACTGCCATAAACTTAGTCCGGTCGAACAAACGGGGCAGTGCATCGAGGAAACGCCCTTTGTGGCTGCCCATTATCGCCCCTAAAGATACAGCATCGGGTTCTAGCTTCAATCCCCCGATACCTGTAAAGACTTCAACTCCACGGTCTCACGCACGGTTTCCCCCAAGGTCTCGAACTGGCTGCTGGTGCGTTCTTTGCCCTGGGTAGATACATTGTTTGTCGAATATCTTTTGTGGAATATCTCGCTCACCTTTCTTCTAGGACATGTAGAGTACGCCAATGCTTCCCTATCTCATTTCTATTCGAGTATGCTGACTTGTTTATTGTGAGTGCATTAGGGCCGCAAAGGTGAGATGGCCCAGGAATCTCCGATGATAAAGGGGCCTATGTTTGATTATAATAACTTAATAAATATACAGTCAAGTGTGACGAGAGGCATCCTCGGTGTAATGTACAACAAGGCGCTTTTTATTTAGACTATGAAATCACGAGCTGACTCACACTGAGCAAGCAATGTACTCGTCTCGGTCATGATTGTGACTACCGACCCCGTTTATCGTTTAGAGACGACACGCGCCGGGTTATCGAGCGAATGTCAGACGTGGAGACAGGAGGCAATGTTGTTTGGGACCGTGAGAATCCATCCATCTTCCTCGCGTAATTTTGAAACTTACTATCATGCTCAATACCGATAGCTCATATGCTTAGCGCTTTGAAAGCTCCTTCTGCAGACTTAGGAATACCTGATCTGCTGCCGTCTTTTGCTGCACTCACGTCTGATGAGGAACGAGAAAGAAAAGCCCGATATTCCATCCCAGGCACCTACACCGTTATGATGATACCGGAGAGCTTCCATCTCCCCGAACTTGCCAAAGAAAGTCTCGAGGAACCATGCAGGAATATAACTTCAAATTCTTTGCTAGAGAGTGGTCAAAGTAGCCACTCGGAAGTGTACGATCCAAACGTGATTATTCTCAAAACATTTCCTGACACTAAGAAATATCTATGTTCACACCGCAGGGGATCCACTCAAACGCTGGATTCTGAATCACAAGGCTCACCATCTATAATTTCAGTATCTTTGGTTGTTCCGAATGCTACTGATGGTAATAATGCACATGGACATACTAAGCTGACAGGCTACGAAACTGCATTACTCGATCATTTCCGTAACGTAGTCTGGCCAAAACTGGCCCCTCCGATGATCTGGGTGTTTGATCACTCAAACGGCCACATACTGAGTGCTGATGTTTTTGAGCAAGAAGCTAATACTTTCCCTTCTGTATGCCACACATCCCTAGGGGCTTTTTCCTGTACATAATAGCTAATTATTTTATTAACAGCTTTCCCAGACGATGATGGCCCTATCTGCCCTTAGCCTAGCTCGTCAAGGTAGCGATCTAAATATGGTCGCAATGAATCGCACCCATCAGGATTACCCGCTCTCACAAAATGTCCTCCATCGCAGCGAGGATCTCTTATCCGATGGAGTTTTTCTTACCCAATTTCTGCTACTTGTCTATGAGGTAAGCTTTTTGGAAGTTTGCAGGTCTGCGATCGTAAGGGACAGAAAAGCTTACTCACTTCTATGCAGATCATGGCAGCCAAACTAAATGAGCCAGTTCTCTGGTCTCACCATATATCTCGACTGCTCGAGATAACTCTCCTGAGGCAATCAGCCATTGGGGTTGAGCGATATCCGTTCCTCATCTGGTGGGTTTGCAATATCGATATGTATGCCCTTTTCAGCGGCGCAGGAACAGGAGAATATGTCAGAACAGTCATAGAAAGCGATCTGCTCCCCGGACCCGAGTCTATCCTGTCCTCTATAGCCTCTAGTGGCCCTGGTGCGATAGATTCGCTTGAGCTCAATATTTTTACCTTTATGCTTCGCCTGTATAAAGACGTTTTCTCGCTAGCTGTCCGGTTGGCACTCAAGATTTCGGAGATGAAGAATCTAAGTTCAACGTACACACAAACGCCTACCGGTCTACAGCAACAAGCTGCCGAGTTATATGGGGAGCTCAAGCGACTCTGGGAATCTCCTGATGTTCTCTTCTGGAATGAGAACCGAAGCAGGCTCTCAAAGAAACTGCAAAACATTCTAGAGCAGGTTAGTTAATATTTCGTTACCACCACTTCATCCATGCCTAAAGCTAAAAATAGCCTTCAGGCCCATTTACTCTTCCATACCTCACTTCTCTTCTACTTCACTAGCATGTGGCCTAGACAGAATATTGGCCTAGAGGTTTTCCCCGAGAGAAAAGTGCACCATCATGCAACAATGGTTTTGCAACACGCAGAATCCATGATTTGTAAAAGCCAAGGAAACCATTTCATGACATTCCCCTTGTTCTTGGCGGGAGCTGCGGCGGGTTCGAGTGACCTCAAGGTAAAGGCATGGGAACTACTTTCAAACCTGGAAGAAAGTGAGATAGGATACAATGTATCTACGACATGTTATATACTCCAGCTCGTGTATGAGCGCCAAATGCAGCAATCCAGAAACGGTGGCGCGTCATTCCTGGAGGTTGACTGGGTTGAACTCTTAGCTGAACGTGGTTATCGGTTAGTCAGTTTCCTGTGAGAAGGGCCATTCAACAGATATATTTATTTATATATATATCTATTCTGTCTATCTATATATTCTGCCGTAAATGTCTCTTTTGAGACGGTATGACTTTGAATTATACTGCAGAGTCTAGTATCCATGTGGTGAGTCGGTGACCCATGGAATTATGTCGGCTGCGGGCCGATCCTGCAATTGATTGAACGTTGCAGTGCATGGCTCATGTAAATGCTATTACTAGTTATCCCAAGTGGCGCCCCTGTCGGTCCAATAATGAGCGCTGAGCGACTAGTCTAGAACTCCTCGGCGGTTACGGTGCACGATGGGATCACTAGAGGACTTAGAAAGAAGTTGCCTATTTTCCATGATAAAAAGGAGGGGGAGGGAAAGAAAAAAGAGAGGAATTTTTAAAGAAATTCCTATATTTTCTACTCTCGCTCCCCTTTTATTTTATCTTATTCTTCTGTTCTCGCATTTGTGAACAGGGCGTTGTAGTTGCTTAGGGGTTCCCCCAATCAAATGCACCGGTGGTCTCCTTTCCCCCGCATCTCGACTGTATGTCCTTTTCTTCAAGACCCCTCACCAACTCACTCTTGTTGCCTTTGAACATGATTGACATCTTCATCCGATTTGGTAGCAGTCTAACGTTTTCCTCCAACTTGGGTGGGGAACAAACAAGCGTCTGACATAGGCTATCCTTACACCTAGCCATAATGAATCCTAGCAAGAACCGTCAGGGCAATCATTCGGAGGAGTTGTTCATTAATACGGGACGATCGCCGGCCGAATCGCCTGCTGTTGGACCGTTACGAATTAACAAGAGAGACACACCTTCACCTGCACCACAAGGTGCTTCTCGTCCATACCCCGATGACCGACCAAACCCTCAGAGAATGCGCGGTTCAAGTACCAGCCGTTCAAGCCCCACGGTGGACGGTGGACGTACAGCCGGCTCACCTATGCATACAGATAGCCTATTCACAATGCCAGCTACCACCGGCCCATCCAAATCGGACTATCCTGCAGCTTTGCGGCCGCGTGATGGTCGCGAGCCAAAACCTGCTACTCTAGCGGAGCGACGAGGCAATGTCCCCAAGCCCCTGCCTGAGTCGCCCGCGGGTGACTCTCCGGATAGAGATGGGCTGCTTTCAACGCGATACCAGCGAGCTCCTGTCCCTCCAGCTCCTGTAGGCGGCTCCCAGATTGATGGGGCTGTTCATCCGAGTTACCGTCAACAGTATTACCCACCTCCCCAGCTCGTAACCTCATCAGGTCCTCTAGTGAGACCGTCAACGGCACAAAGCCAACAGCATCCCAGCAGTGCAATAAATCGTATCAGCTCAACAGCATCAACGTCGACAACTCGTGCCCAGCGGGGCTCTCCTCCCCCCCCAGAAACCCCAATCGGTGAACCAGGCCAACAGCCAGCATCTGACATCGAGGCCAGGTATGCTGCTTCTGGAATTGCTGGTACCTCAACTCTAGCAGGCTTGCATTCGCAGAGCTCTGCCGCTCAAAGAAGAGCTGAGCAGTATGCAAGCCAACAAACAAGCAATCAGCCTCCAATTCAGCGGCCATGGACGCCGACGGAGCAGCCAGGGAGCCAACCCCATGGGCCTCCAATGGTATATCAAGGCGCAGAAGCTGTATCCACGGAGAATCCTCCGGCAAATTCTTTTCCGCCTCAATCTGCATCGAATTTATCGCAAGCAGCGCAGCATCCAAGAATCCCATCAAATGCTCTAGAACAAGATCTAGAGAGGATGCGCATAAGCTCTTCACCCCCTCCCGCGTACTCGAGTGTACCCGGCCCGGTCGCTTCCCAAGTATATCCTAATGAAAAACAACGTCAGACATCCCCGGGCCATCCAGCTTCCTCAGCAGTGCATCCCGCCACTATGGCACCCATGAACGCGGCCCCGACGTCTGCGGCACCCGAAGTTTCGGCTCAGAACCACCCAGCATTCGCGAATGACTTAAGGCAAGAACAGTCGTCGGAACAAAGTCTGCAGAATACCATGCAGCCTGGGGCCCCGAATGGATACCAACAGACAATTCAAGAAACTCAAGTTACTGCGTTGCCCGCCACTTCGGGAATACCACCGGCCTCTCCCCCACCACTTCCTGAAGGTTGGATAGCCCATATGGACCCAAACTCAAGTCAGTACTATTATATTCACCTTCCAACTCAGTCGACCCAGTGGGAATTCCCCAAAGGACCAACGCCATTGAACCTCAACGAGACTCCTTTGTCCCCAGTAGGGAGCGTATATAGCAGCCATCCTCTGGCTTCGCCAGGATTGTCAGCCTTTGTTAAGCCGCTGGCGTCCCCCGGGATCCCTCTGACTCCTGGATATGAGAATTTGCAGTCACCCGTCGTCGTAGGGTTTACCGGTCCTCCACCAAATAGTGGTGTGGACTTATACAAAACTGCTCCAACAAATGGTGTTTATTTTGGTCCGTACCTTCGCTATAGCAATATGGACCTGGAGCGCGGTATTTGGTTAGGCTCTATTCTCTTAGTTACCGATGCCGCGCAGCCCCCAACGATCCATCTCCATCAGAGTGTTGATCTGTCACCAAACCCGCACCAACTGAAAGCATCCGCTATCGCCACTCATCAGCGGTGGACCTTCTACAAGTACGACATTAGCTTACAGATGGAAGAATCCGGTCCTGCAAAATGGACCTACGCAATTACGTCGCATCTAGGCTGCACGCGCTACGAGTTCTTGGTCGCTGGACGATATGAAACTAACTGGCGCTTTATCACAACCTCAGGAAATGACTTCTCCCTCAACGTAAACGCAAATGAGCGATCTCGTCTTGGAGGAGCGAGTTTTATGTGGAAAGACATTATGCAGAAGCACAATGAGATCGGGGGATTCCATGCGCAACTGTGCTTAGGCGGACAAATTTATGCTGATCGAATGTGGAAGGAGATCCCTTCGCTCAAGCAGTGGCTAGCAATTCGCGGGAAGGAGGCCCGGAGAACCATGCCTTGGACTGCCACACATGAGGATGACATCTCCCATGCGTACTTTCACTACTATACTAGCCACTTCGACCAGCCTCACATACGAGAATCGTTCGCTCAAATTCCCTATATTTGCCAAATTGATGATCATGACATGTGAGTACCCGGTTGCCTTATGATTCTCTGAGCGCGGCTGACGTCTGTTAGATTTGATGGTTTCGGGTCATACCCCGAGCATATGCAGTTCTCGAACATGTTCAAGAACATTGGACGTGTAGGTATGGAGATGTACCTTCTCTTCCAACATCATACTACACTCGAAATACTCCGTAACGTCAGTACTGATATAGACTTATTCACCATCACTGGTACCGGTTGGCATTTCGTTAAATTTCTTGGGCCGGCCGTTGTTGTCGTTGGCCTTGACTGTCGGTCGGAACGCAACCCTCACCAAGTCGTCGCTGGGCCTACATATCAGGGTATCTTCCCTAAAGTCGCAATGCTGCCTCCATCTGTCCAGCATTGTCTGTGGATGATATCCGTACCCGTCATTTACCCCCGTTTGGAGACTGCAGAACATATCGCGAACACTGTCGCATCAGGTAAGCGAGCTGTTACAGGTGCATACAATGTCCTTGGCAAAGTTACGAGCTCCGTGGCGGGCGTGGTTGGCGCAAAGGAAGTGGTGGGCTCCGGGTTCGATTCCGTCAAGCGAGCCGTGGGCAAGTCTGGCCTTATGGGCGGCATCTTGAGCCCGTTTGGGGAATTCGACCTTATGGACGAGCTCCGAGATCAATGGACTCATGAGTCCAAGGTGCGTTCGGAGATTTGACTTAAATGTGTTCTCCTTTGATTCTAATACTCAGCTGCATATTCAGGATCTTGAGCGAACATACCTCATTCGCACTCTCCAAGGCATTGCACACCAGAAATTCCTCCGTATGACTTTCCTTTCTGGGTCTGTCAACGTGTGTGGTGCAGGACTAGTTCACGATCCCGCCCACCCTTCGGACCATAAGACCATGTATCAAATTATATCGTCCGCTGTTGTGAACAACCCACCGCCTTCATATGTCATCAAGCTCCTTCACAGTAGCAACAAGCCTCTATATGTTCCTGCTAATGGGCATCGCTCTACACCATCGCAACCCACCGATACAAAGGAAGACATGATGGAGATCTTCCAAACCGACGTCATGGGCCAGGCTCGCGAGCATCGGAAGCTGATGGGTCGTCGTAATTACGCAGCCATTGTTGCTTATGACCCTGAAACGGTAAATGTGATGTATGGCCAAGCTCCTGTGGGTCATGGAGGAAGGCTGAATCTTGCCGTTGATTTTATGGTTCAGGGCGACGGATCCTATGGGACGGTTGTCAAGTATGGTCCGGTGATTATCCCGAGCTTAGGACATGGGAAATGAGTTGGATTTTGGTAAGAAGTTTTCCAATGGCTCGCTCTGTGAATACCCGGTTTTCTCTCATTCCAATACTGCATCACACATAGAATCTACACATTGTTATCAGGAAGATCTAGCACACGGAGGTTGGTAGTTATGATTATATGGATGCTAAACCCTCACTGCAGCTTATTCTCGGCGTACAAAAGAGCATCCTTGCGCCTCTGCCCAAAACTTCAATCTCCTCACCTCCTCTGAACATTCATATAGGCAACAGCACATACAGGTAGTTTTAAACACGCCTTACGAGAGTCGGTAGAAGATATCATAGAATTAGCCCTAATACCATATACAGCCACGCAATGAACGATGTACTCGTGTAGTCTAAGTGACAATACAAGAAGACAGACGAAGCTTGGAAGCTAGATAACCGTTTGGTCTTGTTGACCCTATACCATTGCGTATCGTTCATGAATCTATTCTTCGGCAAGTTTAAGCACCTAGAAACTTAGCGATTTGAACAATCTTCCCCGTTGCCCGTTGGATCACCACCAGGGATGCAAAGACCCAGCCGCCAGAAGTAGTCTCGATGAGCAAAGAACAGTTCCCAAAGTCGGTATTGGAGAGGGATAAGGTTCCACGGTAGATGAAGCGATATCCGTGGTCTATCAGCATCGCTTTGAGAATCTACTACAGGTGGTGACGAGGAGTCACTATCAGCCAAAACCACTTGGTCTTGGGGGTCCACCTCCCTTGGACGCTTTTGGTCGTTCGCAATATTGATTTTGATGTCATGTAGCATGGCTCTTATGGTGCTTTCCGCCCCAGTGATGCAGCGCGCATCTTCATTGCCGTCGCAAAGTATCACATCGGATACGGATGGCGGGAGAACACCCCTTGAGATGAAGATTTCCCCGGCATGCACCTCATACCCCCATTCTTCCAGAGGGAGAAGAGGTACAGGGTCATTCACGTGAGTTACCCTTCGAAATTGCCAGTGCTGCGCATCAGATGATGGCAATGACGCTCCAAGGTTAAACATCTTGTTGAAGAATTTGACGAATTCCTTATTCCCGAGTTTGGGCTCTCCAAATGTCGTCACCTGTGGACTCCAGCCTCGCATCTGCATCTCAAGCCCGGCCAGTGCAGCAACAGCCCCTCCAAGTGAGTGACCAACCAGCACCACCGCGTATTCATGATAGTACTCCTTTGCTGCAGATACATGTCCGAGGATAGTCGAGCGATTTTTCAGCCATGAGGCCAGGAACCCCGCGTGAACCGTGCAGTTGAGGCATCGTGGTGTTTCCTTGTCATCATCACCACTCGGGTCATATGGCACGTACGCCTGCGGGTAAGCTGAAAGATCGATTATCGTATCTGTAATCGAATAAGTGCCACGGAAAGCAATGATGATGCGCTTCAGATGTGGGGCATGGGACAGCGCGATATAGCCGCAAGAATCTGAGAGAAATGGGCCAGTGCTCCATGTCTAGCTATCATAGTCAGTTTTATCAATCAGCTGTACTTTGATGCTGAAAGAGGAACGAAGCCTTCCCACGTACGGTGATCAATTCAAACCCTGGAAAATCATCACAACGACTCATACATTCGAACGGCTTCTTAACCCCCGTGCTACCGACGCAATATGAGATATCAACGATACGCGAGAGCTCTTCTAGTGAGGCAAAAGCCTTGCGCGAGATTGTGTTGTCTGTTCTATTGGCCTGGCCGTATGTAGAAGCTTCGCTTGTTTTAGGAACAACACCAACAGTCGAGGCGTCCGACACGTATGTTAAGATAGACAAGAGAGCAATAACAGCTGTAAGAGTTCTATCGAACGCCATTGTCGCCATAGCGATTGGGCTTGTCGTTGGGCTTCATGACTGTTTGCGGTGCATACATACTCTACACCGCAACCAAAGAAACGTGGCTCGTGACCTGTGACGTTGAGAATCCCGGGGAGGTTTGTTCCTATCAGAGCCTAGCGGAAAATGACATGCATTTGTCATGGTCGGACCAAGGTCCATACATACACATACCAGAAGTCCCTATAACTTTTGAGTTACCGTACTCAGTACTCTTACGACTATGAATTATAGGTCTTCTCTAGCTAGTATTACTCAAGTATCCATGTGTATGTACATATAACTTGGCACCAGTCATATCTCGAATTATGGGCAAATACCAGATTCATTCGGGCTGGCTTAAATGGTCCAAACAACCACCCGGCCATCAACTCCACTCGCTGCTGAAGAGTTAGATTTCGAGTCTAAGCTTATGAAACAAAATATGCATAAGGTCAACGCTTACTGCTAAACTTGCTGACAATTCCGTTCGCCTCCTCATATACGCGAACCGTGTTGATAGTATTCTGATGGACTGTCTTAAGCTGGATATCGGCCTGCGTCTGTCCTTTGAGGTCCATTTGGCGGAACATGTTAAGAGCAGACTCCTCGCGGATAGCACCGGCACCAGGGCCAGACTTGTTTTCGATGGCTCCCGTAAGCTGCCACCCGTTCTCGTCCCCGCGGAAGCGGTATGGCTCGCAGTCCTACAACCGAGTATGTCAGCATAACAAAGCTCGGGTGATCGCGTATTAAGTAAACCCACATGGCCAGCAGCAATAATCTCATGTTCTCCATTCCAGATCAAGCTGTTAAACGATAGGAAGCGGGTGGTGATATTAAGCATTGCCCGAGGCGGTTGGTCTGGCGCACTTGGGTACACAACCGTGACACTACTATCGTGTCCAGTGAATGCAAGTGCATTACCACTAGGCGAGAAGCATGCCCCTTGGATCCATCCCGCTGAGTCATTCAAAAATTCACCGCAAATGGTGTTAAATGGGAGGCGCTCCCCCCAGGCACTCGGCTCTGGGCGTGTATCAATACCTTTGATGTAACTGGAAAGGACCCTCGCATGGGAATCTGTGGAGCCAGCAGCCAGCAGAACAGAATTCGGATGCCAAGCAAGGGTCGTTATAGTGCTCCGTATAGGTTTCTTTAGGTGCTTCGAAATCCACCAGTCGTTTTCTTCTTCGAAGTAACAAATAGCGATCACGCGGGCCCCTGAGCCGACAGCAAACTTCTGCTCAGATGGAGACCATCTTACAAAGGTCGCAGCCCTGTTGATCCGGAGAAGGACCAAGGTTGGTTTCCAGCCAGTAGGGGTTCTCTCCCAAACATATGCATTACGATCTAGATTTAATTATTGATTAGGGTATTAGAACTTATATTGAAAATGGAGGTGTGGATTGGAAGGAAATACCTTGCGAGCAGGTGACGATTCGGCCACTGTTAGGAGCGATATCAACACCAGTTACAGTCTTTTCATGGCCTTTGAGCTCATCGGTCAACGAGAACTTATTACCTGCTTTCTGGTAAAGCTCCACATTGCTGTCCCGTGCAACTGCGAGTGTTGACTTATCAGGGGAAAATGAGTGGTCAGCAATGGGTTTATGAAAGAGATGATGAACTTCTGGAGTAGCCATGATGATACAGGTGACAGGAGGAACTCTCTACTGCCTATCAATTGTGAATACTGGTTGCTTCTGTTGTTATTTACACAATTGGTGAGGGGATTAACGTAACCATCGATGACGCGGGTGGTGATTATATAATGTATCACATGATCTTCTCATAGTCTGGTCCGTTGGCACGCTAGATACTGAGCAACAAATCCGCGCTGAATCCGATACCACTGTCCTTCTTTCTTCTAATCCTTCTCTGGTTGAATTTACTCTCTACGCCGTTTCCCATCGAGGAAATTCCCAGTATATACGGAACTAACAATGACATCGAAAGTAGCTCCTACGCGCAATACTCTTCAGGGTAAACCCGCTAGTCTTCCAAATCAAACGTTAGTGAAAACTTCCCTGGTGCCCAAGTCCAATACGAGAGTTTCTGACATTCCTTCAGTCTCTACTGTACCAACCTGCCGGATAAACTTCGCAAATATGACTTGCGTGTGTCTCTCTATATGCTGTTCTCCACCTACGGTACGGTTCTAGATGTCGTGGCTATGAAAACCAAGAAAATGCGCGGCCAAGCCCATATTGTTTTCAAAGATGTCCAAGCAAGCACACAAGCGATGCGCGCTCTCCAAGGGTTTGAATTCTTTGGTAAACAGTTGGTATGTCTTATTCTGTACATTTGTCAAGAACATGGCATGCTCACTTGCTTGGCATTTAGAAAGTTGTCTATGCAAAAGGTACGTCGGACGTGATTGCTAGGCTCCGTGGGACCTACAATGTGCCGACAACCGTAGCTGCACAAATAGGAGGTTCCTCGACAGATCTTCAGAAGTCCATCTTCAGCGGGCCTCCCGGTTCAACAGCGTTGCCGTCAAGAACTACCGGGGAAACCAATGGAGAGACCACATCTCAAGGAACCAAACGCCCTCGTGAGGAGGAAAGCGATGAAGAAGAAGCGCCAATGGAGGAGGAAAGTGACGTGCCAATGGAAGACTCATCAGACGAAGATTAGGCCGATCTTTCTCGACTAGATTATGGTCGGGGAAGAAGGGGGGAGGAACAGAGAACCCTCGTCAGGTTGCGCCTACTCTGGGACTAATAACCTAAACCCTGGAGACTTTGCATGCGCCCTCTGTTGCAAAGAGTTCATGGGGCAGATGGAGACCGACGTGATTACCTACCATCCCGAGCCATATAATGAAATACGCCTCAGGAGTAAGCCGCTGCTTGCCTGCGATTTGCATCATAGCGTCTGCAGTATTGCATGGGTGAACAAAGAACGTCGGAGTTCCGGATTGTGGATGGTACTACGAATCATAAGCGACATTGGACGGTTTGGTCACAAGAGTCATTTGCACATACTCCGAAACTAATACCACCCATGACACCAACATGTTGGAGTTCCCTTTTGTACTGGTCCGGTACCAGATATTGGTAGACTTCGTCTAACCCCAACGGTCCGGGATGGCCGTCTCGCCGTAATGTGAAGTACAAGACAGGAACCTGGTATGTGGAGGAGAGAATAATGTCATGTTCTACTTGTAAACAGTTGCTGAAGTCGGATGGGCGAATGAGGGCCTCCTGTTAAAACAATAGTCAGATGACATTAAGAATGTATGATGGCGCAATGCAATTGACTATTCACGGACAGGATCATCTTCGCAAACTTCCACTTGCGGTTCTTCAATCTCTACTACAGACCTAGACAAGATATTGTTGTAGTGACGGGCACTGTTACTGCGAATGTTCTGAGATATCTTCAGAATCGGCCCAGTTGCCTAACAAAACTAGTTAGAAAGCCCCGCATAGCATTGTCATTGGGGGAAATTTGGTATAACCCAAGGCAAGACAGCTACTACCTGTTGTACAAGTCGGGTCGATAACCATCCCATCCTGTCCCGGTTGCCCAACACGTGAATGCGATTCAAGAACGCGCGACAGGCGCATTCGAATTCCTCTGGTGTGAGAAACGGGAATGTCGATAAAGACCTTTGCGTGGAAAGTGAAGAATAGGCCATGCTATAGGGAAAGACGCGGTGTAACTCTACCTCTCCCGACCGTCAGGACACCACCTGTTGCATTGGCGTCCTGTACTTACTGCTGACTCCTTCAGATGCACACACCGATCCACTTTGTGCTGTTCCAACCCAATGCCGTTCTCGGACTGGGAATGCCTTTTACGAGGTTAATAGGAATGCTATGTATTGTTCGCAGTAGTAGTAGTAGTACGTGCCCGCTGATCAGTACCGATCGGTGAACCCGAACCCGGAATCCAAATTGGGTCAATGGAGAAATGGAAAGAGAGAAAAGGAAAAATAAATAAACTTCAAGAAAGAGAGCGGTAAGGATCACTAGTCACTTTACTCTTGAGATCATGATTCTTCGACTCAGCCAGGATTTCGGGCGGGGACTGTGGCTAAGTATAATGTACATATCAACTCGAAACATCAATATATCTGACTGTACAGTACGTAAGCCACTTGGGTTTAGTCTAACCTACCTTGTTTTAGACTTGGTCAGTAGCATCTATCTTTCTCTCTCTCTCTCTTCTTTTTTAGACCCCTTCTAAGTTCCTCTCTTGCCCCACTAATTTGAGAGAGGGGCAAAAAAAGAAAAAAAAGGAGAAAGTGAGAGAGAGGGAAAATTCTAGGATAGAATAATTAGTAGTCATTAATTTCTTTTTCACGGAATCGCATGCAACAACCATCATCGTGGCTGAACCTTTTCTGTTGTTTGCGGGCAGTGCCAAGATTCTTAGCCAACCAATCATTTCGGCATCGCTGTCAAGCTCTTCTCTGCCCATCTCATCTCGATCACCATGGGTAGTGGTTCTCCGTACGTATCATTCTTCCCTTCCGCTTTGTTTCTTAGGCGCTTCTGGCTGCATCTCGGCTCCTGTAACATTCAACCTGTCCGTGTTCATTCATGGCGTAATCGCTGGGGTCGTTTTTGTGGGTATGCTATGCCATACCATACCTTCACAATGGCCTTGTCAACCTGGCTCACATCTTAACCTTCCAACCGCCATCCACTGTTCCCTATTCCGTTCCCCGACAGGAGCTGGAGCTTGCCAGTGGGTAACGCATTCGTCATTGTTGTGTTTCTTGCATAGCTTCAATCATAGCAGTCTCTCCACTTCCTTTATGTATCTTATTTCCCTTACTTGTCTCCAATTTGATCCTGATCGTAACTCTCTGTCTTTGTTGACTTCTGGCCTTTTTTTATTCCTCTTTTTCCCCTTCTTCCTTTTCTATCCACGTACCTCTCATCGTGTTTCAAAGCTGTATTTGTTCTTCATGGTGCTGGTGTTTCATGGCATCAACAGATGCGGTGTATAAGATAATCCCATCTTTCTTTCAACCGTTTCACTTCCTTCGTTCCATGGTACTCTTTTAGACTGGTAGTCTTTGGACCACCCGTTTCTTATTACGAGCTTTTCCCATTTATCTTTCTACCCTCCCTCCTACTGCAATATCAATAGCCATACTTCCGATCGTCGCGGTGGCAGATCGGAAGCTCCAGGCTATCAAACTGTCTAAAGAAATTCAGGAAACCGTTGCCTTCTGGCGTAACCATCTGGAACACTTCTAAACCCGTCAAATTGGAACACGTCACCAACTGAGGTCTCTTAACAGTAGACAATAGCGAGCCATCAACGTCAGAGCCAGCAATTTTCCAAAGGAATTGATCCTATCATTGAGAAAGGCTCTAGAACAAGCACACCTGGGTTCCCTTCTCAAAATCTTAACATCTGTGCGACTGTTCATGTCGTACTTCTGTCTTTTTTGATTTGGCAGGGTATCCGGAATCTCAACCTTCCTGAGTTCTGTTGCTGTCCGCAAGTCATGGGAAGTTTCCTCTCTATACAGAGTGGAGAGAAACAGCGCCGATCAAACCGGCTCTCAAAGCCACCATCGACTTTCACTTCCCGTTCACCAAGCTGCCGTTCACCTCTTCAAACATCTGGTGCCAGTTCCCCTGTGGCACCCAAAGTTGCTCCCTGGCAAGAGTATTCGACTACTACTTCTAGTCCCATCAGATCGTGGGACCTCGAATCAAAAGGCCAAAGGCCGCAGTCAGTCCCCTCAGTATCACTGCGAACCGAGGCGCTATGGACGGGTACCAGCGAGACTAGGAAGAGTCCGCCCATGTCCAGAGAGCCAAATGAGCTTCGTCTCCACTCAGACACGTCCAACACTCCAGGGCCCTTGTGTAGGCGAGCTTCTTTTCAGCCAACTACATCAACCGCCTTTCGGTCAACTACCCTACGAAGTGAATCAGGCCAGCTAAGAAGGTCCTATTCAGTCCATTCACCTCCCCACAGTACAAGAGGCGCGATACACCAAAGTAGTCTTGAAGAAGCCACATCTTCTAACACTCATTTCATGGTAGATAGTCCAGGGTTTTCCTTGATTCGCCGACGCTCTTTGCTGACGCGTCCTGGGATCGCTACGAGACGATCTGTAAGAGATTCGTCTCGTCGATGTCCTTCGCCAATCGGACAAGAGTTAGGATTCTCATTCAATCATACGGACGAACCAAAACAACCTTCCCAGTGGCCACTAACAAGCTGTGTCGATTCTGTCTTGCAGCATACTACTCCGCTTGCTCAATTTCGCCCGCCAACACCAAGTGACTTCGAGTATACTCATTTGGGAACTCTTAAGCTAGGGTCTTTACGGGTAGTGAATGGCTCGGCTTCTCCGTGTCCCAGCGATAGAAGTCGACTCCGACCATACAGTCCGACTCCCGAAGCCAGCACCGCGCATATGACAGAACTACGTCGGAGCAGAGACCACTTAGCCCACGTGGATCCACCAGGGGTGGCTGCCCTAGACCGAAGAGACCATCGCAGCGTAATTGAAAATTCTTGGGATCCTGAAACAGTCCCAATGCCAATGTATAACAATCCTGAGGGGTCCAGCAATGTGCCGTCATCGGATACTAGAAACATGTCAGGTCTCTCAAAAAGCAAGCCATCCACGTCTATTCTACAGATCCCATCTTTTCCTGACGTCATTGGACACGAAGATTTTCCGGCAAGTCCATTCTCTTTTGAGAAATCACCGACTATCACAATCCCTCATGGGTTTTATGTTAAAGAAATGGAAGATGAAGGTGTATCTGTGTCTGATGACGAAAAGGCATTAGGCTTCGGGAGGAAAGCTTCTCGAAAAGGCTCCCATCCGAATAGGTTATCCCATTCACACAGAAAAGTAGATAGCGGCTACAGCTCTGCTACATCAGTCCGCTCTCTACAAGACAATCGCACTAGGGATTCCATTGATTCCCAAGAGTCAGCACAGCGGCCTCCCAGTCATCGCAGGTTCACACTCGGGGGCAGCAGAGAGCCTGAGATGTGCAATGTAAGAGGTCACTCGGGGCCTGGCAACCAGCTCCCTATGGACCGCCACCTAAGCCTTCAAGGTCCTAGGATAGGTCCTAGATGCGATTCACATGGTCGGCCAACAAACATGTTTACAATGTGCCATGAGACACCATCGCTACCGGCTGCTGGACGCCCAAGAAGCTTATCGTTGACTTCGCCACAGGACTCTAGTCGCACAGTGTCTTTTTCTCGATATTGTAATCAGCTACGCCACTCTGGCACTGCATCCAGTGGAACCTCACCTCCTTCAGCACACAGACCAGTTCCAACTACAATCCAAACTACCGATAATATCATATCCAACAACCATCGTTATGAAGGGCTCACAACTCGCACTGTAGAGCCCAGTAACGTAATAGGTCAGAAGGAGCTAAAGACTACGAATCAAGGGAAACCTGGAGCTGACCTCGAGAGTGACCAACCTCACAAGAGCAACCTGCGCCGGTCAAAATCGGCGAAAAAGCTTGTCAAGAAAACTCCGAATGCGGTACATGATCAAGACCCGCAAACTATAGGGGCTAACGCGGCTGTTCAGTGCCTAGAAGCAGAGATCGTGGCACTTCTAACGCCACCATCACAACTCCCAGTAAAGAATGTGGATGTGCATCCCGAGTCTCTAAGAGGCCGGGCGAGAAGCCGGGCCATTGACTTTGAACGGCGCATGACAGTAAAACAACAGAAACACCCAAGCATAAAAGTGGCGGCTCCACCACCTTCCCTCTATCATTGATATCAAATTTCACTGTCTTTCCTGTCTTTCTTCCTCCTCCTCCTCCTCCTCCTCCTCCTCCTCCTCGTCGTCGTCGTTGTCGTCCTCTTCTTCTGTCTCTCGCTCTCCTCTTCCCTCCCTCCCCTTTTTTTTGGCCGGCCTTGGATTGGATCTGTTTGGCGTCAACATAATAACTAAGGGTCATACGTGGGATTTCTGTGTTAATTTTTGGATATACCCTTGTCGACGATTTGAAGCACTACTGTTCCATCCTTCTACCTGTCCTACTTTCTTTATTCAAGGGATAGTCGAATAATTCCTCGCCTTTCTTTTTATTATTGTTATTCTCAATACTGTACTTGCCATTTCTGATTTCTGGTATGGAAAGGAAAAACAGGACTGTGCGGTACATATTCATCAAAAGTTTTCCACGTGGTGATATCTGTATATATAATGTCATGATGCGAGCGAGATCCGCAAGTATGAGCCTCAAAGTAAAAACCTATACGGGGAAGTTTAGCGGTGAAGCGATGTAATCAATTACTAGTGGTGTATTTCGTACTGCATAACGGAGCCGGTTCCTAATGAACAATTCACATTCACATTACAAGTGGGGTAGAGTGAAGTATAATGCACAATGCCCGAACTAAGGATCTAGAGAACCCAGCCACCTGGTACAACTAAACACATAGTTCAGATGAGAATAGATCTATCTAACGAAAGGTATAATTTACGGTTTCTGTCATTACTACTAATAAAGTCTCACTATCCTTAAACCTGTAGTAATCCGAAAGCTGCGCTGCTCCAGGCTGCTGATTACTTGGAGGAAGTGTTGTACATGTGCACCGGAGCGTTATATATATACACACATCAAGGTACTAGTTTATGTCAAAGCCAACGCTATATTTAGCTTCTTAGAAGACTCATAAATTTTTAGGGAAATGGGTGATACCACGTTGATATGTTGATATCCAACGTTCATGGACAGGGGACACGCTACACCACGTATAGATACGGTGGTATTATTCCCTCTTGAATTATATTGGATAGAGGATCCATAAATGAGCAGGATCACTGGTGTTTACATGATAGTCCAAAACTTTAACCTGTCGGTAATAGTGGAGCAAAATGATTGTATATCGGCCTAGCTGCTCTATGAGACGTAAGGGGCGTACACTAGTATCTATCGCGCAACTATTAGTGTTTCTTATTCTAATTACTAGTTTCGTACTATGGTGGTAAGATGGATAGGGATCAATGTCTAATTGAGGTAGTTCCATTCTACATTAAATCATCGTAAAACAAGACATACAGTAATACGCAAATCCGAACAAAACAATATCCCATGCAATCTGTACAGCTTAAAGCAACCTTAGGATGAAGTTATCAACATAGCCGAGCATCTCGGAATATTATAGACGACGTTCCATAACGAGTGCTGCAAGAACGCCCAACGGTTGTCTTACTCGACGCGAATCTTCTTCAACGTCGGGGCGGCTTCCTTAGGGACAATGACCGAGAGGATCCCATCCCTCAAAGAAGCCTTAACTATATCCTGGTCCACTCTCGTCGGGAAAGTGAAGACCCGGTGGAATTCACCAACTGAGCGCTCGGTGACCCAATACTTGTAGCGTGGTTTGGTCTGCTCTTGTGTGGTCATCTGCGTTGTTGAAGACTCGATCGGTGAGTTAGCACGTGGTGCGTTGCTTGATTCATCTTCATCTTCGACTGTCGGTTGAAGAGCATTGGCAGAAGATGCTTCCTCAGAAACTTCGCTAGTGTTGGATGTATCATCGCTGTAGGTACGCTTTACACGGCCCTTGATGGCCAGTGTATGGGGATCTGTGAACTCGATATCGATATCGTTTTGATTTGCCCCCGGCAGTTCTCCATTTAGATAGTAACTATCATTTGATTCGTAGACATCAAACCGGGGTGTAAAGGAGCGAACAGGCGTGGACCTTTGCTTCGGGCGGCAGGAGCGATGGACATCATAGTCGTCGAGTAGGTGGAACAAGGGCGCGAAGTCGCCGGAGAAGTGCGTGAAGAAAGCCATTTCTGAGGCCAGATATACAGTAGTCCAAGATTTGATGGTTGTAGGAGTAAGGTTCTTCTGAGATTAAGGTGTAATGATATCAGCCCAAGAAAAGTAACTGTTTGGTTTGATAGCTGGTGGTATAGGAATAGGGTTGTGTAGTAGAAATTGAATCTTGAAAGACGACGTAAAGCTGGTTGTCATTCTTATATGTATATATACAATGAACCTTTATCTAGAAGGAACTATCATGGCCAATCTGTTTGTATGTATAAGCAAACTGAATGCTCTAGCACATATTAGTATTTTCTAGAGATCACTGGATGGCTCTAGAGCCTTCGAACATAGTTACTCCGCGATAGGTCGATAAGATAAGCGGCATTTATCTTGTCGGTTTGTTAGCTACGGGAAACCGCGCGAACCTTCGATGGCATTCAAACTCCCTTAGGTCACATGATAACGAGAATTCAGGAACAAGCACGAGTCGTCGTGAGACTACGTTGGTCTAGATATTGTGGTCATACATCATGGTACGTACAATTTCCCTTTCTTCCCGTCCCCCTACCCCTCTCTTCTGGATATGTGGATTTGTGGTATACTCTTTGCGCCAAACCCGATCGATCATTCACGCTACTGGATGTTGCGAATTCCCGGGGAGGAGTATATTTCGAGCTGCCTGTGGCCTTTGCGCAGTAAGTACTCTATCGCATTAAAATCCTTCTTGCTGACAGAAAGGTGTTTTTGAAATTCCGCCCTGTTTACCATCAGCAACTTCTACACGAGCCTTCAGCCGTACCAGAGCCAAGATACCTGGCATAGCGCCTAAAATTACTCCTCGTCTCCTAGATCACGGTGGGAAAAACCTATTAGTCGAAATACAGGAATAGATATCAAATGCTCAATTGAAGAGTTCGCTTGCTCACGAGGGGCTTTGTCCGAATCTGTCTCAAGCATTTCCGATAGAGGGATAAAGCCTCCCTTTGGAGGCCTGATAAGCGGACCATGATTCACCGCAACTATCTCGAAAGACTTTGCTCAGGGCGTCATTGGATGGTAATATGGGTGATGGAGAAGGTAGGGAAAGGATCGTACCGTACGGAACCTATGTGTAAGCCCGTACCCAGACAGGACTAGTTGGACGTACAGTACCGTACTGGGTACTACAAACTAAATATAGTGAGCGGGCCGGTCTGGGGAAGCGGGTATCTCCTACTCCCGGCCAAGAGATGAATGTAGGTAGGTTAAAATAAATGAATCTCTAGTATGACATCTTCCAGGGCAATACAAGTAGCGGGATAAATTCTCCCCCGTCTTATCCTCTACTCCCATCTGGGATTTAAGAGGTATACGATGCGGCAATGACTACATTCTCGGTAAGTTAATCCAGTAGGAGCATACATTACGTATGTTCATTCATGGTGCACATATACAGAGATGTCACTGTCACTAAACCTCTTGAAGATATGCACAAAGCAATTAAGTCATACAAATGCATTTGACCTTGCTCCTTTTTAGGTCTCATACCAACCCCCCCATAGGCTGACCCATTTATTTCCATACAGCGTCTCATCCGCTTTCTGGCCAAAGATGGTCACGTTTACTACGGCGATGCCATTATGCCTACTGGCGTCGGCGACTTTGGCAAAGTGACTAAGGCCTATGTAATTCAAGGGGATATCCTTGGTCAACATCGAGTCACAGACCAAGTTGCCGATGTGAAAATGCTCCCCGCACCATTGGCGAGGAAGGATGTTGCAACGGTGCGCTGTTTGGAACTGAACTATGAGCAGCATGCCAAAGAATCCAACCTCCCCACCCGCCTATCCTGTCCTCTTTTACAAGCCAATCACATCTATTACTGGTCCGCATGATGATATCCCAGTGTCTTCTGTGGCGCAAGATGGTGAGGGACTGGACTATGAATGCGAGCTGGTTATTGTTATTGGTAAGTAAACCAAAAATATTTGCGAAGACCGAGATTTGGATGGTGTGCTCGGATATACCGTAGGAAACGATGTTTCTCATCGTGATTGGCAACTCAAACGTGGCGGAGGGCAATGGGGATCAGGGAAGGGCTTCGATGGCTAGGCACCTTTTGGTCCAGGCATCGTCACTCCCAAAGTTGATCTGCGACCCCAACGCTTTGACCATATCAACCATAGTCAATGAGCAGATAGTCCAATCATTTTCGACTAAAGATATGATATTCGGGGTCGCCGAGACGGTGTCATTCCTCTCCCAAGGCACCACTCTGCTCCCTGGTGATTTGTTCTTCACTGGAACGTAAGTTCCATTTCGAAGTCTCCTTCTTTCTGTCCCGATCTCCTAGGAGTGGAATAAATCTCATGTCTCCTTATAGGCCACAAGGAGTGGGGATGGGCCGGAGACCCCATTATAGTACAAAGATAGCGATCGAGTTGAGGTTAGTCTGGAAGGGTGGGATCATGCGTTGATCGAGTTGTCTTTGACAAGCCAGACTCTAAACTATGAAGAGGTCATAAAAGTTAGATAAATCTCAGTACATGGATATTCTTCGAGACGATGAATGCAGGTCTGTCATGGAAGCCCAGTTACTAAAAGTTCTGTGCGCCGGGTTGAAATTTATCAATTCATGTATTTGCTAGATCCTTGCTAGAAAAGTCCTTGCAGTACGCTCAAAGAGAAATCTAATTGACCTGCGCTCCATACCCCCTGATGGATTCAGCAAAGGCCCAGCTCTGGGCCTCGATCGCCTGGTCTTCCTTAACCTCGACTCCATCACTAGTGATCACTGCAATCGAATACTTATCCAAGCTTCGCGCATCTCGATACCACAAGACTTTAAGGCACTCTCTCAAAGCAGCTTCTGCCTCTTCCTTACTGATCTCTTCGAGGGGCTTCTCCTCTGGGAATAAACGACGAAGGATTGGAATAGCAAGATGTGCACCAAACCCAGTTGCAAGATGCGGTGCTGAATAGGTAGTACCGAGGAGGTCGGCGGAGCTGAGGAAGGGTTTCTTGTCTTCGTCAAACCCTGCGACGAGAATATGGTTCCAGAGTGGGTTGAATTCGGAGCGACGTTTGTAAAGGACCTTGGAGAGGTATGTATGCAGATTCTTTGCGTTCAGCATGTTACCATGTGTTGAATAGTTTTCTCTGATGTCGATAGATTCCAGAAGACGATCGATGTATTGCATGTCTGATACATCGCCGCTGAAGCCGATCACGGCAGATTCGCTGAACACGCGCAGGCGTTTAACATCGGTGAACCGAGCGAGAGATCCATATGAGGCTGTGGTTGTCAGTACCTTGTCTCTACAAGCCTCCCACATGAGAGTGAAGACCTGGGGCCATACCCAGGTTATCGGCAGCGATCGCAACACCGCCATGGAATTTGACTGCTATTACCGACGTCCCAGTCACAGCAGGGGACTGGGTGTGGGTCTTTGGGCCAGTGGTCTGAAGGTATGACGAATTGTACGGCCCGTAGATATCATCCCTAGGCTTAAGGTAGACAGTTAGAGATGCACAGCACTCACGTAACTGGGCACTTACCCGACCCCAGACTTCTGGGTAGTGGTTCATGATGAAGGGGTGATTATGATGAAGCAAAGAGTAATGAATAGAGCAGTAGCAGGTGATGGCGATGATAATTATGAGAGGGTGACTTGGTGGAAGAGTTTGGTTTGGCGGTTTAGGTAGTCGGTTCGGGGTGATACGCACTCCGTTGAAGCTAGGCAGTAGAGAGCTGACGGAGCTCACTGCCCTTACGTTAGCAACAGCCACTCGTGGCGCGCTTATCGGAATTAGTCGCGCTTAGCGAGAACCAAATAGTAACTACTTTTTTGTGCACTCGTCTCTTATTCTAATCTATTTTAATTCAATCTACTTCACAGTTTTTTACTATAAACCCTCCAAAAGGCCCTTGTCGTGCGATATTTTCATTTTAAATAAGTAGAGCGAAGATTAGACGCAGAAGCCTTGTCAGACTATAGATATACTAGATGTGGACCGTGACTTGAGGTAATCCTACAGATCAACATGGGCTGTCGGGAGCAGTATTGCCCTTCAGAGGCGCTCGTGCTCCTTTGCACATAGCACATCTACATCGGCCGTCCGAGGAATTTCTCTAGCGTTAATTATTGACTCCCTAGGCTCCGGGAATAGCCTTCCCTTTCCAAAAATTCCTAAATACGTGGAGGTTTCGATCATGTCCACGAAGAGTCACCTTGGCCTTATTCGTGAACCGGGGGCAGACCTCACACCATCTGAATCGGTAGGTGTGGCAGCGACGAAGTGAATCGTGTCTCTCTGGGCTGTAATCCGCTGTTCTTCAGCTTTTTGGTGAACCGCCTTCTGTGCCTTCAATAGTTCCTCTTTGAATCCCCATTCTGGTAGACTTGACACGTCCCATACTTCAAGCGGTAAAGAGGTAGAGTATTGCACCTGATCGTCGATGCCCGCATGTTCCATCAGTTTTCTAAGTAGGCTAGGATTCTTGAGCGATGTTGAGAGAGCTAACTTCTCGTTGAAGTGAACATCTTGTTTCTTCAAAGATAGAAAATGGGCAAATTTCGCATTTGCCTTGGCATCAGGTGAACCAGGTGGTGATGAGGGAATATCTAAATTCGGCACCGGTGGTAGTGTTAAGTCATGAACTAATGTACGAGAAGTGGACAAGGGAAATTGCTCGTTGGGGAAGTGCGACTCTGGCTGTGCTTCTTTATGCGACGGCCCAACGATAGGACTGCTAAGTTCTCGGTTCGAAGCCGTTTCTGGCCGGTTTGGTGCATTGTTAGATATTGGTAGGGCTAAAAGCGACTATGTGATTAGATGTAGCAACTACATGTATCCGCGGGTGCGAGACATACTCTCACTTGCTGATGTCGAGAGTTCAACTGGCTGTCTCTTATTCTCATGCTAAATATACTTAGCTTCAATCTCATGCAGAAATAGGCATCGTAAGTACTACCTTCGTTGGTGTGGAGGCTTCTCTCTCCACTTCATCCTCGCTGCTGCTGTCGTACGCTCCAAGACCTAACATAATTGAATGTTTAGCACCGATCAAGTGTCCGAGTGCACTCTCGTATCGTAAGCTGTACAGTATAATTGGATGTTAACTCTGTACTGTTCAATATAGGCAGAAGAAGCAGTCATAAGTGCGTCGCTTTGCAGTGTTCCAATAGGTACTGTGCTGTGGTGGAAAGTTAACCTAGTTACCTATTAAATTTAGCTTATATAAGCAAAGGCAACTGCACCGCGTCACAGTAACAGTAGTAGCTCCATCCAACAGCTACTTAACTTCTTCCCACGATCGAGATTCACTCAAATACAGAAACAATCTAGGCCATCCAATACTACCTTCATCCTACTTTGAACTTGGCTTTGAGTGATCCACTAGCTCTTATTGATACTAAGATATCCCCACACAAAATGATGTCTTTCATGGGGAACCAGCCTCAGAACGAGGCTGTCGGCTACTCCTTCTCTCAGCCAACCACTGCTCCAAACAAGGAACACTCATTTTATCCGTATGTGCTCGGTCTCTATATATGGGCTGGACACTAGAACTAACCTATATCTTTAGGTACACTGACAACGGTGGCTCGACTTTGGGTATCACAGGTGCTGACTTCGCTATTCTTGCTGGAGACACTCGCTCGGTGGCAGGATATAACATCAATTCTCGCTATGTTCCTAAGGTTTTCAAAATTGGCGGTGATGATGACAGTGGCGAGGGCGCCCACATTCTTTTGTCGGTTGTGGGCTTCGCTGCTGATGGCCAAGCACTCAAAGAACGATTAGATGCAGTGGTCAAGATGTACAAATATCAGCACGGGAAACCTATGTCTGTCAGAGCATGTGCTCAGCGATTGTCGACTATCCTATACCAAAAGCGGTTCTTCCCCTATTATGTGCATGCTATTCTGGCCGGCTTGGACGACGAGGGCAAAGGAGCGTTATACAGCTACGATCCGGTAGGCTCATATGAAAGAGAACAATGCAGAGCAGCTGGATCTGCGGCGAGTTTGATCATGCCATTCCTGGATAACCAGGTCAACTTCAAAAACCAGTACATCCCCGGTAGCGGAGACGGGCATGCTCTCGAACCGAAGAAGCCTGAGCCGTTACCGAGAGAGACGGTGGAGCAGCTCGTGCGAGATGCGTTTACCAGCGCTGTGGAGCGACACATTGAAGTGGGAGATGGCTTGCAAATGATGATTATTACGCATCGTGGGATAGAAGAGATCTACACTCCGCTGAAAAAGGACTAAAACGAGCTTTTCCTCGACGCTGTACTTCATCAAGTTCATTTCGATAAATTCGTTACTCATGTTATGATAACATGGATAGGATAATTCTAGTGCAAACCGCTTTTCACCATAAAGTCAATTATCATGAAACCATTTTCTGTTCAGCCTTAGAACGCCAGTATCATAGTCCAAAAAAAAGGTAGAGATAGAGATCCAGGGTAAGAAAAGTCTGCTGCACACAGGCATTAAAAGCGCTCTTTCATGCGTGATGCTACCTTGCGCAGGTTACCATATACCTTGCCCTGTTGTAAGTCAGCTTTTGTACTTCCAGTGAGCTGGATGGGTTGGCGTACCGGTGGGCTTCCAAGAATCAAACTAACAACAGCCTCTTGTGCAACCAGTATATTGCGATAGCCACCCAATAGATGTATTTTCTGATCAGCTAGGACAATTCTAGTGCGAGTGGCATTCTCTATAGAGTGCTTCAGTTTGCCATCCTTGCCCGCAATTCGTCCGACCGCACGGCTAAGATGTTCTCCATGGAGCGATGCTTTAACATCGCGAATTTCAAATGAGCGAATATACAGGTCATCCAGTCGGAGCAATGCGATAGCGTCGTCCACGTCGAACCCGAGAGTGAAAGCCTTAACAAAATCTTCGCCCTTTTGCAGTGCTCCTGTGTCGGTGGTGAATTTGGAAGTACGTAACTCAACCGCCCTGCTCTTAATATTCATGCGAACCTGTAGCTTGAGGTGCTCAACTAGGGGAGGATATATTCTACTCCATGAAGCCTTGAGGGGTGAGAACCTGTGGGGCGGAACTGGCACCTTCCGAGTTTCCACTCGATATACAGTATTGGTATCTTTTGCTGCTGTGAAAACCGGACGTCCTTCCTCATCGATGCGCATATCGGCGTCTTGAGTATTTTCGTCCGTGGAGGCAAATGCTGGTGTTTTTTCCTCCATTGAGGTTTGGGCATCGATTAAAATTTCGTCATCTTGATCTGAGTGGGTTAGGTTAGTATTCTGATCGTGACCATTGGAAAGGCGAATGAAACAAACTTATAGAGGGTTGAACAACAGGCTCTTCGACCGTTGTTATTTGATCAGGCTCCTTGAGTGCTGTAGGTGCTGGCATTTTGCTTGAGTTGCTGGTAATGATTTTCAAGAACTGTAAAAGAATGGTGGAGATAGTGGGAAATCTTAAGTTTTCAGTTGCAAACAAGACAAACTTGTATTAGGACGGGTCCATGATTTCATGCAATTTTTGTCCGAAAAACATACATTTGTCTATCACCTTCCCATTGAAGGTATTGGAAAGTATTGAAGGCTTCTTTTCCCTCTAAACTCATATAGAGGCTTTTGACTTCGCCTTCCCATTGTACACTTTCCAGCATGTGACGGCAATAATGGCTGGCAATTTCGGACGCAGGTTGTACACCAGCTTCTGGGAAGCTACAAATCCTTTCCTTGGGCGTGGACTCCGGACAAATCGCACACCACTTTCATATGATATAGCAAGCTCGGGCAACGTCGTATGCGACATTTTGTTTAAAAGACAGATTAGAAAGATATCATCCCTACCTCCCGGCAAGACGACGCAGATCACCAAACGATTCGCTTCCGGAAGTTTTCTTGTACTTGGAATAGCCCCAAACTCAACTGCAGTAGAGACTGGGACAACCTGTGCGGTGGCTTCAGAAAAGATCATATCGCATGTCACGCATAGGACCTACAAGTTCGATAGAAGGCTTCTTCATGGCTCATCAAGATATGCATCGCCAAGAGGAATCCCCGCAAGTAAGGATGATCCACCGAAGACGAAAGCGCATAATGAAACCTTGAAATACAGCAATGGAAGCTCTATCAGAAATGTTAAGTCTCCCGAAAATGGTGCTACTATCCAGAAGACAAGGTCAAAGCAGGAAATGCCTGAGGAGCAACAGTCAGGGCGCCATCTAATTGACCGTCTACCACACATGCCACAGTTACATCGGCCAACAAAAGAGGAACTATTAGCTGCAGCCAATGGCTTTTGGTCTCGACTTAAAGTACGATTCAAGTGGTTCTCAATTCGAAGTGTTCGACCTTTTAATCTCGATGAGATAACGGCACTCTTTTCGTGGGTTCTATTAGGTCATGTTGTTTGGGTTGTCTTAGGCACAACAACATTCTTCTCCCTGTTGATCATCGCCATCAACACGGTTTTCGCCCAAGGTATGTTCGAGATCCGCATGATTGTGTATGCGATCTGCTGCTAAGTTATACAGAAACCTTGGCTGGATGGATAGGTAATTATCTCACGAAATCGTCTGGGGTGAAAGTAGTGTTCGAGTCAGCGATTGTCCCCAAGTGGAGGGATGGTGTAATTACGTTTAAGAATGTCTTTGTCTCTAGACGACCCGGTCAGGGGACAGGCCACGTTAGCAAAGGCTCCCCCAAAACTGCTGCTGCTGTGGCTGCGGCCGCAGCGCTCAATGACCGGCCTACCACGGAATTGTTGGATCAGCGGCTGTCATCGGCCGAAGAGGATACAAACTACACGCAATTCGACCTGGCAATTGAGACTGTCAATGTTACATTGTCATTTACAAAATGGATCAACGGCAAAGGACTGCTGCGCGATGTCGAGGTGAAAGGGATACGGGGTGTGGTCGACCGCAGATTCGTTTATTGGTCAGATGATGACCTTGATCCAAAATCATACCGGCATGAACACAATCCCGGGGACTTCGAGATTGATTCGTTCAAAATGAGCGATGTGCTAGTCACAGTTTACCAGCCAGATAATTTTAGGCCGTTCCCTATCAGTATATTTTCTTGCGATCTGCCCCAATTGAGAAAGCAATGGCTGTTTTATGACTTCATGTCAGCCAATATGATGTCAGGGTCTTTTGACAACTCCTTGTTCACTATTCATCCACGGCAGACCCACGGTTTCACCGGAGCACAGTTAGACAATGGTATTGAAGAGGGTGGCAGAACGAGCCCGTGGAAGAAGCATAACCGAATACGCATTGATGGTCTGAATATTGATCATCTAAACCGCGGAGTGCAGGGGCCATTTTCATGGATCCATGAGGGAACCGTCGACATTGTTGCCGATATCATGTTTCCAGAAGAGAATGATGAAAGCTTGACCAAAGTAATGGCTGGCATTTACGATCGACTAGAAGCTACTGTCACCTCTACTCAATATCGTGATACCGTATCAGAAGCTCCCGCTCGGTCTGGTGAGACGGTTTCTGAGGGCGATCGGCGATTCCTAGTCACCGACTTACGACTACATTTGAACAATGTTAGGGCAGTTGTTCCTCTTTTCACGCGAGATCTCTCATATATAAACAATGCCCTCATCCGACCCATAGTGGCATACATCAATTCGCGTCGTACTTTCATGCCTGTTAATTGCCGTCTTGTCAAACGAGTCGGCGATTTCGATGGTAGCTGGACTATCTTCGATAGCGGCTTAATGGACGATCTTTCAGCAGCGGTGAGTCTACGATCTTTCTTCCAACAATGTTAGAGTAAGGCACGCTGATGTCTCGCAGGTGTACGATGCATTCGCACGAGATGTGGTTGATGAGCAAGCACGCAAGCGACGTTTTAAGAAGGTAGGTTTTTGGTCCCTCCAATTAGCTGCTCAGGCTATTTTTATGGGCATGGCCGGAAATATAGCATGACTTGTATTACCATCCAAAATTTTCCCCCTCTATGTATGGTTCCCTGGCGTTCAAGGTCTGGACACTAAAGGCGTTACCGAGATCAAAAGCGTTTTGAGCACCTTAGTCGACGAATAGACATCCAGATTCCCTCGACTCTTGTTTGAGATTTATATTTATATTCAACTCTTCTTCCTAGCATTGGGAGGGCCTAGGCTCCTATCACGATCTCTACTCATCCCCCTTCCCTCGAATATGTACACTACTACCTTTTAAAACATCCTACTTAATAATGTAGATAAAGATCCGAATGTGCGGTGGTCATTGTAAAATAAATCGATGCACTGGTAGATAGTGGCAACAGCTCAGCATAGGATTTTGTTCGGTTTTTATTAAGCCTTAGCGTCTTAGATATCTATTCACAGTATGTATGATCATAAAAAATAGATCGTAGCATTATTCTATTCATTTTCTAATGGTTATAAGGTAAATAATTCATAATATAGAAAGACAAGGTTTTTCTGATCCTTTTTTGGAATAAAAAAAAATAAGATACTTTCTGCAGCGCGAAGAAACCCATATAAAATTTAGAATTGAATGAAGAATATATAGTGGAAAAATAACTTCTTTCCATATTGAGCTCTACGTACAGATCGGTACTCCGTAATAGTACAGTACCAAACGCTAAGCTGTACTCCGTAAGCCCTTTCAATTTCCAATACGGAGTACTTCCAACCTTGAATGACAATAAGTTTACTGCGATGGGGAAAGAACAAACAAAAACGAAGGTAGGTTCAGTTGCATGTACAGGTAAGCTCAACTCCGTTTCTCTCGCTATTTTCCCGAGCCTTACTATCTGTATTCACTAAGTATGGGAAGGAGACTACTAACACATTACTATTAGCCTACCTTAGCAATCATACCTGTAGGCAATGATAGTGTCTAGTAACTTCAAGCGGTGATAATATCATGTTGTAATTCATCTATGTATCTAACTCATTTTCTCAGTGCCTTTGTTACTGTTCCTTGTATTCCTTGTATTCAGTACTAGTACTAGTAGTAATGGAAGTACCCCAACCCCTGAGCGGTGCCAATCAATTAACCGCCATATTCTAGCGCTCCACATTTACTAATTGAGCTCCAACTCCTAAACAACCTGCCATGTCGCCGAAGCTGCGACAGGGTAGCAATGATAATTGCAACAACACCAACCAGCTACCTACAAGCCCCCTAAGGTCACCTTCAGCGAGATATCATTCATCTTCGCATTCAATATTTACTGGAGATCTCATCCCCCGTGATTATCTGGAACCACGATCCAACGGAGAGGCCTTGCCTGGGACTGTGGCCATTGCTGCTCTCTGTAAACCTACACCATCTCCCTTATATACAAGCTATTGCCTCCAGTCACCCCACCAACCCACCTTGCAGAATAACCAGTCAACGAGTTCATTTGGCTACACTTCTCCACCCCCGAATCAGTCGACTATACACCCAATAGCTTATGCGGCGTTTCCGGTTCCTCCATCCAGTGCCAGTCAAGTCTCATCGAGCGCATTTGGAAGCCCACACTTGAATAAACCTGAACAGTATGAAAAAGATATGACCGAACAAACAGTTTCTACCAAGCATCGTCAACCTTCGGAACCAATGGAACCGAACCAATCTCCAACATCCTCTCCGATATCGTCTGTCTCGATGTCTGGGGAGCGATCGGGGCAACGCATTATGCCCCGCACTTCCTCAATCGACTCTGCGATATCATCTCTCTCTTCAGCCTCGCAACCCCATAAATCTTCATTCGATGCTACAGCTCTAAGCCAAGCTGATATAGAGAATCTTATCGCCACTGCAGGGTCAGCCGAAGCAGTAATCATACATCTTCTGAAAGAGAAGCATCATGCAGCATCTCAAAATTCGCAGCTTTGGAGGTTGGTCGATAAACAGAGGACGCTTATACTTGGGTTAAATAAAGATCTTGAGCGTTCTTTGAAAGAGAAAGAGCGATATAGGAAGAAGCTGAAGGAGTTACAAAGTTCATCGCCATCTTTACCATCGAATAACGAGCAACACTTACAGCATAAAACTACCGAAATTGAAGATACAACCCTTAAACAAGCGATTTCTGGGCAAAGGGACTCACAGCCTCAAGGCGTATCTCCATATAGTCCCAATTCTAGCGGGCGAGACCAATCCTCGAGCACTATCCGATCCCAGAACGTGGTCGTGGGCGGTTTACCGGACAATCTGACCAAGAACTCTTCAACAGGTCATACAGGCGAGTTAGATCGGCGATTAGGTTCGCAACAACCCCCGCCGTTAGGATATTCTCGGCAAGAGTTAGCGACTGCGAGTCCAAGCTCGTTAGCAAGCTCTAGCTCCCCTGTTAGTGATACGGTGTCGGGTGAAGATAAACAACAGAGAGTTCCCCATCCAGTGCGAAAGCCTCCGCCTGCACCTTTGAATCTGGGCCAAGGAGAACGCGCGATATTGGACCATCCAGAGGTATACGACTCGGAATCCGAGTATGAGGATATTTTGACAGTGGATGAACTGCCCATGGAGCGGGGACGGAGAAAAACACGAGATGATGATGACCGAGAACGCGAAGCTGCCCTGGCAAGAGAGAGAATCGCTTTTGGCTCTTCAGAGGACGAGTCGTTGCAATCAATGATGACCCCTGCGAATGACTTGCAGCAGCAAACAGCACCAATCAGCGAGAAATCTGAGTCTTCAACCCCTTTGAGCCCTCGCTTGACTCTCGGCGATCTCCCCGTCATTAGGGCCCCGAAGAGCCCTGGCTTGCCTATCAGTCCACGGCCTGAGGATCGCCCCCCAAACTCTCCTTTACCTCGATTACCCAGAGAAATGATCAACATGGCCCCGCAGATGGTGTCAGGAAGTAGCCTTTCGGGATTAGCTATATCTCCTCATATCAGCAAGTATCAAACCCCCCTTAGCGCTGCACACCCCAGCTTTCCAAATGACATTGCGGGTCGGTCAATCGACGCTGCTGTTGGGTTCGATAGTTCTAGATTCACAGTGGCAAAACCAAATGGTATCTATCAAGGACTAGTTTCAGAGGACTACCCAGGCCTTTTACTATCTCCTAATGCGCTGCCGTTGATTCTAGTTAAAGTGTCGTCATCGCGACTCCGTCCCTCGCGAAACAGCTACTTGGCGTCTAGGCCTTCAGAGGAGGAGCCTGTTTTCACACTCAGCATCCTTTTACGATCCGAAAACTTGGAACTCTGGCGTGTTGAAAAGGTCATCGCGGCCCTTCCACATCTCGATCACCAAGTAAAACAGTTATCTAGTTTCGCTGGAAAGCTACCAGACCGATCCATCTTCAGTGGACATTCCCCGGCCAAGGTGGATTCGAGGCGAGCCGCGCTAAATTTTTACTTCGAATCCCTTCTCGATACTCCTATTAACGAACAGGCGGCTCTGGTTATCTGCCAGTTTCTCACGTCCGATGCCATTGAGCCACGAGACGATGAAACAAGCTTGATAAAAGGTTATCAACAGCCTAGTTCTGACATTCTACGTGGCCCCGATGGAAAGCCCAGAAAAGAAGGCTACTTGACAAAAAGAGGCAAGAATTTTGGCGGTTGGAAGGCTCGGTATTTCGTTTTGCGTGGCCCAGAGTTAAAATACTTTGAATCGCCAGGCGGCCCTCACCTTGGAACCATCAAAATCTACAACGCTCAAATTGGCAAACAGTCGCAGAGCGCAAATGGCCAATATAGCTCTCCTGCACGAGGCGAAGATGACAACGATAATCAATATCGCCACGCTTTCCTCATCTTGGAACCCAAGAAAAAGGATTCTTCGGCTCTTGTGCGACATGTTTTATGCGCTGAGAGTGACGAGGAGAGAGATTCTTGGGTGGAGGCACTCTTGGAATATGTAGAAGGGCTTTCCGAGAACGAAGGTTCCAATAATGGATCATCCAATACCCAAACACAGGTCGCTGGAACTCAGCTGGCCAACACGACGGTCGAACCCGAAATGCCCTCAAACGGAAACAAGAATTACAGAGTAGCCGACACTCCGGATCCTGAAGGTACCGATATAGTTCAAGGGTTCAGTTATGAGGATGCCGTTCCTGCTGAACCTCCAGTATTTGGGCCACCTTTCGAGCAACAGGGATTCATGTCACCCGCTTCCCCCCAGATTTCATCAACTGATCCTACCGATTCAACCCAAGCAACAAATCATTTGGTGGACCCTGGCCAGCTATCGTCTAGGATCATATCTGGGCCGACTAATGGGGCGGTAATCCAAGACGCGGGAGCGTGGGGTAATAAGTCAGCTAGCAGTACTAAAGAGAAAAAACGCAGCATTTGGGGATTCCGCACGAGATCGTCAGTAGACCTTGCTTCGCAGCTACAAGCAAGTTATGACTCTTCGTCAATTCAGTCAACTCAGCCCCATGGTATTACCCCAGGTGATAGGAGAGACCTTGTCAGACCGGTCTTTGGGATTCCATTAGTGGAGGCAGTACAGTTCTGCGCGCCGCAAAGTGTTGACGTTGATTTACCTGCTGTAGTCTACCGTTGCATCGAGTATTTGAAGGCCAAGGGTGCAGAATCAGAGGAAGGGATATTTCGGTTAAGCGGGTCAAATATCGTCGTTAAAGCGCTGAAAGAACGGTTTAATACTGAGGGAGATGTTGACTTCCTCGCCGACGATCAGTACTACGATGTACATGCCGTGGCCTCGCTGTTCAAACAATATCTGCGAGAATTACCCACGACTGTACTGACTCGCGAACTTCATATCGAGTTTCTGCGTGTGCTTGGTAAGCACGGAATCCCATTTGCAATATTGACACTAATGATCCATGCGTCAGAGCTCAATGAAAGGCAAAGTAAGATCGCGGCATTTAATTCACTTGTCCATCGACTCCCAAGGCCAAACCTGGCTTTGCTGCGAGCATTGGTTCAGTTTCTAATAATCATCGTGAACAATTCCGATGTCAACAAAATGACAGTCAGGAACGTCGGCATAGTTTTTGCCCCAACGCTAAACATTCCAGCCCCCGTGTTCTCGATGTTCCTCACTGCCTTTGAGGGAATTTTTGGCGACCTACCAGGCTCGAATTCAGACACCAAGGAGCTTGCTGTAGATAACTCTACATCTCCAGAGAATTTTCGTTTTGCACAATGCCAGGTACTGGCAGAGATGCCCACTCCTTCACAAACCCAATCTGCCTTCCGCCAACAGACAGACTCTCATGGCCGTGATGAATGGGGTTACGAACAGACCTCGAACAACTTCCTAGAAAGTAATCATCAGAAACAGGCGGCTCCGCCCACAACGAACAGGACGTTGGCTCCAAATCTTGAAGCTTCGCGTTCCATCAAATCAAAGAGAAGGGAGAGCTCACTCCTTTTTATGGAGGTAAACCATAACTCCTCTGTTCCTTCTGCACGCGGTGACGACGGTGAGTAAATCCCGCTAAGTTTTGCTGGAAGTTACTAAATTGATGGTGATAGTCTGATCTGGTACTCCATTTTATTTTTCTTTTCTAAAGTTCTCATATACACACTGTTCTTATTTGAGCCCCTCCTGAACAATCATTTTGCTTTCCCATTGGTCTTGTACAATGGCATTGTCTCAACGATCAAGACCAATCATGATTTGAACGAACTTGAAATGACTCAATATACGGCAACAAACCTGACTGCATTTAACTAAGTACCCCAACAGAATATCTAATACTAATGTCAATCTGAAATGGCTCTTGCGCTTTTGCTATCATCTTCCTTGTCTGAAATTCCTCTCGTTCGTCTGTCCTTGTGTCAAAAAGGACAATTATTTGCCGGTTGTAACCTGTGCAGAGGATGGTGCTATGCATAATTTGTACAGACTGTCCATCCATCCATTACGTAGGTTGTTCTCCCCTTCGTTCTTGGCCTTCTTATGCCTTTCTGTGTTGGGGTTCACTTACGGTGCAGGGTGCAGTACGAAATAGAAAATGTAATATACCCGTTTATTTATATATCTATATCAATACCTGCAAGGCTTTCAATGCATCGAGTTTCCGCCTATTTAGAGCCATAAAGATGTATGAATCCGGACTTAAGCTAGACCAACTAACTCATGCTGTTCTTTATTTTATTGTTTCTGTCAAGAGTGACCAGTTCCATTAGCTAAACTAGACGGGAACATAAAATTACTCATTAATGTGGCTTTGACGGTTAAAGTAATACATAGGGTTCAGAACACTTTTGAGCGTTCGCCCCTCCAAAATCCCATCAGTTCGCCATTTTCTTTGACCCAGTCACGAACACTATCCACCAGAACCTTTGCCATGCCCTTGTTCTTGGATTTCCCATCTGAAGGTAACATACCTCGAGCGAGCTCTGCGGTTGAAACGTGGCCACCCGTAGCATATTCGGATCCTATGCTGGGTAAGACATTCTCACCCGCACTGAGGCTAACAAACAGCGCAAAGGGGACCAGCCAGACACAAAGCCCAAAATAAGACGCGACTTCAGTGAAAGTCGGCATATCCTCCACATTGGCTTGGTATGGTTGGCGCCAGTTGGATGCAGCTCGCGAGGCAGGTAAGGGTTTCGAAAAATAACGGAACCAGAGCCAATGGTTTAGTCCAACAAGAACACAAGACAGTATGAAAAGGGGATCCGACAACTTGACGACAGGGAATCTCCTTAGATTGCTCGCATAAACGATGTGCGAGCCGATACTGAGCAGAGATAAAGAGAAAGGAAACCGATCAAACACGAACAGAAGAACCTGGATGAGGATAATACTGTATATCAAACGGGTCAAAAGCCGACGCGCGAGGACCGTATGTTCTTCTACAAGCTCCGACAGATAGTAGAGCCCAGAGGCTAGAGGTGCGTCAGTCAAGCTCGACATCAGTACTGATCACAGCTGTGTATATCTGGCTTCGCAACCGCGAATAATATTGCTAGCCGTCTAGAAAGGCAGCTCGCACACGTCTTACCTATAGCCAAAGTAAGAAATGAGAATCCTACAATAACACCTAAATACCCTAGCAATGGTAGGATCCACATGTTGGGAAGCTGATGTGCTACCGTAGCTCCGGTGATTGTGATCTATGGAGTTGGAGGTTGAAAAGAGCGCAAACAAAAAAAAATCTGAAGGGTCTTTATTCTTTGCAACGAGAAAATCGATTGGGTCATTAGAGCCTATGATATATAAGTCGATGGAGGGGTAGATTAGCGGAAGTTGAGGACGATTAATTGTTAAAAGTGTAGTTAGTCCACCGCTACGATACCAATGAAGGTCAGTGAAGTGAATTTATGCCTCAGGCCTCAAAGTACTACTGTAAGGCACCAACTTAGCCGTCCCTCACCCAAGCACTGCTCAAAAAAGGAGAGACAAAAAATTTAAAATATCTCGCCGATTACTCCACTCCGATCTCTTTTGAGCTATATATCATTATTAGAGTCGCTCTATCCTTCAACTCTTTTCTTCTGAACTTACGATCTGAATATCTCATTGAGCTTATCTTCTCAACTCTTGACTCTAAAGAAGGCATATATATGTGGTGATACGTCTATTTGCTGAGAAACGAGAAGAAACTTCACATTATTTAGCGACCATGTCACGTCCTGAGGATATCTTGTACGTTCTCACAGCCATCAATATCGGACTAACTCTTCACTAACCGAGAATTTTAACTGAAGGCCTCCTGACCTCTTCTATGATGACAACGAATCTCGCAAATATACCACATCATCGCGAATTCGTAACATACAGTCCGATATGACCAATCGAGCGCTTGAGCTTCTTGAGCTTCGATCTCCTTCATTGATTCTTGATGTTGGCTGTGGCTCCGGTCTTTCCGGCGAAATTCTTTCTGCAGTGCCTCCTGAACATGGTGGGCCTCATACCTGGATAGGCATGGATATCTCGCCTAGCATGCTTGATATCGCGCTTCAACGAGACGTAGAAGGGGACTTGTTTCTTGCTGACGTCGGACAAGGTGTACCATTTCGCCCCGGCGCTTTTGATGCAGCTATCAGTATCAGTGCTATCCAGTGGCTCTGTAATGCTGAGACGAGTGACGTTAGTCCTGAAGGACGTTTACGACGTTTTTTTGAGGGTCTTTATGCTAGTCTACGACGTGGAGGTCGTGCTGTTTGTCAATTCTACCCCAAAAATGATGCACAGCGAACAATGATCAGCAGTGCTGCCGTCAAAGCTGGCTTCGGGGCAGGTATACTAGAAGATGACCCTGGGACCAAAAACAGCAAAATATACCTCGTTCTAACTGTTGGCGGTGGCGGTCTACAAGGCGATATTACAGGCGTCGTGAATGGTATGGAGGATGTTAATATCTTGGACGTTAGAAGAAAGGCTACGGAGCACGGAAGAACGCTATCGTCTCGCAAAGGTGATAAGGCTTGGATTATGCGAAAAAAGGAACAGATGACGAAAAAGGGCAAGATTGTGAAACAGAATTCCAAGTACACTGGCAGAAAGCGACGTCCCGCCTTTTGATTGGACGGTCGTGGTTGGCTTCATACGCACGATAAAGTTGATATAGCCTTCGTGCTTCGGCTCATCGTGTAAGAGAGAAAGAGAGAACAAACGGACATCAGTACTGATTTGAGCAGGGTCCACAAACGACGTTTTGCCTGCTCTACTACTAGCTCGCAGCCAGTTTCATCCAGCTGAGAAACTAGCCTTGAGTCCTTTAGGCGCTCATGAATCGGACTAGCTCTTTTGGTGTTCTGTACTCAACCAAATTGGGTGGGGTTATGAGTTATGAGCCCAAATTTGCTGCTTTTAAAGAGTTCGGCCTAAAATGACTATTGCTAGGATCTGGGCCTTTGAACCACATCTCTACCTGGACGGCGTGCCATTGCAACGTGACGAATATCAGGCGGATATATTCTGCTGGTGAATGATTGAAACGACTTTTCTATTTTCAGGATCATAGCATATAATTTTACACGCCCTAGCTCCACAAGATTGTCTAGAACCTCAGTTATGAGTAGGCCACCGTCGATGTTGCTTCAGTGTGAACACAATACACAGTAAAGAGACAAGTCCACGTAGCCAGCACGGCATTCACTGAGCGACCTACTACAAGCTTTCATTATCATGAGAATAGCGATTTAGTCGGGCACAGAGATTCTCAATTACAGAGCAACCTCCATCTTGTCCAGGACAGCCCTGGTGAACTCATGGGTGGTAGCCTGTCCACCCATGTCACGGGTCCTCGTTTTACTGGGGGCGACAATATCAGTAATAGGACGAATGATACCAGCCAGAGATCACTCACCCTTCACCGATGACATCGTACACAGCTTTGGAAATTCTATTCGCGTGGTCGTCCAAGCCGAGATGACGCAGAAGCATAGATCCAGAGAGGATCATAGCACTAGGGTTCGCCTGATCCTTGCCCTTGATATCAAGCCCAACATGGCGACAGCCGGGTTCAAACACGGCGACATCACGACCCATGTTGCAGCCAGGGACAACGCCCGGTCCACCAACAAGGGCGGCACCGACATTGGAAAGGATACCACCATACAAATTGGGCATGACCATGACGTCAAACTGCTGGGGCCGGGACACGGCTTGCATAGATGCATTGTCGACAATCATATCGTTGACTTCCAGAGTGGGGTAGTTCTCGGCAACCTTGTGGAAAGTGCTACGGAACAGACCGTCGGCCAGTTTCATAATGTTCGCCTTGTGAATACAGGTGACCTTCTTCCTATTATTTGCAAGGGCAAAGCCGAAAGCAAACTTGGAAATACGTTCAGACTTGGCACGAGTGATGATTTTGAGTGACTCAACAACGCCTTGGACAGACTGGTGTTCAAGGCCCGAGTATTCTCCCTCGGTGTTCTCACGGATGATACAAAGGTCAACATTTTCGTGGCGTGTCTTGTAGCCCGGAATGTTTTTGATCAAAACAATCGACGCAAAAATATCAAGCTCTTGCCGCAGAGCAACGTTGAAAGATTGGTGGCCCGAGCGCTCAACGGGGGTGAAGAGGATACCCTTGAGACCCAGCTTGTTGCGGCGGAGCGAAGCGATGGATTCCTTAAAGAGTTGCTCCGAGTGCTTGTTACCTGTATCCACGCCACTGACATCTACCTGCTCCCACTCAATGGGTACATTGTCGGCCTTGAAGATAGTCTTGACCGATTCGGCGACTTCAGCCCCAATTCCGTCACCTTTGATCAGAGGGGAGGTGTATGCGTCAGCACATCCGGCAGCGAATGTTAGGGATGTATGAAATATGTAAATATACCTGGAATAAGCGTAACAGTGTATTTTCCGCCATACTTGGTCGGCTTGAAGATGTCCGACTGAACACTAGCAAAAGCTAAAATTCGCGAGTCAACCGAAACAAGCATTCTTTATACGGAAAATATATGGAAACATACATCTTGCTGGGACGGTGGAGCGGACAATGGGAGCTGTCACCGCAGAGCGACGGAGGAAAGTCTGGCAAGATGAACGTTAGCGAACGAGGTAGAAAAAATATCACACATGATAGATGGACGTGTATGGTGGTCAAAGATAAGAAACAGAGAGAAAAAATGATAAAATGAACCGAAAAAATGACAATGAAATATCCAAGACGTGGAATTGATCTTGTTACAAGACTAATAGAGAAAAATGAGGGAGAGAAGGGGATAGAAGTTAAACAACAAAAGAAAAAAGGGAAAAAGGAGACTCTTGTGAACTTCGTTTGTATCGGGCGGAAGGGAAGTAGGCAATAGCCAAGGGTAAAACGAGAACAGGACAATTTAACTCAGCCATTGACTGGAGCTGCCTAGGAACTTACTTGCGCGGACTGCGCTGTCCTTAGGGAAAACATTTTGATCAATAGACAACGAGAGAAAGAGGTGGAGAGGAGAGAGACGAAAAGCAAGTCAAGCTGGAAGTGAGAAAAAGGCGTGCAGAGGGAAGAGACAAAGAACGGGTAAGAAAGCGGCCAAGGCTACCCGACAGGGAGTGCACGAGACGCCGGAAAAAACGGCGGATCGTCTCGGCACCCATTCAAAGCCAAACTGTTCTTGGACAAGAAATGATACGGGCCGATCTTATCTTTAGGGTCCATCAATCAATTTAATCAATCAGTTCAATCAAGTGAAATCGCTCAACCACAAAAGTCTGTAACTTTCAATTCAGAGAGATCTATGTCTTCTGATTATGGGCCTTCTCTCTCTCTCTCGCTCCACCCCGCCCTCTTCCTTTTTCTTGGTTTTGGTTTTGATTCCTTTGTATGGACAAAGAGGGAGGTGAAGGATGGAGTCTTTACAACAACCTGAGTTCCCACCCAAATTTTAGGTCGTCCCGTCTATTACGATGTTCGTGTTCTTTATCCTCAATAAACGCTGACCTTTCCTCTTTGGTATATCAATCTGTGTCTCTAGTACCTGGTTTGTCTCCAGCAGGCATCTCCTTATTGATGACCTATTCCAGTAACGGGAGCAACTAAAATATATCTTTCCAAACAGTAAAACGTTAAACCTAGCCGTCTAATCTGAAAATTAATGTCCTAGGAAAAAGAAAGAAAGAAAGGCAATGGCCAGTGCACACTATCTATGATAAATTATTCTTTTCACAAAATCATATCTGAATAGGACTCAATGAGCGTACAGGTGTATTACGCTCAGAAAACAATCATATCTAGGACGAGCCAGGTTTGGACAGAACCTTTCCCTCATATATGCAATACTGTTCTTTCTACTGTTTCTATGCTCGCGAGTCCTCCCATCTCTGTTGCAGCTCTTATTGAACAAACCCCTGATTCCCTATTCAATAAGTTCTATTCAGGACTGTGATACCTTTTCTTCTTCACTCGGATTGGATTTCCTCTTACACACTTGAATAGGGCAAGCTCTTTACGGGAGTATGGCTTTATAGGTTCAAGTAGTCAGGTTTTTTGCTGTTTTTTTCTAGTCTTGGTCCTCTATATAATGAACATGATCCTTACCTGTCTCATGTCATGATTGACAATCTCGGTATCTATCTTCGCTTCAATCGGAACTGCCTATCAAACTCTATCTATCCAACCCAACCAGTCTAAGTCAATACTTTCTCTTTTACCATCAAAGATGAAACTCATTTCTGTTGTCATTGCCGCTCTTGCTACCACTAGTGTGCAGGCTGGAGCCTTGCAGAGACGGTGCACGGGGCTCGCTCAGGGCTGCTACATGCTTAAGCGTGCCGCTGATGCCAGCGAAGACGTCCGGCGCTCTGCTGAGGCCCTTGCTGAGGCTACGCCTGAAGCAGAAGGTTTGGCCAAGTGGTGTCATTTGCCTGGTCAAGGATGCCTCAAGTTTAAGCGGGCTGCTGAGGCTGTTGACGAAGCCAAACGTTCGGCCGATGCCCTCGCAGATGCCATGGTAGCTCTCGACGAGGAGTACTAGAAGGTCAGCAACTTTATGCTTTTGGATCAATCTCGATGCTACTCCCTATAGATACTCATGTTGCTCGAACTAGGCTCGATACTTCTATCGTCCATGTCTTCTCTAGATACGTGGGAAAGAACATTCCACGAAGCAGCTCTTTCTATTGACCTATCTACCTCCATTGCTACCCTTGTCTTTTGCGATGTTTATATCCTATGCGCGCCCTTTCTTGGGGGCACCTGTTTAGGGAAGAATTGGAGAGAGTAAAAAAATTGGAGGGAAAGAAAGAAAGAAAGATACAAAGAAAAGAGAAGAAAAAAAAGGCAAAAGAGGGCGAGAGGAACCACAGAGAGATGCATGTGCATGAAGTTTATGTCCCTTTCCTTGATTGCAAAACAAAGCACTTCACGGAGATAGGTATGTGAACCAGTACAACCATTCTGTTATTATCATTATATATTTCCCACTTATCTGTGTTTGTTTTCTCTACACTCTATTCGCTTCTTGCAAGAATGGCTCCAAATTCTGCTCACTAGCTGTTCTAGTAAGCCCCTGTGGAACTGAATATCTAGAGTAGACTGACCCACCCTACTCTATATGTGATTCCTCGTTATTACCCATCACGCCTTCTTCCATGTAGTAGAACAACGCACCGCACGCCAGTGCTGACCATATTTCATAGCGTGGAGCGAGCTAATATAAGTCCTTTAGGATACTACAGCGACCTAGCAGAGCTAATAATAGCAGGTAATCTGCCAAGCAGGCATTTGGAACACTCCCTGAGAACAACCTATGAAATCTGAATTTACGCAAGCCATTTGGAGCGTATGAAACCACAGTCCGCATACCGATCCATCTCCTCGAAAACACCGTATTGATATTCCTGTACATCTGACTGAGGACATTCCCACCACCGATGGCCCTGACTCTTATAAATAGGATCGCTTGCGAGCTTGTATGGTGACCCCGTTGTTGGCTCATTCACCACAGGCGCAAGCTTATCAGTAGAAAGCTCATAATCTCTCTGCACAAGAATCTCATAGCCAGAAACCATATATGGCTCGGCATATTGATGTCCTTCGTCATCGTTATTTCTATCGTGCACCGAATCGCACATCTCGAGGTCATCAGTATACATCATTTGGGCAGAATGATCTGGACCATTTGCATTGGACGTTCCCGCACATGACGCATCTGCTTCCAGTTCAAAGATCGACTGGCTCGCTCGCTCGGTCCTTGGGTCGCTGGACGCGCCGCTAGGCTCAGGGCAGATTTGCCAGATCTGGATCAAGCGTGATCGTTGCTCCGGCAGCGCATTCTCAAATAAATGTAGCTGTGTCGACGAAAGAGACGATGGGTTGATATTGTGAAGCCTCAGAGTCTCATATATCGAATTTGCAGCTGTGTTAAGGCTCAAGGATTCACTCTGCTCCGGATATCCTGCTGGAAGTGGGCAGCGGGCTACATGTGAAGAGTGGTGATAATGCTGCGTGATACTGTAAGTGATCGGGGAAGGAGTATGTGGTGGCATTTCCTGATTGCCAGACGATATCGGCATGTCCATACGCATTTGCTTGGAAAAAAGTGTCACAAGGTCGTTTTGCATTTGCAGATTATCTTCAGACACTGATAAGCTGCACTATACGACTGCTAGTCAGGAATCTACTGAATTATCAAGATATGAGCGAGGGCACTCTACCTTGCTACAATGGAAACCATCGGCATAAGTAGCAAGTGCGCTAGAGTTGCGCGACATCTGCCCACAGAATAAGCATGTATGTGTTGCGGGCACAGACATGTTTGAGACAGCAAGAGTCGTTGGTTGGTTTTTGGCAAGGCACTAGTCTAAAGGTTCACAAACGAGATCTGTAACAGAAACAGTACAAAGAAGTGAAATATCTTTGGAAGGGCGCAGGTTGTATTTGAGCACGTAACAGTAAGTGGTGTAGTAAATCACACTCAAATTGCTGGTAAAGGGGGATGAGGTAAAAGGCTTATGAAGGCTTTCAAGTAAATGATGCTATTTATTTAAGGGCAGAGAGGGTCTATTAATCGTCCACAGGAGAGAAATAGCTAAAGGGACATGTAGATGCCCAAAGAAGTGGGCAGATTGGGCACTTACAGAGTGCGAATTACACTGAAGCGTTTATTGAGAGTAGAGATTGACGAACACCGTCAGCAAAATATACCGCAAATACTCTACTACCAGACTATCACCAACCGAGACCTATAGGACCGAAAGGGAGGATAGTAAGTAGCATTCTTTTTCACATACGTTGCATGTAGTATACTATCTACTTATTTCGAGAGACTGTGTAATATCATGTGACTTATCCCTCTGCGATAGGCAGAAACCCCGTGACGCGGAGGTAGGGCGGTCATACGTAAGTAGTAATACCTACCTAGCTTACTTATCATTCGGAGCTTCAACATCACTTCCTCTCTACCTACCATTTCTTAACACTGCTGCCAGCACATTACTTGTTTACCTTTCTACTTTAGCAAGAAGCAGTACTGTATTCAAATTTGCCTTCTGACAGACGAAATCAGTAACAGCTATGGTTCGTTTCTGTTTTCCTTGACAAGGTTCTTCCAACACTAACATCATTACAACACAGACATCCATCGGTACTGGTTACGATCTTTCCAATTCTGTCTTCTCGCCAGATGGCCGTAACTTTCAGGTAGTTAGCCGACTTCCGACAGTCATGCCTTGGGTCTCTAGACACTAACCAAGCTAACTCTACACGCTTAGGTGGAATATGCAGCCAAGGCAGTTGAAAATGGAGGAACAGCCATTGGTATCAGGTGCAAAGACGGCGTTGTGTTAGCTGTCGAGAAGATCATTACTAGTAAGCTTCTAAAGCCGGGTGCAAATAAAAGAATAGCAACAGTGGATCGGCATGTTGGTATCGTAAGTCACGGCCTAGGTTTGACTGGCATGGGAGAAACCCTTTCTTGGTCATCGAAAACTCTTGCTGATGTTTATGGATGGGTCTCAAAAGGTTTCTGCCGGCCTAGTTCCAGACGGCCGGCACTTTGTTTCTCGGGCTAGGGACGAGGCTACTTCATGGAGAAGCGTATACAAAGGCCCTATCCCAGTGTCTGCTCTATCAAATCGCTTGGGCAGCTACGTACAAGCCTATACCCTCTACTCCAGTGTACGACCTTTTGGCGTGACTGCTATTGTGGGTGGCTGGGACTGCGAAGCCGAGCTTGCCGTCGATGGTCAGGTCGGCAGCGGGCCGAAATCAGGTTCCGGGGGCAAGGTTGATGGAGCTAAAGCTGGGGGACCAGGTCTATACATGATTGAGCCTAGCGGGCTGTACTGGGTAGGGCAAACATGAAACTTGATAATTGACGATTGAGCGCTGACAGTCGTTGTAAAGGGTTATCATGGTGCAGCCACTGGGAAGGGAAGACAAGCTGCTAAGGCTGAACTCGAGAAGCTAGATCTAAGTTCGGGTAATTTGAGCTTGGTCGATGCTGTAAAAGAGGCAGCTCGAATTATTTATGTCGCACATGAGGACAGCAAGGACAAAGATTTCGAGTTGGAAATGTCTTGGATTAGCTCACTAGACGGGCCAACCCATGGCAGACATGAGGAGGTACCTAAACAACTCCTCGAAGAAGCAGAAAAAGCAGCAAAGAGAGCCTTAGAAGGGGAGGACGAGGAGGAAGAACAAGGAGCCAAGGATGGCGCCAACCTTGGCGAACAAATGGAGGAGTAGAATGAGCAAACCAAAGATGAAATCTAAGAATATCCTAATATAGGTGCAGAACGTTTCTCTCCTCAATTTCAATGTATTAACCCAGGATTGTGTAGCGCACCAAATAGTAAGTTCTATCCCTCTTTCCACAAAGACTTGCGACACATGGTGTCAGTTTACAATATCATGGTAGACCTCAATAATTCCTTGTATTCTAAGAAAGAAAGTAATCTTCCCTCTAAGCTACTCTGCCTTCAGCCCACTCTCTTCTTCTCGCTCCAAGCTCCACTGCAGCATTGCCCCAGTCTTCGCCATGGTTATGCATTCCCTTCTTGCCTAACCCGGCCCTTTCCAAACCCTGTTCTTCGTTCAAAACGGTAAGCACCCCAAAGATGACGGGCACGCCCGAATCTAGTTGGACACGCATCAATCCGTGAGAGACTGCATCTGCGATGTATTCAAAATGCATGGTTTCGCCCTTAATGAGAACGCCTATGGCAATAACAGCATCGAATGGCCTTGGAGTAGTAGACGTTGGCGATTGTGGCGGTGCCTTACTAATGTCTATAGTAGAGGAGGAGAGCAGATCTGTGGCACTGATCCCCTCACCTGAGGACGAACTCTTGGCTGCTTGGAGCTGGGAGGCTGCGTAGATTCTGGGAGGAACGAAGTTGGGCATCAGAATGCTATCCCAGTGAAAAGTGGCTTAAAACAAAAATCACTCACCGCTGTGCTGCAAATGGTAATTCATAGCTACCTGGGACAGTCTGGGTTGTGATATTGTCCTCAGTTACACCAGCTGCCAGAAGGCTCTTCTTGGCCCCTTCCACGAGAGGCCCAATTATGCCCATGTTCCACCTTGCATGAACGATCGCAATCCGAAGCCCAGAGCCTATAGAAACTATTAAGCCAGCTATCAATCAAAACTCGCTTCCTGGTTTTTTCTCACCGTCATAGGTTGGGGTAGCCCCCGGTCCTTTCAAAGAGGCCATGTTCCAGTCTATCGCAGCAGAACAACTCAATCAATTGAGAAAGGAATAGAGTTCATATATATGCTCGTATGAGTAAGGGCTATAGACGACCGGAAGACCATGCGTCGCATACATATATGGGGATACCCCACGGACCCGGCGGGAGATAACGTAATCGGTAAACGAGCCGCCACTGCAAACGAGCCGCCACCCCTACCCCATATAAAAGATTAAAATAGTCAAAACACCATGAATTCAGACTTCTATATAGCAATGAGTAGTTCTATCGATTCGGACAGTGCGTAACTTTATGACCCTGTACACCACAGCCAGAACATCTAAATGGGGCGCGTTTAGGAGCTGATTCAGTAGGTAAGGCTCTATCTACCTGTATAGCTTCATCTGCCTGATTTCGGCGCTCTATAAGGAGTCGGGCTTCAGATACTGATGTGCCTTCTTCAAAAGTAATCTGTTTAGTAGAGCGCTTTCGCTTTTTAGCCTCCTCTTCATATACAGCCTGATATTGCTCAAATTCATGCTTCAATATTGTTGCATTATGTAAGGCTTGTTCAGCGCCTTTTATTATTTGATTTAGACGAGCTTTAATAGGCGAATCAGGACTGCTATACCGATCCTTAAGCAGCATTTTGAAGCTAGTTTCTGACTTTTTTAGCTGCTTGACTGTATGAGGCGTTTTAGGCGCTGAGCTGCCTTGACTGCTAGGTCTACTACCCGGAGGTGTAGGAGTCTTAAGCTGAACTGCCAGCTGAGATAGAACGCGCTCAGGAAATAGAGGAACTAGGCCAGTAGCCCTAAAAGCACTATAAATATTGCTGCTGGTAAAGGCCTCTGTATGGGCCTTAGGATATGTCTTTAAGAAATCGAGTTTATCGATATAATGAAGCCCGCAGCGCATCTTAGTTTCAACCAGGCCTCCATACACGCGTTTTAAAGGCGAGAAAACAGCAACATCAAGTGGTTAAAGCTTATGAGAAGCGTGCGCAGGCATACACATTGGTATAATATCATTTTCTACGCAGATCTGATCGAATTGAGGCGTTAGATGGCTATCATGGCCATCTAGAATAAGTAAACTGTATTTCCCCACAGATTGGCCGGCAGTAAGAGGTATAAAATGATTCTGCAGCCAACGTAGGCCAATCTTATTGCTTGTCCAGCCATTAGGACTGACCTCGATTCTCCAATTAGAAGGAACCCTATCATTCTCGTACCAGGCCTCCATATGCACCTTGCCTTTAAAAATAATGCAGGGAGGTAGAGCCCATCCATTAGAACTAATACATTCTATGGCAGTAACCCATTCCCGGTTCCCTGGCTGCAATAAAAATGGCTTGTCTGGCACATCAGATCTAGTAATAACTTTAGCTGCAGCTATCAGACCCATTGCAAACCCCGTTTCATCAAAATTGTAGATATCGCTTGAAGCTATGCCATATTTTTAAATAGCCTCATCTACCTGCTTAAACCAAGCGCCCAGAACCTTAGGATCCTCTACTTTAGCACGTTGATAGTTATAGCGACGTGCAAAGCAGGTTTTAAGCTCAGGTGTACGCTTGGTAAAGTTGTATACCCATTTCTCTCCTACAGTAGTAGGGGGAGAAGTAGTATCACGCTTTGAAAGCAGAATATTGGCCATTTCTCGTACGTGTGCAGGCCGAGGCGGTACTCCACGTTTATCTAGTGATAGAATCCATTTCTTAAGCGATTCCTCTTCACTAGTAGTCAATTTATGACCATTGGCACGCTGCTCGCCTCTAAAAGAGGCTCCTTTTAGGCGATCACGTAATGTAGAACGAGATATATTGAAAACCTCAGCTGCCCTTTTCACAGTACTAATTTCATTGCTTTTTATAGCTGATATGGCCAGTAGGATTCTACCTTCCTGTTCAATGCGTGATTTTGATGATTTAGGCATTTTTGGTGGTATGGCTGGTGTTTTAATCATCTAAGAAATTGAGGCGCGTTGAAAACGCGTGTGGTGGCGGCTCGTTTGCAGTGGCGGCTCGTTTACCGATTACGTTAGAAGCTATGTAGATTACGTAATTTCTACCTATTTATGGTAACGTAACTGGTAAACGAGCGGGCCATGCCAGTCGAGCGGGCCATGTTGTATTCCATATAAAATGGCACTTTCATAATCCAGTTATCTCAACAACCAGAGATGGTAGTAATATAATATTTGATACTGATATAAATATAGGGTATTTGAATAGAAATTATATTTTAATATATTTTTAATATTTTTCTCACATTTTAAATACAATTATAGATAAATTACCAAAAAAAATTTAATTTATGTTACCTGATATATTATTAGATCTAGAGCTTTCTCTTTTTAATATCTATATCTGCAGTATTGAATTAGTATATATACTAAGATTCAGATCACTACTAGCCTTGGTTATTGAGGTACTTGGTTTCTAAAAGTACTCTTTTGTATGGAATAAAGGTGGCCCGCTCGACTGGCATGGCCCGCTCGTTTACCAGTTACGTTATCTCTATGCGATTTATTACCGCGCATCCGTACATGTCAGGTCGTGGCAAGCACTAGGTATCTAGGCGGAGAGTGCCCCGATAGGAGATAGAAGGTTCAGTACTGTGTAGAAGAAATACTCAACAGATTATTATTTTCTAACACTGGAGGATTGTCCCACTCTTGTGGGCCAGATTGAGCGGTTGGCCTCATCCAACCTAGTGCCCCTCTCATATCAAAACATACACAGTAACTGCTATTGCAGTATGATGGTAACTATTAAAAGAGAATCCCACAATAGTTAAATTCTCTAAATAGTTATCTAGGTTAGACTATGTTAAAAAGTAAATAATAAAAAACCTAGTATTTATAGGGGTTTAATTAAGTCCTGTACCGGTCCAATAGAATACGTATGTATTGCTCCGTAAACAGACACAAAGGGTTAGTACCATATAGATAAATTCTCTTGAGATGCACATACTTGCAGGTAAGAAAAGAACATCACCATACTGTTAAGCAACACAAACAGCATACTCATTACAAAGTATCTGAGTCAAACTTACTCAAGTTATCGAAAATCATTGCTTGCAATGTTTAAATTCTACCGGACAATTATGGAAATAAAAACAGAACTCAATCGAGGAATAGCAAGCATGCCCACCAAGACCCGGTAACCTCAATCTATCATGCTTCGGCTACGCGTATAGCGAGAACTCACTCAACTGTGACCGACTTTGCAAGATTGCGGGGGAAATCAACATTAAGACCTTCCGACACAGCCAGCCAATAAGCGATTAACTGAAGGGGAATAACATTGAGGAGGCCCTGTAGGCAATCGACAGTCTTAGGAACTTCGATCTTCACAGTTTGGGCTGAGGAGAATTCTGGATCATTGGAATTGCAGATCACAATAGGACGACCGCCTCTGGCAATAACTATTAAAGCATTAGACAATACAGAAATGTTACATAGGGGGCAACTTCCAACTTACCTTGCTGATAAGCGTTCAAAGATTTCGAGAAAAGGTTGTCCCTCGTGAGAATCATGATGATAGGCAAGTTTTCATCAACAAGAGCAAGAACACCGTGCTTCAATTCACCGGACATAACAGCTTCACAGTGGAGATAGGAAATCTCCTTAATTTTCAGTGCACCTACATGGCACATTAGTTAAGAACAATATGTTTTCAAATTGGCGACTGACCTTCAAGCGCAGTGGGGAATTGACCGCCCCTACCCAGCAGAAGCAAACTCTTTTGATTCTTGAAGTTTGCACATAATTCTTTAATGGGTTCATTAAGTTTCAAGATCTCCTTGAATTGTTCGGAGACCTTGGAAAGGCCCTCCATGATTTCCTCCCGCCTCTTCTGTTTAGATGCCCTATCCTCACTAAGGGATAGTGCGAACATGACCATCGCAACAAACTGGGAAGTGTAAGCTTTCGTAGAGGCCACACCGATTTCTGGACCAGCGTTAATGTGCACACCGCAGTGCGTAAGGAGAGAGATCGACGACCCTACAACATTAACAATACCAACGGTCAATGCACCCCGTTCAAGACAATAGCGCAGAGCCAAGAGTGAATCAGCGGTTTCACCAGACTGGGAAACAAAAACACACGTATCATCACGGAAGACTGGCGCCTGTCTATCCAGGAAGTCGGAAGCAAGTTCAACTGAAATAGGAATCTCAGTTAGCTCTTCAAAGACCCCACGCACAGCCATGCAGGAATGGTAGCTTGTTCCGCAGGCAACAAAAATGATCCTTCTGCAACGCCGTATAGTAGAAATGTACTGCCGTAGACCACCAAGAGTAACTTGCTTGTTCGCAACATCCAATCGTCCTCTCATGGTGTTAATCACAGACTCGGGCTGCTCAAAAATCTCCTTTTGCATGAAGTGATCAAACTTTCCCTTCATAATCTCCTGCAGCTCAAGTTCAATCGTCTGAATTGCGCGGACATTGGAGGTGCCATCATCCTTTGTGAGGCGGTGAATGTTCAACTGGCCTTCATGAACATGAGCTATATCGTCATCTTCGAGATAAAGAACTTTCTTCGTGTGTTCGACAATGGCAGAAGGGTCCGAAGACAAAAAGAATTCTGCTGGCTGGGGAACACCATCATCGGAAAGGAAAGCACGGGACTGTGACCGATGCAAAAGGGATTTGTCAGGCGGGGCGAGGAGGCCAGTCGCTGACTTCTTGATGGCCACATGTTGGGAAGCTTGCTCTGCAGGAAGCGCCCCATCCTCTGAGTACTCAACATCCACGAAATCCACCTTCATTTTCTTCGACGTTCTCACGCCAATAACAAGCGGGGAACCTTTGCGGGCCGCAATGACTTCATGAGGATAGTGTACGGATTTGATGAGAAGACCAAAAGCACCCTCAAGTTCCTTCACAACAGCCTTGGCTAGGACTGTGAATTCGATATCCGGTTGTTGGTCGTAGAGATATTTTGCGAGCTTCGCAATACATTCGGTGTCTGTGTCAGTCTCGAAACGGAATCCTTTGCTCTCCAACAGAGCCTTGAGTTCCTTGTAATTAGTGATGATACCATTGTGGACAACGGAGAATTCCCAGTTCAGGTCGGACCTACAAACGAGAGATATCAGCAAATAATATTGGGACGATATACAGCAATCTAAGCGAGTTAGTTCGCTCAAAGGATGAGACTCACCTGTGTGGGTGGCAGTTCAGGCGGGAAGGAGTTCCATGGGTGGCCCAACGAGTGTGGGCAATACCAGCATGAGACTCAAATGATTTGGTCAGATCAGGCTTGCACTCATCGATGAGCTCCCTCAGCTTGGCGACCTTTCCTACTTCCTTAAAAGCGCAAACTTCATTCCTCTTGTCACCATCTATAGCGAGACCGGCAGAATCGTAGCCTCTGTACTCGAGGCGCGACAGTCCTACAACATGTCAGAACAAAACACAGATAATCCCAGGATAAGAGTGAACGGAAGCCATCAGGTGGATGGTAACAGAGGGTACCAACCGTTGAGGAGAGTGTCAAGAATATACTTGCGATCCCTCTCGACGAGGTAGTTGATGTAACCGAAAATTCCGCTAGGTTTTTGTCAGCCAGAGATAATTCAGTCAGGTTGGGGTCTCGAGTACGTACCACATGTTTGACTAAAGTTGGAAAGAAAAGAGAGTGAGAGAAGAGAGGGAGAGAAGAGAAGTTAGGGAAAGAGGTGAAACGTCGAAAGATGAGCGGGCGAATAACTAGAGGGCTGTTTGGTATTCCAATCCAACGAAGGTTGCCTCCAGATACTGAAAGCAAATGTCGTAAACGGTGGTGGGGTTAATTTTAAAGTGTGCCCTGGCAAATAACAACCTGTCAATGAAACAATCCCAAGATACCTTGGCAGAATAACGCAAACACACTTCTGGTAGTCCAGCTGGACGACAAGATCTGACCGTCTATCGCTATTAACAGGAGGAGAGTTTAATGAGGGAAGAAGGGGGTAGGACAAATTGGTAGGAAAGGGGAAGTTGAGTTAGATCCGACAATCAGCTGGAAGGAGGGGGAGGAGCTATGTTTTATGTTGTGAGATCGGCCCACACAGAGAGAGACCAGGGAAGCTGCTATGGACCGGCTCCAGGGCGCAGCCATTCATTCAAGGTGGAACTGGCCAATAATATGTCGGCCCTACGCCTCACACAGTCTGTTGGACCTATTGGTGTGTTTCACTCGTGACTCTCGGCTGAAGTCCTTCCATGGCATGGGTAAGTTGTTAAGTTTACCTAGGGAGTAGTACTACTAAGAATTATGGAGTAAACAGGTCAACCGGCTCCACCCCAAAATCAAAAATAACTTCTCAAACAATAATACCTGCTCTATCCATATTTTATTTTTTATATGGTATATTCCTACGGGTTTCAAACACTTTCGTGCATTAGGTAGTAAGGTTTAGTATAGTTTTTTTTTTTTTTTTCATAAATAGGCAATAGTGCCCAATTGTTAGTCCCTGTTAATGATTCCTGTGCGGCTGATATGCTTCTCACAGCGCCCTATCAAATTAAACAGATATGTATGTACTCATGTACAGAGTACAGTACCAACCTCTACATATATACTATGGTATAATATTTTTAAGTGCTCTGTATCTCATACATCAATTCATTCACCATTTAACCTGGATTTATATTTAAGTGTAAGCTTCTCTTGCTACTCACTGCAAACAATCTAGTTCGTTTTTGCAGGAGTGCAAGAAGAAGTGAGAAAAAGGGGGCGAAAGAAGGAAAACGCGAAATATTTTGTATCATGGATATGCAGCCAGCTTCTTGCTCGGTTGCCACAATTCTAGGTTGTTTGTCAAACTGGACGGGAAGCTGTTACCGTTCACCCACCCTTTTTCTGGCAGTCTGTGATTAATTACTATCTGTACTAATAGGCACATTAGAACTGCTAAACATGACTCTATCCACACTGTTGATTTTATTTTACCTTTCTTTGCTCCCTTTTTTTTTTTTTTTTTTTGAAGTTCCCCTGATAGAAACAGGTCGAACCCGAAAGTTTCCTCGCTAGTTAACAAAGGTGAGGTGGCAATTTTGAAATTTTTGGTTAGTCTACCCCGTATCGATGTTCCGATCCAAAAACAAATATGGCGAACTAGGGGCGAAGCATATTGTGTTTATTTTTATACATATCCCAGGATTTCAGTTCTTGAAGTTGCTATTTTTATACATTGTTATCGAGGCTTAGTCCCCTTGCTCTGGTGGAACTACCACCAAACAGTCACTTTTAGGTCCTTAGGGCTGTACTTGAATCGCCAGCCTCTTCTAGTAGATGAGCTTTATAGACTAATTCTAGCCCACCTGATTTCTGATATAACTACCTGTTAGAACAAAAAATAGAATGACACCCTCACGAGAGTTAGGTGAGCCTGAATTATGTGCGTATGTACTTCGTACTATTCTGGACCTCATCTCTACCTATATATTATATACCCCTATACCAACAAATAAGTCATGTACTAGGTCAGGAGCTTCCTTCAATACTAGTTAGCCTCCATAACCATAGAAATACTATGGGTACTACTAAACATGCTTAGGATTTTTTACTATACGCTTGTACATCTCGCGGCATGCACTTAAGTATATAATACTTGCATGGAATGTACGAATTTACAAACTCATGCAGGTCGGCGTATGTTTGTACATAAGTATATCAGCTTTCTTGTCTTTACTGCAGTCTTCTCAACAGCTGTCAGTCTTTGCCCAAGGCATTCAACATTCCGCAGGTGATTACCGTATGCCAACACACTCTCTGTATGATAGCTGCATATAACTGATTGGGCAATTTCAGTTCCTTCTGTGATACACAGCCGCGGTACCAATATTGCCTCAGGGCGCTGTACACTTTACACTTTAGCAGTCAATCAAGGAAGTGAATTCTTGGTTGTGTATTTGTAAATTGAAAGCCATGGGGGAGTGGCGTAGCGGCAAGTTTAATTTTCCAATGGCTATTTAAATGAATTGATAAGAATCTTCCCTGAAATCTGATCCAAAATTTATCAAAATTACTCGACTTTCTTTTGGTTCTTATTATATTGTTTGTCCCATGATTCCTCCTATGTCAATAAGTAAGCGATTTCCTGTTGGGAGAATCAATGTCAGGATCTGGCGTGAACTGATGGCACTGGATAAACTGAAGATACCCGGTGTCTTTGATCGGAAGCATCTCCAGGGAAGAGTTTAAACCCGAAGTAGTACTAATAGGCATGCTCATGATGCAGTGAGGGTGCGTTTGTAAAGAAGAACCCAATTCGGATAGAAGCCGGTGCTTGGTCCAATGGTTGATATACTTGCTATACAGGGAGGGAAAGGCCTCGGAACCGCAGACAATAGATACTCGAATTCGGAGAATTCGAGAGGAGTGAGAGAGAATAGTGATTATTGACCAGCCGAAATATCAATATTTCCGAGAAATGGAATTAAACTGAGAATAGTGAAAATCTGCATTAGATTATCCCTTCTGTTTAATCACAGATGATTTCTGCGTGCGGGTGGACTACTTACGTGAACAAACTTGCAAGATATGCTCTTGTTTCTTAACTTAAGAATACCAAACGGCGGCTTTCACAAGTCCCTTCTGTCCCTCGTTCCCAAAGGGAAGGGAAAAAAAAAAGACACCTCCACAACAGCATCCCCAAACATACGCAAAAGCTCGAAGTATTGCAACAGATATTTTTGCACCATTGGGCTGTACTGTCTTTTCGGCGTGGCTCCATGAAATCCCCTCCCCCACCGCTCCAACTTCGTGAGTTCCTTCGCGTCTTGGTTCCTTTGTCGCGTTGGTAGAGCGATTCAAGAACACATCGGACCGGGCGCTTTTTTCTGCTATCTTGACCTCCTTAAAGAAATTCACATTCCCCGTTCTTATCTCAATTCAACCCCTTCTCTTTGCTCTCAATAAACCACCGCCTTCCACCTTCCTCACAGCCCAAACCGTCCCTCCGGATTTTAGTTTCACCTTAGTACTCTCTACGCCGGGAAAGATCTCTGGCCGTATGACTGCGCATTAATCGAACAGAGCGGTCAAGGATGCTGCCACCTGCTTGCAGTTGGTCTGATTTTGGCTTGTAGCCATCTCCCAGTATGTCGCGCTCCTCGGCAGGCTTTGCGGACTTCTTCCCTACTGCCCCATCTGTCCTCCAGCAAAAACGATTCAAAGTATCTAGGGAGCGACCCCGACCCAAAGCTCAAACTGATGGTGAAAATGGCGAGGAATCGTTAGCGTGCTCCACAGAAGCAAGAGCTAATCTCAGCTTGACAAACGGCGGTGCGTCGTTGGATTCCGGACCATGGCCTTCTACGGATTCAAGAAAAAGGTCACCCGATTCATATGTGGGGAGCTCTGTAACCTCTACAGGCGCGAGTCTTCCGGCCTTTACCTCGTCTGTTCCTCAAAATGGCGCGAATTTACACGGAGCACGTCTTGACACCCTGACTCCGCTAACAAATGCAGAGTCATCGCCGCCTCATAAACTGAACTCACCCCAGAATAAAATAGCAGATGGGATTGTTGCGGAAAGTGCTATTGAATCCAAGACCGAGGAGCTGAAATCTGGCATAACCCCTCTTCATACCCCGCCAACGCCACAGTCTCAAGGTCGTCGCACCGGAAGTATCAGAGGTTACAAGCTGGTCTATGACCCTGATACTGAAAAGCGATCATCTTCGAAGGAGAAACGAAAGAAACCTCGTTATGTCGATATTGTATTGAGCGACCAAGACAATTACCCAGCAGACCCTCGTCTAGGAATTCCAAACTACACACGAGGTGCGGGTTGCAAACAGAAAAGGAAATATCGACCAGCACCCTATACGCTAAAACATTGGCCTTATGATGCTTCAGCAACTATAGGACCCGGGCCTCCCTCGCAGATAGTTGTCACTGGTTTTGACCCTCTCACCCCCATTGCGCCAATCAGTGCCCTGTTCTCGAGTTTTGGCGATATTTCTGAGATAAACAACCGGACAGATCCGATAACTGGCAGGTTTCTCGGGATATGCTCGGTGAAGTACAAAGACAGCGCTTCATTTAGGGGTGGTGGTCCAGTCCTTGCGGCAAGCGCGGCCAGGCGAGCGTATTACGAATGCAGAAAAGAACAGCGCATTGGGACCCGAAGAATCAGGGTTGACTTGGATCGCGATGGCATTGTGTCAGACAAGATTGTCGCTAGGGCAATTGACTCCCAGAGGATGGGACAAAAGAACAATCTTCCATCTGCAGAAGAAGCGAAAGCCGAACCAGAAACAAAGAAGAATGAGCCCCCTCCGACGGCGCCGAAAGGTCCTTCAGGAAAATCCTCTATTCGCCTTATAGCTACAATTCCTGAAGGACCGAGAGCAAGCTTTCTCAAACCTGCCATGCCGTCTTTGGTAGAGGAAGTACCCATCTTGAGTCAGATTAAACGGGATCCGTATATTTTCATCGCACATTGCTATGTTCCGGTCCTTAGTACAACTGTTCCACACCTTAAAAAGAGACTCAAGCTGTTTAATTGGAAAGACATCCGCTGTGACAAAACTGGGTATTATATTATATTTGAAAACTCTAGGCGTGGCGAAGAAGAAACTGAACGTTGCTACAAAATGTGCCACATGAAGCCTCTCTTCACCTATATCATGAATATGGAAAGCCAGCCTTATGGGAACCCGGGCTACGAGCGCAGTCCAAGCCCTGAACGATGCCGTGCTGAACAACGTCAGCGAGCGGAAAGAGAAAGGATGAAAAGGGAAGCAGATCTCGACATTGAAGAAGAAAAAAGACAACGAGCGATGGACCTAGACCCCTGCCAAGAAGTATTAACCATCTTAATTCGAGACCTGAAAGATAAGCTCCTTGAGGATGTGAAGTCACGCATTGCTGCACCTGCTTTGTATGATTACCTCGACCCGGACCGGCATGCCTTGAAAAGAAAAGCATTGGGTATCGCCGATCCAGAGGGCATAAAACGGCCCTTGTTTCGGATTGATAGTGCATTCGGGACACCGGACTCGCGGTCAGAGCTGTCAGACACAAGGCGTCCTTTCAGTTCATCTGCTCTTAATATTCTTGCGCTGCCGCGTATCAGAAAAGCTCGTCATCTCGATCGCACAGATACTGCTTTCTTGGATGAAAGGCGCAAGCAGCCGATGCGAAGAAGAGAAGTCCGACCTCTATATCACCGGCTGCAACAGTTGCACGACGTTGATGACTCCGACGATGAGCAAAGGACACCCTTTGCTAAAGACACCGATGAGCAAGACAGCCGGCCCCCGAGTCGGATGAGCTCAAGGACTTCAGATTCCGACGATGGCGACGGCTTTGTTTCCGAGGTTCTGGCTGTTCCTGCTGTAAATTTGGCTGGTCCGGGCCAAAATCATGAACTTGAAGAAAAATTAAGGGACAACCAATCAAGAAGCGAAAACCTACATCTGGATAGCCGCGAAATCTCCCCGGCGTTACGGAAACGGAAAAGGACCGACGAAGAACTTGAGGCACGAAAGAGACAGAAAGAAGATGACGAGCTTTTCGGTGTTAACCCTACTAAAGAAACGGAGAACGAGGGCACCAAAAGGGTTCCAGCACCTATAGCCGTGAACATAAGTGCCGAGGGGTCAGAAGCTGATTTGAGTATCATTTCAAAACCATCAAGCGAGAGAAATAATAACCAGCGAGAGGAGGGTGATGACGGAGAAGCCAGCTCATTGGGCTTAGATGGTATTGGCACTAAATCCTCAACCATAGATAAAGACCGTCGCGGTATACTAGCTCCTCTTGATGAGGTTGATGGTGCCGGGGTGCGCGAAGAATCCCGAACAGAGGTGAAATGGCGAGTGTCGAAAGATGAGCCTAGGCCCATTGTAGATGATGACCATGCAATTATCATGGACCTCGATGGTTGGCAAAGCCTAATAAAGGATGATGAAGACCTGCACTTTCTTCGAGATATTCTCGTTGGACATCCCAAATCCAATGTTGGGAATCTGTCGGCATGGGCATGGAGACAAAAGGAAATCAAAGCCCTCAATTGCCCTGGACAGGTGGGCCCCGTACGCGAAGAGACTAGCATCGCAGGCTATTACGTGCCCAATACGACAGGCGCTGCTCGAACAGAAGGAAAAAAGAGAATATTGGAGTCAGAGAAGTCAAAGTATCTGCCACATCGTATCAAAGTTCAGAAAGCTCGTGAAGAGCGCGAGGCCAAAGCAAAGAATGATCCTCATACTGCTGCTGCTGAGGCTGCAAGAGTTACTGCGGCGAAGAATATTTCTAAGTCGACATCTAGGTCGACAAGGGTCAATAATCGCCGGTTGATTGCGGATATCAACGCACAGAAACAGGCCCTTCCTACTCAAAGTGGTGATGGCGACGTTCTTCGCTTCAATCAATTGAAGAAACGAAAAAAGCCAGTGCGCTTTGCTCGGTCAGCCATCCACAACTGGGGCCTCTATGCCGAAGAGAATATATCAGCAAATGACATGATCATTGAATATGTAGGCGAGAAAGTACGGCAGCAGGTTGCGGACATGAGAGAAAGGCAGTATTTGAAGAGCGGCATCGGCAGCAGTTATCTTTTTCGCATTGACGAGAATACGGTCATAGATGCTACAAAGAGAGGAGGCATTGCTAGGTTTATCAACCATAGCTGTACACCGAATTGCACTGCCAAGATTATTAAAGTCGATGGTAGCAAGCGTATTGTTATATATGCTTTGAGAGACATCGAGAGAGGTAAGTCTTACACATAGTATTTCATGGAATACAAAGGGTCGATCGATATACTAATCTTCCCGCAGATGAGGAGCTGACGTATGACTACAAATTTGAAAGAGAGTGGGATAGCGATGATAGGATTCCATGCCTTTGTGGCTCAACCGGATGTAAAGGGTTTCTCAACTGAGGTGCATGTTCTCTGTCCGCATGGGACTGTTCCCACTGCAACCTCCATCGTTGCTTAGGCCCCATCTTTGTTTCCACTGCTTCCGACATGGCTTAATCTCCGGACTTGTTTGACAGATACAGCGTTGTGATTATGGCGTCTTGGCTAGGGCTTAGGTTAGCTGTTCGCATCATACAAGCCCATGTGTATTTCTGTTCCTTATTCATTCCTTTGTTGTGTTTCCCCTCACAGCAATGCTTTGTATTTCATATTATTTCTGAATAAGCTGCAACAGCCATGTAACATATAAATTTCTTTTATCGCTCAAATTTTTCGTCCAACAAAATATACTTCGCGATGAATATCTCATTCAACCGGAAACAAGACACGCTGGCAGGAAGTGTGTGTAACATGTAATATAGCGTGATTATGATGCTTGGATTACCTACCAGTAACGCGAGGAGGTGAGCTATATGTCTGATGTTATTGCGACCTAGCACTCATCTCTCGACAGTTTTATAAAACAAGACGCATGAGGTGTTAGACTAAGCAGAGTCAGCGAGTGATAGAAGGGGAGGGGTAGCGAGAGTACGGACCCAAATGACTTGGCAGAAGGAAATTTGCAATCCCCTCTTTGATCATGTACTCATGCCCACAGTTTCCGCATATCAACTTTCCTTCAATAATTTGTGTTTCCAATAATAGCCGGTGTAGCTCCCTCAGTATTTGCTCATCATTGAGCTCATCACCCTCAGGCTTCTTATCCAGAATTTTAGGGAACCCAAGCTTTGTAATAAGTGAGCGCAGGTCTTGTACAAACACGCATAATAGGGAGGTATGCACTGGGCCTACCTCATTTGCCATTGTCTGCAATGCATCCCAATCAATTCGGGGAACGATATTACGGATAAACTCGGGCTGAAAATCGAGTTCCTGCAGCTCAAGCTCCGCATCCTTAAAGTGAAGTGGGAACGACGTCGGTGATGTCTTGCATCCTTTGACGGCACAGGTCAAGAAATTTGCAGTTATTAACTTCATCTGGTTTCGTCTCGGAGTAGCTACTGTTCAATCGACAATGGAGTGTAGAATAGCAGCGACATTAAAAGGTAATGTTGGAGGCAAATTATTTGACAGCGGAGAAAAGCCAAAAAAAACTGCAAAAAATGAATAGCACTTGCGGACACGGGTAATGTCCCAACCAGCAGAATAAACCCACAAGTTGTCGCTGATGTACTACTACGATGATAATCGGGGTCGCATCTATCTATCTATATATATATATATATATATTTATTTACTGAGAAGCACCTAGTGAATATATTTATGATATTGAATTTACCTTTGACGATATAACGCATCTAGCGCAAGCCCAGCCGTAACCCAATCGCAATCAGGGTATCTGTCATATTTGCCGCTTATCACCGGGCAACAGGGTAGACGAAAACAGGTATGATGAAACCTAATTGAATAACTCTCATGGGTAGACCGAAGGAGGAAATACACGATTCATTTGATCATAACTTCCACTAGATCGCCATGGGCCATGTCGTAGTCTGTGAGGCAACGACTGGGATTCAAACGATCACCATCAAACACCAGGTATACTTCCTGTCCTGCCGGGATTCCTTTCGCATCGCGAAAGACATCAACAAGTTGCGAGATTTGCATGCTTGGAATAATACTCAGACTGAAGTCGTCGAGCCCTGGGCACTTCAACACGATCTCTATTGCTAAACGCTTGCTGCTTTCATCTATTGTTGTAAACTCTTGGGCCGAACGAGAGCAACTTATAGGCGATGCCTGCCGATCGTTGGTCGGCATCACATTGTCTTCGGTGGCAGCTTCCATGTGAATACGAATGACCTCCTTGCTGCCATGTTGGAGATAATCACCATATATTAAGTTGTCAGCGATGCCTCTTGTCATGTCAATCCCCAAGCTCCTGCATGTTGTGACATCGAATAGCCTCTTGCCCTTCCAAGTCAGAAATATGGATGATTGCATATCTTTCGGTATACTCTGACGGTTACACCAGGCCAGGCGAACATCTCTTAGCGACTGTGAGATTTTTCGGTGGACTATCAGCGACTTTGTGTTCTCCAGTTTCGAGGTGATAAGAATCTGAACAACCGCATCATCTTCCATTGAATCGGGTTTTTGATCTGTACGTGCAGCCTTTAGCTGGTTTTTTTGAGCATCGCGAGAAATCGAGATGTTGACTGTTTGTGGCTCGCCTATATCTGTAATAGTATTTGGGTAGACTTCATAATGAACTGGCTGAGAAGCTCCAGTGATAGAGGACTTAACGTTTGATAGGCCAGCAGCACCGATTTTGCCTGCTGCTGGTTGCACCGGCGTCTGATAGTCGTTGCGACCACTATACTCTGGTGAAGCATTGTAGGAACCGAGTCTCGAAGAAGATCTAACTTGTATATCGTTTTTCTCCTTCCCGTCATCAGGAAGTACTGGAGATGCGGTACTCCTTGGCACAGGTTCGGGTAAGATGTGTCGACGTTTACAAGGCCTACCGTCCTCTGTAGAAGTATTGGCAGAACGATTTAGTGGACTATCTCGGGCTTCCTTGCTCGCAGCGATGATGTCTGCGTATGTTTGACCAGCGCGGCGGTAGAAATCGTTAGATTCCAAATCCTCATCCCCTTTAGTTGCCCACGAAGGCCTTTTGAAGAATGACCGCATAAGCTTCAAACAGGCACTCAAAGCTTATCTTGGGGAGTTCCAATTAGCAAAGGTCCACTACCTTGACAGAATGTCGAAGTGAGGGTGATCACACCTTCGGCCGCCGAAAAGGAAAGCTGTAGATTCCGATGTAGGTAGAGGGATGATAGACTAGGACAGAGATAACAGAAAAACTCAATATTACGTGCGTATGTATTGATTAAACTGGATAATGAACGTGGCTAGGTTCCCAGCACGCACTTGAAGTAGTTCGAGACTTACAATTCTTGTTTAAGCGTGCTCAGCAGCGTTCAATCCAGTACCCACTCACTCGCCTTGCCATCCATAGGATCACAAGAGACTACTATGTACTGTGACTAGGTAAATATATAGTAAGATGACTCGCTGGTCCATTTATTGACATAGCGAAATACAGATCAATAAAGACACAGCAGGTGCCTTAGGTACTCCAGTATCCGTGATAACCTACTCCTTGGAAGCTCCTAGGCGCACTAATAACACAGAGTAATGAAAGATTCCTGACTCAACTGCCAGTGACTATTTATGGATGATCAGGTGACTATGATCCTTGTTCCGCAAAATAAATACTAGTACCGTACGGAACGTTGATTTATCCCCACAGCTTCTTTACTATCCAGACCACCATGTCGCACCAGAATGACCATCTAAATGATTCCAACATCATGCAAGTAAGACTCTTCCCCATGTATCAACATCGTAGTCAAAATTTTTGGCTTCTATGCATGGCAACACACCAGTCAGCTCATACCCATTGCACTAACACCACTACAGACATTTAATGATATTGCCAAGTATAAACACTGCTGTCCTATATCGTCTCAGACATCCTTTGCTTATACTTTCCAGAGGCGAGAAAGCAGCTCTGGCTCTAGAGAACCATCTGAGCAGCCTAGAAAGCAAGATTGATGAACTGCTTAATGGCTTCGAGAAACCGCAGACCTCAAAAGAAAAGAGCGTCCATCAGGATAACACGAGGGCTTTGATCACTCCTCAGTCCTTGAAAAGTTCATCCAAGTGAAAAGATCCGTCGGGGCCTTTTTCCACCACACCCTTCTCAGTTATGATACCATCAATAAGAGCCCATGGAGTTATATCAAATGCTGGATTCCAAACATTGATTCCTTTCGCTGCTATGCATACGGTTTCCACTTTGACGGTTTCAGAAGCCCCTCCATCCTCACGGGAGCCTGTAACCATAGTAACTTCGGACGCGGGGCGCTCCTCGATAGTAATCTCACCACCCGACTTGGTAGCTAGATCAATAGTTGTGAGTGGTGCAGCCACAAGAAACTTTACACCATGGTGCTTTGCAAGTACAGCAAGACCATACGTGCCTATCTTGTTTGCAGTATCACCGTTAGCTGCTACCCTGTCTGCCCCCACCACGATTGCATTCACGCCTATCTCGGTTCTCGCGAGCAATGCAGCTGCCATCGAGTCTGTTATCAAGGTAGCAGGAATACCGTCGTGAACTAGTTCGAATGCTGTCAAACGAGAGCCTTGATTGTAGGGTCTTGTTTCGGTGCAATAGGCATGTCGAAGGGTATCCGTGGATGCGAGAGCGCGAATTACCCCTAATGCTGTTCCAAACCCCGAAGTCGCAAGAGAACTGCCGATACAGGTTAGAAAACACAATCATTGGTGTTAAGTGTACTTACCCCGTATTGCAATGCGTAAGGACTGTTGCCTTTGAGTCGTTATCAGAGAGAGCATTTTTTGATATCCACATCGCGCCATATTTTCCAATCTTTCTATTATCGTCGACATCTTTCGCCAGCATTGCTTCGGCAGCTTGAATAAACGCTGTAGCAACGCCGTGGCCTGTAGACTCGGGCATTTTAGCACTCTCTGTCACTATGTTCTCTAATTTACCTGCTGCGTCACTGAGATTGACTGCTGTAGGTCTGGAAGTCACAAGGTAACGTAACCTCTCTATGATAAAAGTCTGCGTGTCTTCGGCTTTTGAGGATAGTTTATGGCGAGTCTTTAAAGTGGCAAGCTCCGATGCAAGTGCGAGAGCCGCTACGATAGCAATAGCGGGTGCTCCTCTCACTCGCATCTCCCTAATCGCATGCCAACCTTCTTCGCTTGTCTGAATTGTAATGTATTTTTCGACATGCGGGAGCTGTAGTTGATCAATGATGGCAAGGTTGCCATCACTATATTGGATTGCTTGTAATGTCATTTTGAGAAAGGCTAAAGGGGATAACAATATCTGCCAGAGGAAACAAATGATAGGAAAAAGACGGAAAGAAAGAAATTAGGACACTAAGACAAAGAAGCAAAAGGGGGAAGAGAGATAGTAAACCCCACGAGCAGCACTCTCCTCTCCGAGATATTAAGGTTATTATTGGTGCAAAACAGTTTGGATTCTCTTTTTCAAGTGGGGCAAAAGACCCCTCCTCACTCTCTCTCCCATACCATACCTCCTCCCGTATTTCATTCAATCAGGCATAATATCTACTTACTATCATAGGCTCCGGGAAATCTTTAAAAATTATACTCTCCTCTCTGATACTAGTGGCTTTGTGCTTCAATTCCATTTGGCATCGTATTTCTCTACATATACAGATGTAAAAATATTGATTTCGTCATAGTAGGCACTCTATGTTTACCATTGAGTTTGTTGTATCCCGAGAGCCCTTGACGTTGGTACCCGTCTTCTAGGAGACACTGTTATATAAACAATTCAGGATCCATACCATCATAGCTCAGACAGTGTGGCTTATTTGTGGCCACGTATACCAAGAACAGTAAGGGCATTATCAGTAATACCCGTGATTAAGGCTGGGAATCTTCATGGCACAATCACATATTAAGGGTTGCTAGGTTATCCGTGTGATCAACATGCAAGGATTGGTATACGTAGTATAAACTCCCCTATGGATGGTACTGTTCTGGGAAGATGGCCAGGAGTGAATTAGGTAGCGCTTGCCATAGGTATAGAGCAGATGTCGGTTGTTCGATTTCATGCTTCTTCATAGGCCACATAACATATGAGAGCAGTAACAACAATTTCCGTTCTTTCACATCTTGTCGGATGTCAAGTAGATGTCCCTCCTTCTCAGAGCTGGTGAGGGGTTGATGGATGATGATGCAATTGAATTGCCATGACAAGAAAACGGATATCAGTTCGAAGAGATATAAAGCACTACAGGAAGTACACCGAGAGTTAATGCTATAATCTTGCTAAAAGTAATGGGAACATACCATTATTTCCTCGGACAAAGGCATCTCCATAGCTCCGCCTTAACTTTCCATTCACATATTCCTCGGACTTTTCTAAGGCGATGTTCATATAACCATCTACTGATTGGAGTTCACCTGATCGCTGTTAGCAAAAGAAAAGGGGAGGGAAGGGAAAGGGGAAACGATGGCTTTTGGGGGATGAAATAACCTTTGTAGACAACACCTGAATTCAACTTGACAGTGACCGGAGCACCAATGATCTCACTCAGAAAGACTGATGGGTCTTTGCCTTCTGACGCTATACTATTCTCCATGTCTTCGGGTTAATGATTGGACGGTGGAAAAGTAACTCTTTTGCTTGTGGGCGTTGCTACTTGTCTGTCTGTTCTAGGTTTTACTGCGAGTTTATCGGAGAGACAGCCAGATAAGTAGGGACCGACTACAGAAGGCGGTGGAAACCGATTGGCAATACCGCGTAAGGGAATCGGGAAACTGACGTACAGGTAGCCAAGCGATTAAGACTAAAAGTATGGTAAGGTCCTAGCAGTTGACGGGTAGTAGGGGAACCCGGTATGACCACTACCGCAACGGTATACCGGTATTAGTAGAACCATAACCCTAGTGTAAAGGATCTGCTTATACAGGGGCAGAACACCTGTCAATTAGGTGAGAATCACTAATAGCAAGCAGTGGAATGGATACAAGACTAATCGTTGCAGGATCCTTAAGAATACTCCGGGGGTTCAGTACTTTATTCTCTATAGATAGTAGAGTTATATCTTAATAGTCATGATATTTGTGACGCCTGGGTATTCGGACAGGAGTGTTGCGTTCCACGCCACCACTATCTTTCCGTTCGCTGTCGCTCCTGTTCCTTTCTACCTACCTTGCTGTACCGCCCCTTTCACCGCTTTGTATGTAGAACTTAGCAGCATCCTGCTCCTGCAGCTAAAAGAAATCAATCTTTCTACACTATAATCAGAAGTACCCAACAATTGGTAGTATGTCTTTGTTTCTTTCCTGAGGGTTACCTTGAGGGTTGTTTACTATGTGTTACAGACCCTTGTCTAGTGTGCCTTATCGAGGAAAGCGGACGCGCAAGGCAGAAAGTGATAGGACTACAGTGATGAAAGAACAGGTGATGGCTACCCAAGATAAGATAAGAAGGATCCCTGTGTCACATGATACCTACTCCGTTACCTACCCCCAAAGGAGTATACGATGGAGTATACAGGACTACACACGGTGATTGGATATATCCCCAGATCTATTTTCAGGGAAGTTACTATAGAAGTAGCTAATAGAGAATATATAAGGATACTTATTTATATACTTAGTTTAGTTCTTTATAATTAATTATTATTATTACTTAGAATATATCTTTAGTATTAAGTTAGTAATTAACTTATTTATACTTCCTTAACTATTGAGTATATATACTTAGTAGGCCTGGTCTTTTAGACTTAAGTGTTTTATAAAGTATAATTATATATTATCCAGACCTTAGCTTAGATTATTTCTTTAGGTCCTGAATAGGATTATACTTAGAATTATATTAGATTTATTATTTAGATATAGTTATCTTATAATATAAGGCAGCTAATACTTATAGAGCTCTTATCTAAATATTTAGATATAATATATTAATTACTAGTCTATATAAGTTAAGTCTTATATTAACTTAAAATATTATAGTCTATTAATAAAGTAAATTCTAGAAGTCTAGTAGCTAGTTATATAAATATAATTTTACTACTAATAAACTAATAGCTATAGTATTATAAATTTATAACTTTAGGAATAGATAGATTAACTAAAATATTATTTAATAATTAAGACTATTAAGATTAGAGTTTTTAAATCTTTTAATAGAAAAAGATATAAATTTAGAATATTCTTAATATAATTTAATATCTATTTTAATATTAAT